GGAGAAGACTCGGTGCTGGTGTCGGTTGGTACAGTGAGTGTGTCAGTGGCGATAGAGCTTGATGATGAAGTGGGAGAAGATGGGGTGGGAGAAGATGGGGTGGGAGAAGATGGGGTGGGAGAAGATGGGGTGGGAGAAGATGGGGTGGGAGAAGACTCGGTGCTGGTGTCGGTTGGTACAGTGAGTGTGTCAGTGGCGATTGAGCTTGTTTGGTTCCAGCTTGGTGTGCTAGAAGATACGCCAGGGACATAGTAGCCACTCGAGGTTGTTATGTTGGCAGGAGAGGTGAAGGTGGAAGAAGGTGTAGGCGCAGTACCTGTACCCCAGCTGTGGGTCGAGGTGGTACCATTACCGTACGGTGGTGTTGTGGATGGCAGGTAGGATGAGTAAGGTCCAGTAGAAAGCGAGACTCCAGTCGACAGTGATATACCTGTAGATTCTGAGAAGCTGATTAGGGGCCCGCCAGTAGTAGTTGGGCCATCAACAGGGAAGCTTGTCGCAGTACCGTCGGTGAAGGTGCCGAACGAGGTGGTTGGTGTAGTTGTGCTGGGAGGGGAGATGTCAGTGCACCAGATCACACCTTCATTTGTGAGCTTGCAGGAAGTAGCGGTGACTAACTTTATGCTCGTAACGACTGGTACAGATGGTGCTGGTAGTGTGACCGTGATCACGACTTGGCTGGTGACGACCACAGTACTGCGGATGGTGGTGGAGTTCCACAATCCTGAGGATGCTGAGACAGTGGTGTCGGCGGGGCTTGTCGAAAGCGGGATGCCGGTCGACGATGGAATGCCGGTTCCAGGGACAGAAGACGTGGGAGGAGGGAAGTCATCGCTGAAGGTACTGCTGGGAACTGGTGGAGAGTATGGAGGTGGGGGTGAGTAATATTGGCGCGGGTGCACATGCGGAAAGTGCACTATCGTCATGGTCAGTCGATCGTGTATGGAATGGTAGGTCTTGATCGAGGAGCAAGAATCAAAAGAACTTGGAGGCCTCCGTGCAGTATGGGCGTTTGTATCGACTTACATGGCGCCCGCTCAGCGGTGGCAGCTACAACGACAGTAGCCAAGGAAATGCAGCTACTGAGCTTCATCTTGAATAGTGATCGTTTTCGTCTAAGGAAAGATCGAAATGAGCGTGATAAAACGAGAGAAAATGTCAAATCGGACACACCTGCAGCTGTAAGGCTTAAACATCGAATCTCCCTCCAGGCAGTCCTTATATATGACTTGCAGTTGGCCATAGCAGTAAGTCCTGTCAAGGTGTTGTTAGAAGGTGCCGCAGTGTGTGCAGTCGTCCGTCGGGCCCATACACAAGGTTGCAACGCGGGATCATGCTTTTGACCATCGTACACAATCTATCCTGATGTACGGATCTGTGAGTATCGGAAAATTAGTGATCCCCACTAAGCTCTCGACAGCATTCGAGCATCAATGCCGCAAAAATTTGATAGGGGGGCTCTGTTTCGATTGACCGTCTGTTGAGTATGCTGCACATGATGCTGGTGTCGAAACGGCGTCTGGCTGAATCCATCTGGCCTCCTTTGGAGGTATGACAAGTTGATGATGTTCTGGAAGTCAACATGGGAAGTGGTGCGCAATCCGCGAAGGTGTTTGGATCTGCAGGTGTTACACTGCAGCGCTGTCTGCGCCACCCGTCGTGCATGTGTATACGAGAAAGGAAAATTTGACGGGATTGAATGGCAGCATCGCACTCAAGTAACAACACCTACCACTGTTGAGACTGACGAAGTCCACGAGTTCCAAGTTCGGGGCAAAGCATACTTGCAAGCGGATGGTCTGATGTCAGTCATGGTCGAGACCGAGTGCCTCAAGGTCACCTTAGCTGGTCCTGCTGCGACTTTCGAGTACACGGTTGAGGCATGACAAGCACCTGACAGTCACCTGATGATTGAAATGGTAGAAGCATATCTCGAGACCCTGCTTCCGGAGAGTAGCCAGTATGCAGCCGTCCTCACCGCATACGCAGACGCATGGGATCGAGGCACTGTTCTCTCACCGCTCTGGCCCGGTCTGCTTGCCAGGCACTCGTCTCGTACGAAGGGGAACTTGATTTAATCAATACTCAATATCGCGTTGAGCCGTTCGATATTGACCATCGAAAGCTCGTGCGGGCGGAACGTGCTGGGTTGCTAGTTTGTGGTTTCGATAGCGTGCTGACATCAAAGCCTCGCGCGCTGAGCCTGCACCCATCGAAGCACGTCTGACGACGCCTCTAGTAACAGAAGCTTGCCGGCTGGTGGAGCCATGAGATTGGTGTGAAATTGTATCCTCCTCTTGCGGGCAAGGCTTAGTGGTATAAGTTGAGGCGCACAGATGCAGGTACCAGAAACGGTGCTGCTTCGGGGAGCGGAGCGTTGCACGGTTGATTGCGCGATAGGATGAAAGGCACACTGCAGTACTAGCCTTTGAGGCTATTGAGCTCGAGATCGCGATACAAAGTAGCTTCAGGTACATTAGCTTCGATGCGGAGAGCCGTGGGTCTGCGCTGATGCGGTTGGTGTTGCCTTGTTGTTGTGTACAGGGAGGGAAGGTGCGAGAAACTGGCAGAAGTCCAGATCTAGAGGTCGAGGGACGCTATCACGTACACCTCACTCCGAGGCTACTCGCGGTGTTAGTCGTCTCAAAAGAATACTTCGTCTGGTTTGTGCAACCTTGTGCGATGTCGCTTTTCGATGCAATTGGAAGAACCAGCTTGTACGTGCCTCTGCGCACTTGTGTTACGCGTAACTTAACGGGCCGCACGGTAGTGACCGCAGCCTTCAATGCTTGGTACAGTGGTTGCACGGATGCCCGTTTATTGTGTGTTTGTTTGTTGTTGGTGTGTTTTCGCTTGGGGATGTGGGAGCAATGCAGGATCTTGTGCTTGCATGCAGGTGATGATCAGCTGTAGCACTCTATCTTTGCTGGTTCAGGTCTCAAGAGAACAGAGCTATTTCCGTACACGACCAGCGACGACAATTAACACTGCTCGTCCATAGCGAATGATAGGTCACAGTTGTTGGTACGAAGTAGTCCATATTACAGGCGGAAAGGCCTTGGGTAGAGCACGTTCTCGTTCGGGCCTATGTCACACTTACGTCCCTTTCCACCATACGACAGTCGCGCCGTGTGCCAAACCATTAAAAAAAAAGTCCATTTACGGACCCCAGCTAATTACCATGGAACGAATGAAAGGGCCTAAACACGCAACTCTGCGCGTCCTTAGACTAGAGACTGACGATCAGCAGCAAGCATCACAATGAAATTGAAACATTGGAGAGTGAGTTGGTAAGCAACCGATTGGCTGCTAAGACTATTATTATGTAGCTAAACACCTCAACTCAAGGTTGCGAGAAGGGGAGATGCCGCTCCAAGGCGACCGAAGAGCGCCGATGTGAGACCGCGGTGTATCGTTTTTGCGTACCGCGCCAAAACGCCTGTGTACAATTCGTAACCTTCGTAACTATGAAACAACAATAAGGGTAATCGTTCGAATCATCTGAAAAATGTGTGTGAACCGGAACGATACCCAAACGTACCAAAAAGTGCGGTATACAGAAGTGGCGATCAAAAGAGCAATCGCATGCACGCGCAAACGAAGCAAGATTTAAGCAATCTAGTCCCAGTTGACAAAGCTTGAGCCATCAACAAGCTGCTCGTTGTTGTTGTTCTGCTCGTCACCAGGTTGAGCAAAGTCTGTCGACTGGAAGTCAAAGAAAGCGCCGTAGCCCTCATTGCCAGGTGTGAGAAACGACTCGTTGGTGTACAAGCCTGATGAGATCGGCGCACACGACTCAGCGGTGCTCTCTGGTTTCATGCCAGCCTGAGGCATGCTCAATGTCATTGAGCTACCTGACTTCAGAGCCTTGGGTGAGTAGTTAGGGTTGTAAGTGTAGGTCGGGGCAAAAGGCTGAGCAATGAGCTCGCTTCCATTCATGAACATGGCAGTGCGAGGGTCATTGGGGTCAAGAATCGACCCAACGAACTGCTGCGACTCAGCAGGCAGTGCCATTGACAGGGGGTTGGGGCCGCCCAGCATCTGATTGCCCACTGAGTAGGTCATAGGGCTGAAAGTAGTGGAGACAGGTGTCTCGTTGTCTGTCTGCAGGTGTGGTGTTCGCTGATCTGATCCGGACATAGGTGAGGCCGTGTCGGTGTGTGGCGAGGTAGGTTGCTGTTGTGCGAAAGAAGGTGCGCATGACAAAGCAGGACGGGACTTGTCGTCAACGCCAGGTTGAGCTGGCAAGGACAACCTTCGTGCATCTTGAGGAGTCGAGGTACCTTGCGGCATAGAGGCATCAAATGCTGGGCCAGCGATGGAAGCTGCGCGCTGATGCGGTCGTTGAGGAATGTGGTATGGCGATGACCGGACACCTTGTGGTTGTGAAGAATGCGACTGCTGGGTGAAGTTCTGTGGTGTTTGCTGGCTGAATTGCTGTGGAGGCATCATGGTTGGGTTCAACCAGTTGTTCGTCTGGGGGAAGGCGGTATTGTTCTGTGGCGGGAATTGACCTCCGTACTGTTGGAACGAAGGATTTTGATACTGCGACATGAACATGTTTCTTACTCCATGCTGTGTCGCGATGTAGTCGTGCAGCTTCTTGTTGAACATGACAGAGGTTGTGTGCAGGTGCGCGTTCAACCTTTGGTACTGGGTCGGCAGATCATCATCCTCCTCTTCGTACATCTCTTCATTGATGACATCTTGCTCAGTGACACGCAGAGCGCGACCAGTGCGCTTCTTGTGGATCTCAGATGCTCTTCGTGCAGACTCAATGCGTGCTTCTAAACTACGGTCACTGCGCCGTGAGGCAGCAATGTAAGCACTACCCAAAATCAGTAACAGGTACATCAACCAACGTGGAAACAAACATACCGCTCTTGGTTTTCTTCATGAGTGCGCTCTGTCTTGACTGGTCTAGTCGCAGTAAAAGAACGGCGCTCAGCAGGCATGATCAAGGCTCCAACGAGTAGTGATACTTTGAATGGTTAAGTACCGTGGCGAGTCACGGGTGGAGGCGGGCCAATTGGTTGAAGTGGCAGGCACGAGGGTACCTTTCTAACCCAAATAGATGACTGCAACCAAGGACTGCAACGACGCGTAGCTACAACAACGATAGTATTGATGAGGAGAAGGGTACAATATTCAGAGAAAGAGACGGAAGCTCAAGGAGGGGAAAGTGGCGATTGTCCTGGCCAGACGCGGGACGTGTAGGCGAGACAGAGACTACTGATGGGCCGATGGGACCAAGCGATAGAGCTAAGACCCTTACGTATCAGCGCAAGATGGCGGCCACGAGAGTTCCAAAGAGGATACGCGATCAAGTGACGGCGGAAGTAAATGGAGCGAAGCCTAAAAGGATCGAAGGCTAGTGGGAAGTGGCAGTGGTTGCTGGGGCTGGAGATCGAACAACTGTGCGCGGGTCGCGATGCTCGATACTGGCGGGATGCCGAGCCGATCAGATCGAATCTTAGAATCCTTTGTCGACAAATGGGTCCGGATAAACAAAATCTTGGTAATCTGGCTGCTCCGGAAGACAGATCGTGTGTGTACCTGGCAGTACCGCAGACGATTGCTTCCAACGACGACGGGGTCGAGGAGGTTGCCGGTAACGTGGGGAAGGGTGAGACGAGCAAGTGCGAACGTATTACCGCTCGCAGCTAACTGGTCTGTTAAGAAGATAGGATAATATGCGCAACGGTTGTTCGAGAAACTCAAACGATTGAAAGTCGACAGGGTCAAGATTCCCAAACTTCCAGCTGAGGGAGGAGGCATTGATAAAGAGCGCTCCCACGTCGTGGGCCCCTTCAGCCAACCAGCAGCTGCGCGTGTGTTTCCGGCGCCAGTCCGCCGCTTAGACAGCTTAGGGTTGCAGGTCGGCGGCGAAGGTGGAGAGGGGCAGGTGGCTGCTGCATACCTCGGCATCTATCGCTAGCAACAGGACAGACATGGATTAGACAGCTCACCGCGCACTCGCTGGCTAAAATGGTGATCGGAGCACGCTAGGATCTTGTAGCACCTTCCCCACGATAAACGAGACGGCAGTGTGAAAGAGAGCTTTCGGTGACTGACAACGGAGAGAGACGTTCCGCCACTGGGCTGACAAAAGTGACAGCTCTGGACATGCTGATCCCCAGTTCACAGCCTCAGTTCTGCCGAACGCTGACCACTTTCTCTTCGAAGACCGTCGAGAAGCGTGGCCACTTTTGCGGGGGCTTCAGCTAGAAAAAGCAGCAAAGAATTGCACCACCGATGGCTATCGGAAAGACTCGAAACCCATCCCCACGCACGTAAAGTGGACCTGAAATTACACGGAATGCGGTCCAGAGGCCCATCGTTCGCCCTTAGCGTGAGCACTTCCGAAACCGGTAGGCATTGCTCTAGCGAACAGCACTTAAACTGCCCACAAAGCTGGTGTGGGGTAAGAACTGAACTATTGTGACCGAAGTTTGTCGTACGCAGATGCTGCGACGCAAGGCAAGGTCAAGGTCAGGATCGCAAAGCCTGCAGTTCTGCGAGAATTGCGATATTCGCCGTGCAGCAAATCAGCAGACCCGCCATCTAGTTTGATTGAATGGCAGGGGAGTCCCCATTTAGAGATTCGATTGCAGATAGGCGAGGGCAATATCGAGTTAGCTCCGATCCGATCGAAGGTCTTCCCTCAGACCATCTCACAAAGCTTGCAGGCTTTTTCAGCGATTTGAGAACGGTGATCTTGAGCGTTCAACTGTAATTGGCTGGGTCACGCCTTCCGCTTCCACGGAGCCTTACGCACAAAAGTCTCTCCGACCATGTGCGACAGGACGGCATTTCTCAGGCCGGACGATAGGCTCATGGGCGGTAACCGCACCGTGTCCTTCCCCATGGACTCAACAAGCCTCGCGCCAGCAATGACATACTGCTACCATACGATCAAAATGTAATCTTGCGGACGCTATGGACGGATAGCTTTCTTTCCAGCCCTAGCCCTTCGTTGCTGCGCAGAAACGCGCACCTACGTCACACAGGGGAGGTTTGGTGCGTTTTGGAGGCTGCTGTCTGTGCGCGCCCCCGCCTGCCGACCTGCCAGATCTCTGGGACCCAAACCGCCCCAACCGCAAGGGTTTGAAGGCGAAACAGACTCTTCCTGCAATGGAGCTAAGATCTGGAACCACGTCAGATTCATCTATCCCGCCGTGGAGCCTTTTCGACCGCCAGTAAGGATGCAGATCCGAGCTGTTTTGTGCATGAGGGTCGCGGTAATTTCCTCCGTCATCTCAGAATTCGATAGAAGCAAGCCTCAACCGCTCTAGATTAAATGTCACAGCAAGTGGATTTGGACGTTGTGCGTTTGGCCTGAGGAGGCTCAGTCCTACCCCAACAACGAACACCGAGTGCGTTGTCAGGGAGTCTCGCATTTCGGTTGTTTCTACTCACAATGTCAGCCTCGCCCAGCAACTGCAACAGCCCCTCTCCCGATTATGCAAAGCTATCCACTTCATTGGTGCTTCAGTTTGCATCATGCTTACTGCGTACGGCTCAAACGGTACAAATAACGCCCGACTGAAGGACCTTTTTTTGACACATAAGTCCACTTACGCTCAACCCTCACCGTTAAAAAATCACACCACAGACGCATGTATTTACATCATGTTTACTGATGAGGCTGACGTAGAGCTATTGGCTTACGAACCGGATTTACGGCGCGAAAAGCCACGCCTGGAAAGGTAAAGGCTGTGACCGACCTTTTAGCTCCGATCTTAGCTGCAGGATCGCGCAGACGCCTGTGGCCACTCGGTAACGGCGCTCACCCCTCGTGAATCGATCTCGGCGCAGCACCCCTCTCTTGGAAAGAGCTCCTTAATAAGGCTCAGTTGCCACTTCTCCAGCATACGATGGGGTGGTGTCGAGCATCGGGGAGACCACGAGCGCACGACAATTCACCGTGGTGCCGGGTGCCGTTGCAAGTCACAAGTCCGACAGACTGACTGCTGTTTGGATTCTTCTTGTTGCACAGTGTGGCAGAAGAACACCATAAACTGCTTCAAGGAGCGGGCCCGGACTCTACACTACCTTCACGGCTCCGCTGTTCATGCCCGTTTACCCGAACGCTTCCACGCCAGATCGCTGGGCATTTCGCCCGCCAATCACCACATCGCATCTCGAGCACGTCTTGCGAGTGCGTTCTAAACCTCCCATATGCAGGCTATTCTGTCAAGTCCATCAAGTCCTTGCTTGCTCATGGAACTCAAAGGGCATGACCCTGGTCAAGCTGGAGGCAGCTTGATCAGTAGCACTGAGCGAGTTTGAAGTGCTCAAGGTCGCACCCAAGTCTCTAGATCGACGATTGAAAACTATCAGGGCAACGTTCAACCGTCCCTTTGGCATGTAACCGACACGCGGGATGCATAACGTTCGCGCTTCCGGAGAACATGGCAAATGTCTCCACCGATGCAGCCACCCGTCCAACCAGCTGTCCCAAACACCCATGAGCACCTTATCGATCGCATATATCGCCGACCTCAACGCTCCTCACGGGTCCTTAGCTTTGATGTTCCATGGCAATGATACAGTATTTTGATGGTGCGCGATCGCCCGCAGCCACACTGCGGCTCAGGAACGTTACTTCTCAGCAACAAGGCTTTACAGCACTCGCGGAAATACCTCCACGGACAAACCGCTCCGGTATCAGCTTCCAGATCTTCGCAACGTTTCAGATCTGATATAGCCGAGAAGTTAGCACCGACATCCTCCTTGACGCTGTCGTACTGACCTTCGAACATTTCTGTACATTCTGATGTAAACTATAGCGTACAGTGCATGCTCGCATAACGAACTCATTGATCACGAGCAAATAGGCCTGGCTACACTCGACATACTCTTACCTGTCATGCTAATGATCAACGAATAACCATCACTGAATCTCACAGATAGACCTCGCTCGAACGCGAAATATCCCTTCCCTCCACTATGTATTCCGGTTCTCAATCAGCAAGAAAGGACTCTCGCCATAAATACATGCGCTGTCAGTGCATAAGCTTCGCAGCATCCCAAGACGCTTGAAGCAACCCTGATTCCGCTGCTACACCAATGCAATCTGATAGAATCAGTCCTCGTTGTCGGAACCAACATTTGAGATCTCATGTCCAGCAGACCCTCAAACATGAAAACCCTTGAGCAAGGAAGTCGGCTATCGTACATTAGCTTGATCGATGCGATCCGCTCATGGCCTATGATTGTAGCAAATAACATAAGGGTAGGCTCTTCAGCACCTGCACAACACGTACGTGCCGCGGAATGATTTGATAATTCGGCATTCGATACCGGTATTGTGCATAGGCGGCGAGGTGCTGCTGACTCTGCACGTAACAAGACCCGTTCAGCAAGCTCTGTTCAAGAAGCCCTGTTACGACAATACGTGCATTCTCAAGTAGACCCCTGACCACTCCAGTCCGAAGACTCTGAGATTTTTCTGCACTCGCACACGTGTAGCAGAAAGCGAGCGGTACTGTGATCTACTTGGAAAGGGTTGCACTATCTGCAGGAGGGTTCTGCTTATTCGGCGAAACCTCGCTCAAGTAGCAGAAGAAGCTGGATAAAAGCTCAGATTCTTAGAGGTACTCGGTGCCAATTTGCAAGCGATCTGCAAGCTGATGCAGTTTCTTAGATCTACAATGATACAGGCTCCGACGAATAACCAAAATGTTTCTCCAGATAGTGCTGCGCTTGGAATATTACTCGAATTTCTTCGAAAGGCACAGCAAACTATCCTGGATCTCGAACTGAAAATCGATCAAGAACACACCCAACGCTCAATTTGTCGACTGCGCACTTCACAGAGCTCTTTCCCATCATGAACTGTGTCTTCTGTTTATCTTTCACATCACAACTCATCACTTTCCCTCCACCACCTCTACCGTCTCATCCCCAGTCTCTTCCCAGCAAACGTCCTGATGACATGCACCACAGCCTCCGGCCGGCCAACTTAACATCGGCACATGATCACCTCCAATATCCTCAACCTCAAACTCCGCCCCCTCCTGGTCAATGTTATTCTGCGCAAACACCGGACTAACGCTATTATCACGCTTGAGCGCCACATACAGCGTCCTGAACGTTCCATTACATGGAATGTAAGTCCCCGTAGCATTGAGCGCTTTAAAGCTTTGGCGGGAGGAGTTGCGATGTCCAGTAGTCTGCGAAGGAGGCGTTGAGGAGGTTGTAAAAAGCGAGTTGGGGAGGGTAAGTGACGAGATTTAAGTCCAGAGTTGAGGGGAGCGTGGTAGTTGAAGAAGTGGGCGCCGATGGTGCGAATGTCGGGGCGTGGAAGGGAGTGTTTTACTTCTGCGATGGTGGGGATGTAATCGGAGAGCTTAGGTTTGTTAGTATGTCATGTCTTCGTGGGAAAAGGTGAGGACGTAGGTACATACCGCTATCAGCCCCAGGATTTGGCCTTCGTCTTCGGTCTTCTCGGGTGCAGAGTTCACACTGCGGTCCTCGAAGTTCTTGACAGCTTCCATGATCACTGTTGCGCCGTAGCTGTTCCCGACTAGGACGACGTCTTCGCCGTCTTTAAGTCTAGTCCCGAGCAGTTCTGTCACAACGTCCACGTCGGCTGTCCTTTCTGCATCTCAGACATCGTGACCAACAGAAAGTAGATCGACCGTGTTGAAGTGGTCGTATCCTACAACGCCGAGCTTTCGCATCAATAGAGATAACGGCAGGCGAACCATGAGGCGCCTGCCTCTTTCATATAGTGCTTGGTGGGTTGCTCTGAGAACAAGAATCCCGAACTGGTCTGCTGTAGTCATATAGCAGAGCGAAGTAGTTCCTTCTGGCACATGCATGTCCATAGCTCTTTCATTGTGCATGTGATCCGTCCAGGATCCAAGTAAGGCGCAACCTGCCTCCACATGGCACTTGCCTGGACTGAGAGTCCTCGACGTCTTCTGCGCATGTCAACGACAACATTGCGCGACAACACACCGCAACTCAAGCAACATTATTAGCCTTGACTGATTGTACAGCTCTTTGCTCGAAAGGCATATTTTGTCCCAATTCGCCAGATTGAGAAGCTCGAGTCGTACATCAACTGAAACCTGAGTACATTACCTCCTCTTCTTCATCCTCCTTCTTTCCCCCTCACACAAAGGCTTTGACATTGAACAGCAGCATCAGACATATCAGCCAAGGCATCCCCTATCTCTGCAGCTTCTGCAGTAGCCCATATTCATCCGCAATGTCTTGTAAGCGCTCTCACTCAACGCGTCTCCATAAAGACAGGTTGTCGCACGTTTTCAAGATATCACGCAGCGTTTGCTGACCCTACTGCAGTCGTCTGGCATGAGATGATGTTTCTGATTCCGAGTATGTTGGTGTAAAGGAGACCGACGCGTTGGACGACGTAAATGACGACGTTGCAGCAAACTGCGATCATGACGCGTTGCTAGCCAACCAGGAGAAGGCAGTGGGGCAATTGGCGGAAGCTCCCCTGGCACGCTCATCGCCCTCTCGGTTCGAAAGGCTGTCTCGAACTTCCTCGGCAATCTTTTGCAACCTCACTTCTCGCAGAAAATCGCGAGGCTCGATTACTGTGACGATACGAAACGGCGACCTCTCATTGACTTTTGATCGTGCAAACACGTTCAGCTCGGCTCCACCCCCGGCCTCCACCTCCCGATAGGATTTTCGCGATGACGATGCCCTCCTAGACAGAGTAAACATCTTCATGCTCATTGTGACCTGTGTTCGCTATATTCGCCGCTCGATACCATACTCAAACTCCGACAATGATCGAAAAGACTGTAGATGGTTCTTTGCGGATATGCGGGCTGCGCCAGTACATCGATGGCACACCGCAGGAGATAAACAAGAGGCCTCATGCAAGGTCAAGGTACCAACTCCTCGTACGAGCTCGCACAATTTAACAGATCGGTTCGTCCTTGTTGTAAGTACGACTACAAATGCACTGCCAAGCTCCAATCATACATCCAGACTCCGATGTTTTCGGGGCTTTCGGACTCCAGACTGCCGACCTCCCACATTCCTTGCCCAGTTGGTGGCCAACAGCTTCAGCCTCAGCTCAGCGTTGGCGTCACGGTGCGCAAGGGTTCCGCATAACACCAAAACGTTCGTGGTCCAGAAATCATGAACGCCATTAGATCGGTGCGGACCGCAGATCGTAGTCGATCGGACGAAGTTCTTTGATGATGACGAACAACATCTGCGCTCAGGCTCAGCTTGTGTATACAATGATATATTGCGCCTACATGCAATGGCCTTCACAACTCTGTACAACAGCTCCACTCTAACAAATTGACCCCTATCAGACTCATATATATCTCCATACCTCTAGCCTTTCCACATACTCACACAGATAACATTTTCGCAACAACGTTACCACCAGCGGACCACCACTAGCACACCTTCTACGAACCATGACTTCAGCTTTGTCCGGGCCTTACGTGAGCGTCGGCCCTTCGAGAAGCGATCAAGAGCCCACCATCGAGTTGAAGCGGACAATCACTGGCAGGAAGACACGCACAGGGCCCAATGCCTCCGTTGCAGAGATGCTGAAGGCGTTAATACATGCCGCGCTCATGATCCTAGCCGTCCTCTGGATCAATGCGTCTCACATCTACGGCTTGTTTCATCACCAAGGAGCCTACGTTCACAGGGCGAAAGTCGCTTTGGCAGACTTCGATGGAGGTGACTTCGGCGAGGCTCTTCGACTCTCAGCAGCCATGAACAACGGCTCATACGGTTACCCTACCTACGTCAATATCAACGCCGCTGGCTCATCGCCTGAGCACATAAGGCATGAGGTCTTTAAGGGTACATATTGGGCTGCAATCGTTGTGGAACCTGAGGCGACAGCTCGCTTTGAAGACGCAGTGAACGGTTCAGCCCAGGCCTACGACCCCAGCAATGTCTACGCTTACTACCTGCTTGACGCGCGCTACTACACAATCTACGCCTCGAGCATCCTTTCGACAACCGTCACCACCGCAACAACCGCATCCGGCATCTTTAGCGCCCAGTTCATCGCATCCATCATCGCCCGCGGTGAACACGCAAATACCACCGCAGCACTCTCTGCACTCGCCGGCCCCGCACACGCTGTCGAGATGCCCGCCGCATCCCAAATCTTCGGCAGCCTCGACGACAAAGCCTTTATCAACACCCTCGGCGCCGTTCTCCCAATCCTCATGCAGTTCTTCTTCATCATGGCCTGGAACGGTGTATGTAACGGCATGCACCTGTACGCCGCCTACGACCTCCGCACACACATCCTCGCCCGCCTCTTCTGGAGCACCGTCTGGCCCATCTTCACCAGCTTGTGTACTGCTGGCTGGACCTTCGCGTTCCGCGGTAGTTACCATATAGATGCGAAGATGTTCTTTGCGTTCTGGGCTGTGACGTGGGTGTTCAGCATGATCAATTTCGATGTGTTGGATATTATCACGGGATTTATATCTATGGCTTTTGTGCCGTTTTTGTTCTTGACTTGGGTCATTTTCAATGTTGCGGCGTCTTTTGGGCCACCCGAGATCCTTAACCATTGGTACCGTATCAGCTATTTCTTCCCGAGCTTGCACTGGTACAGGACATTCATCACGATCATCACACAAGGAGCATACAACAACTTGCGCTACACTCTGCCGGTACTTGCGGGGTGGTTGGTGCTGATGAAGTGCTTGAGTCCGCTCGCTACGAGGAACAGGGTCAGGAAAGCGCAGGAGGTGTTCAGGTGGTATGATGAGAAGGATGCTACTGGTGGACCTCACTAGACTCTGTTCCTACTTTTAGGCCTCTGCTTTGTCAATTTTTGTCATTTTAGCGCACCATGCCTTAGAGTCTTTAATCATAGACCTTTTATATGCACCTTCATATTGAAATGGTCACTGCACACTTTTTCCTTCCCTGCGACCCACACAATCCCTCTCTTGACCAACCCCACATACCACTCACTCTCCCAAGCCTCATCAAAATACCCCAACGCGATGTACACGCTCCTCCCGCCCTTAAACTCCTGACACCACGCTAGCGGATGATCGTCCCCATGCTTCCCGCCCTTGGAGCTTATCGTGTCTCCCCCTTAGTAGGATCCGTGGATTGGAATTTTCAGATGGATGCGAAGTGAAGTTGTACCACTCATCGATTCATCTTTCTGGCGGACTATGCGAAGCAATAACGGGGTGTGCAGCGTCCGAGACGATAAGGGAACCGGGCTCAGGATCAGGATGCATGTCGAAATGCGCACCGATTTGCTTTCCATACCACTCGGAAGAGGGCATACCGGCTGCTGCGCCATGGATTGCGAAGACACCACCACCTGAGTTGACGAAGGTTCGTAAAGCACTCAATTATTCATCTGCGAGGAAGTTTCCTGACGTGTAAAGAAGGATGATGACGCGAAAGGCTGAGAGAGTTGAGGGCCTGAAGAGCGAGGCATCTTCACTGGCCGTTATGGTAAAGACGTCAGTCTGATCTGCGAGGTGTTCAGGGGAGGTGATGCCGGTTGCAATGGAGGTGTGTCTGTAGCCGGCGCTGTTACTGAAGACTAGGACTCTGAAGGATTGTAAGGCAGCCATGGTGGTATTGGAGTACTTGTTGCTGAATGGTTAACGGAGGATGGAAAACAAACAGTAGGACTGAATGACATACGATAGAACTGAATAACGCACGATAGAACTGAATAACGCACGATAGAACTTGCCAGTTGAATGTTTACATTATGTCTCAAGAGCACGTCTTTGTATTATTGCTTCTTATTAAGCTAAATGCGCTGACGTCATCTCGATGAGTGTGAGGCAGCAGCGACTGCCTCCAGTGGCAGTATCAGCCGAAGCGGATGCAGGACCTATGCAGACTACAAGCCACGTTCTTGGCTTAATACACCAGAACCAGCTCCACTGCCGAAGACTTTGTCGATTCGTGTTTTGCGCTCCCAGACCAGCTCTCCCTTCCCGTCACTCTCGTCGTTGAACTTCCGTCGGAAGTACAAGATGCGATGCTGCGGGATGAACTCTTCGTCTGTTTGCTCAGTCTTCCACTTCTCAAGACTGGACTCCTTTGCACCTAGGAACCGGTCCTCGTAGCCGATGATGTACTCTGCTGGATCGAGGTTTGAATCCCAGCGTAGGCGGTTGAGCACATCAGATGCTGGTCGCAGCTTTGTTGTAGATACGGGTGTCGATGTCGAGATCGGCTTGGAGCGGATCGGTAGCTTGGGTAGTTCAGCATCCTCGTCGTTTGGGTCGTCCAGCTCTTCCTCGTCATCTGAATCGGGCTCGATTTCCATTGCGTAGTCGCCCCAATCGCGGTCGTCTAGTCGAAGCTTTTGGGCTTGGACATCGTGTTGTGTGACTAGTAAAGCGTTGACCCAAGATGTGCTTGCGTCGTAGTTCTTCTCATCTGTCCTGAGCTGATTGAGGAATCTATTGATGACCTTCTCCAAAGACTGCTTCGCTGCTTGCCGCTCGACATGACTCTTGGGCGCCAAAGGCGCATTTGCAGCTCTCTGAAGGCCGATGAGGTAGCAGCCATGATAGTCCTTACTCTTATCGGGCTCTCCTTGCTTGTTCTCTGTGAAGCGTGCGGGCCATAGTCGGACTTCAAGGTTCGGGAAGTTCTTGTGAGTGTCTATCTTTGTAAGTTGCTGTTTGGACGTGTAAGGGAAGTAAGGGTCCGTACCGACAACAAGTGAGAGACAACGCGATTCCACCCAGCCTACCAAGCTCTTTCCTTTCGCAAGTGTGCGGCCCCAGAACTGGATGTCAATGCTTACGTAGCTCTTGTAGGTCTGCAAGAACAGGGTCTCGCCGAAGCCCATACCGGCGAAGCTGTACGCGCCCGATGGTTCAAAAAAGTCTTGCCAGGTCATAGCAGGCTCTGACAGTCGTGCACTGGCGGCCTTGAACTCCTTCGTCAATAGCACAAGCCCGGGTAAAGTCGATTGGTGTGCGATGTTCGAGTTCGGAGAATGAAAACCAAGCACCACCATTGGCTCCCGCGCAGTCCGGTGATAGCGAGGCCTCTGCTTGTGGAAGAAGGCATCGAAGACCATGTCGTCCGCCCAGTTGAAGTTAGCGTAGTGGTGAAAGAATGTCGCTACCAGATCGTTTGCGCCGATGGGATGGGAATCGCGGGTGTTAACGTCGTGTTCAATGCGCTTGTAAACCCAAGACAACATGAGGGTGATGTGTACGCCACCCAGGAATCCAAACTTGGACGAGTAGATGCCACGCTGTGTGGCCCAGAGCTTGATGGCACGATATGCCAGGCCGAAGGTAGCAAGGTCAGGCATGGTATGTTGGATGTATAGCAAGTCACGGTAGGGCTTTAGCTTTCGTAAAGAGAGAACCGAGAGATTGAAGATGGGATCGGATGCTGGCAGGTCCTCAAACTCGGACCATCTGTGAATTGTCAGCATATCATCAGTGACCGCGCAGCAATAGCCTACCTCTCTACAACTCGGGCTGCGGGACAATATTGCAGGTCCATGGGGACACCATTGACCGAAAGCTCGAGCATGGTCCCAGTACTTGCCTTGACCTTCCGGAGTATTCGAATGACTTGACTATCAGCCTTCTGGAGTCTTTGACGCGCAAGCTTGAAGAATGTCTTCGAGCTTATGGAGCCAATGCAGAGGCAGTCGATGTCGGAAGTCGAGGTATCCACATCCAATGCAAAAGAGCCCACTGTGACCATCACGAGTGGGATGTCAGCTGCTGTTGAACTGCTGTTAGTTGAAATCCCAAGCACGATGCCCTTCAGTAGAGCGAAAGCTGCTTGGCGTTTCAAGTTCTGTTCTTCGGTCAGGAACATACGGTGCCTGTGAAGCGTTGACTCCAGCTCTTGAGCAGCTACTTGAGAGGCACGTTGAACCTCCACTTTAAGGCCATTGAGCATCTCACGATGATTCGGAGATAGCTGCTCAGTGGGTCTCGAAAGCTGCAATGAAGCCCTGACTCCATAGTGATCGCTAGGAACTACGCTTGTGCCGTTGACCTCTGCAGGCAGCCCAAACATGCTGAAGGCCGTAACACGAAGTGCTTCTAACGGCCGAACAAGGATGCGGTCATATCGTTGTGATCGATTTTTAGATGTCCCTGAAGTTGCAGCTGCGAGAATGTTGTTCCTTGGGTCGAACGTGGCGCCTTCCTCCCCCTCGAACAATTCGTCGGTATCGAGGCAATGCGTCTCATCAGGCTGCTCGTCTCGAGTGACTGACCAAGCATCCAGAATTCCATTTCCACTTAGTTGATCCTCGATAGCAGCAAGAGTGTTGCCTGTCTGGCTGGTGATTGACTTGCCCTTCAGTGCGTTGGCGATCGTGTGTGCTGAAGTGGCGAGATTGAAGTCGCCAGCAATGACCCACGGATTGTTGCTGTATCGGCGCGTCAGATGGTTCAACAGGTTCTGCACCTGCACCTTCTTTGCAGTGACAGAGCCGTCAGTCAAGCCACATGTTAGATGAATGCCGGCAACGACCAAGGAGCGATCAGTGGTGATAGAGTCAAAAACTGCAACGACAGCACCCTTGTGTCTTCGGTGGAAAGGTACCAGCTCCCATCGAAACGGCCACTTGCTGATCACAACCACGTTTCGTAAGCTGAGCAAAGGCCCAATGTCCGGCTGGCTTGGGGGTCCATGTGAAGTGAAAGGATACCGGCCCTGAACTTCTGCATTATTCAGCAAAAATGAAAGGAAGTCGTCAGATACTTCTTGCAAGACCACAATGTCTGCCTTGGCGGGGTCTGATAGCAAGGTAGTGATAAGTAGCGGGTCGCGGTCTCGCGCTGGTGGATACTCCGAATCTACCAAAACATTGTAACTTGAGACTGTGAGAGAGGTTGATTGGCTGGTGCTGTGCTTTAGGTTCATCATCTTCACCCATTTGCTTGAAGCATGGTCGAAGAAAAAGGTCTTGCCAGGTTGTACGGCGCGGCTGAAAGCTGCCGTTGAACTGGATAGTCCATCCTCATCATCCTCCTGATCCTCATCTACAGCGCTGGTAGGTAAATCGTTAAGCCAATACTCTGGCATTGGGACTGTCGAAACAGTTGGAGGGGAGATGGTGTCGACCAAGCCCCACAAACGCATTCGATTCGCAGAATGCTCTCCTGATGTCCGCTCACGGACCAATATGGCCAAGGAGCCAATCTCGAAATCCAGGGTAGGAAGCAGACGCGCCTTGGAGATGAGGAACTCTAGCGAAGACATCGAATTATCCACAGTCTGGCCGACGGTCAAATGAAACGTGTGTCGAGTGGGTTTGTGACCAAGAGCCTGAAGGGCCAAGGATCGAAGTGTTTCCAAGGATCCATCCGATGAGTCTCGAGACTCTTGTAGAATTGTGGTGCTGTTGTGTCGTTGCCTGAACAGTCCTGCCGATTCGAGCTTGATACGTCTTGTTGCGCTAGAGACCAGGTTCCTTTGAAGCTGGGCCTGAATCTGCTGTTGCGCTTGGGGCAGGCGCTCAGGTACAACGAATGGATAAACGAGGTTGATATGAGCTGGCCACCTTCCGTATGCCTTGTCATAGAGCTCGCGCAAGCTGTCAATGTGCTCGCACTGCTCGACTGGCGGTAATATGCAAAGTGCTGTATCGTGAGAGGTCACCGGAATGGTGAAGGAAGCTGATGTCTCCCGAATGCCCGCCATGACGCTTTTGAGTTAGAAAGGGGTATCTCAACATGCAAAGAAGGAAAAAACTCAATGCGTGAATATAAAGGCCTAACGGGAGGAATCGAGTCCATAATACTTATACATTGCAAATAACTACTGTAGCCTTGCGCATTGTTGTTGCAGACAATGTCTTACCTGATTGGGAGCCACAGTATGAGTCCCCAGCGGGTTTACACCTCGTATGGAGTTTCGTATGGCGGTGCGTACGGTGACGAAAAGTGACTCATTCGCGCTAGCGATGAAGAGGGCAAAAGCTGCTGCGCCACGGTCGCATAGCCGCTGCTTTCAGACCTGCTGTAAACCTCTTCTTCTGAGTCGCATCTCGCGGTGGTAGATCGGTCCTTAGTGCGATAACTACGCAGAAGAAGAGACAGATGTTGATATCCAAGGGCGCTGATGCTGGACGACGCGCACAAAACGCGCTAGCGGAGAACAGTGGGTCTGGTCAGGGCCCACGCGCCTTCCCTAGCATCTAACGCGTCCTCCGTTATCATCGAACCTCTTCACCATGGCTCAACTTCTCGATCTCCCAGTGGAGTTACTGTTCGACATAGTTGAGTTCGTACTGTGTGATCCACGAATCACCATCCCCTCTAGTGCTAAGCGTCAGCCCGAGATTGATGACAAGCCAATCGATAAGTGCATATGCCTCACTGTACCTCTCAATGGCTCCCAGCCTTAGATACTCGACATGGCCTATATTGACGCCTGCTGGATTCTACCAACCTGGCGAAGCATTTCACCGAAAGTTATTGTCGGCAACACAATTCCCCAGACTGGAGATTGATCTGACTCCCGCCTTTACTGAGCACAAGCGCGGTTCACCACATCGTGGCTACAGCCGGGCTGTTGCAATAATCAGGGCTTCTGCTACCTGGTGGAAAAAGCGTGGCTCTTCCCGCTGTGGGATCTCATCAAACGAATCCTGTCATTCGGACCCGATTTCAGAGTCGCTCATGAGCTGAGCCTTCCTGAAAAGGCCTGGGGTATGGTGCACAACAGATTTCCCTACGATCTATGCATCCGTACGCTCATCATCAATGTCCCTGCGACCTTATGCAACGGCAAGACAGCAATACCTCAAGAGACTATACCGGTACGCAACATCGTCGGTCCTAACCCTTTTGAACTGGGCTCCCTGTACCCTATTGATTCGTGGAATACAAACCAGTTCGAGACATGGCAGCCCGAGATGATGGCATTGATCTGGAACGAAATCTCTGAAGACATGGTCCCTTCTGTGGAGCGTATCAGGCTCCACAGACTTCCTCAAAGATATTGTTCTGTTCAGCAGACTTGATATGCGGGACGTCCTTAAGCTAAACTCTTCAAATCGATCGTCTGGAATTGCGAAGCTTAAGTATACATGAATTCTAAATAGGAAGAGATTGGGACTGTGGCAAGAGTAAGGAAACGACTGTTCGGGTACGATCATAGTTATCATTCGTTGAGCCCGATGTGTCCCTGAGGGCGCTGTCGAGCAGATATTATCTCACTCGGATCAGCACGGTTACCACTCTGTGTGCGCGAGGGTTAATCCTTGCCGACCTTCCATGATTGGTCGACAACACAGATAGCACTTGGAGGCAGCACATTATGGGAGAACAACATTACAATTGTAAGGATTGTGTAGCCGGGGCCTCTTTTCACCTCCTAACTCAATTACCGGTTTGTACCCACACGTAAACCCGCGCAACCCTTACCTTCCAAGATTCCATTAACTTATCTCCATATAACCAGTCAACCCAAGCCTGCAAACATGTCTCGCAAGACTACCCCGACTCCCGCCATGTATAACACCGTGGATTCATCTATCATCACCGTTGTAGTCGGTCCTGAGAGCAACCATCGATCCTTCAAGGTACATGAGCCGCTCCTTAAGGCCCGATCTGAGAACTTCGAGAACGCCTTAAAACCTGGCCGATCCATCGAAGGTGACGAGCGTGTGATTCGCTTCCCGCATGAGGATCCTGAGATCTTCTCCTTGTATTCACGTTTGCGTACGAGCCTACCACACTCTCGGGATACAATAAGCGTATCTCGGATGGCGAAGTACCCACTGACTGGACCGCATTCCATGAGTATTTTGACCACAAGGCCACGGCTCTAGCCAAAGTCTTCGTGCTCGCTGAGATGCTGATGGACGACGAGATGATGGATAAAGTATGATACAGCATAGTTGATCTCTACGATAAGATCTCCTTCTTTGATGGAAAGGAGCAGCCTCCTGCGATCCCGGCCGAAGCTCTCCGCGCACTCTTCCAAGGCCTGCCAGACTGTCTAGATGGTGACGACCTCTGCCTAGCAACTGCGTGCCGATACAATATGTACGGCACAGATCATGGCACAGAGCTTTCAGATCATTTGAAACTTCTGCGGGCTAGCGTGGAGTCCATGCCCGTTGAGTTCTTACGCACGCTCATCTTCGATCTGTACGAAGATCGTCCGCCTATGAAAGAATGGGACCATGCTCAAGAGCAGATCAAGAAGAAAGACAAGGAGATCAAGCGACTCGAGACACGCCTAGCTGAGCTTGAGAATTGTGGCTGTATATGCTTATTCGCATGGCTCGCCACTGTTCACTGCAATTGCACTGCCAGGCTGGATTATCTATGATTCCTATGACGATCCTGACGCCCTGTTGCAGAAGGCCACTGTAGTAGATTACCTCCTGTCTTTTTGTATTTGTTTGTGTTTTAACGATATCTTTGGATCACATGTTTCACCAATGGGATTAACAACCAACGGTTCTTCTGAGAATCTCTACCAGGACTCGGGGTTCTGAATAGGGATCTCATTTATCATATGTAGTGTTTGAACGACTATCGATATAGACCAATCTTTCGTGAGCGCCATTGTACGCCGAAAAATGCATGTGATCAAGCCTTGACACCTTACCAGAAGCAAAAAGTCTTGACTCAAAAGCCCCCTACTGTCGCCACAGCAAGCTCCTCTCATCCTTCGCATTGACCCAGACATATTCAGTACACCTCGGGTTACTCTTCCCCTTGCCCAGCGTAACAGCAAAGAGATTAATCTCAATCCACGCAGGCCTCATACCCATCCTCTCCAGCCTCTCCCACCACTTCTTGAACCTCTCAAAGTTGACCTTGTCAGTGATGTCTCCATTACCAAGATGCAGCTCAATCATAACCTGCCCAATAGGCAACACGCTCTTCCCACTCGCACTCTGAACGCCATCGAAAGCATCCATGAACGTGTCGAGCGCATCATACTCGCTGCCCTCGATGTCTACCTTTAGGATGTCGATGTATGTGTGATTGTTCTCTTTCATCAGCGCTGGAAGCGTCCAGAACGCCGGACTCTCTTCATGCTTATCCTCCTTACCCAGCCCGACCTTCTTGAAGGAAGTGCGGTGTCGTTCAGTCATTGGGATCTGATTTCCCCATCCCTCAACCGAGAAATCGTAGCCCCAGATGCGTGCACTAGGTACACGTTCGAGCATCTCAGCTTCAAACGACGACTCGCCGTTGATACCGAAGCTGTAGATCGCGAGACCCTGTTCGGCGGCCTGGATGGCTGCTTCACGCACTTCGACGGCTTCGGCGCTGATGGGCTTCGGTGTTGGTATGCTTTCGTAGATGCTCATGCCGCAGACCCATTTTCCGCCGTCGCCAAGACGACCAACACGCTGGAAGTCGTGCGGACAGGTCCAGGTTGCAGGGAAGAAGTCCCAGATTGTGAAAGGGTACTTCAGGAAATCTGTTGGGAAGAAGGGGATTTTGGGATTGTCGGGGTGTGATGTGGCCATCTTCTCGCGCAGCTCGACGCTCTTCTTCCAGGACTTTTCTGAAAGGGCCATGCGGTCGCGGAGCCATGTTGGCGGGTACGAGGGGAGTTTTGATGTTTGTGATAAGGAGGGGAGAAAGGTGTATGTTCCGGCATCGTCGTTTTGAAAGAGTGCTACAACGAAGAGGAAGATGATTATTATGGCGGCAATTCGGCCTGGTTGTACGGTTAGCTTGATGACCCCAGAAGACGATACAGGAGTTGAGTTACCTATCGATGACCGACTCATCATGACGATATGATATAAGAAAGACTGTAAAGCAAAAGTATGGATGCAAGGGGTATCAAGGCAGTGTGTGAATGTGTAAACTCAGGTGTTGAACGAGTCCACAGATGGGAGTTGAGGGATGAATGTCACAGCAATGAAAGCACAGCGACCTCAGTCATGTCATTACAGTCTCGGTCTCGGGCAAACACCACATACTGCCAAGTGCAGCAGACAGCGGGATACATCTGCGAGTCCGCTATCTGCGACTTGCAAGGTATCGCCAAGGCGCTTTGACACGCCGCACCGTTGGCAGACAGTACGATGCGGTATTATGATCGACCCCACCGATGAGACTGGTGCGATGAATGCCGAGCGTTTATGCCCTCCAGTCTCCGTATGGAAAGGAATGTTGGTGTTGGTCCCAGTCGGTGGTCATGCTCGGTTTCCGAACAGCGGGGAACGGTGGGCCGTTGGACCCCACAGCCGCGTTTCATCCAACGGGTTGGCAGGGTATTATGTGGCTCGCGAAACGCTTCTGGAAAGCGCTGCGGCTATTTTGACGTCACAGATAGATGCGCAGTGGTGAGGTGTGGAGGTTGAACATGATTATTCGATAGTCTATTTCCGGCAGTTCACAGTGAGGCTGATCACCACACCTTAAGCAAGGATCTTATGCACAACAAGCGCAGCTACCAACAACAAACCACTGCATGTTGTAAACACTGCATCACGGTGTGATTCGCCTGGCGAAGTTAGCCATATTAAATGTCAGTGTCAAAGAAACTGCTTACCTTCTTTTGTGGTGCTTAAGGCAAGCACTACGAAAGCGTTCAGTGGGATGCGCAGTACTGTATATACGCTCGCTCGTGAGCTGTCATCTATGAGTTTGCCCTTGATCGATGCCATGACTGGGTAGTAAACACCGCAGCAAAGTTCAAACATGCAGAAACACCACAATGTGATGCACTCGTCGCGGAAGTGGCCCGGAATGAAGAAGCATACAGACGCAACCGCTAAGGTGCCCATAAGAACCCTCTTTGCTGGAAAGGTCGAAGATGTCGTGATATTGTTATACAGCAGAGAACCGAGCATCATGGAGCACATGAGGATCGCAAAGATCAGGCCGAAAGGAAGATCTGTCTGAGAGTTAATCTCGGCCTGCGTGAATGGGACAGAATGAGGGCGTACGATCTTTCGAGCCTGCAAGCTCGTGCGACAGCTTCAACGCTGGGAATTTAAAAAAGATAAACAAGAACAGTGAGCCTTCGAAGAAGCACGATACTAAGGCGAGTACAAGTATGTTTGTATCTGTTGAACGTCAGTATAACCCGCTTAAACCTCGTGCGCGCATGTAGTTACCTCTTAGGATATATCTGAGAGTCGATTTTGTTGTGTTCACAGTCGGCTCTGCCTCTTCTTGCTGAAGCAGCGCTGCATTTTCGGATACATCACGGTGGCTCGCGCCATAGTTCTCACCCTACGAACGTGAGCTTTTTTGCAGGTCGCGAATGGAGCATTCGGCTTACCCAAAACTTTGAGATCGCAACAGAGGCTACTGAAAGACATCCAAAAGAGGCAAGGAATGGCGCTTTGGCAGTACCTGATACGCCTACCAGCCACTCGGCCAGTACACCAGCGCAGATAGCGACAAGGCTATTGAGAATGGTCATTGCGCTGAAGATGCCATCGAGTACTGAGCTTGTGTCCTCCAACATCAACTGATTGAATTCCGCAACCAGCCAGCTCTCAAATACACTCCAAAGAAGAGTTCCACAGACTCCTCCGAGTACGCGGCCGAGGAATAGGACTCGAATGTCTTCAGCAAGTAGAGTGAAGCTGGAGAACGAATACAGCACGCAGTATGCCAGACATACTGTTCGGCGACCGTAGCGATCCGCGAAAGTTCCTGCGAATGAGGCAGATATGCCTGCTGAGACGAACCCAATGAGGAAGAGGAACGCGACTGTCTCTTCTGGAAGACCCTTTTCATCTGCAGCTCGTCAATCACCTTTCAAAATGACAAATGTTGTCAAACACACCTTTGTAGATCGGGTAGATATAGGGCCCTTGGAGCCAGTCGGCAGCATTGACGAGCAAATATATAGGAAAGAAGCGTAACTTCAACTTGCGCAAGCTATCTCTGTCGAACTCTACGCGACCTCGATGTTCGACCTTCTCTGGGTTATGGCTATCCACGCTTTCTGTTTGGCGCGATCGATATGTCTGCAAAAGTACTAAGCTGTTTAACAGCAGCGAACCTGCGAATGTTGCTCCATATAGATTCATATTGTGCGTATAGTCGAATAACAAAATAGGTCCCAGACTATATGCAAAATGCTGCGTATAAGGCGATAACGATGGCGTTATGAAGGAGGTTGTTTGGTTGCTCGAGAGATGATCGATGCCAAAGTGTTGATATGAGGTCGATGCTCGATAGGAACGGAGTCAATGGACTCCACAGTGCGTCGGAGCTCGAGGCAGGAGCAGATACGGTCTCGAATGTGAATGATGATATGCGCTGCTCAGCCGTTCGGTTATACCGGCAGACGAACAGTGTGAGCTTGTAATAGACTCGGGAATGACAATGCACGCTCGCCTCACAGCTGATACGGAGACCGCCCAGCATCATGTCACTAACGATGATAGCTTGGCTGCTTGCGTGTAATCAGGGACGGCACTTGCTGTGTTTCTGAAATGTGGAGCACATCGCTGGCGATGGAGTCGGCTTTACTCTCCGCAACCGCAGCCGAGCGCTGATCGCTTGGAACTGCCCGGTCAAACGCCATGTTGGCCTGGTGCATCAATTCTCGCACGCACGGAAGATCTTACGACGTATGAAATACGAGAGGCTGTGCGAAACTTTGCTGGCTCTTGGACGAGAGGAGAGCTGCATGTTGTTTGTGCTGGACGCCTCAGCGGCCTATTGACCGGTAGCTGGGTGCGCTCTCCGCGACTTTGTGGTACTCCTACGGCGCGGTCATCGATGCCGTCCACTGACTGAGACTTTGCGTAAAGATCATGAATGGCAAAAGTTGTCATACTTCAGTGTTGTTGATGTCGTCTTGGTCTGCTGCTGCTTGTGTGATGTGAGCGTTGCAGTACCGTGAGCGTGTCGATTTCGCGTTGTTAGTGATGACGTAATGTCAATCACTCCTTCCCCTTTCAGCTGCATCGCTCGTCCACCTCGCAAGCCGGAATGTCTACCGGAAGCTTGACACCTCAGATGTCGTGGTCGGTCTTGTCAATTTGATCAGTTTCTATGATTTTGAAGTTGGCTTGCATAGGACCAATTCCAATCCTGCAAGCCTCATATGACAGCTAATTTCTGTGAAGAATCACCAGCTAAGATACTCGCGAGCCTTTCAGCTTTCGCGAAGTTCGAGATCCACCATCTCGTCTTAAGCAAAACGGATCGCAAAGCACGATGTCGTATCGTTCAGTAACTCGACGCAGTCCCCTATGGTCATTCAGAGCCGCGCCAATGTCTCATATACGAGGCAGCTTCCGCCTTTCCTAACTCGAAGACTTCTCCTTTCAGAAAGCCATGCCGACCCCCGAGCATTATATCCGAGATGGCCAAACTCACCGCAGTTCAGGCCTTGTTCTAGTGTTCCTCGGTGATGTAGCCTGCGTTGAGCAAGTGCACCAAGAAGCGGAGACCATACGTGATTCCCAAGTCCTCTATCCTGCTGTGGAACTCGCTGATTTTCGACTGTCCGGTCGAAGTGCTGGGTCCTGTCCTACAAGGAAGTTGCCCATGACAGGTGGCACAGCAAGTTGATGACGTAAGGTCAGTCGAGCGAACCTTCCCTTGTCAGGTTCATTGTTCTTACACCTCACAACATTTAGCAACTCATCACACACCTCACGCCTGAGCGAATATTCGCAATTTTGACACCAGGGCCGCGGTCTTATGGTGGATGTCCAATCTTGGACCCACATATTCTGGCGGCACCTGCACACATTGACACGTTGAGGCTGAGCGATGTCATTCGATCTTACTGCTTGCGAGGAAGGTACAAGGCAGTCAGAAACTATCCTCTTCGCAAGAGCGCCAGACCATTCAACAATGTCTTCGCCCTCCAGGCCTTTCTGGAAAGTACGTAGGTTGGCTGAGATTCATCAACTGACGTCGGTCAGTTGCAATTACTGGGACATAGGTTTGGAGAATGTGCTTGCCGCAAGCCTCGCCTGCCGTCGTCTCCATCAAGAACCACTGCCGCATCTCTTCGAGAAGGTCTGTCGCTTCAACGGTGCCACCCGCCAGATATACTCAAAGATCGCACCCCTTTGTGTGACGACCATTGCTTAAGCAGGTCAGATTCATTTCAGGTGTACGAGTTGCTTACAAGCACTCGGATATAGATACTGGGTGCGAGAATCCCTATCTTTGGCGATGGAGTAGCATTATCTGGGTAAAGGAATGTCCATTGTTAGTCGACGTTCTCAATGGCTACTTAAGCTCACAATGTCTATCCAATTGACTTCACGAATGGTCAGATTCCACTTCGCCCCTCGGATACATCCCTCAGGACACACTGCCGGTATAGAAAGAGTAGACAATGTGCTGGACAATGCCAGCTGTACTTCGTGCCAGCTATGCTTTCGAATAATAGGATTGTAACTCAACTCCAGCACATGGCCCGGAACTCCTACTTTATCACTTTTCGACGAAGACATTGAAGCAATGATCTCAGTCCGTGAAGAGACCCGTGCACATTGAGCGGCGTTCACGATCAAGTTGCTTATCTGAAAGTTTAGGTGGCTTCGAATTCGTGGGGCGAACATACTTCTCCACGCCTGTGGTGGCCGCCGATATGATCGATTCCCTGGTTTGGTCGCTGCCATATATCCATTTCTCGCGCGCAAAGAGGGCGAAAGCCATCAGTAACGTCGCTTTTGGGTTCTCGTTCTGGCTTTTCAAGAGTGGCGCGAACACTCCGAGTGAAGCATGGGTTCCAAAGTAGCGAAGGTCGCATGCGTTGGAGATCTTTCTTTGTCAGTGCCAGCTAGAAACGGGGTTCTGTTTACAAACCTCGATATGATCAAATCGCCTAGAACCAACATAGTCTGCAATATTCCTCGCGTCTTCGCAAAACAGCTCAAAAGAGAACCTAGCACTCTCTACGCATGTACAGAACTTCAGGAGCAGGTCGTGCACAAGCGAAAATATAGCACCGAATGTGTCAGCCTTGGCGACGAGATGGTGCTTGCTGTAGTCTGCATGAGACCAGCCTTCCAGCGGGCTTGCATCATCCGGCATGGGCCAACTGTCACCGTGAAAGAGTGTTCTAATCTTGTCAGTCGCTGATACAACGTTTCTGTGTGACAACTCACGGGTTCGGTGTGTCGAAAGCAGCGATAGAGCATCCGTATGGTAGCAAAAACCCGGACCTGCGAAACTTCACATTAACCTGTCGAAGAGCAGAAGAGAACACAGCGTTTAAAAATCGCGATAATCGACCCTAGAAGGAGCGAAGGTAATACTGCAACGGGCGGTCTGAGCCTCCTCAGCAGAGAGACCTTCTGGGACGCGGAGGTAAGTCACAAGGCGCGTTCACTCCCCCTTCTTCAACACAAGGCGCAGTTTTCGACCACGAATGGTAAAATCGTTCGCTTGCAGTGAATCTCGAGCTTTGTCCTTAGTCTTGTCACATACATCTTCGATCATAGGAAGAATGTCAGACCGCAGAGACTGCACCATCGCAGACGCCACCAATGCGGAGTACCAGATGTGTATGATCATCGGCACTACTGTGTCTACTTCGTAATAGAGTGTGACAAGTAGCATGGTTGTGTTCCTAGCAACGACATCGAAGTCTATATTATTGATGATGACATCGCGCTTGCCCTTGTAGTCTGCTGGAAGACTGGCAATGGTCTTCATAACGTTTCGAGGATCTCCAGATGCGGCAAAGAGAAGCGCAAAGTCATGCTTGGTATCAGCACTACCTTCGTTGTTCTTGAGGTTGAGGATGCCGAGCGTAGGCATGTTGCCCCAGAGGTGCTTCACGGTACCGAACCGGATCTGAGGCTTTGTGTTACTCTGAAAATTGCTCTGTAGGGCTGACATTTAGTTATCGTAGTGCCATTTAGAGGTCCATGAAGCCTTCATGAGCGCGGACTTGCAGGTCGTCTTGTAACGGGGTCCAGTCTGCCTTTTGGCATTCCGTACACTGTACGGTTTCACCGTCGGTGTTGTGTTGGTTGGCACAGAGTGGTAGCCTGAGGTAGGCAGACGCCTCAACAATGGCGGGCGCCGTGGTGTCGAGTCGAGAAGGTACCGTTGAAGCGCAGAAGGCGTGGAGGAGAACGACCGACGCCAAGAAGCAAGCGAGCTGAGGTGAAGTGAAAGAGAGCTCAGCAGACAGTGAACAGAACAAGCTGGAAGCAGGTAGAAAAGTGCTAGCTATCGTGTCGAAACGTCGGAGTCAACGCTCTAACTGTCGGAGGTACTGGAATATGCATGATATCGAAGAACGGAGCGGAGCAGTTTCACTGAGGAAGCAGCTACGAGGAAAACAAAAATAGAAGAAGCAACTAGCGGGAAAGCTCACGGAAGCAGCCATGGAGAATGTGATTACAGGCAACATGACAAAAACGAATACGTTAGTTGGCCTTTTTGTAGATAAATCGAGCTGCTTATTTTTGCCACCGCGTGCATAATAACTCTTTCTCTGGTTCCTGAGCCTTGAGCCAAGTTGGCTCTGATTCGCCCGTTCATATCCTAGAGCTCCTCGTAGATCTTACCTGTGCAGTTATCGGAATAAGAACCTTTGAATGAATCTGTCACGCTCCTGTCCTCCGTTGGATTTCGAAACATTTGCGTGCTGATGTTGAAGAACATTTCAACATCGAGGTGTGACATATTAGCGTGCCGGTGGTCTCCACCATGCAAATTTTTATTGACTTAATCCTTAACCACAAACCCAATCTATACCGAAACAATCTTGGATCCTCCAACGATACTGTCGAGGCTTTCCTAATTTACACAATTATCTGCAATATAATTTTTATAATTCGATGTTTTATTAGCGATCACATCTCTTCCCAACTCAAAGTTGGACATCTTCGATAGTATAGTGGTCAGTATTTCTGCTTGTCATCTTAAGGACAGCTCGCAGGAGGCCGGGGTTCGATTCCCCGTCGGAGAGATACGATCTTTTTGCCGTTCTTTTTGCCGTTCTTTTGCTCTGGCTAGGTCGCGCAAAGAGTTGTGGTAGGTGGGTGTGGACGCTTCGATGTTGCACTTGGTCCCTGGCTGTGTTAGGATTCGTGTTTCTACTCCTGTCTTGATAAATCACTGATGGAGACTACAGTTGTTGTTCTTTTCTTTTGTTGCGCGGATGGAGGCGGGTGGTTGTAGGGTGCTGATAGTAGTGCTGATGTTTGGGTCATGTTTGTGCTCGTGAGCTGGCACCTCGGCTCTTGCAGCGCTGCTCGCGAGGTTGCGATTTTGCGCAGAGCGTACTGAAAGGGTCAATGTGAAGCCGCGTCAAACCGTCATGACGAACGACTGGATTCGATGCACTCTTCCGGTTGTTTTGAGTTGGTGCATGTGACTACTTGAATTCATTCAACGCCAACGCTGTTTATACAGACACCAGTAGCAAATGCTACAGACCGCTAACAAATGCTATTTCAAAATGTGTCGCCGTCCTCCAGATAGCGTATGATCTCTTGTAGTACATGTTCGTTCCGTGGTGTAATGCCCTCAGCCTACGTGCTTTCGCAGTCTGGCGCCCGTCCATAGAACTGGTGCGAAGTGTTTCGCCATGTTGAACCCAAAAAGTGATACGAACCACAGTATTGTTGCTACCGCGACTGGGACAAGCAGGAGCTCGGTATGGTGTAGGAACGGTAGCGCGTTGTAGCCGAGAAAGGTGATGATGAAGTAGTAAGTGAGCGCGATGACGTAGAGTGTGTTTCCGAGGAGTAGCGAGACCCTGGAGGTAAAACATTAGCTTTGCTCCTTCTATCCAATGTTCAGAAGGTACTTACCAGTGGTTCGTTCCCACAAGCGGCATGCACAAGAACTGCACGACATAGAGAAAGACCCAAACCGGTACGAATGCACGTATCGACACGTCCCAGCAATATCCAAACTCCAGCTCCTCCTTGCTTTCGGTGTCGCCCAGGTTGTACAGCCCTCGTCTCCGCCCTGGCAGCAGCGAGTTACCTGGCCCCAATAACCGGCCGACCAGGAAGTAGAACAATGTTGCTGTAACGAGGGACAGCAGGAGGAAGTGTACGAAGACGAAGACGAGCGTGATGTGAAGTGTTTGTGTGAAGCCGTTAGCGTATGCGAAACCCCAGGCGAGGGAGGTTAATGTGAGGAAGAAGGAGAGAAGGTAAGTGAACGACGGGTCGGGGCGATGGTAGGTTTTTGTTGTTTGTTTCTGTATGATATCAGCTTCCAGTGGGCTCTGAGTATGACATATTGGCCATACATGGTAGTATATTTGCCTGAAGACCTTCTTCGGCGCTATTATCAGGCTCATGATCTCCCATATGGCCATCTCGAAGTCCATCTGCGGAAACTTGAATAGGCGCTTGAAGAAGCGCGGCATACGGATTTCATTCCGCCGTGTTGATGGTGTTGAGCCAAAGTTTGAGGGCCTACCATTTGGCCGTGGAAGTTGTATCTGAGGGTTCATTGTGTATGCGCCTGTCGAGTGTCCGATATGCGCCAGGTAACTGTAAGAGAGATATGGCCGTTCAATCAAGCTTGGTAGTCGTTGATATCGTGTCTCGCCAGCTTCAGTACTATCCAGGAAGTATGCTCCAGCTACCAGAGGTATCGAGTTCCAAGTGATAGCGCAATGTTGTTCTGTGCCTGACGATGACATCGCCAGCCAGCACCAGCCACATGTGCCAAGAACGGCGCTGCAGCCGAGCGCCGAACGTGCAGCAATCTCCAGGGCTTTGCTCCTTGTCTCCTCCGCACGAACACCTCCGGAGCACTGCGCAACCTCAACGTCACCTTTGCGCATCTCGAACGCAACCTCCACGGCCTCATAGACACCGACCCATAGCTACGACGTCGTCTGCACCTTCCGTGTGTGCGCGCGACTCGGCCGCTCCTTCCTGACGATACCCACGCGACAAAGAGCTCATTGTCTGCGAAACAGCTCCTTTCGCGCAACCCACATCTTAGCATTACTCGTCGCTATCAGCGATCGACTCTAATAATACATAACAGTTCTTCCAGATTTCCTTTCCACCACAGCCATGGCCGATGACGCAGAGCTCGCCTTCCTCAGGTCGCAAGAGCAGGAGTACGATCCGTCTGCGGCTTGGCCTCCAGCTGACGACCAGGCGCCCGCCGGCGACGCAGCCGAAGAGGAATATGACCCTGCCAGCAACATGGACACCGCACAAGAGCCCGTTCAGTCTGAGCAGTCGGCATCGATGCCAGAGTCCGCAGCAAATTCACCTCCCTCGGCTGACAACCAGGGTGAGAACGGCTTGAAACCCGTTTCTGCGGACACATCTGCTGCGCCCACGCCAGCGAAGCAGCCGCGCACCATTGGTGGGTTTGTCGACGAGAGCGAGGATGAGGAAGAGGAGCCTGTTGCGGCGCCAAAGATGGCAGCCCCTGCGATACTGCGCGCCTCTGAGGCTGCAGAGACTCCGCAGCGTTCAGTTACAAACACTCCAAACAATACACTTCCCACACCAGATGTACAGTTACATAGTGCACAAGATCAGGGTGCTTCATCCGTCTCTGCTTCTGTCGCTGTCAATGAGCCTGCTCCCTTTATTGCTTCTGTTCCAGTCAATGGCGCAATGCCTGTTCCAGACGCTACTAAGCCAGCAGATCTTCTGACTATCGATCCTGCTCGCCAGGCGACCGCTTCTGTCACGCCTGCTCCTCCTTCTGCTTCTCTACCTAAGGCTCGTCTGCCTCAGGATCGCATTGGCATTCTCAACGACCGCATCCAAGAAGATCCACGTGGTGACATCGAGGCATGGCTGAGTCTAATCGAGGAACAACGCAAGCGACACAAGCACGATGAGGCACGCGATGTCTTCAACCGTTTCTTAGACCAGTTCCCGACAGCGGTACGCGTTAACGAACTTGAGGTGTGTGCACTCAGCTGATGAGCTTAGGGCGAAATATGGGTTGAGTACATCAACTTCGAGACAGAGCTCGACGAACTCCCAAGGGTGGAGCAGCTGTTTGGCAAAGCAGTACCGAATGGTGCCTATGTTCCCGTGTTCTCATGTTACATCGACTTCGTTCGTCGCCGATTCAACCTCACAAACGATACCGGCGGCAAAAGTCGAGAGACCATCGTAATGGCATACGAGTTCGCGCTGGATCAAGTGGGCATCGACATTGACGCTGGCAAGCTTTGGATCGACTATATTGAATTGCAGAAGACAGCTCCTGGCATACTAGGCGGCACAAACTGGCAGGATATGCAAAAGATGGACACCTTGCGCAAGCTGTATCAGCGGGCAGTATCGATCCCAACTGGTGCGACTCTGGAGATCTGGCGTGACTACGATCGATTCGAAATGGGTCTCAACAAGGTCACGGTAAGAGACCCAACCTATCATGTGAAATCGTCGAGAAACTAACATGAATGCAGGGCCGCAAAAACCTCCAAGAGAAGTCTCCATCCTACATGACCGCACGAAGCGCTATCAACGTCCTAGACAACAACATCACACGGGGCATCAACAAGACAACATTGCCGAGGCTACCACCAGCACCAGGATTCGACGGCTACGACGAGTATATGAACCAAGTCAAGCTATGGAAGCAGTGGATACAGTGGGAGAAGAGCGATCCGCTCGAATGCGCACTCGATGACCGTGCCCTATACAACAAGCGAGTGCTACACATCTACAAGAGTGCGCTGAGGTCACTTCGCTTCTGGCCGGAGCTCTGGTACGAAGCAGCGGAATGGTGCTACGAGAACGGCCTGCAAACAGATGGCGACAAGTTTCTGGACGATGGCATTAAGGCCAACCCCGAGAGCTGTCTCTTGGCCTTCAGAAAAGGAAACCAGATCGAGCTCAGCACTGATTTCGAAGAGGGACAGGCAGGTATCATTTCCAAAGGCGCTGCCGTCAAGAAGCCCTACAGTGATCTGCTAGACACTCTCTACGATCTCACTGCAAAGACGAAGAAGCGCGAGGAGCATTCGATCGCTCGTGCCAAAGAAGTATTTGATGCTCAGAAAGCTGCGGACGATGCGGCGCGGGCCATTGCACAGAACAGCGCCGAGGATGCTGATGAGGACGACGAAGCCGAAGGGACAAGGCGGGCTCAAGAGAAGGACGCTGCTTTCAATGCGCAAGTGCACGCCATCTCAGCAGGATACAATGCGCAGACCCTCACACTCAAGAAGACGGTGACTTTCGCTTGGATCACCTTGATGCAAGCGATTAGGCGCGTTCAAGGCAAAGGTGGAAACAACTCTGAGGTCCCCGGCTTCCGTGGTATCTTCACGGAAGCTCGTAGGAAGGGTAAACTGCTCAGTGAAGCATACGTTGCCAGCGCGCAAATTGAGCACCACTGTTACCAGGACCCAGCTGCCGGAAAGATTTTCGAGCTTGGTATGAAGCTTTTCCCTGAGGATGAGCAGTTTGCATTGGAGTACATCAAGCACCTCATCAAGCTCAATGACTCTACCAGTAAGTACTGTTGCACCATCGGTTACGACACTAGACTAACACTTTCAGATGCGCGAGCCGTGTTCGAGACTATTGTGGGCAAGCTGACAGCAAAGCCTGAGAACATTCCCAGGACCAAGCCTTTGTTCCTTTTCTTCCATGAGTACGAGGCGCACTTTGGTGAGCTAGCTCAGATCACAAAGATGGAGCAGCGCATGGCTACGCTCTTCCCCGAAGACCCTCAGCTGCAACGCTTCTCGCGGCGATTCGCAAGCCCAACGTTCGACCCTACAACTATTCGCCCGATCATCTCGCCCAGAACACAGATGAAGCCGGTGATGCCAGTAATGCCGAGCATCATGCCTTCCGTTGAGGAGGCAATGCCTAACGCACCGCCGCAAGTTCAAGCACAGGAGCAGCGCATCGCGTCACCCGCACCCAACGTCCTCAATTCTCCACACCTCGCGAACTTGCCAGTCGTTACCAACTCGCCGAAACGTCCTCTCGAAGACGGTGATGAGAGTGCACAACCTCGCAAGCTCGCCCGCGGCGAATCACCCCTCAAGGGCGCTGCAGGTCGCCGCCTCGACGCTGCACGTCGCAACATGGCCGCCAGCGGCAGCACACCTGTTGGCCTACTTCAAGGCCCAGCTCCTTTGCCACGCGAGATCAACTTCCTCCTTGGCATCATTCCCGCCGCGCACACATACCGCGAGACACGCTTCAAACCAGAAGGCATGGTCAACATGCTGCGCAACATCGCCGCCATTCCAATTCCCACACCCCCCGGACACGCCCAGGCGCCGGCGCCGCAACGCTGGGGTACTACAGTTACAACGGCGCAGCAATTACAGAGTATCCAGGAGAAGTACGGAAACCCGGGCGCGCAGGCGCCTCACAGTGGGCACGTTTGGTCGCAGTAGAGTGGCGCGATAGGCCCACCTCTTCCAGATCGTGGTGCTCTACTGGCCGAGCTAGCAGAATTCGCACCCCTGGCCAGCCTACATTCAGCACCGACAGCACAGCTACCACGGTGGGCACAGCAAGCATGTCAAGCTGCGCCGAACCGGTTAGAAGCGATTGTACAGTCAATACTATGACGAGCACAGCGAATACAGCAAGCCCCGCCAGTAGAGACTGGCATCACTGGGTTCAAATACTTCATGAATAACCCTAAGCTTGGACCGGTTCAGTCGCGATGCACCCTTTGTTCGAGCATCGGACGATCACTTTGCGCACTTTTGGCATCCTGGAAAGCAGCAAGAAGGAGGTTTCGATATTGTGAATATGGCGTTCGTGCGCTCCACTCTTCGGGAAGCGTGGGACTGGCGACAACAACCCTGCCAAAGCAAAACACATTATGAATGGTTGCATCGCATTTTTGGCTGAGTATTGGGTGGATTTGGAAAGGGTCATTGCTTTTGCAGGTCTCAATGTGGCGTTGGTTTACCACTGAGAATGGGGATAGGCATTCCTCGATTGAATGGAATCGTATTTCAAACTCTATGGATCTTGACTTGTGACGCGTGCTATGTAAATTTGTGAATTGCACGCCTTGTTCCTACGATGCACCTTGTTGAACGCTGGTGCATACTATCCCAAGCTCAGCTTACTACACGCGAAGAACTTCGAGAGCAGGCAGAGTATGCACGACCTCAGACAATCTATGTATATGCTCTTATGCTCCCTGACTGACCTGCCATGCACATTCAATCGCGTATCGCGGAGCCAGTACATCGACGCGTTGCCTGTGATGATGTTCATTGGTCGATGGCGCGTGCTGCAAGCGAGGTTTGATTCAACGTCGCGCCACCCGTCTGGACATGCGCCTTGCGAAACATCCTCACATCACAGCCTGAGGACGAAATCAAGCATTTCTGAATCCGTTGCATATTGAGAGTTTCCCGGATATGCGTTTCAGAGGCAGCCGGTGAAGTGTTCGTCGTGCTACGCGACATGGAGCTCTGCAGAGGCGGAGGAGGATGGACTGCGGCAAGAGTGAACTGAATATTAGATTGTAAGGCCGTGTCCCCACAAGAGATTTGCCATGCATCTGTTGGAGCAGTATGCCCGCGTAGAGTGAGAAGCAGCGCGTTCCGCTGCCCCGTCCCTAGCAATCGAGGAGGACTTTTCAGCGGCGCTATATGGCTGCAAGGGCGGGAAGGCATGCAAGAGCTAGAATTATCGGTATTGGAATATTCATGACGATGGCCCGAATCGCTCACCTATCCCCCGAGTGCTCGTATATGCTCTCATGAGCTTGGACGTGGCAGGTTGAAAGGCCGGAGAACCCTTCATCATAGAGATCGATATGTGGTATGTACCGCTTGTAGCTCATTGCTCAATGCGTGCCAGCGAATCTGGTGCTGGTCGTCTTGGTCGTGCGCAGCGACACCCTTTGGGAGCTTGCGGGATCATGAAGTCGGACCCCATTGCTATAAACCTGGACCATTCTTTATAGGCTGTTGCAGCGCTTCGGTATCTGCTTTTGAGTTTGGTATTCGCCCTGGGCCTCCAGCCGTGCCTGATTCTCACCCAGGTCATCTCAACTCCAAACCGCCGCCCAAACTCGCCGCCAACTCTACGCTTTACTCTCTTACTAGGGCGGATTTGGCCTTCAGGGAGGCTTCTCTCACCGGCTCCGCGCCTCTCGAAAGCCTCACTAGTCACCTAGCGCGCACCACTGTTGGACCTGGGGGAATATAAGCAAACCATACGAGACCGTCAACTTGCTTCCTCCACCTCGCAACAACTCTCAATTTTCAGTCAGTTACTCGACTGGGAAACAAATGACCACGCCATCAACCCTCCACCACACCAATACGACACCAGCTCTGCATTTTGACGATATTACGAGCAGGATCGACAAGCACACTACTGCAAGCAGTACAGTCCACACCTCTGCAGGCCAGACCTCCGCTCTCAAGACTTTGAGGTATGTATCTTCCACTCACAGCTCCCTCGCATATTCCTGAGCCCGCACCCATTGGCTGCTCGCTAGGTTAACCACCAAAACTTGTGCCCGCTCTGCGACCGCTTCTTTTGGAGGTGAACCTCGGCGTCAATATGGCGCCTATGCGCTCTTGCCCTTCTCGTTTTGACGTCACATGCCCCACCCACACTATATCTTTTGAGCTCGCTCTCCATCACCTTCACTCCACCTTCTCTCCACCTTCTCTCCGCCTTCTCTCCGCCTTCTCTCCGCCTTCTCTCCGCCTTCTCTCCGCCTTCTCTCCACTTCTCTCCACTTCTCTCCGCTTCTCTCCACTACTTTCTTACTACATCAACACTGTGACGCTCCCTTTTGGCACGACTCACATACCTCACCTCGCTGTCGTTCTCGATTGCTCTCTTGCATTTGAGCATATAGGTGTTCAGCTCTCTTTTTCGAGCATCCTTACTGAACACACCCAGGCCAATCTGCGATCTGCCCGCAAACGCATACGACGCCCTCTTCTCAACCCAAGCATTTGAGATCAAGGTACATCACCTGTTGCAGCTTCGGATAGTCGCGCGTCGTGGTTATAGCGGCTACCCGCAGTGCGGAGGCAGTCAAACGGTTTCCGACATGCGCCTTGTGACACCACATCCAATCTTACACACCGCTAACATGTCGCAGAGTTCGCAATGGCCGGCCCAGCGAAGCAGCGCGCGCAGAAGGAGAAGCAGCAGCAGCAGCAGCAGGCTGCTCGCTCTTCTGGCAACTCCTCGGCATCGCGCGACCCAACGCAGCGTTCGATCAACAAGTATGACGGCAACAAGGACCCCCATGGTCACGGCGCTGGCGTCCTCAACTACACAAAGCCCAATGATCTGAAGAACTTGTCCGAGTTCCTCGGCATGTCCGGCTGGTACACAGCTCGCGGAGTAAGTGCAAACGCCCCTGTCTCAGCCCGTATATGCATGCATGCAAGCAAACGATTGCCATGCATCCACACTATGCAAACGTCGAGCTTTCGAACGCCGACCTCGCAAGGTGCTGGATGCATAGCATAGATACGCCTCCTCCTCCCTTTTCCACTTCCGCATTTTGCACACACATCCACTCATTGTTTTCGAAACATTCCATATCTTCATTCGTTCTTACCCCTTCCACATTGTCGTTGTATATTTACCTGTATTTTTGGCATTCCCTCTCTTTCATCATGTCTTCCAGGGTTATCCCCATGTACCAGGACATATACTCCTACCGCCCTCGCCATGCGAACATGGAGTTTAACTCACACGATCCCCAGCTCTCTATCCCTGCTGCGCTTCCTCAGCGACCGAAGAACTTCAACTCTTATGGCAAGGAGACCACGATCACCCTGAATACCTTCAACGTCATCAAGGCGCCCAACACCATTGTCCACCAGTACGACGTCGCCTACTCTGGAGATTCCAAAGATTACACGAAGCGCAAGCTCCTCCAGAAGATCTGGGGTTCCAAGGCCGTCAAGTCCGAGCTGGGCGAGCCTGCCAACCTTTGGGTGTGGGATGGTCACAAGCTTGCTTGGTAAGTGCACCTCGCTCTTATACATCGACTTCCACTGACACGTCACAGGTCTGGCAAGCGTCTTCCTCGTGACGACAACCGCATCACTGTCGACCTCGACGCCGAAGAGGGCAGGGAGACCAAGGCCGGGGCTCGCGGCAACAAGCACACCATCCACCTTCGCTGGACTCGTCAAGTCCACTTCAGCGGTCTTCAAGCCTTCCTGGACGGCCAGGCCTCCTGGTCCACCGAATGCATCGACACGATCAACTTCCTCGACCATGTCATGCGCGAGTACCCATCTCAGCAATACACTCAGATCAAGAAGTCCTTCTTCCAGCGCGGTGAGCAGCGCTTTGATCTTGGTGGAGGTGTTGAAGCTTTCAAGGGCGTCTTCGCCTCTCTTCGCCCTGTCCTCGACAATAAGTTCAACAAGTCCTTGTCTGTCAATGTCGATGTCGCGAACGGCACCTTCTGGCGCTCCCAAGAGCTCACTCGTGTAAGTTGTGACCTGCATCTCCCCATCATTCGAAAGTTTCACTGACATCACTCAGGCTGTGAGCCAAGTTTTCAATTGCAACCCACCCCAGCTCGCCCAGCGCCTCAAGGAAGCCCAGCGTGACTGGAGGAAGTCTATGCTCCGCAAGGACTTCGGCGCCTTCAGAAAGGTCGGAGTAACTGCCACTCACACGACACCTCACGTGCAGTGGACTATCGACGAGATCGTTCCCAAGGATGCCAATCAGGCCACATTCCCTGACCCCGGCGACCGTCGCCCTGGTGTTCTTGATAAGGACCGAAAACAGATCTCCGTCGCCCAGTACTTCAAGAAGAAGTACAACATCAACGTCATTGCAGGCATCCCCGTGGTCAAGATGACCAAGAAGATCCGTGGCTCGCCCGTCTACATGCCAATGGACGTTCTACGCATTGATGCTAATCAGCGTTACAACACAAAGCTGAGCGACATACAGACTTCGAACATGATCAAGTTCGCTGTTACCCTCCCCAAGGAGCGTTGGACTGCAGTTCAGCACGGAGTTCGCCTTCTGAACTGGGCTAACGATCCTTACCTTAAGCACTACGGGCTTCAGGTCAATCTCAAGTGAGTGACTTCTGGCCTTACCATACTGTTTGTTGCTAACATTTCACAGCCCTTCCAAGGTTAAAGCTCGCATTCTGCCCTCTCCGATCGTTCAGTTCGGTGCCGGCTCGAAAGAGGCAACCATCAAGCCACAGGACATGATTGCCGGTCGGTGGCGCCTTGAGTACGTTCATTCCATTTTACCCTTCCATACACAGTCAGCTCATTAAATTGCAGTGGCCGCAAGTTCGCTATGACCAACGGCCAGCGTCACCTCCGCGCCTGGGGTGTCTGCGTCATCCAGCACCCCCGAGCACCCCCACTAGCGGCTGTCGAATCCTTCGTGCAGAAGTTTGTCCAGATCTACGAGAGCCACGGTGGGTTTTTCGATGCGCACCCAAAGCACGGCAAGAAGCCATGGATCGGCCAGGGTAACCTTGCTGATGGGGGTGAACTCGGTAAGTCGCGTCCTTAAGCTTACTTCAATTCATCACTAACATTCCACAGTTGCGAAGGCCTGGAACCAGACCGGAAACCGCTACAATACGATGCCCGGTTTCCTGATGTTCATTGTCAATGACCGCAATGTGGATGTGTACCGCCGCATCAAGAAGTCCTGCGACATCCGCTTCGGTGTTCCATCCCAAGTTCTTCAGGCCAAGCACGTCATGTCAGCGTCTCCTCAGTACATCTCCAACGTCTGCATGAAGGTCAACGCCAAGTTGGGTGGTGCTACCTCCGTTGCGAAGAGCGGTCTTAGTAAGTGCCCCAACCCTGTAATTTTCTCATGTATGCTAACACTTTACCAGTCCCCAAGCTCAACCCCAAGGCCACCTCCACCCCCACCATGGTCGTCGGTGCTGACGTTTCCCACCCTGCTCCCGGTGCTGGATCTGATCAAGCTGCTTCGTTGGCCGCCATAACTGTCTCGGCCGACCCCTTCTTCGCCAAGTACTGGGCTGATGTCCAGACCAACGGCAACCGTGTCGAGATGATTACCTCTTCCAACATCCATGACCACTTCGGCCCCATGGCCAAGAACTGGATGCAGCGTCTCGGACAAGGCAAGGCGCCAGCGCGTGTCCTATATATTAGAGACGGCGTATCAGAGTAGGACATCCCTTAATCTTTTCCTTGGAAATATGCTAACAACCTCCAGGGGTCAATACGCTGCTGTGCTCGAAGAGGAGGTACGAGACATGAAAGCCTTCTTCAGCCAGCTCGGTGGCACGATGCCGAAGTTCACTGTTGTGATTGCCGGCAAGCGCCACCATATTCGCTTCTTCCCCGATGCCGGCAAGGGTGATCGCAACGGCAACCCTTTTCCCGGTACTCTCGTGGAGTCGGGCTGCACACACCCATTCGAATTCGACTTCTACATGTGCTCGCACGTCGCCATCAAGGGTACCGCCCGCCCTATCCACTACCAGTGCATCCTCAACGAGGGCGAGTGGCTTGCCGCCGAGCTCCAGCAGTTCATCTTCGAGCACTCATACCACTATGTCCGCTCCACCACCCCAGTTTCCCTACACCCTGCGGTCTATTATGCCCACTTGGCTGCCGACCGCGCCCGTGCTCACCTTAACGATAGCCCTGTCTCTTCCGGCAAGAAGGAGTCGCACGCTGACCGCACTTCTGACACTGGTAGTTCCAGCCGCAACGTCGAGGTTCCTCCCCTTATGCCTCTGCAGAACGCTCGTGGCCTGAAGGATGTTATGTGGTACGTCTAAGGTGTTGTCGAGGTGTTCAGGTTTGGACGTGGCTCTGAGAAGTCGTGAATGACTCTATGGTCATGCCTGGGTTAATGGTAGGGTTGATTGAATGAAGAGCGATGGTGATGGCCAGGATGATGGCACGGCCAACTTTGCATGTCGAGCGTCGGCGACACATCAGACTTGCTGGCGGAGAGAAAGTTTGGCGGTTCAGGTTATGCTTTTTTTTCTTATGTTCAATCTGCGGTGGTAGCAGCATTGACAGCCTCTAGGATGCTGCACGATACTATCTATAAGTGGAACTTTGGGTCGTTACATAAATCAATCCACCGGTGCAGCCACACTCTTCACTTCCCCTTCGCTTGAAGCTTGCTGACGGATAGTCTTTCGCTGTTGGCATCGGTAAGATTGGATGTGATTGCGAGAAGAGTTTACTAACTTAGAGTCTCCAAGTAACCTTCAATGTCGACGTGTGCCCATGATACACGACAAATATTCGGCAATTTGTCAGGACTCGGCAGTTGATATTGACTACCTTCACGGTCTTGCGATATCATACCGCAACCCTTCGCTGTCATTTCGAGCTCGCAGAAAGCTTCGCATCAACAGTCTGGCCACTATATCACAGTAGCCAGCATTGTTGAGCGAAGGCTTCTTGCCTGAGACAGCATGCCGCAGCTCATGCGAAGGAGATATCTACACATATGGCGATGTATCTTGCATAACCTGGATCTGAAGAGTAAGCAAAAAAGCGTGAACGTAGACGGCATGGGCGAACTCAGAAGTGCGGAGGAAGGAAAAGGTAGTGCATGGGCTGGAGATGCAAGATTGTCAAGCTGATGAAGAATGCGGGCGTTGGGGAAGATGCTGACTTGCTACAAGGCAGAATGCCCAGCGTTACAGGAAGGAGAGCCAAAGTTGGGAGCTCATGTCCAAGTATGGGCGTATCGAATTCTTCGCGGCAAACCAGCGATAGTGGCATACTTCGAAGTCTATCAAACTCACAGCCTGAAGGACAAGTCCCACAACGCCGGCTATTTCCATAGCCAACACCTCGTCAGCGACCCGTCCCTTTGTAGACTTTTCCCTTATCATCTACTCTTCCAACGCACACCCCCGACCCACTTAACCCATCCCTCAACCTCCTGCGCTTTCTCCTCATCCCCGTCCACGCCTCCCTCCCGAATCAAATCCACCGTAAAGTAGTATCTTGCCAGCCCCTCGTTGCTCGCCAACCGATGCACAAAACTATGACACGCCCTGCACAACCACGCCACACTATTCAACACCTCCTCATCATGCCACCCCCTCTTCCTAACCCGCTCATGCGTGCTCTTCGGAATCAAATGATGATACGTAAGCGGCACCCAGTCCCTCTCGCACAATTCACACTCCGAGGTTCGAGTTGTCGCCCAGATTGGAGGCGGCAGTGTGACGGTGTGACAGTATGAGGTGAATACGGGCGTGAGGAGGTTGTGGGCGTCGTGCGTGTCGCTGGGGGAAGGGAGGAGGAAGTAGGATTCTAGGCTGTCGATTGCGTCGGGTGGGACGGTGGAGAGGAGGTGTGTGTATGTTAATGCTGAGAGGGGGGTTGTGTAGGCGTCTTGCAGTGTGGCCGAGTCGCGGAATTTAGGGTATGAGAGGGTGCGCAGGTCTGCGGGGAGCGAGGGGAATATGAGGCTGCTTAGGTACTGCGGGTCGTTAGCTGGGTGTGTGATGAGAGGGCAATGGGTGGGAGCGTACGTCGATGAATTCGCCCAAGTCCTCGGCGTCTGTTGCCGAGGGAGCGCTGATCGAGGTTGTGCTGGGGCTTTCGACCTGTGGTTTGGCGGGTGCGAACATGCCTACTGGCTTGTACTTTGCACTCTTCTTGGCCATTCTTTTCTTCTTGGGCTTCTCTTTCTCGGCTGGCAGGGCCAGTGCCTTCATAACAGGTTCGCTCATGCAATCGCGGAAGGTCTCATAATTGGACTGTTCCTCGGCAGGTATTGGCTCAGCCATGATCTTTGATATGTCGCGAAGTCGTTGTGTGAAGCCACAGGCGCGTAGTGGCGAGCATCGACAGAGGCATGATAATATTTATGTGCTGGAGTGGATGATGACGATGCTCTGAAGTTGGAGATCTGGAGCGGCGCGCCACTGGTGTGGCTGCAACGCTCAAGGGCGCTCATGGCCTTTGATTTCGATTCACGAGATTTTCGCGGCCTTCGAAGTTTCCAGACCATACGCATTGGTCCATTCAGCTTGTGTACGACACAGTCAACTTGTAGGGCGTGCGCAGTACAAGTTCAACGCGTGTCAATAGGGCGGCGTCAGACGCAACACGAGCATTCAAGAGTCCGAATTGGCAAGCCAAGGAAGTAGATGTCTATCGATGTACTTGCTTTGATGATCGTAAGCTTGTAGCTGGCAAAGATCAAGGCAGAACTCTTCATGTGCACATCTACCACTAGCAACCGCAAAAGCAGCGAACCAATCCATCCGCATGCTATGCATAACGCAGTCACCAGACCACACATACGCGCAAGATATGTAGTAGTAAGTGCATGCATGCTCGCAATTGACAGAAACCTCAACAACGGTTTATTTCTTCTTTCCACCCTTGGCCAAGCGGTTGGCCTTGCCCATAGCCTGCTCTCTCCTGCGAGCCTCGCGCGCCATAAGCTCAGCCTTCTCCTTCTCCAGCTCCGCACGCTCCTCAGCCTCAGCCTTCTTGCGCGCAGCCTCGGCCTCACGGCGCTCCTTGACGAGCTTGAGACGCTCGAGATCGGCACGCGCTTGGTCAGTCTTACCCTCTGCGTGTAGCTTGTCATAACGCTCCTTCGCTTGTTGCTTCTCAAGAGCCTCGCGCTCACGACGGGACAGTTGAGAGGTATCCTGCTTGGCCTTGCCCTTGTTGGCAGCTGCTGGGGCTGCCTCGGGGTCGACAGGCGCCTTCGAGGCCTGTTGGCGGGCTTTGGCAGTGTGGTTGGGGTTCGCGGGCATGTTGTCGTCGCTGCTCTCTTCGTCTGACGTGGGCATGTCGCCGACCTCGATCTTGTTCTTCTTCGCTATCGCTGCTTGCTTGCGGGCTTTCGCGGCGTCGCGGCGCTGCTCACGGGTCATCTCCTCCTCCTTTGGCTTGTCTTCGTCGTCCTCGCTGGAATCTTCCTCAGAGGACTCTTCGCTGGATTCATCCTCCACCTTTTCGACGGGCTCCTGTAGGGCTGTTAACTGCGGATCCACGCTACAGTGCAGTCGACTGTACGTACGCCCCACATGCCTGCGACCTCGCCATCTGCGTTGAGCGGCTGCAGGTCTCTTGAAAACTTGTGGCCTCCTCCGCGCTTGACTTTGTTGAACTTGCCACCGCGACCGCGACCGCCTCCACGTGAAGACATGGTGTTGTTGTGTGTGAGTGTGTAAAAGGTTATGTGCCTTAACGTGTGTTCACTCGTGCTCGTGGGTGAGGTCGAGTGTGCGTGGATGTTGTGAATGCACCGGCGATCGTGTCTCGTGTGCTTGGTTCAGTGTCGTACCTTGTTGTACGTGAAGAAGTGGTGCGTTGGTGGTTAGGTTCTGGTAGTCGAGAGATTTTGTAGAAGAGCAAAACTTCAAAAAGAGGATCGTCAGTTTTCTGTGCCCAGGTTCAAGGGATCAGAATCAAACACCTACTCTTTGTCGAATCAAACAACCCGGCTTACACTCTGTATCAGGAGTCACTGAACCCTTCAGACAAAAGTCCCGCCCCACCATTTCAGCCCCACCATTATCTCACTCTCGCAAATGCGCCATCCCCAATTCGCTGCTCAAAGCGCCTAACCGCATCGTACTAGCTCCGTTTAGTCATCGCAAATCTCATTTTTCCCTATCGTGCGCGCGCCTCTTGAAACCTTTTGTTTCTTCACATAAACTGAATGCCTTCGTATTCACTCTGCTCTTCGTTCAAATGAGGATGATGGAGGGGAAAACGGAGGTTAGAGCATATTGCGTCTGCTTACCCCCTTCTCTTCGTGGTTTTTGACCTGGTGGAGCGAAGGTAAATAAATTGGACGGTACATACCTTTGTCCCCTGTGATCTGTCTTGTATGTGGTTGAAGGATGGTGCTTGCGCCAGAATGGAGCGCCTTGCAGAATTTAGTCGCTTGTTCATGTTGCATATGCATAGCGTTCTTGATATTCTGCGCGGGTCTTTGTTGCGGTCTTGGGTTTGAGGCTGGCCAAGCACCATCGTCAGTCAGCGCCAGCGCCAGTTGGTCTTACACATTCCAGCTTCCAACACGGCTTGCTATATTTGGCAACCAGGCGACCATATTGCCTCATTGGGCCGACTGTATGTATTTGTACGCTTGTTGTTGTCCTTACGTCGTAAGAGGCGGTCTGCGTGCCGTGCTATTCTAGGTGTTGCGCCGGTGAGCTGGCTCTCCATGTGAGTAGGTACTTGCCTTTCTATGATCTAAGAACTTTATGCACTTCCTATAGAACTTACTTCTTCTTGTTCTGGATCCTACTGTCTGTCTGTCTGTCTCTTCGTCTGCCTATCTACATGTCAGCGAAAGTCTCTACCTCGCGGTTTCTAGACCTTCCAACCTCGATACGAGAAAAGATATACGCCTACCTCCTCCTACCACACCCAGAAGAGGACGTCACAACGATTAACTACACACTAAACTGGCTGTACTTGGACAAACCCAGCAACACCACGTTCGCCGGCTCAACGCAAATCGACCTCTGCTCATGCCCACGAGAAGACATCCATTACGATGATAGTCCCCATGACTCTCACATCTACACACGCTACAAGTGCATTGGCCCAGACATCCACTTCACCTCCCCGCGCAACGGACTATGGGTCTTGCAAACCGCACACGGCCAGTTCAACATCCTCCGCCCTGCCTCAGCAGACGAACTCAAACTCCGCCCCACATCAGCAATCCTTCAAGTCTCGAAGCAGATCTACAGCGAAGCACTCCCCTTTCTGTACCGCGACAGGGACTTCTTCTTCCTCACCGGCCCGTGTCCAAGAGGTAGATATCAGGCGTATGCTACATTACAGTGGCTCGGGCGATTGAGTGAGAGAGCTCGCGCGAATGTGGAGATTTTGACTCTGCTGGTGCAGACGTATGAAGAGGATTGTAATGTAGCTGATGTTGAGGGGGCGTATGTAGAGCTGGCTGAGTATATAGTAGATAGCTTGCCAGGCTTCAAGTGGCTGTGTATAGATGTGTGGGATGAGAAGGTGTATGGGGCAGCTAGTGTGTTTTCAACATTGTTCGAGGAAGAGAGGATGGGCGTTGTGGCGCGGAAGCGATGGCAGGGTTTTGAGGCTGAAGTGTTTGTTTCTAAGGAGAGCTTCTTGGGTAGTTTTGAAGAGGAAGAAGAGTAGGCTTTGATTTAAGTTACAAGGGTACAACCCATCCCGACGGATCTTCTTAGCACGTTATCTGATCCATGGCCAGGTCCCTTTCTTTATCCGATAAGCGTTCCACGAGCTTGGCGAAGCCGATCACGGTCGATCTTCATCCCAGCAGATCCACATCCTCACCCTTGAAAGTCTTCTTGGTCTCCAGAGCAGGTGCGCCCTTGCATATGCGCCAGCCCATCTCATCCTCTGTCACTGGGTAGACCAAGGGCAGGCCGTGAGCAAACCCGCATCATCGACTCTGCCAAGTCCAAGAAGAAGCCCTTGGGGTAATATCCTTCTCGCAAAGCGCTACCTAGATCGATTGGGATAAGGTGACCATAGTGCATGAAGCCGTCCACTAATGCTTTTCTACCGGCGCAGCGCTTCTTGGTCCGTTTGTAGATGGTTCTGACTGCAGCGGCCTGGGAGGTACTTGCTGCTTCGTGTGTGCACTTGGAGATGATTGCTGCGACTGCCGAGTTCTTCGTTTGGATGTCTTCGAGTCTGTTGGCAAGGACGTAGAGGTCGGCGAGCATCCGATATGCGTTGTCGCACAGGTATGGGGCCAGGCAGTCGGTCCAGGTACCATCGTCGTCCACTCGCTCTTGTTCGTTGCGATTTCCGTTTCAATCTGGTGAAGAAGCTGCATGGCTCGGAATCTGGCCGGTGTATATGAGATGTTGGTAAATCGAGAAGGCGATTGTGTTCTCTTTGGGGAAGCAAAAGGTGTCCTGCTCTTTGTTGTAGTGCTTCCAATCCCAGTTGCAACGCTAGCCGTCCCACAAAACGAACTTTTGTCGCTGTTTGGGGTTCATGTCCAGCTGCGCGGTGATACGTTCATGCCAGTCTTCGAAGGGCTCTGGCTTGTCCACGCAATCTTCCGGCTCCTCGCCACAACCTGTGTTTTCTTCATCGAGATCCTGCTAGGCTTTTGCACGATGTGCCCGCTCTTCATCCTCTTGACGCCACCTCTCCTGTCCATGGTGCCTTCTCTCCTCCTCGTGGCTGTCGTAATCTTCCATGTAAGTCTCCCACTCAGCCCTTGTGCGGCGCCATAGCAAGGTCTCCTTGAATACGTTAGAGCTCGCGACGAGGAACAACTCGTATATGGCAAACTCCTTCGCCACTTCATCTTTGCCGCCTATGATCTTCACCATACTCGTCGAGAACCTCTTGCGTGTTAGAAGGGAATCAAAACTGGAGCTGGGCGACTTACGGCAGTGCTTTGTCGTCTGTCGTGTGCGGTGCTGCGAGTTGCGGCCTCGGCATGATAGGCTCTCCGCAGCTTAGAGCGGGGAGGCTCGTTGTGAGATGCAGTGGAGCTGGGTGTAAAGAAGGTGTTTTGATCTCAACAAATGGGGAGGGACATAGCGGTGTGGAAGCGGCATCTCACTGCGCGTGTGTCCCAAAAGGGTTCGGTAAGGGCATAAATCTGACACAGTGTTACGTAGTCGGTGCCTGTAGTCTGCGTTACACTTCCGTATTTGTATGCTTCAAGTCAAGTAGCTCGCTATACAAGACTTGCAAATGCAACGCGAACACCTTCGGATATTGCTCGTAGAGATTGATAACTCGGGCGTCGCCTTGTTGCCAGCATTGCTTCAGTCCAGTCTTGCAGAATTCGGAGCATTAGGTGATTAGAGTGGCAGGGACGATGAAGTCTGTGGTCAAGCCTTTGTTATGGATTAACAATCGAGATCCTAGTGAAGCTACGTAATATCAGCAACATATCTGGTAGTTGGAATGGCACATACTCCGTATCTTCAGTGCTAAAGCCTCGTTGTGGTGGAGCAGGGTTCATCTTTAGTGGCTGAGCAGGATCAGTAGTGCCTAAACGATGCACCTCAGCGGACTGACATGTTTGATGCTGCACGGATGAAATTTTGGAAGCGATGGAAGTGATATGTATCTAGCTTATCTGTGAGTGCCCCTGTTTGCGACCTCCTTGCGAACATGTTGAGCATCTCTTCGGTGACTGTACAAGCGTGACGCCGAGTATCAATGTTTGGTATGAACTTAATTTACATCAACGTTTCTCTGTTATCTGCCCCATTAGAGATATAAAACAGTGACTCTATCGTGGCGATCAACCTACTAAATACCCTAAAACTCTAGCCTAGATCAATGACGCCTCAATCTCTTCGTCCTTCTTGTCGAGCGCCTTGACCTTGTTGAAGAAAGGAGTAATGTCTGTGACATTGAGGATTGCTGCACCTGTTGGTTGATCACGAGCTTTTCCCATGCCGATGACCACATCGTATAGGTATTCGGGGTGATAATCTACGCAGGCCGTATCTTTCCTCCAGCCAGAGTTCTAGTAGTTGACAGCAAGGTTCGTCAGGAACTCCCTCATAGGATCCAAGGCCACAGTATGGTTGTAAATGTGCTTGACTATCCTGGTGCCTGGATAGTAGCATGACCTATCCACGCGCTGTTTGAGAGTTGATTCGAACATGGCGGAAAGGATCGAGCACTTGGAGTTAGTGTCTTGAAACTTTATGGAAAGGACATAGAGCTTCGCGAGCATCGCAACCTCTTTGTTGATAGAGGTCAACATTGCGTGTTTGAAGTCTTCCTTGGCTTTGGTTTTCGCCTCAGTGCTGGCGAAGGTACTGGGCATCATTGGATCCTCGCTAACAGGAAGTACATCATTGTACAAGAGCTGAATGTAGTTTGCGAACACTTTTGGTTCAACTTCCGATAGTTTGACGACTCCCTTGTCCTCCTCAGCTGGATCGCAGCTGTCTTTGGTGGTCGCCGATAGCTTCGAGATTTGTTCGGCGTTGTCCATCTCAAAATCATCATTGGAGCCGACAATTGTACTTCCGCAGTCAACCCATGCCGACTCGTCTTTGTCAGCGTCTGGAGACGGCAAGATTTTGTCGGCATTGTTTTCGTTGCGGTCATCAGATGGCTTGGGGTCCTTCAAAGCTTTTGCGAAGAAGCGGGAGCGTGAGATGATAAGGTCCTCGTGCACAAAAAATGTTTGAGCATAACCAGTGTTGCCCTCGTTATTGTCGCTCTCACGACCGACTATGATTTTGACTATTGGACTGGACAGGTAGCTATCATGTGTTAAATCCTAGATTATGAGGAGCTAAGTTCGACATACCTAAGAAACGTGCTCTTATTTGCAAGTACCTTGCTCACGATTGTAGACTCTAGAAGGAGTCAGTGTATTATTGTTTTGCGGGTGTCAAGGAAGTTGAAGATTTGAAGGCAGATTTTATATCAGCGTAGGTTAAAAGAAACCCCTGTGTGTAGCGAACCCTGACCCATGGGTGCTACCAATATCATGAACATTGGGTACTCCTCAAATATCGGTGTTGAGAAGAGACCAAACGAGTGGTCCTGACCTTGTCTTTTGAATCGTCGCTCCCCCAATCACAACCGACGCTTCTTGCTTACGTTGCGACCCGACGTTCTCTCTCAAAGGGAGTCGTCTGAATAGTCATTCCAACATGTAGTGAAGGCTTCGATAGCGTGAAAAAGCTCCTCTAGAGATACTCCCTGTGCCTTGCGCGTGACAATAATCTTGGCCTTGGTGGAGGGTCAATCCGCTCACAGCCCAGCTTCTCGCAGTGCTGCTTCCTCATCTGAATCAATCTCTGCCTCAGGGTCAGCGGCCTTTCCGCTGGCATTGTCCTCTGCGACTGCATATGTGTCCTGCGGCGGTGCTTCGTTCTCCTTGGTATTCGCGCTGTCCTTTGACTCGGCCTTGTCTTTCGGATCCGTTGGCTGACCAGTCTTGCTGGGCTCGACAATGTCTTCCGGATCCACGTTTAGGTCCCAGTCGATGCCGCCGTCCTTGCCGTAACGCTGCACCAACCACTCGTTCGCTTTGGTAAAGTGGTGACAGTCGAACTGCAACAATGTTAGCACACATGTGCATGGTTGTCTGAGTCTGCAAACTTACGAATCCCCTCATTGCACTCAGCGGGCTGGGATGCACACTCTTCAAGATCAAGTGCTTGTCCACTGGTATGCCAACAGTCCTCTTCTGTGCCGGCGAGCCCCATGCCATGAAAACCACACCATTGTTGCGCACCTTCACAACCGTATCGATGACCTTCTGCGTCAGCAGCTCCCAGCCCTTGCCTTGATGTGAGTTGGCCTCCCCTCTACGCACAGTCAAGCATGTGTTCAATAGCAAGACTCCTCGATCCGCCCATGGTGTCAACAGACCGCCCTTCTTTGGTGGTGGCTGGTAGTCAGGATAGTCTTTCTTGAGCGCCTTGTAGATGTTCTGGAGGGATGGAGGCGCGGGTGTGGGAGGGCGGACGGAGAAAGAGAGGCCATGGGCCTGATTGGGACCGTGGTAGGGGTCTTGCCCTGTGATGACGACTTTAACGGTGTTGAGCGGAGTATGTCTTGACCTATCCACCACTGTGAACTTCCACACGTTTAATTGAAGATAAACAAGGCAGCCTACCAGGAGTACACATCCTTCATGGGTGGAAAGACTGTTTTCCCACTACTGAGCTCCCTTTTCAAGAACCTCTTCAGCTCCAGGAATTGTGGGTTGACAAGCACATCTTTGAGATGTGGCAGCCAGCTCTCATGAAGCGTGTCAAGCTCCAATTGTAGCAGCTCCTTCTGCTCTTCTGTAAGCTTCGAGACCCACGCGTCTCTATCGAACTTTGCAGCAGCAGCAGAGGAAGCTTTAGCGTTTGGTGAAGGTTTTGGCGCGCCAAAGAAGGCTGTGATGCTGCCATTTGGCTTGGGCTTCTTTGTCGCGTCGGTCGCGGCCTCAGCAGCTTTGCGCTTGAGGCTCATTTCAGCGATTGTGTATGTGAAACGAGATGAAATGGAGTTTGAGTCAATTGGATAATCTCTGTGTTAGACACGCGGAGATTGGAACGATATGTTGAGAAATGTTGCCTGGGGTTGAGTTGCACAGCATTGAAGAGCAAAGCGCGCGAAGTGATGTTAAGATCGCTGCACGCTCTGTGATTGGCTGTTTCTCGACCCAACCGCACGTGTGAGCGCGTTTCGCGTGGCGCGTAGCAAGCGTTGCCAAGAATGATGTCACGGCCTCCTGACTCTCCTGACGAGAGAACAAACAACAGCAGGGATGCGAGCAGGCTGCGACAGGCCTGGCATCGCGATGCCCCTCCAAAATTTTCAGACACATCGAATCAGAGGTGAAATTAGGTAAGATGTGCGTCGCTTGTATTTCTAAGCCCTTGTTTGCCTACGGATGCTTGTTATTGCTAGGCAGCATCACGTCAGAGTTTGTGGAGAAGGAGAGGTAAACATGGGGTATATCATAGTATCGTTCCTCTCACCTGGAGTATCTTTACATCAGTCTTCTCCGTCTATTTGATCAAGTCTTCTTATACACAACTTCGACCATAATCAACCTTCAACGACATCAACCAAAATGGCATCCAGCAACCCAGCCAACTTTGCCAACCTTCCCAAGGATGAGCTCAAGGAGATCGCAGCCAAGGGCGGCCACGCTTCTCATGGCGCTCACCACGAGTCTACCAACACCCAGCGCCCAGACCGTAACCCAGACGGCACCTTCACCAAGGGCTCTGAGCTCGCAAAGGAGCTAGGTGCACAGGGAGGCCATGCTGCTCACCACCACCAAGATACCACCAGCGGTGCTAGCAACGACAGCGGTGTAAGTGTCACTTTTTCAACCACATTCTTCGGGTGACTGACAACCTCCAGCGCAACCCCGATGGCACCTTCAAGGCCGGAAGCCAGCTTGCTCATGACCTCGGTGTCAAGGGCGGCCATGCGTCTCACGAGCGCGGTCACCAGGGTCAGAGTGGAAGTGCTGAAGACAACGGTCGTAACCCCGACGGTACCTTCAAGGCCGGCAGCCAGCTCGCACACGACTTGGGTGTGCAGGGTGGACATGCTACGCACTCTCACCAGCAGTAAGCCACGAGCAGCGCTGGACTAGATCTAGCAAGCAGGGCTTTGCCGATGGACAAGAGATAGTAACGACATAACGATTCAATGAAGAATATAACGGGGTGCAGCCTGATTTGCGCTGTCATCTCAAAATCTTTGACCCAAAATGAAACATTGTTGATTTGTATCATAGTGTACGTTGTGCAATCACTATTCCACATATATCCATAGGACGTTGAGAACAAGTTCTCTTGCTCTATCCACCATCTGTCAAAGTGCAGTTTTAAGGCTTATGTCTTGCTGTACATGTTTTCAGTGTTCACAATCTTGATCCCCACCTCTGTAGGTTACGATTAACTTAGCTATTCTATACAATAAAGGAAGCATAAACAACTAGGCCAGTGGTAGTAAGAGGACTCGGCTTTCTCAAGTGGCTGCCTAAAGTGGGACAAACTTCAGGGATGCTCACACAATCGTTATGGAGCGCTCTTCAAAACGCAGCTCTTTACTAAATGCCTCAAGCGTCTCTTTTATCTCTAGAACACCCACTCGGGAGAATGCAGCTCCCTCCGGTTCAACAACCAAAAAGTACACTGCGCCGCTAGTTTTTTGACCCCAGACCTTAGGACATGTTCCGATCAAGACCAACCGGAATCGATTTACATCGAAAAACTCAGATAGCTTTGTAGAGGTATCAGGGCCTTTGTATATGTAAAGCTTTCCTTTGGACCCGGGGAAATAGCGAAGCGGCTGTCGCTTCCCGCGCCGGCTTTTGAAGGAGGGAAGAGATGGATCCCAATTTGGATGCATTCCGGGTGGGTTCAGCGTGCTAGTAATGCGACACACTGGCTTGTTGGTGGTAAAGGAGATCGCGAAAGACTCTGGACAAAGGAGGCGAGCAGTAATGGTCAGAGCACGTGGAACCCTCTGCCTCGCCTCATTTGGGTTGATAAAAAGCGCGTAGGGGTCACAATGGAAATCATTTTCCATGATGACCTGGGTGATCTTTGCGTGAGGTTCGAATTTTTCGTATCGCAAATCACGGTCCAGGACGGGGCTAATGATGAAATTGACCTCTCCTTTCCACCCTGCCCATGACCATGATGGTAAATTATACCTTCGAGTAGGGTGTGGTAGTAGGAACTTCTCTCGTGGCGGAAAAGTTTTCTGATGTACCCAAAGCAAGCTGACCAGGAAAGATCTGTGGGTTTCCTCCACAGATTCAACGTCAAACAGAAAGGGTACTCCAGCGAGTTGATACACTGCTACCTTATCCCCTTCTAGATACCTCATAACGCCCGCAGCCGCTCTCAAAGAGTCCTCTTCGCAGCTCATATTTCTTGCAGTGTATTGTCGAAGCAGCTCATAACATCTCATTAAGAACTTATATCGAGCTTTGATGTAAGAGCTGGGACAGGAGAGCCTGCCTAGGAAGAGACCAGAGTTGAGCTGAGCGTAAACTTTTCCTTGTTTGCAATGGAGTGATCGCAAATCTCCATGTATCGCTTCGCGGGTCTGCATTGAATGACATTCGAAGTAGATCTCACGATCAGTGAAGTAGAGTAGTCGTTGAGAGAGGATAGCTTCTTGATAAGTCCAGGCTCTTGTGGCCCATGTCCCGGATTGAATTGATTTTCGTGGGCTTCCGTCGATGCGTACTATCTGGATGTCGCCCAGATGGACTACAGGTCCCGATTCTTGTAGTTGGTCCGCTTGTCTATTTGTTGAAACTCCAGGCAACCCATAGTCGTTATCTGAACCGGCAGCAGCAACGATGGTAAGTTCCGCACCCCCATATATCTTGTCCATAATATCGATTTGTGTATGTTTCTCTTCCTCGCCATCTTGATCAATACAGTAACCATCAACCCACAGAAACCGGTAACCAAGTTCTCGCGTTACAGTTATTGCATCCGAGATCGTTTTTGGAGGACATGATATGACTGCGTCTGTGGAACTCGTAGAGTACTTGTAGCCTTTACTGCCCCAAGTATAACTGAGAGCCAGATATGGCCCAGATTGTGGGGCTAGCACCAAAGATGGCGGGGAGGTGTTGCAGTCGATAAGCCGCCATGGCCGCACCATGTTGTTTTTCTGTTTGCATAGAGACCTATGTAGTGTCTTACAACATCTAATCCAAGCCGTTATAGCTGCATAGTCTATCTTTGCAGATGGAATTCTTGGCGAGACGATGCTATCGCGTTTTTTTGAGGTAGACAAGCAGAAAGCCTGTTTTGTTCCCACAACTGAGTATGGTGAAGCCGAGGAGCTGAGGGTAACGATTGCCAGATGCGGTATATCTTTGAGTTTTAAGTCTTTCGGAAGTATTTTGAAGCTCGTTTTCCGTGTATTGCCAAACGCCGAGTAGGCACGAAGTTGAACGGCTTGGAAGATAGCATTCGGAAAATCTATCATTGACCTGAACAACTGGCATATGGAACAGGAAGCTGCGAAACTATCGCTCAGTCTCGTTTGTACCAATCTTGTACCCAGTAGATAGCCCTCTTGGCCTGCTGATTGAAGGTCTACCACAGACAGATCCAGGACCTTCTGAAAATCGATACATTGGCATGACTTGCAAAGTTTCGCAGTCGCAGCATTGGACGTTGACTTCCTGCGTTTCGAGATTGGGGAGCCTGTATCATGTAGGTTTCTTTTCAATGAACATGTAGTTCGGAAAGAAGAGGAATTGGGCATGCTGGTAACTGTGGGGTCCAAACGGCGTATTCAAAATTTCGGGAACCCATGTAGGGCAAAAGCACTCCAAGGGAGGATGCTAACTCGTATTTTTACACTTTGTGAGGGTGGCTGTGTCCAGTATATCTCCTGATGACGCTAGGCAACATGACGTCCTGAGCAAGGGTGACGACCCGGCAATTTTCTCTCATGCCTGAGGCATACGCCTGGTCGAAGTTTCTATTCAAAGCAGATTACAGGGACTCCCGATAGAAGTCAGACTGCAAGCACTACACCTGGAGAAGCTAGTCAACCAGTGGGTTAATACTATAGTAACTCAAGCAAGGAGAAATGCACATGCATTGTACATTAAGAAAAGGGACACAATTACGATGGATTCATAGCACCACAAGTCATAATTTCCGGCTCTAGATGAGGTTATACGGCGGAGCTGCTCAGGTGACAGCGTATCTCCGATAGGCTTATGCTCGCTGGAAGAGCGAATCACAAACCACTATGGCACTGCTTGAAGCACCACTGCATCTTAGTGCTTACGCCAAGGCATTCCTCTGGAACTCGATTCAAGATTGCAATTAAACACTCCTTGTGATCATGATGGGATGAGATCCAGTCCTAGATGATTCTTAGCTTGAAACAATTATACTAGGTGGAGATCTGACCTCTCTCTCCCTGAACCACCAGTACACTAGAGAGCACTCCTCTCGCTGCACTGTGATGTACAAGGAAGGGATGGTGGCGAACAAATCGCACTCAAAACTCTGAGTGCTCCCTTCCTCTTGCGGTAAAGATAGCCTCAACTGGTCCTGAATCCGAAATGTAGCGTGGGCAACCTGTGGCAATCAGCTTCTCGCGCAGCAAGTACATTCAAGTACTGGATACATCTCTACAAGCCGCTTCCATACGCTGCACTATTTCTGGAAACCCTAATGGTAGCTCAAAGGCCCCATCTTCACCTCCGCGCTCCACTCCGCTGTGGTGACATCGATGTATGCGGAAACTCGGAGGCTGAAGTTTGGATGGCAGTTGGGCGGGAAAAAACCCGCAGATCTTTACACATAGCCTTTGTGACCTACATCCAACCTTTTTGATGTAAGAGAACCCCAAAATAGTATCAAGAATGATGGTGTTCAATGTAATAATGCCTGGTAGTGCTGGGTATCGTACAAAACAGATGCGATGCAATGTACTTTTGCGGCAACATTCAAAGCCTCATGCGCTTGATCATCTCTCGCGACTTCCTCTCCGAGAGCTCGTTACCGTCGATGTTGATACGTCCTTCTTCAACTTGTATGAGATCAGGCTTGACTGCGGTATCGTGCAGATGCTGCAGGAATGAGACCAGGCTGTCCTCGAATTTGACATACGAATGCCGGCTTTCAATATTTTCGAGTGTTGCTATCGCTCTCGCCTGCACCTAGTCAATTTGTTGATTGGTCCAGTACTCCGATCTTGAACTTACCTCTATGACATATCGGCGTCTGATGCGCGTCCATTCCGGTAGCTCTTCCAATGCATAACCGTCTCTGCAGAACACATTACGCACGGCCCTAATATCAGCTCCCTCGACATCTTCCCGTTGGATACCCGAGCTCCCAAAAGCAAAGATGGATGTGAAAGCTGCTGTGCTACATTGACGATGGATAAGATATTCGTCGATAACAGCCTGGAGCATGAATTGACCGGCCAGATCGAACCAGCCAGATGTGGGCTGCCACTCGTCACCAAGACTGGCACGTGCAGCTGTGAGCTCAACGAACAACGGAAGGAGATCGTGGAGCGAAGCATGATCGGAGTCGTTGAACATCCCGATGTCGAAGCTTGTGGGTAGACTCAGGACTGCCATGCGTTGCTCTCGGGCAAACAACAATTCATCGCCAGGTACTCGGTATGAACCTTCAAGGGGAAGGATTGGATCGGGCGTCTGTGTGCTGGCCCAGAGCTTGCCTCGTCTCATGTTCTGATCGCGTAAACTGTGGAGGCCATTTGTGTCTGTCCATCTTGTTGATGGGTGGTATCGATGAGTCAATAGGAGAACGAATTGCAGAAGTCGTGAGCGAAAAGCGGCTTGGCTACTGAGGCGGCGGCCTTGGTGCTTTTTCGAAAGAAACGATCTCCACTCTGTATCGTTAGTGAGAACTTATTCGCATCCTCCTGGAGACCACTTACCAGCGGTCATAGTGACCAGAGCATCAGGCAGATCAGATTCCCATTTGTTCGCACTGGCTTGCCACTCGAATACGGTAGCTGTCGTCTTGTACACTAGAAAGTCGAGGATCGTGTGGTCGACATCGAATTGATCTTCCTCTTCATTGTCCATCCGCCGAGTGAGGTTGAAGAAGCCCTCACGTGACTGCCCGTTGCTGTCATATCCACGCGCCATCGTGGCCGCCAGTTTTGGCTCCAAGTCCCTTATCGTTGGGCCCTGACCGTGTCGTGCAGCGAACATTAGGTCGACGAAAGCCTGAATCAACAGAAGCGACAGTATATCAGAAGCAGGTGCAAGTCGTCTAGCGCAAACGATACAACAACCGTTTTAGAAGCAACCCCACCCCAAGCCCACTTTACCCCGACTCAACACCGCGTTTGCGGTAGGCAGCCAACTGCTTTAGGCGTGCATTTCATGCGCTTGCCCCAAAAGTGAGAGTCGCGTACAGAATATGCAGGTGCAGCCGGAGGCTAAGAGTTCAGTTCAAACTCAGAGTGAACCATATCAACCTTGCACGCCCCAAATCTGCGCTGGCGCCCGCTCGCTTGCGGCGTATAGCAAACTGGAGGGGGAGCGGAAGTGGCCGCGCTTGCATTGATGGCTGCCTCCTGACACAACGGCGTGAATTGTCTTGTGGAGGCTGACGAGGGTGAAGGAATGCTCGCTGTGCGTATGCGAAGGGGTCGTATGCTGTAAGCAGATTAAATAGAGCAGATTAGAGCCATGTTCCCGGCCAGACCCTGTTCCAATCGATGGCCGCGGCTTATCCCCGCTGCTAGCATTCACGCCTACCCACCACGCCTCGAGTACATGACTGCGCTCGCTCACCACCTGGAGATGCTCACCCGTCTGCAGACGACCTCGCGCGAGGATGCTGCCTAAGAAATCGCCCGCCCTCCTTTTGTCCTACGCCAATGCCTTCACGCCCCTCTACTGCACCCACGCCGCCTCGCCACACTCATGTCGTCATACATCGCCAAAACCGCAGCACACGACACAGTGCCGGACCTATGCACAACACGTCGACAGCAATGATGCAGACCTGCTCAGCTGGCCTGAGCCCATCCGCCCGCATACCACACCAACCCCGTATCAGATCCTGAACTGCAAGAAGGGCGATGCATACAAAAAGAACCGCTACTACGCCCTCGTCAAACTCTACCATCCGGACCGCTGCCACCCCGGCTCCTCCACACACCACCTCCCCCTCGCCGTCCGTCTAGAACGGTACCGCATGCTCGTCGCCGCTCACGACATCCTCTCTGACGCCGAGAAGCGGAAAGCGTACGATGCGTGGGGCGCCGGCTGGGCCGGTCACCATCGCACACCCACGTCTTCAGGCCATTCGCACAATCCGTACGACTGGGAGTTCGATAGAAACAGGTGGAATACCGATCCTCGCAGCAATGCCACATGGGAAGACTGGGAGCGCTGGTACAGCGAGAACGACCCCGAGCACCCACAAAAAGAACGCGCAATACAAATGTCGAACTTCACGTTCATGTCGCTGCTCTTTGCATTTGTAGCAATCGGCGGTGTGATGCAGGGCACGCGGTTCAATGGTTTCCACAACAGCGTCGTCGAGCGGAGAGACCAGGTGCACAGGGAGGCCAGCAGCGTGTATCAGCGGAGTCGACACGCTACTATGAGCGGAGACCGAGATGAGAGGATACGCACGTTTTTGGAGCACCGGGAGACGAATTTGGCGGGCGAGGAGAGCTACCGTAGGTTGTTGCCGCCGAGCGAAAATTGCGCGCCGAATGAAATGAGACGGCAGTGAGGATCAAGATCAATTGGGTGGAATTTTGCATTGAGAATACGACTTTCGGCGCATGATTGGCGTTTAAAGCATTGACTATATGTATATATGCGGGCTTGGGGAAGGCGTCCATACAACGAGACGTGGGTTGGTCTTTCAGGGCCTGAGCATGCGTTTGCATCACCCATGCACGATATCAACACGAGAATCGAAAGCTTGTTCGATCTCTGGACTCGCACAAACTTCGCTAACACCCCACTGCAGTAGCTATACGTGCCGCCCGCTTCTTGGTCAGAGTACACCTGCGCTCCGGGAAGCGGGAGATCTTTCCAATCGTACACATCCGCTTCCCACGTCCCCTTTCCGTTACCATTGTACACACGCACACAGCGCTGACGAGACCACCGACGAAATGAAACGACCAAGGGCGAGGAGTTCATTTTACTCAGCAAACTATTTGTGCTAGCTGAAAAGCTTATGGGCGACATTAGCAAAGACACTATCATCGCCGCAATGAACGCACGCACGGTAGAAAGAGATGTCGAGGACCGACCCTGCTACTCGTCGATGCATGCTGCTCATATCGTCTACGAGGGGACTGTTGACGGCAGCCGTGCTTGTTGTCTTCTTGTGCGACTGTACATAGAAAATGGTGGGTTTACATCGATCACTGGCACGTCTGAGAAGATTCCGAAAGCCCTCCTGTACGATCTTTCAGAAAGTCTTCTCGAGAAACGTGCTCGCCTGTGGGTTTACAACTGCGTCACGCAGACAAGGGATGATGCCTTAAGCAGCGCGAACTGCTGAAGATAAAACTTGAGATGATTGAAACAGGCTCGGCAATACAGAAAAAGGCATTGTAAGCAGATAATGCCAGCTCCAAGACGAGGCTGCAGGCCTCTCAGGGGGCTCATGAGCAGACACGGGCGCAGTTGAGAGATGTGCAGGCCTGAATCGCTGAGTGTCGCCCCTTAAAAGGAAGCGTAGCGGTGAGACTACACCTCTCCAGAACAGTTTGCGAGAAGATTAGCACGTAGGATATCAAGGATCGATATTTACATGGCTTCGCTGGATTCAAATACGTACGCTTGTGACAGACCCCAGAGGACGTCTACTACAAGGGTCTCGCAGCCTCGTCTAAGTAGTCAGCCTAAAGTGCGGATGATCATCTCCAAGGTTATCCGCATCCGGCTCCTCAAGCCTCCAGTCCCTCTCCCCTTTATCCCTCTTCTTATTCTCAATCTTGACCAGAAAGAACAGTCCCGTGCAAGCAGCACCACAGATCCACAGCATTCCCAGACTTACACCATACCCAGTCGGATACTTCGGCGCCTCGGTCTTGAAGAACACATTCGAGGCCACAATGCCACCGATATTGCCGAAGCCCACCTGCATAGCGGAGCTGACGGAGCGCTTGTAGTGTCCAGATACAAGATTCGACATCCAAACCAGGACGATGGGTTGAGTGATGTAGCCACCTGGGACGATGAGGAACAATGCGAAGTACTTGACGCCAGCAGAGAGATTGTTTTGAGCCAGCAGCATGATGTAGCCTATCGACGCAATGACCAGGCCCAGCATGGTGAGCCAGTATCGGTTTCGAAGACGGTCGGATACGTAAGCTGCGATAACAGCAGTCACGGTTGCGACAACGAAGATTGGGATGGAGCGGATTTGCGCGACCGAGGACGTGTACCCGAGCTCTTTGACGATAGTCGGGACGAAGAAAGAGCCAGCGTAGCCCGTGTTGACGATACCTGCAAGAAGAATTAGCTCTGAACGGCAGCTTTTTGAAAATGGCAACTAACCGAAGTATGCTAGAACTCCCAAGTAAATCTTGGGATCAGAGAAGATGCGACGAGCGGCCCTCATGTCAAGACGGTTCATAACAGCGTCACCAGTGTCGGCGCTGAGACGTGCAATGAGCAGTGCTCGTTCGTCTTCAGTAAGGAAGCGTGCTGTTTCTGGCCAGTCTGTGCACCAAAACTTGGTGACGATGCCCATGACGACGGTGGCGATTCCCTCGATGATGAAGATCCATCTGGATTGTTAGATCAGTGTATGCTTAGGGTATTCGGTAGAGATTCGTTACCTCCAGCCACCATAGCCTGCGATTCCATCCATCTTCGCAATTGCAAAAGCGAGCAACTAGGTTATGTCAGTATCATACTTTTCGGGCGGGAATGATATCTAACGCCACCGAACGCTCCAGCGATAATCGACGCCGTGAAGAATAGCGTCAGACGCCACTGCAGCTCGTAGCGCTTATAGTACATGGAGATGAGGTAGATACAGCCTGGTCGATGGTCAGTACAAAAGCCATGAAGCAAAGGGCTTCAAGTTTCTGCTTACCGGGAAACAAGCCAGCTTCGAAGAATCCCAGCAAGACACGCATAGCAATCAGGCCTTTGAAGTTTTTGACCAGACCCATACCAACTGTCGCAACACCCCATAGTATCATGATCAGTGAGAGCCATGTCGATGGCGCGAGCTTTTTCAGGACCAGGTTCGATGGGACCTCGAAGAGGATGTACGGGATAAAGAAGATGAAGAGCGCTATATTGTAGTCATTGTTGTGCATGTCAAGGTCTGCCTCGAGCCCTTGGATTCTTGCATTGCCAATGTTGGTCCCTGAGGTATGTCAGTGTGATCCTGAGGTCGAGGTCGCAAAACTCACTGTCGAGGAAGGCGAGCAAGAACAATACAAACAACGGCGGTAATACGTAGAGATCACATTTCCGCAGCAGCTTCTTCTCTGCGAAAGCATCGATATGGGTGCCAGCAGTGTCGTTGATGACTTCGACCTTCTCGTCTGAGATGCTGGGTTTCCTTAGCTCCGCCATGTTTGCTCTGGGTAGAGAGACGAGATCGTAGGGTGTCTACAAGACAATCTACCAGTCGTTTTCATCGTCTTATACAATGATCAGCATGAACTATATTTGTTCTGCGCCAATCAAGCGTAAGCTCGTCGTAGCCGATTTTACTCCCGTGCACACCATGCCAATGCGGGGAAGTAGTCTGGGGTTAAATCTGGGGGCGTGGAATCATCCCGCACTCTCTTGCCGCCGGTAGCCTGGCGTCATGTATGGCATTCTAAGCCGTGTCCACTGAATAAGGATACCCCTACAGCATATAGAGACATTTTTAGCGAACGTAAGTGTTTAAGTGGAGATAGGTGCAAGTGCACATCTTGAAGCGATAAAGAAACCCCACAGCAAGCGGAAAGACTGCGCTGCGCGGCCGATGTAGAACCACTTTGACTGGTCGATCTGCTATCAGGAGCGCAAGTCGTTATCCGTAGGTCAACGGTTGTTGAGTGGGTACGTCGTGCACCTAAAGATCAGTACGTAGGCTCGGAAAGTTGTCCGAATTCCGAACTTTGTGCCAACGATGCATTGTGCTTCTGACAAATGCCTACATAGCTGCTCCCTGGAGCCCAAGCTAGGATCTGTAAGGGGCACGGCCTGTCCGATTCGTGAGAGATAATTGCCAACTGAGTTGATCCAGTGCGTCTCTATGAGTCGCTCTTCTTCGACACTCCTAGAGGACTGAGAGATCTGAATCATATATTGACTTTTCAGGATACTCGAAAGACTTGTGATTACTTTTCACAAGGCGTATGCATGCGGATGATGATGCAGAAAGGAGACAACCGTAGATGGGCTCGTTTTGAAGCTCACTCATGTGCCGAGAGCTTGTCAAAGAAAGGATTGGTTTCGAAAATTGGCATATCAATATATGCGCCTATCGTTGCGCGCAATGTGTGTTGGGAGGAAGGGTTTAGTGTGTAAGATCCATCGATGTGCCCAGGTGAATGAAGGTGCACGTGATGATGGCGCCAAGCCTTTCGCTGCCTGGGTCGTAATTTCTGGACCTGGGAAGCTTCGAGGTCCCCACCAGCCAACCTCACAACATAGCCGCAACGCGATCGCAAAGACATTGCATTCAACGGCCAAACAGAAACTATTGCATTGAATTGGATTACTCGAAAAGACTGCAATCATGAAGCTCGTCAGGTGCGCAGACACGAAATCAACGCGCAAAGCTGCAACTAACATTGCGCCAGATTCCTCATGAAATGCCAGAACGAGACTGTCACAGTCGAGCTCAAGAATGGCACCATCGTCAATGGAACCATCACCTCCGTTTCGCCCCTCATGAACGTCGCGCTGCGAGCAGTCAAGTACACACCTAAGAACCGGGACACCGTAACCCTCGACACCATGACCGTGCGCGGTTCGACAGTCCGTTACATCATTCTCCCCGACTCTCTGCCATTAGATACGCTTCTCATCGACGATGCGCCAAAGCCCAAGAACAAGGCCAGGAAAGAGGCGGAACGAGGAGGTCGTGGTGGTGGTGACCGAGGCCGTGGTGGACGAGGCCGTGGCGGCGGCCGTGGACGTGGTGGTGGCCGTGGAAGAGGCCGTGGGTTCTAGATGTGTTGAAGTATTCGGCGTAAGGATCGAAAAAGCAGGCGACAAGGGAACCAGGCGATTTAGAAGAGGCAGGAGAAGCGGTTTGTGACAGGACGAGGCACAGGACAGCAGATTCACATACCGCCTGCGACGTCCACGGAAAGAACGCTCAAGATTCACTTCGAACGGTCACCACGTGCGAATATCCGCAGCAAGCACGGCGTTCGGCATTTCTGGGCACATGTATAGGTAAAGTGCAATTATGCACAAATGAAGCGTGATACCACTTGGAAAAACAGGCATCGATCTCCGCAATTTAATCTGGTATCAATCCATTGAGGTCATGAAATCTATGGTCTCGTACACTATCGTTTTGGCCCGGGCGGCCTTTTCGCTTCTCTACTCAGCATCGTAAGGCGCAACCGGCGGTGTGTCATCGACCTGGATACCGCCCCTCTTCTTGTCCTTGCTGTCGTGGAAGGGCAGCTTCCAGCCACCCTCGTCCTCTGGTGTGCTCAGCCACAGCCTCATCAAGTGCCTGCGAGGCGCTGGCGGTGGGTAGTCCTTGTACGCTGTCCTGGCGTGAAGGATGTGGTTGTTCGACAGGAACTGGATGTCACCAATGTCCAGGATCATGTGTAGGGCGAGGCGCAAGCAGGTCTCGTCGAGGATGACAGCGGCACGAACCTGCTCGGGCGAGAGAGCGGGAATCAAGCCTTTGTCGCTGAAGCGTGTCAGGGACTTGACATAGTATGGGTCCCACCTGAACTGCATTAGCATGACGATTGACGTGAGCAGAGGATCAACTTACTTCGAGTACACACGCGGGCTGTCACCAGTCTCCAGGTAGAACACACTGGTTCGAATCCACTCCTGCTGGCCCTTGCTCGTCTCTCCCTTACGATCGAAGTACCAAATCGGCTCGGTGAGGAGCTTCGCAACATCCGGGTGCTCCTTCTGCAGCACATTCCACACCTCATGGCTGCTGACCAAATCGCTCTCACCACCCTCGAGCGACTTAGCAATGCACAGCAAACCAACAAGATCCGCATCATCGGCGTGGAAAAACTGTCGCGCATTGGTGCGGTAAATGCGCACCTTATCGATCTGCGTCGCATCCTCATCGAGATCCTTAACGTGTCCAAGTACATGTCCACGCGAGTTCTGGCTCACGAAGTAACCGAGATATGTCCCAAGACCCATGTACGCAACAGCAGACTTCTGGTTTCCCCACTCGCCGACCGGCAGGCCCTTGAACAGGATGAAGCCCTTGCCATCGATGATTTCCTTGCGGAGCGGCTCGAGGAACTTGCTGAACTCGGGGAGCTGGAACTTGTCCTTTGTGATGCCGGTCAGTGGCTCGCCAGAGGAGATGAATGCATCTGCGGCGTTTGAAATTTCGGCGACTTCTGACTCGGAGAAGATGTGTGTCCAGCGCTCGGGGTTGTTCTGGTAGTTGGCTTTTGACCAGGCGGTGGGGCCTGTGATCTGTTGTGGGAAGTCTTCGTAGGGACGGATGTGCTCGAAGAGGGGTTCGTGTTGTCCTGAGGTGCGGATGCCGTCAGGGAAGATGCTCCTGTCTACCTTGTTGTTGGCGAGGCCCTTGGACAGCTCATGGGGAGCTGTGGGCGCCGAGGAGGTTAAAGCAGGTGCCATTGTGAAAAGCGTTACCAGACAAACTCAATTGTTTGTTTACAAGAAGATATATATGCTTGAAAGTGGTATCGCTGGGAAGCTCAAGCTTGTATGTGTCCCAAAGGAGTAGTAAAGAGTACGTTTTGAGCCCCAAGTTTGCAATCGCAAATCTTTATATCTACCCCTCCTCATCCCTACCGACCTAAGACATTATCCTCCTCAAGATGGTGTCAACTCATCGAGCTTCCTGTTCTAATCTCTAGTCTGAATTGCGTGCTCGCATACCATTCATTCCGCGATTAGCGACCCCACCATCATTGAATGGTGCTGACGTAGGCCAACCTCGGTTGCTTGCTTGCATTTCTTATCGATATGGTTCTGCACATTATGCATCCTACTCCATTGCGATCTGGATGGTCATATTGTATTGGTGTAAGCATGCTCGTGTCCTTGAGAACATGGGATGGGTCAAAGGAGGACGACGTTGGGTTAAGCGAGAGACGGACGGCAGAACAGTTCACATTACGGATCCATGACCCACTTACGCCCTAAACGCGTCTTGGACGCGATGCTACAAACACCCCGAGGAGAAAGACACCGAAACAAGACACCGAGTTCTTCCTTGCCGTGCCAGAACAGCAGTGCCGCGGAGCTCCACGCTGCACCACATTGCCGTCAATTTCCGCTCTCATATCAAGACCTCCCACACAAAAATCTACGGCATTCGATCTTCATATTCTGGGAGACAAAAGAAGGCTGAGACGAGCCTTGTAGACTCGCGCCGACACGATACAAGCTACTTCGTATTGACGTCTGACACGGAACAGTAACCCCAGCAAGGAAACCTCCGCTTGGAGGGCGCCTGCGTCCGGAAATCATATGTATGCCACCGCTTTCAGCTTCTCTTTCACATCCACGAGGACGATCTGTTCGACGGGCGTACCACAGATGTCATCAATGAGCTCCTCGAGCTTTTGCCCTTGTTCGCCCTGCAGCAGACGATTACAGAAGGCCCTGAATCGTGACGAGTACGAGAGGGTTGCGAACAGGGCTTTCGGCAGCAGACAGCCAATGACCAGTATTGCAGCCATCGTTAGTCCAGACGTTCTTTGCGCGCGCATATCTGCTACCACCGAGTTTATCAGAGCGACTACGATTGAGATGATGACGAGGTTCAGGCGGTCCTCAGCCGTGGCCATGGGCCCATTTGCTGAAGGTCTTCGAAGGCACTGATCGCGCTCAGACCCGAATGCTCGGTAGTCGTTACAACGACGCTTGAGTATGGATGGGACATGCTCGCGCGGTAGCTCGTTTAAACCCCGAAACACGTCGTCTCGGTTGTGTACTCGCTGAATACAGCATAGTAGCTTGTCGCTGAACTTTTGACAGTTGGCGGCAGTTATGTTGTAGTTCTCACCAAGCTTCCTGATGACTCCATTCGCTTGAGGACACGTCAGTACTGTGGAGTCTGAGAATCATGCTGAAGACTCACCAAGCTTAGTTATCGTTCCGTTATCGAGGTCAGTATAGCCACACAGCTGGAGGGTCCACCTCGGTTTTCCGTTCTCGGTCTGGACAATGACTCTGCCAGGTGTTTCTTCGACAACACTAGAACCTTCATCCTTCCTAAGTTCAAATAGCTTCCCGGCGATCAAGTCGTGGTCGTGAGAGACGAAGATTCCCCAATGATCAAATATGTTCGTCAGTGTTTTTCTTTGGCTTTGCATGAAGAAATCAGCGCTGATCTGTTCTTCAGGCAGGTATACATCTTCTGCATCATCGCGCTGTCGTTTTTGGGATTGATCTAGCAATCTCGTCGCCAGGTACACAGACCTCGGCCTTCCTCTAGCATCGGCCGTCGTGTACGCGGAGCTGATCGCGATCGTGACGAACTCAGGCTTTGGGGCAAGACCTGGAATTTCGATATGTGATGGCCGCCAGGCCACAGGATCTAACATCCGAGATGCAAATCTTTGTGGCCCAGTGTCTACCCTTTTCTCTATGAGGATTGGTTTCTTGACATCGTCACCATCGAGGCAGCAGAATGTCAGTAACTTGAACGTCCTTGAACACGGAGAAACTTACTGTCTGTTCATGTTGAACAAGTTCAATTGAGTTCGTAGAGTATCCACCTCAGTTCCGAATTCCTTCAGAACATACTTTCGGTTTCCCAGAGCCACAAGCCACTCTTTAGAAGAGGCATCCGTTGGAAGTTTTTGACAGACACTTAACTCCTCGAGATACTCGCTTAAAGCCTGCAGTGCGTCCTGGAGAGTATCGAGGGTGTCGCCGCCCATCTTATGTAGACCTTCGGAGAGGATGTTTCGGACTATTTGTAGCTGATCGAGCATACGCTCCAATTTCGATAAAGTACCTGCGAAATACTGGTCTACCTCGAGGTACTCCGAGCTCTCCAACCCTAACATCGAGAGCCATTTCGATCCGCTAGACAGTGTTCTGGTCAATGAGCGTTTCAGTGAAGGTATCACTGGACTGTTTTCTCCATGGCAGTTTTTGGATGTCCGTGAACCGTGCGCCTGCCTTAGTTTCTGAGTCCTATCTGTCACTTCATCCAGCAGTTGTATGACGAGTTTTGTTGGATCGTAAGAACTTGCTGGTCCTCTCCTTGGGCTTTGGTGCGCTTGGGAAGTCATCGAGCCTGCAGAGTACTACAGTAGGTGTGTCTGAACCTACAAACTGAAGAATGGCTAGGCACACTGTACTTAAGGCCAGAGCTGAAGAGGCTGAGCATTTACTTCGCATGATTGAGCCTCAATACAGCTGCCGGATGTGGTTGCCAGTGGACACCATCAGACAGACAGATAACGCATTCTATTCGCTAGGAAAGCCGACAGCTCCGCTTACAGGCGTGAATCCCCAAAAAAAGCAGCAGGCTGAGGGACTTCGGCTTTTGATCGGTGGAAAGACTGCATGGCGCAAATGGCTGGGATGGAGTCGCGAGGCTGAGTATGTGTGGGGTTCCGCGGAGTGAGAAGGAGACACCTACAAAACCAAATGATTACGCTTCGGGGCCCAAAGCATATTGGAGAAATGTCGAAAAACCATTCCATACTTCGACACAAGTTCGCGCCATGGACAATCACATCGAAAGCGATGGCAAACTTCATAAAGTGTCATGAAGACTCAACATCCACTACCAATGCGAACCTGAACCCTGCGTCGACATCATCATCACCATGTCCACAATGGCGAGATGGAAAGCTGTCAGAACTGAATGCTGTCAATGTGACGGTAAGATCAAACATTCCCACCTGACTTAGTCTTACTGGCTTGGGCTCACTGACATCACAGGCTGCCTTGATCGCCGCTGTGGTCAGCGCAGCCTTCTCGTGGCCCACCATCTCCGAGAGTCCTTGGACAGCCAGAGCGGTGTTATATGCCTCCTTGATCTTGTCACTCTCAACAGTGGCCTCTGCATCTCAGCAGAGTATAGCTCTGTACCGATACGGCGCACATCCCCAAGGCCTTGAGATGCTGCAAGAGATGCTGGCAAGCAAAAAAAGGGACAGACCAGCTAGTACAGCGAGCAAGCTACAGACTTACGTTTGGCAGATGCCAGTCATGCTACTCAACATCAGTATATCACTGCTCATAGTTGGCCTGTTCATTCTGATCTGGGATCGTGCCGCACAGGTAGTCGATTGGACTGATGACATGAAGGTAATTCTCGCAAGTCAAGTGCTCCCAAGTAGATACTGACTTACCGCAGATTGCTTTGGTGACAAGCATAGTGGGCATTTTCGCTTTAGTCAACTACGTGGTGGGCGCTGTGGCCTTGTACAAACAATCGCCTGATGTAGATGATCAGGAAGGTGGCCATGGCGCTAAGCAGGCTGCCGCCACACGATAGTAGGACATCTGGTTCAATGTAGTTGGTTGAAGCGTAATGTCTGCAATCAATTGCGTTCTGTTTACCAGCAAACAACATCTTGCACGTTCATATCCATAAGGATTCAGTGTCATCCTGGCTGCAAGTGAGTTGTGGCATATAGCACGGAAAGACTAGGCGTAGTGTTGCGGGTGATCAAGCGTAGAGGCTACACAGGTATAAAGTTCGAGGACCTCGACGAACGAGAGAATCCAAACGCTCTAATACCGACAGATGCCATGCTAATCAGGATGTATTATGATATGCAGATGGAGATTGGACGTAAAGCGGAGGAGTGGGACATCAAGGTTGGCACTTGGCAGGATATGAAGGCGCCTCGACGAGGAGATCCCGGATACATGGGGTTCAAAGACGGAAAATCTAAGAGGGAGCCTGAAAGAAGGTCGACCTAGGTTGGACACCCAGGAGAGTATTTGGGTATTCTGTTGCTTTGTTGCTGGTTGTTGCAGGCTCACACCTGAAGTGCCTGCTCGACTGGAAAACTCGAGCGGTACAGAAAAGAGTTACCGTCTATATGTACCGCCCTTGAGGGTCGAATTTGTCCATCAACTCCATCGACTTCTCGTACCTAGCATGTTGTTAGTGCGATCTATAACAAGACGTTTGTGCACGCTTACATAGTAAAGACAATACCGCCACTCAGAATGAGTCGTCCCAACCTGGGCAACGCGCCAGACCAGAACGTCAAGATACCCTCGTTCTTGAAGATCTTGGCCACACAGTCGAAGCTGTTCTTGTACGCGCTGCGTGCTTCTATCGACTGCATCCTTGTCTTGACCGTGTCGATGGGCATCGTTGTGTAGACTGTAATAATACCAGCGAGACCTCCGAGACCGAATGTGCTGACTGCTCCTAACTTCTCGCCAGGAGCAACATAGGACTGAGCTAGTTGTTTGAGCGATGTGTAACTCGAGAAACGGACGGCTGAGTTGGCAGCCTGTCGGGCAGTGGTGGGAAGGAAACCTTGGAAGAAACCGCGGATACCCTTTTCTTGAGCGATGATCTTTGTGCCGTGGAGGAAGCCGCGCATACGAGGGGTTGCTGATTTGCGGTCATCGATGCTAGGTCAATGTCAGCAACGGCAATGCCTAGAAGTCCGTAAGGCTCACAGTTGCGTCTTGATACTCTCGAAGGGAGTAACGGCCAGCAGCGACTCTGTTGCTCCTGCACCAAAACCTGCAATGACAGTTGCTGGCCCAGAGATCTTTCCTTCAGCGTCTGACAGCATGTCCTTGTACATGTCGAAGGCAACGAATCTGATGCCTGCCTTCAACGAGTTGCCAATGATCAACGTTGTGCACCCAGCGTACCACTGCTTGCCGAACGGCGGCCATGGCAGCTTCTTTCCATCTGCTAATCTTCGGTTGAGCTGGGATCGTGTCTTCGCGACTGGAGTGAGGTTAGATCATAGGTCTGTAATCGTTTCGTATGGTTCGCGTACATTCGGCCGGGTATGTGATGGCTATGATTATCAGATTAGCAGTTACTACAGTCGTAGCTTCTACGTCTTACAGATTTCTACAGCTCCAGCAGTTGCACCTGCTAGGATTGAGCGCATAGCACTCGGCTCCCGTATGTTAGCCTTTGTACGTCACTCCTCTTGCTCGAAGTCGTACCTTCTTCTTCTCCGTAGTTGCAGTTGCCATTTTGAAGTTGCTATGGAAGACGTTGTCGCTCTGGAGTCGTGTGCTCGAGCTCAAGCTACCTCGGTGACTCGTAGCTATGACGTGCGAACTGTGAAATACTTAATGGCAGCAGAACAGGTACGAAACACCAAGAAGAAAGACACGCAACGCGCGCAAATATTGCACGGAACCTATATTGTAGCAGGAAGATTGACGTCTGTCACAAGCCGATAGCGGCGAGCGACATTTTGGCCGCGGACGCGACTGCCAAGCACTGATGTCAAGAAGCTTGGGCCCGTCTTCTCGAAAAGTTACCGTCACAAGTCAGTGTCTTGTTGTTACTGCATCAAGATACCCCTCACACATCAACACAAAATGCTGTCTCTCCGCAACATTGCCCGCTCCGCACCCCGTGCTGCCCGTTTCACAAAGGCTGTCCGCCCTCAGTCTTCGCTATTCCGCCAGACAGCCGCTTTCCAGCCAGCATGGTCCCAGGCCGCCCCCAGGCTCACAGCTTCCTTCCACATCTCTGCTATCAGGAGGCAAGAAAGCAGCGGTACGAATGATCAATCGAAACAGTGCATGAATGTATTGCTGACATTGGACCAGCAAATGAAGAGCTTGTTGCAAAGCTCCAGAGCGAAATCTCCATGGAGGAGGACATGAAGGAAGATGATGACCTCTCCGCCAACATCAAGGAGTACCTTGAGAACAGCCCCTTTGAGGTATGTCCTGGAATCATACTGCAACAGAACTAATGACTAATACTCTACAGCTTGAGGACAAGACTGGCAATCAGGAAGTTATCCTGACCCGCACTTTCGGCGACGAGAAGATCCGCATCACCTTCACCACCGCCGACCTCAACAACAACGTCAACCCCGAGGACGCTCTCGAGGACCAAGCCATGTACGATGACGCCGACATGGACGTCCAGTCCGGCGGTGCCAACACCAAGGGCGCCATCAACCAGGGCAGCACCAAGGATGGCAACATTCGTGTCGCACCTGAGGACCGCATTGCCCCCGCCGACCGCGAGGAGCTTGAGGACGACTACGAGAACGAGGATGAGGGTGAGCAGGGCTTCCCCGCTCACGCCAGCATCCGCATCGAGCGCCCTGGCAAGGGTGCTCTCGCCATCGAGGCTACCGCTCAGGATGGCGACTTCCTGATCGAGGACCTCTACTACTTCCCCGACGCCGAGCTTGCCGACCCTCAGACTGCTGAGAAGGACTGGGCGAGGCGGACGCTCTACACCGGTCCTCCTTTCAACAACCTCGACGAGGACCTTCAGATCCTCCTCGAGAAGTACCTCGAGGAGCGTGGTATCAACACCCGCCTGGCTCTCTTTATCCCCGACTACATTGACCACAAGGAGCAGAAGGAGTACATTAGGTGGTTGAACAACGTCAAGAGCTTCGTCGCATAAGCATCGCAATATTCCACTCTGTACTACTTGTAATCTCAACTTCTGGAGGAAATAAGGCACTTTTGGCCATGTAAAATATAAGCGGGGACCTCTCCACCCGCATGTGTGACTGATACGACTGGGGGGGAAATCAATACCATCATGGCGTTCAAAGCGTCACTCTTCCTCTCTCAGTTTGCTAGCCGTTTCGGTGTTGATGCCTTGTTATCCTCATATATATGTATGCTCACGAGATCCCAGATGTACGTTCCTAAACTCTAAGACGCTATGCAAATGCAGCCGGTCCAACACAAGTCAACCCACTCATCCCGACCTCATCACCTCCCCATAGAGATATCCCCACACCTCTCCGTCTCATCATGCTCATGATACAACGCACACCTCGCGCCCCTCCACGGCCTACAAACCTCCCACTTCCTGCCCTTCTTCACCTTAATCTCCCCCGCACCCTCCGTCGTACCCATCACATCGCCCTCCTCCTTCTCCCTCCTATCATCCCACCCGGCCATCGCCACACCATCCTCCACACACCTCGTGCAGAAACTCAAACAGCAGTCATCACACGCCACAGCGCCGAACCTAGGCTGCAGCACGCTGCGACAGTTATCACAGCTCCTAGCGTCGTGCCAGGACTCCGGGCACCACATTCCTAGTTTGTGCCTGAGCATGGCCTGCGCGCAAGGACGTTTGAGGAGCACGCACAAGTCGCGGAGGAACGCGGCGTGCCAGGCGTCCACATGGCCCTCTACCAGTTTATCCGTCTTCTTAAACGCAAACAGATCGAGGACTAGATCACGCAGCGATGCAGAGTCGCGGATCCCTTCGTACAGAATGCGCGTATCGCTCGGCGTCAGCACTGAGTTCGTGCGGTCGGCGAGGTCGGCGATTGAGTCTACGACTGCGTTGCGCAGGCCCTCGACGCAGAGGCGGTCGGCGAGGCTGTACAGGTGGAGGAGGGTGTAGTACGCTGGTTTTCCGTCTTTGAAGGGCGCGGGGATAGAGGAAGTGTACAGCCAGGAGACGAGGAGTTGGAAATGGTCTGGGCTCACATCATCGAGCGTTATAATCTTGGTTGTAGACTCGAGGAATGGGCCTGTGAGCGCGGCACGGAAGTAGGGCGATTGCCTGGCGAGAAGGGAGGTGTGGATGCTGAAGGGAGTGCGTTTGGGACCGATGTAGAGGGTCACTGTGGATGTGAAGTCTGAGGCATTGGCTCTGGCAGATTGTGGGTCAGTTGTGGAGGTTGCGGACTCCCTTGCGTGGGCAACGTACCGAAGTTCTCTGGCTCGCGCCCCTGTCCGCGTGGATGGCGGCGGCAGATTGGTGAGAATGTGCGTCGGTGATGGCTCGGTGCTGTAGGCCACGCCGATGCTGCGTGTAGTTATAGTCGTTTCCCGCACGGTGTGCATCTTGCAGCCCTCCCTTTAGAAGCGAATCCTAACAACAATAACTCAAACACGATTTTCAAATCGTACGACGGACAGAAACTCTCGACATGCGCAGCTGGACACTCTCGTCGTTTTGATGGGGTTCAGTATCGCGACCGCAAGCGGGTGGCCTGCGCATCCGTCTTTGATGTCTGAGGAATGTGAGTGTTTCGACATGCGTACACCTATATCCGTACAAGCAGCGAACAAGCCCTCCACTTGCTGTTACGTGTCATTAACAATCGCCTTGTGGAGGCGTGCAGCTGAGTCTCACTGCTTTGTTCGTCGCTCACCCCCTGGGCGAGCAAACAAACGCTGAAAACGGGACATGCAACCCTTGCGAAAGCAGACAAGACAATAACGCATCGAATGGCACATGATAAACAATGGGATAATTGACAATGCACGGGGGTTAGAAAGGATAGGATGTTCGAAGATGTGATATTGAAAGAAGCTTTTGCTAAATCGATGCTGCAGATAATGGGCTGCTGTGTATACATGCGCCTGATGAGATCCATCGAGATGCAGGCAACTGCCGCTCTCCATCATCAAACACTGCCGCAAATCGAGGTCTTCTCCACAGCGCTCGCGCGTTATGTAAGGAACATGCGTACACGATATACGTACCAAAAGGATGCCCATAGTTCAGAACGCCAAGCTGGGTATGCATTTAGATTGGGTCATGAAAAGCCGGGGCCGACGCATCGTCGAGACATGCGCGCATGTACAGCGGCTTCGGGAAGCAACGCAGGTACCTAGATACGGTGCTTCTCCGATTCTGTGGCAGGGCATTAGTTCTTGTTTCGAGAAGTGGGGGTGAGGTTTCTGACCGAGTCGTGAGTACAACATGTAGAGTGCCATCTGGTTGCACTCCTGTGTTCCTGTGATCGTGACCAGGCGCTCGTTGCTGTTGTCTGTAGGTTCGTTGATCTTGATGACACTGCCACTGAGCTGACGAATTTCGTTGATCTTCGCACCGCCCTTGCCAATGATGGCACCCACCATATCGTTGGGGATGAAGATCTGCTGTGTGAGGGGCTGACCTGGCATCTGGACTGGCGGCTGGTTGGGCGCTCCACCGTGTGCAACGGGTGCTGCACCATGGTGCCCACCGTACGGCGTTGGCTGCGCTGGGCCACCATAGTGAGCTCGACCAGGTGAGCCAGCTCCATAAGGCATGTTAGGGTGTCCATATGGTGTCTGTTGGGGCGGCTGGCCGTGCATATGAGGAGCGCCGTATCCTCCATGCTGAGGAGTGCGCTGGGGTTCTGGTCGGCGGAAGTTGTTTGGGTGAGGCTGTGAGTACTGCCCTCCAGCTGGCTGAGGAACGTATGGTTGGACGGACATGCCTCCAGGGACAACGTTAGCGGCCATACCACTGCGTGTTGCGTACTGAGACGCGGCAGGGCCACCGAAACGCTCTGTTAGCTGCTCCACTAAGGTCTGAGCAACATAGTACACAGCGATGTGCACAGCGTCGGCGACACCAAGGACAACCAATGATCGCTCGCCAGAATTAGGCAGGAGGGTATCAGAAGCATTCAGCTTTGCGTTGGATGCCTCCTGGATCTCACGAATACGAACACCGGCTTTACCAATGATGGAGCCAATGAGAATGTGGGGAATGAGCAGGCGCATGGGGTAGGCTTTTGAGGTGGAAGTGGAAGGGTTCTCGAGGTCTTCCTGGTTCAGGGTGCGCACGATCAAGCCGAACGCTTTGGACACCGCATCAACCTGACCACTCACGGTAAGGATGCGCTCAACAGCGCCTCGTGAATAGTCGCTGACTGTGCACTTCGCACCAGAGAGGCGTCGAATCTGGGTCACATTTTCTCCACCTTTGCCAATAATAGTCGCGGCTTCGCTAGTGCCGATGCAGGCTCGCAGGTGCAGCCAGTTTGACTCGTCAACCTGCTGGTTGCTGTTGCCAGGACGGCCATTGGCGCCAGAAGTGGATTGAATAGGCTGAGTCTCCAAGATAGCGGGAGCATCAGGAACGATCGTGTCTGCTTGGGCGTGCTCGTCGCCGTTCTGAGCAGCCACTTCAGCAGTCTCGTCTTCTGGCTTAATGTCTTCTGTCTTGATGTCTTCTGTAGCAACGCCTTCTCCCTTGACGGGCTGCGCCGTCTCAATGTCGTCGGCATTGGGCTCTTCCTTCACCATCTTGTCGAGGGCGGGGCGCTTAGCGTCAGGCTGATCGTTGGGTCCGGCAGGAGATGAGGGCTCCTCAAGCGGACGCTTGGTAGAGGCTGCGATGGTCGGCGATGCAGACATGGTTCCTAACTGTTTTGGAGGTATTGAAGATTGGGTAATATGCTCTTTCACAGTCCAGGCAATTGCTCAAGCTGAATGCTGGAACTGTTCAATTGTATTCGTTCTTATGTACAGCGGGGGCTGTCAAGGAAAGCGTGTTGGTGCTGGCGGCTGGAAAGGAATTGCGACAGTGCGGTTGGAGGGAGCGTGGAGGTGAGGTCGTTCGGAGCTTGGACTGGGCTGGAAGCGTGCAGATGGTGTAGGTGTCGGAATAGTGTCGTCTTGATGTCTGAAAGACCGCAAGAGCGTGTGCAGGTGATGCGAGTGAGTCGGAGAGGGTGAGTGCTGGCTTGGGGCGAGGTGATGTCGAGCAGAAGAAGAAACGGCCCAAGTAAGAAAAGCTCGCTCGTCAAACCTTCTCGCAAAGCAGGGTCCGCGACTTCCACGAACGCAAGTACAGAGTCAGAAGGGTAGGGGCGGGTTAGTGCGCAGAAGGGGTTGCTCTGAGGGCAGAAGGTGGAATGGGTGATGGGGAAAGGACGTTATGCAGTCGTCGCCAAAAAGGAAGTGGAGATCGCCAGTCTTGGCAGTTTCGAGTCACGTGTACGACCTCACTTGCTACCGTTCACTGCGCAGCACCTTCACACAGAGAACTTGCGAGAACAGTGAACCAGGTGAGGGGTTGTAGTGAAGCACATTGTTGTGTGGTGAGAGAAGCGGCGTTGCCTAGTTTGTCATCGTCGCTTGCAATACGGAAAGGGCGCATCAACACCGACACACCGCAGCCGGGAAGACGGTACGATATGGCGCAACAACAGGACAGAGCCATCGAAAAGATACGGGCATACTCCAAGGATGCACATGAGCTGCGTGATGATCCGATGGAGCTTGACGCGTCTAACACCGAGACGCGGTTGGCCCAAACTGTGAGAGAATTGCAGGCACGCGTCAAGGAACAACAAGCTGTATTGGAGACGGTACGCAAAATCAACGTCATAGAAGAACTTATATTTACATCTTGCGTAGTTGCAAGCACAGTCAAATGTCGACATTGAGTCTGCAGCCTACGCCTCTGCAGATCCACGCCAAAAGCTGCGACAGCTACTTGCTGTCAAAGACGCGTACAAGCGCCTTACACCCATTGCACCATTCCTCCCAGAGGAGGGCTCTGTACTTCCAGCGCTTTTGGCAGCGCGTACCCTTAACCAAAATGTTCAAGGCACCAAGGTGGCGATCTCCAGCACGCAAAGCAAGATTGCTAACACAGACGCAATATTACGCCGCGAGGAAGCGAACCTAAACGATGCGAACCTTCTTACGCAAGCCATGGAGAACCGGATCGAAAGACTGCGTGTACAGCAGGAAGATCGCTCACAGAAGACTCCGGCGCAGCTTGCTCGCGAGTTGATCACAGCCAAGCGTGCACAGAAGGACGGCTACGATGCAGCAACACAAGCACTTGGAGAAGCCATGAACGACTTCATCAACGATTATCTGGCAGCAATGATTGCAGCCGAAGAGCTAGGAGGTCCAGTCGTCGGTGAAATGTTGAATGTGGAAGACGACACCCTTGCAGCGGGCTTCACCAAGCAAGGAAGAGCCAAATCAACTAAGAAGACTGTATCAGACAAAACACGCCAACGTAGGATCGATCAGATTTGGGGAAACAAGGCTCCCATCGAAGAAGATGAGGAGCCGCCTACAGAAGCCGAGGCAGCCGATGCGGAAATGCGGCAATTGATTGAAAATTTGTTTGCAACTTTGATCGGCCCTGGAGGAGGGAAGGCGTACTACCAGCTCGACCGGGACTCGGCAGCGACACGATTCTTGGTCAGAGCGAAGATAGCACAGTTTCACCCCAAGGATGCGAAAAAGCTGCGACTGATCGACTTTGGGAGGGAGCTGGACGACTAAGGTCCAGTCCACCACGCAAGTACAGAAACAACGATTATTGCAACGACACCAGAAAAGTTGATCTCTACCGTCTTCCGCGAATTGGATCGAGGACTTCATTTGAGATAGTCGAGTGGGCTGCACATTGCCAGTGAAGTTTCGTCTTGAAGTAGCGCTTTTGCTATGTTGTTGGCCGTCAAGCTGCCATGCATGCCCACACAGTGAATGCGGCGATCAGCTGGACCTAGAGATATCACATCAGATCACGACAAGATATGCCTCGGTCATCAGTAGTGTCAGGGTCTCGAGACCAAACGAAGTCGGTTTACCACAATGAATATAGCAACTCTGTACACTCCGCTACAAGGTCACAGACCATTCTCGCCAAGACGACAGAAGTGTCTTCACCATGTCCATGGTGCCCAGTTATCAAAGCCAATCCTCTTCCCAAAGTCACGTGTCTATCTTGCCGACTTTCCTTATTTACACTGTTCTATCAACTAGATGCTTTTCACCATGGAGACCTGCTGCGGTGATGAGTACGACCTGGCTAAACTTCCATGCAGAACATTACATCTCCATCAAGCACGCGGCCGGTTTACGTTCAGCAGCTCGCGACTACAAGGTTCTTCAACTGCTTACACGACCCAAGTACACGACCCACTCGGCTGAATCTTCATAGAGGCTAAACCTCCAAGGCCTGATGTACCAAGAGCCACCTCATTTTCTGCATTTCTCGAAATTACGGGTTTATCTTGCCAACTACCTTTATCTCTGTCATCTCATCAACTAGAGGCTTTTCACCTCGAAGGCCTGCTGCGGTTATCGGGATGACCTGGCCAAGTCTACGCACAACAAAGTTAATGTCGGTCAAGCCGACGGCGGTCTTGCGCTGAGAAGTTTGTGAACACAAGGATCCTTGACTGCCGATACGGTCCGGCTAGACAAGAACTTGCCATGCAACATAGTCTGATGAGTCACAGTATTTGTGAGAGAAGGCCCTTGGTCAAATCCCATAGAGGTTGTCAATTGAACTCTCATGAGGTATACGAGATGCAGAGCTACCGTTTGACCAGGCGACGGATGGATACAATGCTCCGCATTCCTGGAACTCAAAAAGAGTTTGGAGATACACTTTGTAGTTGTGCGCTTGTTCAATCGTTCTGTACATCCTTTCTTCTATCTACCGCATTACAAAGAAACAAAGATACAGGATCTCACAATCTCTCATGTTGCAGAAAATACCAGCTACAACATCATCGAGACGACCTCCTCACATCATTCCCAGGAGCCTTTAAGGATTTAGCAAATGCTATACAGCGACTGCAGAACTTATCGTTGTCTACAGAGGCTTCCTTGGCTTTTAGATGGTCTGCAAATCAGTACTGGGTACCTCTTACAACTTCAAGAATACTAGACTTGTATCTGGCTTTCATTGCCAGTTGATAGACAGTCTGCTACCTTTTCTACTAGAATCCTGGATCGTGCACTTGTCCCTCCAGATACTCTCTTTTTGAAGCAAGCCTCGCAAACCTCGCTATCGCTCTCCACGCACTGCTACGGACCACGGAGCCTCCATCTCCGTACCTACTCCACAGTCGCATCCTTAGACGTGGAGGCCTGATCACCATTCCAAGCGACGGGATCGTATGATATTCTGAGGGAGGGATCTACATCGGGTAGAGCTGCACCGAGCACGGCTTGTCTTGCAGCTTACTTCCGTGGGCCACGGATCTCGGGCTGCGAAAAGGCTTCGTCCCCTGTCCTCCCCTTCCTATGCTGCACCCACCTCCTGACTCGCACTCACCAACCTATGTGATATTCACCACTCCTACAATCTCGCTCACGATCGGTGTCGATGAGCTTTGCTCATGCAGAAAGACTATCTTAAGAAAAAGCAAGGTTGCGCGAGTAATGTATCCACAATTTAGGAACAACCTTGCTATTACCCTGGAGACGTGCAGCGCATCAACGTGGCTCCAGCAGGTACGCTTCTGACACGCGCCCAACCGGCAGTCTTCCACGCCCCGCTGACGCGCGCATGCGAATGAACCCCATGCTATGATCTCTTATTCGCTATGCTGCGTCTGCAAGAACGAGAAGCGAAATGTCATATTACCAAATTGAGAAGGACGGGAATGCGAAAGGAAGGAAGTAGTTTGACGGAAAGAGCCGGTGGTATCAAGGTTAGAAGTTGTCCTTTCGATTTACTCAGTGATGATGAGATCGCTCGCACGTGCTCACTTGAAACTCTTTTATTGATCAGAAGATTCTCCATGCACCCTCGTCGATCATGAAGTCACATAGGATTCGGTAGATTCCACATCGAGGGATGGTGAATCATTATGATGACTTTTGCTCGTGTTACCACAGTTCGCGTAAAGAGCGGTCAACAGCAAAGGTCGTTTGTCGCGTTTGCCGTTTGAAATCACAATACGCTGCGGGTCTTTCCAATGTCCTCTTGCGACGGAGTTTGCCATTCTAGGAGGAGGATCTGATAAGGACCAAGTCGCAAGTCGGAAGGGTCGGAGACGGAGACATGGGTCCGTCCCGTTCTGGAGACCATGTCTGAAGGAATGCCAGCATCGTTATTATCGATACTCCCCGCATTATTGACTTCAGGGTGCGGATATCGAGTGCGATCTAAAAACTATAACCGAAAAGCATCGATGCGGCTCGAAAGCTGCTTCTCAGGCTCTACCTGAACGACTCTCCTTACCGAACTGCAAGCCCCAAAGCCACAAGCGTGACCCGAATCCGAGACCTCAGGGCTGCATCACAAGAGACGTTCCGTGCTCTCATCCTTCCCAATTTCGCCCAAAAGGTGAGACACTCTTCCCAAAAGCACTGTTGTCGGTACGCTCCGCGCAGCTTCACTCGACGACTCAAGGCTGCAGCCACATCATTTCCACCACTTGCGCACGTCATCCGTCTCATCTCGTGGCCTGCCACACGGGACGGAGATGTGACCGACAGGCAAACGGCAGGTCGCAACGTCCAGCAATGTTCGACAACGTCCAAGTCCGGTCGTTCTTCGTCGTATCGAGGATCGACAGAGGTGCGGCCTGCGAGCTTGTTCGCGCCTCGAGCGTGCCCCGCACTTAAGAGCTGTGGTGTGGCTTCAGCGGTGGCCTCGTTGTGTGACAGTAACGGGATCTAGTTGATAGATTGGATGGTTTAGCCTTCGCTTGTGTTCGCGTCTACCGACAATGTTGCCAAACTAGAGTACGTAGTGCTTGTGGCTGTGCTACGAGTTCTTGTTTGGTTTTGACATGTGCTTTCGACTTTCGACGCTTATGCCACACTACTGTGGCGACAGTCTGGTACTTCAACAAACTCTGCAGAGACGATCTACTCCGTGGAGACACAACCAGGCTCTGCAGATGTGTCAGTGATTGCGACTTCTGGAAACCTTACATCAGATCGACTGAGCAAAGAGGTATCCGAGCCGCTGTGGCAATACGCAAGAAGTTACACGTGCGCCCTTGCCACATCTTGTGGCTTGATGTCTAATGCGGTTCTTTGTAGTGCATAAATTGTCGATCTTTGTAGATCGACTTTTGGTGATTGGATTGATCTTGTATGCTGTGGCAGTCACTCCGCATCTTGGCTACACATGGCCATGCTAAGATTAGAACAACATGAAGAACCGCGGTATCTGATTGATGAACAGCCCAAGACCCTTTGACCAAATAGGCTGTCGGTGAACAAGGTGTTACGCGTCGCCTGTATGTTGAACTGTTTGGGAAACGAGAGATATGCAATCCACTACGCTGTATGCAGGGTCTCAGGGCATCGGAGTCCACGATGGTTCTTGCATCAGTGGCGAATGATCCTTTGGCGCAAGGCGGAATCCGAATGAGTCTTAGGAACGCTTCGAAGCGTGAACGCCAGATACGTGCATAATGGTATTCCGCGGAAAGGCGTGGTGGCCTGCGATTGTTCGCTGTAGATAATGACTCGTTTCAGAGCCGTCCAACACCAGTGAAGAGCCTTAGTTACGACTGTGGACTCTCCTCTGGCGCCTCATTTGCCATCGTCGTATCATTTCTGCAGTTATTGCGACTCGATATTCTGACGACCTCCTGTCAAAGTATACCGAGTCATCTTTGTAGTGGGTTACTGAATTGGCAAGGACGTGTACATGTTTCGAGTTGGGAATACGCAGGCTGCAGGGACGGCGACTGATAGTCTGAGCACGAGGACAAAACCCCTCACTTGAAACACATGTCCGCCTCGTTCCCATTCGAGGGTATTCAGAAATGCCAGCGCATCCTCTTTGGTTCACTTCAACGTCGTGGTGTAGCGATGTTGTGATTGGGTAACAAAGTCATGCGCTGTGACATCAAGCTTCGGACACTACACAAGACCCCGGAAGGGTGCGTGATCAGCAATCGGCTAGACCTGCCCAGCAGCCACCACAATTTCGCTTGTCAAGGGATCCCACGCGAGCTGGTGATAGCGGTCAACGCTAAACGTCGAGGTGCGGAAGTCGGTGTCGAACTATGTGATGTGGTTGAGGACCAAATGAATTGGCGGTTGCTTGGTCGATCGTTATGTCAACGATTGTTCTGACATTGCGAAGTTGTGTAGGCTTCTTTGTAACTAATCCATTGGCCAATAGCAGTGCAGCAGTGACTGATTTTAGACAAAAAGAGCACTACAAATTGGTACAGCCGGAGGACGCTGGGCGTCTTGGCTTGAGCTGTGTGGTGTCCAGAGCTGAAAGATTGGGCAGGTTGTACGATGGTAGCGAGCTGCCGCGTGGTAGCGAACTTGCTTTTTGCTCCAAAGGGAGAAAGGGGCCCTTCAAAAGTGCCGCGGAATCTCCCGGTGTGGTAGCTGTGACAGCACGTGGAGTCAAGCTGAGAGCCTGGGTGTCTGTACTCTGTACTGATGATTAGTGAACCTCGTCGGACATCGGTCGATGAGTCTCTTGGTCTGAGTTGTGAAGAGGTGAATGAGCTGAAGTGTTGAAGCGCGTTATAAGAGTGTAATGATTTGAATTCGTCTGAAGGAGGGGCCTCGTCATCCTCGCCAGAATGCGAGGACGCACTCTCTTTGTATCTCAAGACAATTACTGCTTCACTGCTGCGCCGCCTAGCGCATGTGTATGTACCGTCGTCGCATCCTGCAATCCCTTCGCACTCAATTGTTGCTTAGCAATCTGAAGCCGCTGGAAAGGTAAAATGGTATATGGGTATCGTTGTCGAACCGAAAGAAGAAGAAAAAGCAAGGTATATCAACAAAAGAAAGGTATTTCGTTCACAAAAGAACGAATGGTATCTCCAGAACCTCTCAACACCGGCAAGTATGATACTGTATCAAGTGACACATATCAACACAATCAGCCCCCTATAGGGCGAGGATAAGTCGCCGTGGATGTACGAATAGTACAAAATCATAAGTCTGGATGGGTCATGAGTCTAATGGTTGAGAGAAAGTGGTGGAAATCTCGAGGACTGCCGGTTGGGCGTTTAGAAAAGAAGCCGAAGCTCGTAGCCAGTCGAATGCACAGCTTCGACTACTGATATATCGCCGTCAACCTGGATGTCGGTGGGACCAGCATCCCATTCTCGCTTCGTTGGTTGAATGGGAGGCGTACCGATCTCGTGAAATTCAGCAGCCATATCTTGTTGTTCAGGTATGGCGTTGACCGCATCGTCGTCCATTAAGATGCGCAGGCCCTTCTGGTTAACCCGGATGGTACGAGTAACTTTGGTGGGCTCGATGTTGATTTTCATAGCGATGCTGCTTACGAGCGCTTTGAGGGAGCGTTCTATTACATAGACAGCGCGGAAATAGTTGTCGTCCGGCTGCTTGCCAGCAATTCTTGGTTGCACGAAGAAGCACGCAACTGCACACAATGTTAGTGAAACGAGACATATTGATGTATTGGATGACATACCTGGCTTTAGCATAGGCTCGGGTGGTGGCTGATAGGTCTGGTCAACACCCAGAGCCTCGATCCAACCAGAGAGGGCATGGTCATCGGAGTACGGCCTCTGGACTTTAGTGGGTACATCGGAGCCGCCATGCATTGCGACCATTCCCTTCAGATCACCTGTGGCAGTCTGGGGGAGGCTTCTCCACTCGCCTGAGGTCATGCGCGATGGCGGTCCGTAGGGACCGGGACGTTGGAATGAAGAGGCCCTGCGTTTCTCGGAGTGCAGAGATTGCGAGCTCGGTGTAGGTGATACCATGGACGAGTTGCCTGTCTGAGAGCTTTGGCCTTCCCACATCTGTGAGTCCACGTTCGTATCGATCTTGGACAGTTCTTGTGGATTGGAGGAGAGCTGGACTGGATGAAGATCCGGGTCGTCTTGTTCCTCGCCCTTCAGGTACAAAACGCTCACGGGGCGTGTGGAACTGAACATGTCCTGAAGAGATGCCAGCTTGATGTGCAGGTCTTCTTCAGCTGCTGGGCGAGCTCCCTGGTTGTCACTTGCAGAAGACATCGACCACGTCCTCTTGTGCTTCTGGAGCTTACCAGGCCTGGAGCTGCTGCTTTTGTCGTCTCCACTGCGTTTGCGCTTTCCAAAGTCCTTCATGCCAGACTCAACCTGCGCAATTTGCTGCTTCAACTTGTCAATAGTCTTCTTGACATGTGCAACATCATTCGACAATTTGCGCTCTGCGCCATGGTCGCGGAAAAGCTTGACTTTGCAGTAACAAAGCTCAGCGGCGAGCGTTTCTGAGGGCGATCCAGTGACCTCTGAAAGTAGCTCGGTTTTGGCGCATAGGCGAACTGGAATACCCTTAACGCCCTTGGAGTGGCTAAAGTCGGTAGAGAGAAAGTTGAAGCGAACTGCCAAGGAACACTCGGCTGCAGCGTTGGGTGCGGGTGTCCATGTTACAGCAAAACCATCGAAAGAAGACGATTCGAGCTCAACTCTTGGCCGTCCTTGGACTTCACCGCCGCCGACTTGGCTTGGATCCACGAATTCGACCGCCTGGAGACGGCCACCCCGTTGATGTGCCTCGTTTGTACCGCGTCCTTCTTTCCAGAGCTGCCAGCAAGAAGCGGGGCGTTGTCGCTGCTGCTCGTCTTCGAATGAGATTCGGATGAAAGTCCGGTACTTGAGGGTAGACGGTGGTGCCTGGCTGGGTGCTGCGGTATCAACTAGCGAGACAGAGTATGCCTGACCCTTGTTGAGATAGGTCACAGGAACTTCATCTGACTGCTTTATCATCGCAGTGGGCGCATTCAGGGTAACGTGGTAACGGAAGTTCTGGTTTGGTTGAGTTGCCGGGGCCACTGCGCCTGGTAGGTTGTTTTCGTAGGGCTGGGGAGCGAAGCCAATAAGAGGGGATTGCATCTCGACTTCTGGGATGACGTTCTCCATGGGAGAGTCCTCGTGCGCCTGGGGGAGAGGTGCATGATCAAACGCAGATGGCTGGTGCGTGAACTGGTGCGGCGCAAATGATTGAGGGTGCTGGGGCTGAATGCCGAATGGGTTGACATTCTGGAAATGGTGGTGGGTACCCAGAGCATGAGGATTGAAGCCCTGGAGATGTGGGTTGGGCGCAGTCTGGCCAGCGTGGACGGCGCCTTCAGAGGTGGGGAGGGAGAGGGGTGTGCCTAGACCAAAGCTGAAGCCGGGCGTGTGCAAGTCGCCGGCCTGACTGTGGTACAGCGTATTGGTGCCGCCCGGCGTAGGCGTGTAGTAGCCAGGAGGCTGGTTTGCGAAGGCGGTGAATGCAAAGCTGTTGGGGTCGAGGAGAGAAGGCGTGAACCTCCATGGCTCGTTGTTTCCCCGCGGCGTGGGATCCTGGTCCTTGATGTCTTCGGCGTCGCCATGTCTGGTTGACAGCTCGTTAGCAACGTGGTTCGTGAGGGGCTGCTCGTGGACAATGGCCGCGTGGGCGCAGAGACAGAAACATGGCGCACTACCGCTGGCGCGTTGCGGGCGCGCATCAACAAATACAGGGCTGCAAGAGAGGTACCTACCGGGCGGGATGTGCTACGTCGAGCGCATCGGTGAGAGTGTGCCCTGGCGGGCCTGCAATCGAATGCGACCGTTGGGCGAGGTGAGGGAAGGTCGCTTTGAAGTTCTCTAGCAGCTCTTCGTTCGGCTTTGCTTGTGAGGATCTGACCGCTGGTTAGCCACGACCTTTCCGGGTCCCGAACGCGACGCGCGAACATCACAGCACGCTGCTCCGTAGCAGCACCATCAACAAACAAGGGGACTCACCGGTTGCGAAACATCGCGGAGAAGCTCAAGGCAGACGCTGTTGATCGTCTGTGAGCATCGAGAGGTGAAGTTGAAGGTCGGAGGTTGGGGAGCCCTGATGTGGACCTTGGGTTGATGAAACGGAGCAGCTCTCACAGCAGTCAAGGCTAGTGTCAACTGTGGCTCGGGTTGGCGCATGCGACGACAGGTTAGGCGTCTTTTATCAAGTTAGCGAACGAGCTGCCTGACGGAATCGCTGCGAGGGCCGCGCGTGGCATTTGGGAACGTCAGTGCAAGCGGCTGCAGTGGGGTGAGAGTCTAGAGTCTGGCTAAGCTGGCCTACTAGGCTCCCTGGCTGCTCCAGCGTGTGATTTTGCGCATCCTTCAAGTGGCCTGCTGTCTGTGGCTCGTCTTGCGCAGCCGTCTTGCGACTGATCTCCCGGTAGCCGTCTTGCACAGCCACTGCCCTACGGCTCCCGCGAGCGTCCAGAAGTCCTGCGAGGCCCAAACGGGTGCGATTGTCGCTGCACCTGTCGCCATCCCGCACTGCGACCGCAAATCTGCCCAAGGATGTTTGGACCCAGCCCGTTGTTTCTCGAATCCACCTCAACTGCCACACCAGTGTTCGTGCGAGGCTTGTGTGGCTCGTCCAACACTGACACATCCCGCGTGTCCGTAATTTTCCCTCTTGATGAGTCCATCTCCACTCGCACTAGGCCCCGTTGGACGCTGGAAAACATCACAGCGCCTACGGTGTGTGTTGGCGCTGTTATGCGCGATGACATCTGCCGATCCGATACTGGAAATTTGCGTCCGGAAAGGGCCATGCTGCCCTTGTCAACTGCAGTCTCCACGCGGCAGACCTCTCTGCCGCCGCCCCATAGAGCTGGACCACCCTAGCTCTCCGACCTTTCAATCATGCCTTCGGAGCTTTTTCCCCTGCGTATGAATACCGGATGCTCGACCCAACGCACCCCGCTGTCCGTTTGCAAAGATCAGTTTCCCGGACCAATCCCATAAGCAGCCGTTGGCGTCGTATCGCTTGGAGGCTCTCAACTCGCCCGTTCCCCGCTTAGTCTGCGTTAAATCTTATTTCTGGTACCTGTCAAGCCGAGATTAAGGAGTCGTTAGCGGACGCTTTCCCGAAATGAGCAACCACTGGTTTGCTTCGACACCGATCGAAGATTCTCGTCATCGTCACAATGTTTGTGCGTCGGTGATGAAAGAACAGAAAACGACTGTAACACCACTACTGATCTGTACTGACTTCAGTTACACCGGCCGTCTTCCTGAAATGTTGCATGTGTTGCGGGGTTTGGTCGTGCCCAATGGCAAGGCTGATGGTAAAGTCATTCGGCGAACACGATTTGTGGAACTCGCTGTGTAGAAGTGTGGCGATCAAAAAGATACCAAAGCGAGATCGGGAGACTGTGATTGGCGGCTGACATCCGTTGCACATCATCACGCGATTTCAAACGCTCAGGACGGTTATGATTGACAGTGCATCCAGGGTCTGTGCAACAACGGCTGAGCACCGCCACAGCTCTGTCGCCACAGTGGCGCTGAACTGCACAATGAATTCATCGACTCATGTATGATTTGCTGCCCCGAAAGAGAAGACGCGTACTCCTGCAGTAGCAACTCAAATGAAAGTTGCCATAAGAGGCTAGATACTATGTATGAGTTCATCGAAATGCTAGGGTATGGTACTCTCTGAGTCGCAGTAGCGTATCTCGTGGTAACTCCTGAAGAACGCATTAGCCACAATGAGACGATGAGATGATCTTCCGTGTTACTTTCGTCAGAATCACTCGTTCCATGGACGCCCGAATGTCATAGAAGCTGATAAGTAGTAGCAGCGTCGTAATCACTGCTGGCTGAGCAGCCATGACGCCTTGAACCGCATGTTCAGTCTGCATTGTAAAGGCGACTAGAATTTTATTGGATTGCGGACTTGACTGCAATCTTGGGTCAAAGCAAATGAACGTGAGCGTGAGTGGATGTCGCTTCCGGAAGCCAGGTCCTAGCCAGTTATGATTAACCCTCGTAATAACTGCAAGGGTGTAGAGAAATTAGCTATGGAGAACGTGGAGAGGAAGAAAACAAGATGATTATGGGGAAGTAGTATGTAAAGAGTGCGGATGAGTCTGAGTGCAGCCAAGCACTCGATTTGTCTGGACACATGTTGTGTCTACTGAGCATGTTGCTTGACGGTGCTGGCCGTACGCTGTAACATGATGCAAAGCGCGATGCTGACTTCGAGAAGACTCCACGTATACGTCAAAGCGTTCATGGGAGCGTAAGCGCCTAATCGATCGAGTAGTAGGAGCCATGCATGTCAATACATCCTGATGCTTGGACAGGAAGCTACGTTGGAACTCGGTGTTATTCAGCGTCTCCCTTACTGGCATTGTTGCACATTTTGGGATCATTGTTTTCGGACCTTTCCTGCCCTGCAGTTTGTCGGGTGCGAGAGGAGGATGTAGCCGTAGACAGTCGTGTGTTGCTCCTAGAGAGGTTGCTGCTCCTGGCTTCGGCTGCTCGTGCAGCAGCGAGAGCAGCGGTGCTGTGTCGATTTGCAAGACTATTCAATCGTTCCTTCGAGCCTAGCGGTGACTCTGCCGCGCGCAGGTTGTGATTTGAGCTGCTCCTACTTTTCGACTTGATCGATGCATTGGCACTTGCTGCCTCGCGGAACGCTGTCTGGACACTGGTACGAGAATTGTGACGATCATCCCGAATATTCTTGACGAATACAGACTGTAGACTCGACATAGAGTTCTCTCGGCGCATTCGCCCCACCGTTTGCACGGGGCTTGGGATCATGGATGGCTTTGGGAAGTCTGCACCCAATGAAGAAAGCAGAGGTATCGAGTCGTCGTCGCCTGTTTGCAAGCCGTCGTCAAACAGACGAAAGGCTGACGAGGACGATGATTCGGAATCAGTCGAGTCGGTTTGCGAAAGTGAATCATATGATTTGAGATCGGCTTCGAGTTCTCGCATTTGATCATCTCCAGGTTCGAAGGAGAAGTGACGTCGACGCTTCTGGTCAAGTTCTTGGTATGAATGAGGCCGAGGCTTTCGAAATGGTGGTCTAGGTGTTACGTCGTCAGCAGGCACCACTTTTCTATCTTTCTCAGCCGCGGGACTCTGCATTTTGTCTTCGTTCGCATTGGGCTCAATGACTGTCTTCGCAGCTTGTCCCGATGTGAGCAATGCCAGTAACCCATTGACGAAACTTGAAACGTCCAGTCCTTTGCGACGTGCAACAAGGGCACCCAGCTCCTTAAGAGCAATAAATGCATCGCATTCAATGGGATCCTTTACCAACAGGCCATGTTCTGGGTTGGCCTCTTCCGGGACATGTTCCGTAGTGCTCAAAGGATCAGGCGTGACTGCGTTCGAGAGAGACTGCAAGGCGTCCGCATGACGTAGGCCCATCAAATTGAGCTCGCTCTTTACCTTTCGAGACAAGGTGGACTCGCGATTTGTGCTGGGAGGAGTCCCTATTGGAAGATCTGGCAGTCCTGCACTTGTGAGCTGTCGAGATAGAGCAGTCATCTTTCCTGAAGGCGAGGTCGGTCGATGCAGAAGAACTTTTACGCTGTTAGCTTGGATGCAAATTGGCTGAGATGAACGCAAACTTTGTTGGCTCTTTGCTCTGATCTCTTCGTCTACCTCTACTGGAGACATGTGCTGGTATCGAGGAAGAACGCGGTCCGTCGAAATGGTCCTTCGATGTTGACGTTTACGGTCTACCACAGTCCCTTGACGCGCTTTCATGAGCCTACAAGCATTCTGTTAACAGGGAAAATATTGGAAGTGCAGAGGGCAGCTTACCCAGTCATACCGGTGGTACCACGTGCAATTAGCAACTCGAGACGACGTATCTCGGCTTCATAGAGTTCCTCAGACTGAAGCCACCGGGCTGTCACCTTGCGTGAATGCTCAATCGCCTCTTGTTCGCGTGCCTCCAAGAGCTCTTTGTGCGATCGTAGCTTTCGATAATCGTCAAAGACCTGGAAAAGGCCGCTGTTGTATTCAAGAGGAACTGGTACCATGTAATTCTTACACATGTGTGAGTGAATCGACTCCATGGCGACAACAGGGTCAACGTAGGACCAAGGATCTTCCTGAGTGGGTGGGGCATCAGCACTCCATGGCTCTGAAAAGACAGGGCTAGCTGCTTCCTCTTTGTGAGTGGCGAACAAGGACGTGTAGCGATTGAGCTTTGGCTTCGAGTCGCGACGAGGCGTTGAGGCTTCAGACCGCTCGCTTCGTGTGTCATCCACATCTTCTTGAGTCGGCGTTGGCGGAGCTGGAGTCATTGGAGTCACCGGCCGACTGGCAGCTATCGTCTTTCGCCAGCCATGCCGGCGTCGGTCAATCGACTCGATGGCGACCTCTGATAGCGGTACTGCAGCAGTCTCATCAGATCCAGTCTTCATGGGAGGCAGTTCTTTCGGTTTGCCTCCTATCTTTTTGCGCCAGCCTTTGTTGTCAACCATGGCGCCGGATGTGTCACCAGATTTGGCAGTCGTCTTAGCCTTCAGTTTGGCTTTCGGTTTGGCTTTCGGTTTGGCGCTGGTCTGCGACTCTAGCTGCGGACGATGCAGTTCGGTTGGAGGCGAGTAGAAGTGACCGATATCCATTGTGGGTTGACGTGTGTTGTAGTTGCCAGAAGTGAAGTGCTGTGCGCTTTCCCTCACAAACGGAGAGGCGCGAGTACCCAAACGACCCGTTTGCGCCTTCGTCACTTTCACTCTACCGATGCCGATTCTGGAAAGGTGCAGGCAGTATCTTACCGCATTGGCACAGCACTGAAGTCCACGTCAATTCCATCTCGAGCACGTACAAACTTTTACAGTCTTGCCCCTAGTGATGCCTCGTCCTGTCTGCTTGCCATCTCTTCGAGCTGAGCACCTACGCCATGGGAGCACTGCGAATGCAGTCTTTGCTGAATCAAAAAGTTCTGAGTACTGACAGGAATTGAAGAACAACTGAGAAGGGCAGCTCTAGGTTTTCGCATGGATGCTGTGTTAACAAAATGGTGCTTTTGGACATATTAGGCGACTGCAAGCAAGCAGACCCTCAGCCTCAAATGAAGAAACAGAACAAGCACGCAGTCATTGGGGCTTGTACCTTCCATTGCGGCTGGAGGTCCGGCTGCAACTTGACTACAGTGTAATTCGAGAAGATGGCTTGCAATTGCGAACCGAATCCGTCGACGATGGCCGTGCACTACAACAACTTACCTTCATCAGCCGTCACACATACTGCACTTTTCGTACACCTCGAGCTCCGAAGCGTTCTACTGCGAATCGTATCTTGGGCCTGTACATACGGAGCAAGTGTGGTCGTTGACGAAAAGTTGACCGTACCTCGGCACTAGTGGCAGTATTGTTCCGTGGTCCAACTCGTCAACCACTCACTCACGACCAAGACAATTCCATGAAGAATTATTGAAGCTTAGTACCCGTCTTCAACAGCTTCGTCACTGTAGGTCAGCGATCGTATGGTCACGTGCGCTGACGTCAACCGTCGATGTATCGTGTTTGAGTAGAGTTTCAGGACAGCAGCTCGCCATCCAACATCACAGTCCACACGAAAGACAAGCGGGCACCGGGTTGTATGCAGATGTGAGCAATCCGCAGTATCTTAGCAAATACGAATCCCAAGAATAAGCTGGGTCGTTAAGTCTGTCACTCAGTGGCCTGGGTTACTTCGCAACCGCCAATTGCTATGCTCTCCCTCGAACACCAACAAGGCTGAGCAACCGCGCGTCTCGACCTTTCTACAGCCCACCTGAGACACTCCAAGTACTTTTGACACGACTCCACACGTCAGATCTCGCCCTGTACCCCAGATGCGCCAATCCGTATTTCGCCTGGCAGCGAGGATTGATGTGCCTAGCGCCGGATCGATGCCTGCGTTCCTTATGCGGCAACAAGATCCTCAGGATTGATGTGCTTCCGGTTTCAGGCCAACATCACTGCGACGCAGAAGACTGGCAAGATTGCCTTGGGTCCTTGTGGACTATGCAGGCCTCGACGAGGTACAAAGAGTGTATGGCTGCCATAGAAGGGTTCAAAGGACACACCAAACATCTTCTCTGTCTATACTTAATCCTCAAGTCTCATATAGCACTTCATATCTCGATACGCTCATTTCTCGCTAAACGATTTAACTTCTGTACTCTCGCAAGCTACCGCTTCTATCGTACCTACTTGTAATCATTCAACCACCATGAAGTTCACTACCGTCATCGCTGCCGTCCTTTCGATGGCCACTTTCGCCATCGCAGTACCCGTCGCCGTGCCTGCACCAGCCAAAGGTACAGCTGCCCTTCCGCAAGACCATCCCAAAACTGCATAGCTAACCGACAACCAGATGTCGAAGTTCGCCAGAACCATGGAAAGTGTGTCAAGAGCTCGGGCGGCGGAGTAATGGAAGACGTCAACTGCTAGACGCCTGTGCAGCAACGAAGGGCACGACAAGTCTAAATAATATACCCATTAGCGACGTCTGAGACGCAGAATACACATTAAAATGCATCAAGAACTGTTGATCACCCGTAATGTGAGCTCTGATGTCCATTCACTCTTCCCTCCCAAATGCATCAACGCTCATGTTTACCTCTTTTCCTGTCTCCGTGTCCCTTCCTCAGCACTCACATTGCGCACAATTTCTCCTCCCTCGCCAAGCCCCCCCACCCCCCCCAGCCCTCTCATACCTCTCAATGAACTGCACCATATCCCTCCTGCTGCCCGTGTAACTTGCCTCGAGGTATGTCCGGAGGTCGTAGAACGGATCGACAGCTTTCTGAGGACGTTTTGGTCGTGGGGATGGGAATTTCGATGTGGATTGTGAAGAGCTGGTGGGGTTGGAGAAGGGCGTGACGTGCGCGAGGAGGGTGGTGTGGGATGCGCGATCGAATTGTGCGCCGGCTTGGGTGAGGAAGTTGAGCGTGCTGGAGAAGCGGTCGGAGGGGTTGGTTTCTCGATACAGTGAGAGATCTTCGAACTGTTCGGTTAGTTCGTTTGTTTCGTGTCTTTCAGCTGTGGTGACGAAATGGGCGATAAGTTCTGTGCGCGACCAGGTAGTCGGGGTTTAGTGTGCTGCGCTGGCTTTGGAGCGCGATCTGGGTTGCGCTTTTGTTCTGCTCTGATAGAGACTCTGAGTCTCATTCTATGCTCTTTAACGCTTCTCGTCTCCCCCAAGATTTTGTCCCAAACCGCATCAACACAACGGGGCAAGACCAAAAATCCTCGCCCAGCCTCCTCGCTTCGTCGGCAGTGAGAGGCGCAGCGCCTTCCCGCCACCCTGAATTCACATCAAATGCGGATAGGAAAGGAGTAGAGCACGGTGCGGGGCGGAGGATCCAGACATCACTTCTCTCACTCAGGGCGCGCCACTCGGACAGTGGTGCGTGCTCTGAGATGGAGTCTTCTGAGACGTGCTCTAGGGCCCAGGGGAGGATGGGGATGGTGGAGCAGAATTGCTGGATGATTTGGAGGATGAGGGTGAGCGGTGAGAAGGTGGGAGTTGTTGGGGAGAGAATACGGGTGGAGAAACCATCATCGATCATATCCCAACACTCACAGCCATGTCCCCAACCCTCACCCTCCAAACCCCCCTCATTCTCCTCTGCCGCCACTCCAGTTATCAAAAGACGTCAAGGGCAGAGCAGGAAATGATGAATCTGATAGCCATGGAGACCTGAGACAAAGACAAATCGTCAGTGGCCATGGGTGGTGGACATGGCACAAAGACATGTGGGGTGAAATCTGGGGCAGGTGAGCACCGAACAAAGACATTCAGTCTCAAAGTGAAACAAACAGGATTCTAGGGAGACGGAAGCCCTGCATCTATGCCGCTCTAATACCACTCCACCAGCCAAATTTGGGCACCCAATGTTTTTCTATGCCCGTCAAAAGTTACAGGAGGTGGCACCACAGCCTCCACCACTGTAGCCACACTATAGCAACCGCCACAGTCACTGCCACAGTCACCGCCGCTATATTCACTGCTAATACAAGCACCAAGTCCGGCTAAAAATCCAGTATGTGTTGCTGCTGGAGATGATGTGTGCCCTGACACGCCATGCATCACGCTGCCCTTGGCACGCCTCGCTCTCCGCTCTTTATGATTTTGTTGTGTAGCTCCTGCCTGCTCCGCGCTCTCAACTTCGCGCTCCTACTCTTCGCGGCGACTTGTCCCCAACGCACGCTTCTAAGCGTGCGGTTGAGGGGCACCAGCTGGTGCTCCATCAAGACCATCAACAGGCGCGCCAGTGGTAGGAACGTCACCACCCGTGGTAGGAGGAGGCAGGGCAGTGTTGTCAATAGCATCGTCACTCTTCTTCGCCCACTTGGGCTCCTTGACCCACTGCGAGTCCTGCCATGGGCCGGCATCACTCAGCGCACAGCCACCGGGGCAGTCGCAGTTACCACCGAAAGCCTTGGGCAGGTTCTCGGCCGGGACCTGTGCGAGCAGCTCTGACTTGTATCCGGAGCCCAGGACGTGGATCTTGGCGCTGGTGACGGGGTCGAGGAACTTCTTGACGACGCTGAAGACACCAGAGAAGCCCCAGGGTGCGTTGATGACGTACATCTTGCCGAGGCGCTCGGGGTAGTAGTTTTGGGAAATGGCGGAGACGGCCTGCAGGTAGCCGTAGACGGATGTTGCCTTGGCGATACCGACGCCCTTCAGATCGAGGATAGAGCATGAGGTCTCGAGGAGGTGGCCGGTCTTGCGCGAGCAGGCGGGCAGACGAGGGTCGGCCATCTTTTCATATTCGCAGACAAGGTTCTGCACCATGCGCTCCTGGCTGGTGATCTTGCCGAGGGCAGTGAGATCGACCTTGCCGAGCTGCTCGATGTATACTGGCCGGCCGTCCTGTAGAGTATACTTAGCATGGTACGGACTCTGGTGATGACATGAAGCGTACCTTATCGGTTTTGTGGTAGTACTGGGGGTAGTACTCGAACACCTGCGCCTTCTCCTTGTAGTCGAAGGTGCGGACGAGCTCCTCAACGCCGATGCCAGCATATGTTGCCCGCCACTTCTCGCTGTCGATGAACCTGCCCATGCGTCAGCACCTTCTCCTAGCTTAGAGTACCCATATCTGCTTACATCTGCTTCGACAGCTCGACATTGAATTTGCGTGCACGGAGGAATCGCAACTGCAAATAATTTAGCCGATGCCCAACACCCCCGCATTTAGATAGTTATGTGCATACTAGCGTCAACGTGTCGAGGTTCTTGGTGTAGCCAGCCTGCTCGAGCTGAGTCCGCAGCTGGAAGACCTGCGCATCTTGCTCAGGCGTTGTGTGGCCGGGGTGCCCGTTCTGCGCAACCGGGGCAACAGTGGGGTAGTCGTAGTGGTCGTACTTGGGGTCGAGCTTGAGCTCGTGGGTGGGTGCGGCAGCCATTGTGAGTGTGACTGCGGTGAAGGTGTATTATGGAGGGTTATGGGAAGAGTCCAAGCAATAGGAGTCGCAGAGTACGTGTCGGTGTGGAGTTGAGCGCGGACGTTGATGTTATGACGAGGTAGTCCCTACACGTGCTAGCGGCATTGGACCCTCAACATTGAATCACAGATCATCTGGACTCCGTCACTTGGCGTCTATCAACCCCAGACACTGATGACGGCAATCTGACCAATGCCTTGGTGTGCCATTTCACATATCGCAATAACGTCATTTGAACAGCGGAGCCGTTGTCGACCCAGCCTTGCAGGAGGGGACTGGCCTTTTAGAAAGCTATCTAGATGATACATGGCAAGAAGAAGAGCACACTGAAGAAGATGATGAACACACTGAAGAAGATGATGAACACACTGAAGAAGATGATGAACACACTGAAGAAGATGTTGAACACACTGAAGAAGATGATGAACACACTGAAGAAGATGTTGAACACACTGAAGAAGATGAACACACTGAAGATGTTGAAAACACTGACTGCCATCTCGCTGCCGTCCCTGCGACCGAGCCGGTCAGATCTTCCATGCTGTACAGTAAAGAGCGTAGAGATCAGATCCCAACAAAGAATGAATAGACCAGTTGATGCGACATCGCAGAACAACAGACATGATGTGAGATTCGTGTACTAACCCGCCCTGCAGTTCCCCATCCTCCCAATGCAGATGAAAGGAGCGCACTCCTGTCTACCAAGTCGAACCTTCACACCGCCAACCAACTGCACTGGACTCAAATAAACAACCCTAGACTTCCATCACAGACCCATAAAGATTTGACAGTGAGAAGAGCAAACCGAACACCGAGCAAACGGACGCCTTGAAAACAACATACAACTCCGCATATGCGCCTAATGACAAGCTTCTCAGCCACGGAGAATTGCAGTCGAGAAGGCGCACGAGCTGCATGCGGAGCTGGAAGGATTCCCAACCTGGCTCAGTTTCTCCGATCCCGGTTTGAGCTTGGCCCAAAATCGACTTCGGATACCTTCTTCGCCTCTTTCCGACCTTTGACGATATACTGTGCATACAGCGCGATGTGATCACTGGGAAAGTGGTAGTTCGGGAAACCAGGTACTCGTTGCAGGTAGTTTTTGTCAATGTCGCCGAGCAGTCCCACAACTTGCAGCGTGTTTGTCGAGTACCAGATGTAGTCCAGAACACCCACGAACGACGGAGTATAGTTCGTGAACGACAGCTCTCCAATCGATGAGTAACTGGACTTGAGACTGAAGGGATGAGAGATACCGTCCCTGGTGAAGTTACCGTACTTTCGGCTGCCGAGGTCATCGTGAACATTGGACATGCTACCGGTTGTAATGAGATCGTAGATACCGGATGTGGGTAGGGAGTTGAAATCACCGCACAGAATGAGCGGAATCTGTGTCCCGTCCGAATACTCCTTAGATGGTCCAGGCTCTTGCGTAGGATCTGGTTCTTTGCCGTCTTCAGTGTCGCCGTTCGTGAAGCGATACACGACCTTGTCTTTGCATGCAGGGAACTTCGCCCATCGGTTGGCAAAGTTCTTGATTCCCTCCAGCAAGATAGCGACTTGCACGAGCTTGACGTCAGTGAATGCTGGGTTCCAGAAGACGTGGACGTTTCCAACGATGAACCTTGAGCCGGTGGCGCGGTTCTCTAGGAAAGCAACAACCCCAATATCGTCACGAGGCATGACACGGTTGAAGATGTCGTGCTCTCCCTTCATATCCGGTCGGTTGATGGCAGTATTAGCAAAGTCGACGAGCTGCTTGTCCAACAAGATGTATCTGGAAATGTCAGCTTCTGCGATGTAGTAATAAGCGGATGCAACGTACTTGCTGTTCTTGTAGAAGATAGCACAGCCATCGACAAGCTTAGCTTCTCTATCTGCCATCGTTCTCGCTCGAGACTTGGGCCAGAATACTCCCTTGTAGTCGTTGTGGGCCAGGCCTTCGCGGAAGTACTCGTTGAAGCTGTCCTGATCGATCTCCTGCAGACATACTATGTCGGCATTGCGTTCTCGCAGTTCACCCAAGATTGTCTCCCTCCGGTTCTCCCACGAGAGTGCAGCACTAGGCGTGTAGCCATACTGAGCTTGAGTGCAGTACTTGTCGCAAAGGATGTTGTAGCTCAACGCGGTAACAGTCTCCTGGTCTGGATCCTGGATCTCGTCGAGCACAATCCAATCTCGCTCAGACGGCGCTTCTGGTCCTTGCGAGTTCTCCCGGAAGTGCTTGATAAGCTCTGTTGTTCCTTGTTCCATGATTATTTGCTTCAGGTCATCCGGTAGCGGGTTGCCTTCTATGCCGAGCATTTCCAACTGGAACAGAGAGCCAAGTTCGTAGGGAAGATTGTCGAGATGGTTGTCGAAAAGGAGAAGCTGCTTCAGATTGACGAGCATGCCAATCTCCGGGGGCAGATATTGCAGGTTGTTGAGGGACAGATCCAGGTGCGTAAGGTTCCGTAGTTGTCCAATGCTCTGTGGGATATACGAGAGCTTGTTGCAGTTGACGTAGAGTTTCGTGAGGAAGGTGTAGTGGTTGAACAGCGCAGGCGTGATGACTTTCAGATTCTGGCCACCAAAGTCCAAAATGGTCCAGATGTGGTCGCCTTTTCCATCCGCCGCTCCTCCAACCGCGGGTCTATTGCGTTCTTCTTTGTCCGGCTCCTTTGACAAGCCACTACCCGTTCCTGCGACAACACTCTTGCTCACACTGGGGTGGATCCTGGCGTGCGAGTGTGACTGTGTCATTTCCCGCGCCGTTTGTGCGAGTCGCAGCTGCTCTGCCCAATGCTCGTTTGGCGGCTTGCTGAGCCCGCTGTGAACGCTGTTCGGTGTGCCGTTCTGCATGTGAGCCTGACCGAAGTGGGGCTGCGCGTTGGACATGTTGCCGCTCGAGAGGTTGTGCTGGTGGTTGTACTGTCCGCCGTGGGCGCCGCCAGTGTGGTCTTGGTGTTGCTGGTGGTGCTGCCCATGGTGCTGATGGTTCTGGTTGTGTGGGAAGGTCTTGCCGGCCAGGTTCATCTGCATCGCGTAGTTCTGGTGGGTGTTGCGCCCGTTCATCATAACATGCTGGGCCTGGTGACCATGTTGCTGGTTGAACATGCCGAACTGCTGGGGGGACTGCTGGCGTCCGGGCGATCGCGAGGGAGAGGGGGTGTCGGGATTACCAAAGGGAATGCGGGCGGTGGTGGTGGGTGACCGCACGCGGCTGGGGAGGTTTCGAATGTTTGTTGCGTGTTGCGGATAGAATGTTTGGCCGGCTCCCCTTTGGTAGACCGAATACTCGGCCATCTAAGGGAATCGCGGCGTCGTGGAGAGAAGGTCCCGGGGGTCGAAGCGCAGACAGGCGGGCGAGGCGCTGGGGGAGGGTGTTCAGGTGGGTGGTGGGGCTCGTATGCGTTGCTTTCTTCGTTGTAACATGGGCGCCCCTATGGATCCTCGTCATAGGCTTTCACTGCTCAACCCTGCACGCGTGCACCATGTAGTGTTTGCTGCGGCGGCTTGCGGTGCCGTGAATTGAAGCGGGGACGCGGTATGGAGTGCGGTTGGCGCCGGTGGAGGTGGGTCGCAGGCGGGCGCAGGCGTGAATAGAGCAAACAGCCCAGGGGGTTATTGAATATCGCAGCTTCTACCCTCAGCGGAGTCAGTAACTGATGTGGGGAGGATAGCGAGAGGCCGGGGATGGATCAACACAGAAGCGGGTAGAAGGCGCGCACATACAGCAGCGGAGAGAGGCAAAGGGCGCGCAGGCTCTGCAAGCAATCTCAATTGTGCCAGACGGTCTGAATACAGGGTCCAACCGCAGCGCTGGGGAAGAATAGAGAGTGAAGATGATGCTATCGAGGGCCGACGTGAAGCCCGCACCAGCATCAATGCGCAAGCCAAGCTGGAGCTTGATGTGTCACGTGCCTGCATTGAGTCGACTCCTGGATGAAACCACCCTGTCTTCTTGCACACAGCTAGGCCGCAGCCCTAAACGCCGCGTGACCTTGCATCATGCGATGCAGACGTAGAGATGGCCAGACGTCCATCACAATCACGGTGGGATCCGGGAGGCATCCAGCATGCCCATTATCATGGCAATTGAGATGCAGAGTACCAGGTACGCAGGTACGAGCACTCACAGGCGGCACATTCCGCGCAGCGACGAGCGCCACCTCTGTTCCTGAATCTCATCTCCGTGACCAAGGCGGCAACAGTTGCCCAGTTGTTACGATTCAAAATCTGGGGGAGCGACGCGGCCGCCGTGTGATTGGAGATGCTCCCACACTGCCCTCGGCACCCGCGACCGAAAGCGGCCTTGGGCTTGGGGTTCGACACGACTCCCCGCGCTTGAAGCCAGACGAGCCGTCTGCGGACTGGAAGTCGCCAGCGCCATGCTGACGTTGGCCTCCATCCGTCATTCTTCGCTGCTGCGCGCTGCAACGAGCACCGCGCGCTGTGTCTGCTTCACGTCACCCTGGTGTCTGCGTTCGGCTCACTCGGGCGCATAGCACGTGCTTATCATACAACGAGCGACCAATATCGAGCCACACGCTAGCAGTACAAGTGGGTCAGGGAGATGATGAATACAGAATGGCTGCTGGTCCGCACCTCCTAGGATACTTTTGCGTCTGAAATGTGTCGTTCTGATCGAGGACCAGTACCGCTACCACGTCCCGTATCCCACTCGCCCTAAGACGGCTGGAGCAGAGGTCAAGCAATGCGATCCGGACCCCGCAGACCCTCTCGCTAGAACAATTTCTAGCTCCTCGACCGCGACGTCCAAGTCAGCCATGGATGCGACGCGGGGCTCTGTCTCGAGCTCCTCGACGCAGGTCACTCGGGATGAGTCGACGGAGCCCTTCATCCTGCGCCATGGCCGGCGATACCTGAGAGCTCACCAGAATTACCCACTACCCTGCGACCTGCCTGAACTCCAGCGCCAGAACCTGCACACCCTCCTCGCGACCTCCGTACTCGGTCGAGCACTTGGCTCTACGCCTTCGCCGCACAACCCACCGAAGAAAGTGCTCGAGCTCGCATGTGGCAGCGGGTACTGGACGGCAGTATGCCATGACTTCCTCAGCGGACTGGGCTACGAACATGTCTCATATACAGGACTGGACATTGTGCCTCTAGCAGGCGACCTACAGCGTCAAGGAATCGACTGGAAATTCGTGCAACACGACCTACGCAAACCGCCCCTCCCCTTCGACGACGACGAATTCGACATCGTAGTCATGAAAGACATGTCCCTCGTCGTGCCCCTCGGCGCCCTCTCACAACGCATCCTTGACGAAGCAACGCGCGTCCTAAAATCCGGCGGCACCCTCGAAGTCTGGGAAACCGACCACATCATCCGCTCCATCCTGCCACACCCGCCCCCCGTCCCCGGCAAATCCGCCCAAGAACGCGCATGCGCCGAGACAACGGGGACATTCCTCATATCGCCCATCACGCCCTTCACCGAAGTCCAAAACAAATACCTCCAAGACTCCAACTCTTGGATCCAAGAAGCCCTCGACCGCAGGAAACTCAGCCCCACCCCTTGCGTAAGGATATCGCAAATGCTCCTCCAAGAAACCGAAACTCTGCACTCAGTCGGCGACCGCCGCATCGCCATCCCACTCGGCGAACTGCGCTGGGAGCGCGAACTCGCCTCCTCGGACCCGCCCAAGCCCAAGCGCCGCGAATCCGAGGCTCAGCGCCCCAACCCCAAGAAAGCCAGCGTCGCGCTCGACGCGGGGACGCTGACGGACGAGCAGGCTGCCCTCAGGTATACGGCGCTGCTGGTTGTTGTGCAGATGATTGAGAGCCTCGAGCCGTTGCTGAAGGACGTTAGTGGGAAGAACCAGGAGGAGTGGCAGAGGTGGTGGGCCGGGTTGATGGGGAATTTGCTGGAGCAGAAGGGCGCGAGTAGTGGGGAGTGTTTGGAGGTGGGCGTTTGGTGGTGTAAGAAGGTGTGAGCAGGGCGAGCATGCCCGAAAGGAGGTTTTATCTTGTTGATGTCGATGTTGATGTATGGGCGGGGAGCGTACATACAGTGTCTTTCGAGTTGAGTTTTAGTTCTGTGATATCCCGGTCTGAAGACCATGCTTCGCGTGTTCGTTCGTATCTGCTTCTCCTTACATGGCGTGATAGCCCATATCCCTATTTTATCGGATCGTATCTTTGGCGTAGTGCTCTGTAGCGTTTCAAATAGTACAGCGCCTCGATTTCTTTCCTCACGAACTCAGCTCTCTTGATCCCATTCCTAATCGCCTCTTCATCTTTCAGATGCGCCTGGCTAGAGAAAGCTTTGTGTAGTCGTGATCGAGCCCAGTCATAGCCTTGAGGGTAGTCTCTTGATAGGTAGAGCAATTCTACATATTGTCAGACACCGTGGTCGATGCTATCGTGTGTTAAAGTACTGGTGTACCTTTGTATATGCGGATAACTTGGTGACGCAGTGGTAGATTTGTAGTTGACATCTTGCGCTTTGGGAGAGCCAATGTTCAAGAAAGCTAAGCTTTGAACTGAATCTGCACAGGCTCGAATGTTGAAGGGAAACTCTTGAGACACGTGGTCGATACTGGAGTGTGGAGTTGTTCGCAGCAGAGCGGAGCTCGACATTGTGGTTCTGACGTATGCATGGTTGTTGCGGGTTGCGGCCCTCGGCTTAATTCTGTGGAGGCATCGCGCAATAATACACCACAGCGGCTTGGACTTCTCCATGTTTTGATTGACACTACATATACCTTAGCAATTTTTGAGAGCTCAATTGGAGTCACTGAACAACCATGCGCCCCCTCACGACACGCGCAGCGCTCCTGCGTCCCTCCGCATCCTCCACAATCCACGCGCAGCGCGCCCGCATACCCGTCCCTCGACCGCCGCAATGCCGCTTCTCCACCACCGACGCCCCGGCGACACAAAAGCTGTCGCCGCGCTGGCTGTCAGATGTTCGCGCGCAAATTGGCAAGTGCATAATGTTTGGAATCAACGATGCGCAGACGAGCGAAGCTGGGTCTATACTGCAAGAAGTGTCGCACGACTGGCGAGAGCTGCTTGCTGGGAGTGAAGGCTTTTTGACAGGGCAGGAGTACAGGGGGTTATACAGGCAGGAGGTTGTTTGGGGTGAGATGGTAGGTTGTTGTACTGTGTTGGGTGTAGAGGTTTGAGGCTGATTAGCTTGGTGATGATGTAGGACAGTATGGTAAGTGCATGAAGCACCTGCCCATGCTATTGGACAGGGTAAATGGAGGGACCAGGAGTGCTGATACTGGTGAAGGGACATGTCAACAATGTCATGTATAACCGGTACGCGGAGTCGGCGCGTGTCAACTGGACGCTCAACTTCGCTGCCCAGGATCCGGCACACAAGAAGGAATGGCTGGAGTTGATGTCGCCCAAGAGCATTGGTCTGATACTGAGGAGTATCAAGACGGACTACAAATTTGTAAGTCTGCTGATCGCCCAGTGGGAAGTTCGCGGAAGAGGTTGTCGCGTGCTTCTTGTGTAACCGAGGGAACTCGAGATGACTTTGCTGACTTGCTCGATTATCAAGCCCATGAAGTGGCCTGACAGGTAGGCAAACCTCACCGTGGTCGACGTCTTCTTTCTGATTGATGCAGGATCACCGTTCTGCACAAGCTTAGGAATAAGCCAGAGCAAGGCACCGACCACTTCATCCTAGACGTTCTAATCTTGTCAGAAGCACATCGCCGTGCAGCAGCACGCTGCATCGAGGACATTGTAGTCTACGACTACAGATCAGCGAAGAAGTCTCCACTGCCGCCATTCATGATTGACAAGTTCAAGACGGTATACGAGCTGCAAGAGCAAGCAAAGGAGAAGAACAGCGCCAGGGTGAGGACACTGCTAGACCGAGTGCGGGAGCTCGAGAAGAGCAGCTGGGACAGACCGGATGCTGTTGAAAACTTCGGCAGTGCAGGGAAGCCATAAACAGCAAAGCCGTAAGTAAAGCCGAGAATTATTCATCCCATCAAGCTGCATGGTGCGATCCCTTTCGCGGTGATCGACTTGGCTGCCTGCCTACTTTGCGTTTCACGATGAGCTTTTTTTCAGCGATCTGCACGATTTCCTTATCTGCTCGTTGCACAGCATGCTGATTGGTGTGGTTGCGTTAAGCTTCGACGCCCGCCAGACGCCGTCTCCGCCGTGTGCGATGGAGGGGCGGAATGAGAAAAGGCAGATTTGGTGGAAATGCTCCGATCAAATGGAAATGCCGAGGGAAAGCCACGCCGCGGCAACATGTGCTCTACAGCGGGGCGCGCTTTGTCCCAAAAGCAACGGTGAAGTTTGTGGAAGTCTCCGCGCGGCGGCTTGAAGTGAGCCGTAGGAAACACAACAACAAAGGCAATCGCGGGGTATTGCAGGGCAGCAAATCGAAAACATGTTCTTGGCGTCGATGCAAGCGTGCGGGTGTCGGTGTGAGCAGGGCAAAATGGTGTGCTTCATTCGTTGTTGACATGCAGAAAGCGCATCATACTCAGGGGTGCCCATGTGCACGCAAATGAAGAGCACAAGCTAGACTGGCGGCCGCCGTGAGGCAATTGGCTGCAGAACGTGCAGGGCAGCACAGTGAGCTGTTGTCGTGTGCATCAAAATCGCGTGAGCAGCAGAGCCAGAAGAACTCGCAGGATCAAGCACACAAGAACACCAGCGTGTGCAGTTCGCCGAAGACGGGCAGGCTCGACATAGACTTTGCTTGCATCGGTCAAGCGTGGTGAAGGGAGGCTTGTTCTGCTCCTTTCTGGCCAGAACCCTGACTTTTCGAGCGCATTGACGTCGATCATGACTGCTCGGAGGGTCCTCGGCGTGTGCAGATCTGCCAGCTCGAGGATACTGAGATGAAGGCGTCAGTAGCCGGGGGAGGATCCTGCTGCCACCAGACTGAGCGTGCAGCGGGAGAGGCTGCATCAAGACAGGATCTTCATTCTCCCAGTCATTATAACCATGATAACCGCATGTCGTGAGCAGATGTCAGGCCCTGCAGGGTGTGTAAAAACCCAGCACGTGAACTAGGCGAGCGAGGTGTGGACGCCCGCTGGTTGACACAGCCGTCGACAGCGCCGCCAAGCGGCTACTGTTCGGGGACTGCCATTCTCATTCGTTCTCTCCGCCCAGCGTCTCTCACGACACCAGCAACCCGCACACGACACCGACGCCCTACAATTTCCCCACGGCCAGCGGCGCCCCTCTTCCAAACTGGCTCGTCCTGTGCAGCAGTCGAGTCGACCTGGGGAGACGCCTTGCTTGCCCGCGCACCGCCTTCTATGGTAGCAAAGGGGAGGAAGAACGCGGCATCCCAGCATGACAGACGCAACGAGAGTGGCCTGGCAGCACCCGGCAAGCGCGTCCAGCGCCAGAAGAGCAACCCGACGCTCAACGGCGCCCCCAATGGAGCCCCGGACGCCGCGCCCGCGCTCTCCACCGACGCAGTAGAGCAACAGCAGCAGCAGCAGCAGCAGCAGCAGCAGACCACGCAGCCGGCCCCCAGCAGCACCGCCGACTCGACGCCCAGCGCCAGTGGGCAAGACAACACCGTCGCCGCTGGCACTGTATCCGAGAGGCCGCCCGTAGAGCGTGTTCGCAGCTCGTCGGACGCGTCGCTCGACCATGCGGACGCCGCCTGCCGCCACGCTGCCCCAGCTGCTGCCCGCGTCAATGGCCACAGCAAGCCGTCATCGGTCTCCATGGCCAGTCTGCTCGCTGTGCCCGCCACCATTCTCACGTCCTGTCCTCTGCGGGACGTCCTCGCCATCCTTATAATTCTCCTTCAGCTACCCCCCACCGTCCTCACCGTCGTACAGTTTCTCTTTGCAACACTTACCTTCGTGCCTCCCCAAGCCGGGACCCCCCTCTCCGCGCTCTCAGCGTTCCCCTCTTTCACCGACATCTTCCAGGGCTCCGGTGGCACACCCTCTTTATTCACGACAATTGCGGCTGACGCCTCCATTCTGCTCGTATGGCTCGTGCTCTGGGTGCCTGTGCAGAACTTCTTCTTGGATCTCGCACAAGCAGTCATCGCCATAGCCCTTGGAGGCGCCGCAGCCGGCAAAGCTGGGACGACCAACGGCATTTTTATCTGTGTCGTCATCATTCTTTCAAACCATCTGCTCAGGTTCAGGCCTCTCCGGCAACACATCGTCCACTTACTGTGGTCTGGGCTCGCCCGGGGAGGCTTAGAATTTCTGACGAGCCCACCGAGCGCACCAACTTATTTGGAGAGCTTCTCAAGCCCCCATGGATGGCCCCGCAGCCTCCTGGGTATCCATATCTTGGCCCAAGGTGTCGTTCGCATTATTCGGCGCTCTCTGTCTCGACGAGATGTAGCTCAGTCACTACCCACTGGCAAGAAAACGGACCCCGAAGTCGGCAACCTCCAGCGTGCCAACTCGACCTCGCTCCACCCGCCTGTCGATGTACCAAATACCTCGAGTACCGATGGTCGTCCACCGGGGCCGTCGCCCGCATTGCACAAGGACAAGGCGAGTAGCTTGCGAAGGAAGAGGAAGCAAGCTACACATGTTCGTTCTCAGCAGCCTTTCTGGGCTGCACTTGCCAGTACAAAAGTTACAGTTCTAAAAGAGATGGAAAGTAGCCGGGCAGCAAACGATGCCGACGAGGCTAACGCAAAAGACGCAAATCACATTGGAAACGCTATTTGGAGATCGGAAGACGATCGTGTATGGATTTCAGAAGTCGGCTACTCCGACATTTCATTTCGTGTCAGTCTGTTCAACGGAGCGGACGTTCAAGAGGAGGAAGATTCGAGTGTCGGATCCGGGATTGACAAGTCGAAGCCATTCTATATCCGTGTTAACGGCGCAGATTGGAGCTCAGCCCGGATCCGTCAGAGCACTTCGTTAGGATACCAGGGTCAAGAGGGAACAGGTTTCTGGATGGGAGAGATCTTCGGTCTCACGGCACTTTCGAACTACTACTGCGAGTTCGTCAGGACCAGCGACAATGAAGTCTTCTACTCTACGAGCCTTATTACCTCGGCCGGCCCAGTTGCCGAACTAGGTAGGCATGCTTGTTCGCTCGACTACATCCCCAAACTGACACTCTTCCAGCCTCAATTGCCTCCCCGCCTGCTCATCAGACTCTCCGTCCATCCTCGCCTACGACGACCCTTAGGAATTCGATCGCCGCGGCCGACCAGCAGCTACAGGAGCAGCGCAATCGCCTGAAACGAAACAAGAAGGACCACAAGACCGCCATCTCTACTATCAAGAAAGAGGTCGATACTCTCAGCAATCGCTTGTCGAATGCTGGAGGTAGTGATGAGCGCCAACGCCAACGTGTCCTTCAGTTCACGCAAAACATTCGACAGGCAGACGATGCTGCTACTGATTTCGCCCTTCAGGCAGACAAATTAGGTGCTATTCCGGAAGGAGAGACTCGAGAGGCTGCAGCCAAGAAAGCGGAGTGGAAGAAGGAGCGTGACAACAAGAATGCTGTGTCCCGTGATTTCGATGCAGTCAAGGCTGATATCGAAGCCCAGGTTCAAAGCGTAGAGACGGATATTCAAAGTGCCTTGCAGAAGCGAGAACGTCTCCAGCAGCGTCAGACCAGACTGAACGAGCAGCATGACCGTCTTATCACTGCCAATCAGGAAGGTTTCACAGCCAAGCAGCGAAGGGAGCAGGAGCGTCAAGCTCTGCGACAACAGCGCGCCGACGTTGAGCATCAATACCGTAGTAGCATCAACGGGTTCGAACGTCGAGCTGAAGAGCAGAATATCGCTACTTCTCAGCTCATGCAGACTGCCCAGCACTACGAAGCTCTTCTCCTGCAGGGTGCGCACCATGAGTCGATTCCTACAACGCCTGAAGGACCTCTCCCCGGCACCACCATATCTCCCCACGCCAACGCTTTCACCAGCTTCACCTTCCCTCAACTGCATCACGTCGATAGCACTCCCGGTTCCCTTCGCGGCGGCCGCGGTCGCTCTTCCTCTATGTTCTCCGACGTCTCTGGCTTCACTGATGGTTTCGACGAGCACATCTCTCCCGCGTATACTCTCGACAACCCCTTCAACACTTCTGGATTTGTCAATGGCCACACCAACGGCAGCCACGGCAGTGGTAGTCTCAGCTCTGTGACTTCCAGTCAAAGCTCGAGCCAGAGAGATCCTTTGAGCCCTGTGCAGAGCGTCAAGCCAATGATGGTACGCAGTCCGACTGGTGGCAGTGGTGGGTTGATGGGCCCGATCGGCAGCGGCAGAAAAACGTAACCGTTCGTTCTGAAGGTCTTTGTGTAGCTTTCCAATGTGACTTTGTTCTTTTGGTGGATAAAACAGCGTCTTCTCACCATCTCGTGATGTGTTACCAAACATGCCTGACTTCGCTAACATCCTCCAGCTCAACGCTCAATCAACCTCCATCATCCACCATGCCCCCTCCGCTCATCCTCTTCCTCCTCAATCCCCCCAAACGCCTGCTCCCATCTCCTCTGTCCTAATTCCTCCCTATACCCCTCCCCGCCCCCTCCATCGCCATGCTGCTCACCAACCGCCAGATCCGGAACCGTCTTATGCCTTACCGCCCAGTCCCCGCTCTTCACCAGCCCTCCTACAACCCAGTCAGAACTCCTCAACACACGCGCACGCACACATAGCCAGTTACTTACCTATTACGTCACCAATGCCTTTCTGCATATCATCCAATAATTGCTGCGCGCCCGCATTTACGGAAGGCTGAGCGTCTGCGTAGGATAGCATTTCCCATGATGTGTAGGGCGAGGCAGCGGGGCCGGTGTAGTAGATTAGTGCGGCGCCGTGGGTGTGTTGGTTTAGTGGCGTTCCGTTGGGTGTGGTGCGTGGGGTACTGAAGGGTAGCACGTCGAAGGTTGTTGTTGGGGTGGTGGTGGTGCCATAGAGTGCTGTAGCGAGGGAGATGATTCGGGATTTGAGGGAGTCGAAATGCTGGCTTGTGGAGAGGGCTGTGGATGTCATTCCGAGTTCGCGTTGGACGTGGGGGGAAGATCTGGATGGTGTACGGTGGAGTGGCGGCTGGTGTGATTGGACCCTTTGTTTGTTTAGGGGCAAGTGTGACGTTCAGTGGTTACGAGGGGAAGGTGTAAGGGGCCTCTGTGTGGTGTTTGCTCTTTCCGAATTTGTGGTGTACCTTGCTTCAAGCGAGTGACTTTTTGCTCGTTCGCCAACAACCATGAATCTTCGAGTCCGATGTGCAAACACAATCGAGCAATGTTGTGCTCTTATTGCATGACAAATACTTCGTACTCAGTACCTTGGTCTGCGTCATCAGATCCCTGGATCACAATCGCATAGCCTCGCCATCACGATTATAGGCACAATGTTCTGTACATGCACAACTTAGACTCAGAAGTCTTTTTTATTCAGTAATGCTCCAGTCCCGCAACACCGGTTCCAAAAGCGCAAAACTCTCAGCGGACCATCGGTTGCTTGGAAGACGGAACGAAGACCGTAATGATGTGGCATATCTTGATGAGCGATCTGTGGATGGAGTTGTTCTGATGGTGACCATTGTTGTTACGAGGTGGGAGCTTGTGAAGTGTTGTAAGGTCTGCAAGCGGAAAGATGAGATGATGCATCTACAGGGATTGTTGTTTAAGACTATAGATCAACAGATGTATCTCATAAGCCGGCGGCCTGCGCACGATAAGCGAAGTCTGGACTCAAGGTGATAGAAAGACAGGTGAGAGAAGGCGGATCGAAATATTTGCTTATTTGCTATCAATTGGCCCTCGATGACCTAACGAACTTAAATATTCTTAAATAGCACTATGTACTATCCATCATGACCGGTGTCCTCGAAATGTCGTAAATGCCGGCGGGATCGTGGAAGTGTCCATATAGCGAGCCGAGTCATTCCCGAGCTCATATGTGCCAATGATATACTTCTCCAAGATCCCCTTGTCAGTCAACCGGGCACCTGTCCTCCTGAACGTTGCATGAGCCAAAGCCTTGATGAACTGTCGTGGGAACTTGCTGGCATGCTGCCGAAAGAAGCATGGATCAGAGTTCTTCATGAATATGTCGATAACAAACTGCTCGATGTCGTCAATGTCTGCGTCGTACTTCTCTTCGTAGTTTTCGTTGTCCTCATCATGCTCATCGTCAGCGCCAGCCAATCCATGGAAGATATACTTTGCGGCCTTGATCCAGAATCCCTTTTCGTGTTTGTTCTCGGAGACGAAGCATGCCACAAACGCATTTTCGAACTCCTTATCCTCAAGCAACCATGAGACGTGCCAGGCTTGGAGGATGTAGAGACCAAAGTCCTTATCGGCTCGTGGAATGCTCTCATCGACCTAGACCTGTCCAGTGTGCAGCCAGTTGAGATAGAGCTGAATGGCTCGTTGTTCGCAGTTGGGGTATGGGTAAAGCGGGGGCACCGGTAGGGGATCTTCTTGCCATGGTTGTCGACACATCGGACAGGTGGCTGAACCATTCTGTGACTTCCTCCAATTCTCCATACAGTCTTCGTGAATGTTCTGTCCACATTTTGCTCGACAGAAAGTTACTTCGTCCAATTCAGGGTTGAGGTTGTCGTGACATACTGGGCAATCCCCTTCGATGGATTTGCGATTGGCTTTTTGACGATTGCGGAGAGAAACGGAGGTTGCACAAATGAGATCCTCATGTATGGTGAAAGGCGCTTAGTTTCACTGATTTTGAACGTGGTGACCATGCGGCTGGCACTGTCCTCAGTTAGTAAATAACTGAAAGCTCCATCGCGCTTGCTGGCTCACCTCGGGAGGCCAGGCCTTCTCGTAGCGCATCGACGCATAACAACTTCCATTACCGTAGGCGCGTGGCGTCAAGCGTGATCGCAGTATTCTTGCCGTTCGAAGACACAAATGTTGGAGGTGAGGGGCGACAGGTGCGCTCCTTTGACGGCGGAAAGAAGCCGCACGTCGCAGTGAAGGGGGGGATGAATATGACGATGTGTGCGAACATGGAACAGCAACAAAGCAAAGGAATGAGATACTCTGCGGCTCTGCACGGCACCGTCATGCCTCTCTTTTGCATTTACACATGATGATCTTTTACCTGGGTATATTTTCGCTGACCGTGAACGCCGAAACAGAATGTTTCAAGACAGAGGTGCAAATTAGGAACCAATATACCACAGCTCTACGCCCATGACTTCGAACTTGGTGCCGTCGTCGCTCAGCGGCTCGTTGCCAAACGTGGGACATGTCGCCGACACGCCGTTCTCGAGGTTGTCGTCAAGCCACAGGCCATAGTGGCCGTCGCTGTTGCATTGTCAGTTAACGGCTTCTTCAAACCTATACAGTGAGCCAACTTACCCTCCGCCAACACTCAGAAAGCTATGCTCGCAGAAGATCATGTAGTCATTTACTCCGCTGTACGGAAATGCTTTGAATCTTATCCTCTCCGGCGTACTCGTACCGCTCCTGCTCGCGTGCCCAGACGCTGGAGGCGAAAGTGTCTCTGACTTCGATTTCGCTGTCGCGATCGTCGTCATTCTAATCGCATTTGTAGTGTCTGCACTGGGTGGCGGCGGAAGGTTTGCGAGGTCAGGTAGAGATGTGAGGACAAGTGCTCTCCATAGAAAGCACTCGCCGTTGCCGTAGAAGTGTGATGATGGGTGTGGTGCATCAGAGAGGTATGCGCCGAACACACCACCACCGGCGTCCTTGATCACAAGCACGAATCCTCCCCTCTTCCCTCTGTAGTCGTCTGCCTTCTTGTACAGGGTAGCCAGGCTGACGCCATTCTGCTCCAGGCTGTACATCAAGCTCCATTCATCTACAAGCTGCAGTCTCGGCGGCACCAGTAGCCTAATCTCTTCTGCTAATGCCTTATTCAGCAGCTTCCCGCTCTCCCGCATTCCCTCTTTCCATCCTTGCAAGCTCAGTGGTGTAAGTGGTGGCGGTTGGAAGGGGCTCGCTGTGCGGTGTGGGTTGTGGAGGGCGCCGTGCATATCTTCACCTGCGTCTGCTGTGGACGAAGAGAGGGACCTTGCTGTATTCGACACAAGACTGGCAAGCGAATGTGAAAGGGAGTTTGCTGTCGGTGCAAACTGCGATTGTCGTCTGTTTGGAGTATCGTTCACGGTTGTGGTCGTGATTGCAGGCGGACTTGTTTCGGAGTTCAGTCGTCGCAGTATGCCCCCAACGGCGTATTGAACCGGGTATGTGAAGAACGAGGATGCACGCTGTGGTGTTTTGGACGGAGGGGAGGATTGCGGTTCGTCTGTAGTGGAAGGCATTGCATGGATAAAGATGTTCTAGTTGCAGTGGAAATGTTCATGTAAGCGAAAAGTGGGTCGCGTGAGGACGCGGTTCTGCTGTTGCAGGTTGATCAGGTCGACGCGCCGTTGGAGAGCTGTGACGTTGCGTAATAATTAGTGGGCTGACAGCGCACGCAAGAAAACAGCGCCTCAACGCATTTCAGCGACTAAGATACTCGATCTCTAGCATTGCTTAGCATTCACCTCGTGTTTGTGACAGAATTTGCTCCTTTCAACAACTCAAGTCCAGTGTGTCGCTTGCTTTTGAGCATTCCCAGATCATGAAGTCACATCACGCTAGTGAATCCCCAGGAAGCTTAGCCGCCGCTAGTCATGAAGGGTACGACAAGGCTGATGGTTTCTGGAGATGACAAGCAGCAATGAAGGATAGCCACACAGTGCAATCTCATCATGCAAAATCACACAAAGATAGTAATACAGGTTGAAGCTTCCTGGGCGCAGAATAAGCTTCTCGATCTAGTCGACATTTCACAACTAATTCCTGACGTCAATACATGTCGTGGACAGGATTGAAAGTAATGAGAATGAGTATCTTCGACGCTGCTCTTCATCATGATCCTGTGACCCAACACCAACAAAATGGCTCAAATCATACTCACCCATGCCAGGCTTGGTGCTATCAAAGGCTTACGCGATGCGCAGACTTCTTTGATCAAGATTCTCGGCCTTCCCTACGGCACCATCTCACAGCGTTTTGGACGAGCAGAGCCGCTACAGACTCTTTCTGACAGCCCCAGGTTTCAGAACAACATCTTCGATGCCACAAGATCAGGGGCATCCAGCGTCCAACCATGGGGTAGCGTCACCATGGACGCCTCGAACATCCCCCTACCAACCGACAACCTCCCAGATGACGAAGAGCAATCAGAAGACTGTCTAAACCTCTCCATCCGGCTCCCTCCAACATGTCTCAGCAGCGATGGCGCCCTACGTTCTGACGCCAAACTCCCAGTCCTAGTCTTCATCCACGGCGGCGCTTTCTTCCTCGGCTCCGCAAACAGACCATACTACGACCCTTCAAACCTGGTCCTGCACGGCATCCAGCGGGGCACACCCTTCATCATGGTTTCCATAAACTACCGCCTTGGGGTCCTAGGCTTCATGCACAGTCCCTCAACCTCCAGCCTGATCCCCGAGAACAACGGGCTGTACGATCAAGACCTCGCTCTCCTGTGGGTCAAGGATAACATTGCGGGCTTCGGCGGCGACGTCGATAACATCACTGTGATAGGTCAAAGTGCAGGAGGCGAGAGTATATCCGTAAAAACAACCCGCTCCCCGGTATTCAAGCGCGCAATAGCATTCAGCGGTACCCCCGTGACAATGCCTAGCATGACGCCCTCCGAGCACCACGCCAACTTCCTCAGCCAAGCGTCCTCACTCAATATCCCCCTCAAGAACAGCGACGGGAACGAGAGAAGCGCGACGGCCATCGCGAACGAGTTCATCGCCGCCGACGTACAAAAGATTCGGGAATTAGCCTGGGTCGGCCTTCCGTGTGCGAATACGGAGTTCTTCCCTGTCGACAAGCCGAGCATGGAACTGACGAAGAGAGGCAAAATGGCGCCCGAGAATTGGCGCCAGAGGTTCACGCCCGTGGAGGCGCAGATCGTTGGGTCTACGACGTACGATGGTGGGATATCGTATAACATGATGAGTCGCGATCCTAGCCGCAAGAACCACGCTAAGGCGTTTGAGCACATCGCAAAGGACATGTTGGGCGATGAGGTTGGCGCGGAGTTGTGCACGATCTACGGGATTAAGGGTGGTATGTCGGATCCTGATGCGCTGCAGGCCGTGTGTCTGTTCGAAAGCGATATTGGTTTCTTCGCTGCGGCTATGGCGACTGTGGAAGCCGACCTGATTCCAAAGACGTACTTCCAGATCTTCGACCTGCCAAACCCGTTTGATGCCCCTATTAGGAAGCAAGGAGAATTTGCGACGCACACATTCGATATCGTGACGCTGCTGGGCGGCGTGCATGAAGACCGCCTGCCGGAGAGCTACACGCCTATTGTTAGTGCGTGGAGAGATGCGATTTTGGACTTTGTGGTGAGTGGGAAGAAGCCATGTGAAGAGTACATTCGCGATGGGAGGGAGGGGAGGAGAGGGTTGATGGTTAATAAGGACGGAGTCAGGGAGATTGGGGAGGAGCAGTGGCTTGATAACGATGAGAGCAGACGTAGGAGGCTGTTTGAGCTTGCACAGCGGGTCAAGGGTGATGCTGGGTGTGACGTGCTTTGGATGGATGTTGGGAGGCGGTTTTTGATGAAGGGCGAGTAGCCAACTTTTGCTGTCATTCGTTCGTAACAACGCATTGCCTGTTTCGCTTGCGCCTACTGAGCCGCGTCTTCCTGCACCGCTGCTGTAGCCGTAGCCGCCGCGACCTGCGCCGTTTCCGCCGCCGTCTCCTCGGCCACCAGCGCTGCAGCAAAGTCCGTCTCTTGCACAGCATCGCCCATCTCCTGGTCACCCTGCTCCTCGCCCTCAGGGCTCTCAGTCGCCTTACCCTCTTCGTCCTTCAACTTCGCACCCTTCCTCTCTGGCAGCACAGCCATGAACGCCTTACCCCAGTCCCCAAACTCCAACCACTTGAGCATAATCTCCAGCACGTGATTCGTGACAAGCACCTGCCTGCTCTTCATCTCCAAGAACTCGCCAATGGGCAGTTTCGCAGTCTTGATACCTCGCTCTACAGCACGCTTGTGGCAGACACCCTTGTGCCTGTTCTTATCAACAAGCCCGCCAATGATGTATGTGCTGTTTGGTTTGAGTGTTGTAAGGACGTTGTCAGACTCCGAAGAGAGGTAAATGATCTCGCCTTCCTCGTCACTCGGCTTATCCTCCGCTTGCTCCGCCTCGCCTCCACCATCCTCGTTCACAGCAGACTTCATAGCGCCAGCGACAACGCCACCTCTAGGACCAGTCATCCACTCGCGACTCTTCTTACTGACCTCGACAAAATCCTCCTCGAAGAATTTGAACCCCTTCCAGCTCGTGTGCTGATTCCCCAAAATGCCCTCGAATCGCTCTTTCATCTTGCCTCCCCAACTACTAATCGCCAAATGCGTCCTAAACGCCGCTTTCCGGTTATCAGAATAGCACCTCGTGATCTGCAACCCCAGACTCTTCAGCTCCGCATCGAACATCAGATCCTCCCAATCGCAATCAAACACCACCGTGATAGGAACCTGCGTGCCACTTCCCGGCGTGTTACGGCTCGGGCGATTCGACGGAAGTTTCGGGATCTCACCGTTCTCATCGGGCTGGTGCTCAGCGGCCCATGCTTCACGGCGGCGTTCCTTTCTCTCCTTGGCCTTTTCTTTGCGCTTGAGTTTGCGGTCTTCGCGGCCGGACTCCCAGCGCTCGTGGCGGCGCTGCTTTTTGAGCTGGTTTTTGGAGATTTTGGCCTCCGAGATGGTGCTGCCGCTCGCTTCGTCGGCGGTGATGGCGGACTCGCTGTTGGTTGTGGTCACGGGACCGGGGGAGTCGATGGGCGATGTGTAGGATGGTGTGACGCCGACGCTTGCTGCAGCGTCTTCTTGGAGGTGGGCTAGTTTGCGTAGTTTTGCTGGCCTTGCGTCGGAATCTGCAGCTTCGCTGGCTTCTGTTGGGACTGGAGAGTCCACGGGAGATGTGTATGAGGGCGTCACGCCTACACTTGCTGCTGCTTCCTCTAGGTCCAGGTACCGGTTTCTCAATTTCGAGGATCCAGCGTCAGAGTCCATAGCATTGACGTCTTCTGTTGTTATCGGAGCCGGAGAATCAACTGGCGTTGTGTATGCTGGAGTGACGCCCACGCTGGCCGCCGGGTCCTCCTCTTCCATCAAATGGCCCAGCTTCCTCATCTTATTTGGTCTCACCTCGTCAGTCATGTTAGTTTCGAGTTCCAATCTCTTCCTCAATTGAGTTCAATTGATGTTCTGGTGCTGTCCGAGCACTCACCATCGTCAAAATTATGCTCACATTACTAGCGCGGCAGCACTTCTTGGCGCTCCGCACCCTTGTCATCGCAGCTGCACAAGCTCGCTCGCGACCTCACGTCTCCGCACCGCCAACGGCACCCTTCACGCACCCATTGAGCCCCCGCACCACACCGCCCACAATGCCGCAGGACATGCCCCCCGTGGGCGGGTACAACCCCGTTCAGTACAAGCGCAACCTGCCCATTCGCGGCTTCCGACCGGCTGTGTACCTCGTTGGAACCGGCGTACTCATGACATACGGATTCTGGAGGGTTGGACAGGGAATCAGGGAGCACAAGTATGTGGACCCTTAGCTCGGCGGAGCGCAGCGAAGCCGCCGGCACAACAAAGCCATCGGACAGCAGCATGGCTGGACCGGAACGACGAGGAAAGAAGTGCAGAGCTGACCAGTACCTCCAGCGAACTCGCGCGCGAGAAGATGTGGGCACGGATACATTTGATTCCTGCTCTGCAGGCCGAGGAAGACCGCGACCAAGTGCGCCGGTACCTCGCCGACAAGGCCAGGGAGAAGGAGCTGCTCGGCACAGAGACGAGGGTTTACAACAGCGACAGGTCTGTACTCATACTCATGCGTCTTAAGGAATTCCTGTTGATTCAAATGCAGGTTCGTGCGACCGACGTTCGCCATCACACCCGAGAACGAGACAAAGTAGAGCATGGGTTGTTGGGTGGGGGGAGATGTGTGGGGTACGATTGTACATATAAGAGCAGGAGGGTGCGGAAAGTACGAATGGTGCCCTTAGTGGCCGCACCGCATAGGAGAGTGCACGACAATCGAATCTATGTTTTCCTTGGTTACATTCACATGTGTTGTCATCCTCCCCAACCACGGTCACGTCTGTCTGAGCTAGTCGCTCGGATAGCAGAAATGGAAGGTACTCGGTGCTGTTTGGCAGGCCATCTGCAATCTGATAAAGCCTCTTAAAACTGCAGTGGTTTCTGTGTCACAGCCGGCTTGTTCCGCCACTCGAGAGCTAGAATGACATCATGAGCATGGCGTCACAGCATCAAACGAATACTCGATGAACGGGCATGTAGCTCTGCTGCAATCAGTAAGGAAACAGGATCCTGGAGGCAGTTAGTGCATCGAGACAACTCTGGTCATGGCATGTCCATCATCGAGAGGAGCATCTCGTCTATTTGACCAACCCTTTCTCTGAAGTAGCAGAACAGAGAATCGGGCACAAGCCTGCTTGCTGGGTCCGCTGTCGGGTGTGATGACAGCACGAACAAAGGATCCTTGCGTGAGCCGAAGGGCTTCACCAAGTGCTCGAATCGCATGTCGAGACCTTCAGGCAGAGATCATCCATAGCGGGGTTTGTAGACGGCCGGGTGTCAGGTGCGTCGTTCAAAGTAGGTAGCCGAAATCTCTGGGCGTGTTGGAGTTGCTCCTGGATTTCCTCGCGGAGGCGGCGAATAGGCGGGCTGGATGGCGATAACTCTGGCACAGTCTTCGCTACAATCTCGAGGATCTCGGCGCTAGTTAATGTGTTGTGCTAAATAGCTCTTCGCCAGTGAGCGGGAGACGCACGCATGATGCTATGGCCGCTCTTTCCTCGTCTTCATTAAAGGTGCCATCTGGGTCATCAGCCTTGATTGGCGGAGGCGGCGTAGACGAAGTAAACGCTGATGATGATGATGATGATGATGATGGCGTAAAAGCAGGCGTGAAGCAGGCGTAGAAGCGAGCGTTGAGGGAGATGAAAATGTCGAACAGTCGTTTTCTGCTGCAGCGCTGGAGGGCGCCATCCTCTGGGTGGAGTGCAAACGAGGGTGAGTGAGGCTTGCAGCTGATGATGTGAGACACGATCGGCAGACGGTACGTCGAGTAATTGGGTGAGGGCTGAGGGATGATGCGAGAGAATGTTTTGCAGATGAGTGGTGCATCGCGATTCACGATACCCTGAAGCCCTCCAGCCCTTGGTTCCATACTTTCCAAGAATTGGGACTTCCAATCTCTTACCCTGGACTATCTGACAGATTCCTGAAGACCACCAGGCTCTAGTTTCCCCCATACATTTTGCTACAATCGTGTTTTGCAATCCCCGCGTTTTATGCTACCTAACAATACGCTGACTTCCTCCAGCCCTTATCATCATAACGAAAAATCGTAGAAGCGAATGCTCCGGTTCCCAATCATCTCTCACGAACCACAGTGCCTCGAAGACCTCCCGGCTTTGATTTCTCTAACACCAGAATCGTAGATTCGCAAAATCCATTTTCCGATTCCTGACTGCAGGCATAGTACACTGTAGTCTCCAACCTTACACCTTCCCTGCGGCGGTGAGGTAAACACTACAATTTCGCTTTCACCGATCCGACACCAGCCTTGACCTGCACCTTACCCGCACTGTCCGTATCGACCGTGACCACAACACCCTCCTGCGCAAGTTTACTGGGCTGCAAAGTAATCTCCTGACAATCCTCAATCTCCACCTCGTTCGCAAACTGCACGACAACAAAGTCTATTGGTCGGTCTCCAATAACAATCATAGGCGCATGCCACGTCCCCGCCCCGTAGGTCACAGCTTGACTGCCTATCGCTACAAATGCGCGGAGATTCTTCAGATCCGGGAGTCCAGGCCCTTTTGGTCGGGCTGAAAGATGCAGTTTCTCGAACTGCGGTGGGGGCGGAATAGCTTTGGTGGAGTATGGTGCTGGTCGCGCCCTCGCAAATATATCGCGGAAACTCTTCTTCCTCTCGACTACAGGCGTGGGATACGGCGGCGGGCGGCCGATGTGGCGTTTTGATGCGCTGGCTGGGAGTGTTGGTGCGACGATCACGAGGTACTGCGTGTGTTTGTCTTGCGCCGAGAGACCCATTGGGATGAATGTTTGGGTGGTGAAGGGGTGCCGTTCGAGGATTGTTACGTCTAGTAGTTGTTTGTCATGGTTCTTGTTTCCGTCTTCGTCTTCGTCGAGGTCAAGATCGCCCCATGAGCTGGGCATGCTCTCGCTTGGCTCGATGCTTCGTAGGTTCCGTGGTGAGCATACAAACATGTTCATCACTGCTTTTGCGGGCTTTTTCGAGGGTGCTAGATTGTAGAGATTTGACATGTGTGTAACATCCAGATACTTTGTTGCTGAGCCTTGGTTGGCCTGGACATGTTTGGGTGGTGGTGCGCGCTGCGGTATCGGTAACTTGGAGCTGGGAGATGTTGCGGGGTTCTCAATCACGGTGCCAAACTGCGCGAAGGCAGTAGGCGTCAGAAGCTCCATGGGTATCCGTATAGACGGGCATGGCATTGAGGTCGGCATTGCTGCCCTTCAGTGAGGCTTCACGTCAGTGGTGGAGGGAAACAGAGGAGCACGCGATGAGGCTGGGGAAGATGGAGCTCGGGAGCTTGTGATAGCATCAGCGCGGCTGCAACCGACGCGCTAAGATAGCGATAGCGGGCTGGATTTTCGACATTCAAGCTATGTCATATAAGGATGATTTGTAGTTTAATGTACTGGCGTCGAAAAAGTGCTCAATTGTCACTTTGATGGTGCATGACTAAGTAGTTAGTAACTTCACATGAGTACCAGATCGAACGGGGCATGACGGGCCGACGCCTTAGCGCGACAGCCTCGTGTGTGTCGAATTGTTTCCATTCACATTTGCTGACTGTCACGAACATATCCCCAGACTTCCGCTGCGACGTCGACAATCCCCGCGCCCCTTTGCCGCTGCGTGGTCGTCTCCCCCAGTCTGCCCTTGGCCTTACGAATCAATCTAGCAAGTCTCCGGAATACGTCACTCGCGCACAGCGAACGTGTCTTAGTCTTACTTAGCCTTTCTCACCGCCAACGCAACACTCTAGCTGCACAGCCAGACTCGCGACCACCAGCACCTTGCCCATCCACCATCTCTGTACCATCTACTGTGACTTTGACTAGTCATGGCGGCTCCCACACAGTTGGCTTGTACGTTGTACGCGAGTAATAGTTTGGACTCGTGCTAATGCACTTTGCCAGATCGCACGTCCAAGGGCATCGGGGTCTTCAACGCGGCTCCCACATACGAGGCTCTTCCAGGGTTCACGCCGTGAGTTCAGCGAGCATGGGTCTGCGGTTCAATGCGCTAATTGAGTCATCAGGCCGGAAGGCAACCTTCGTTGTAAATGTTACTCGCCTGACAGCAGGTACTTCGCTTGGGCGTCGCCCGAACAGTGAGGCTCCCAGATCATACACTCAATACGTTTTGCTGATAACATCATGCAGGGTTTCAGTAATCGACGCCTCGACCGGCAGTCTCGTCTCGACCGTCCCTGCAGTCAACGTGTTTCAGCTCGGATTCTCCCCGCTGGGCACCTACATCATTACATGGCAGCTTCCTTCAAAGGACGAGGATGGTAATGCTAAGAAGAACCTGAAGGTCTGGAAGACTGTGCCGGATGAGTCTGAGGGTGCTGAGCGAGCAGTGGTCGGCGAGTACGTGCAGAAGTCTCAGACTGGCTGGAATCTGCAGTACTCTCCTGACGAGAAGTTCTGCGCACGCACTGTCACCAACGAGGTGCAATTCTTCCAGTCTGAGGACCTACGCAACCCATGGAACAAGCTGCGCGTGGAGGGAGTGACTGACTTTGCCCTGTCGCCCGGAAAGAACCATTCAGTTGCAGTTTTTGTCCCGGAGCGCAAGGTAGGTTTGAACCTCCATTGAGAACATGGCATAAACTGACGCGAATCATAGGGAATGCCAGCCTCAGTCAAGGTCTTCCAGGTGCCTCAATTCAACTCGCCTGTCTCGCAGAAGACATTCTACAAGAGCGACAAGGTTCAGCTGAAATGGAACGATCTCGGTACAAGCGTCATCGTCTTGGCGCAGACCGATGTCGACAAGACTAACAAGAGTTACTACGGCGAGACGAATATGTACATTCTTAGCGCCAACGGCTCTTTCGACTCGCGTATCCAGCTTGATAAGGAAGGCCCGATCCACGACGTGTCGTGGTCGCCGAACTCGAAAGAGTTTGGTGTCGTGTACGGCTACATGCCAGCAAAGACCACTATCTTCAACGTCCGTGCTATCCCCCAGCACAGCTTCGATCTAGGCCCGAGAAACACAATCAGCTTCTCACCCCACGGTCGCTTTGTATACGTTGCTGGCTTCGGTAACTTGGCTGGAGATATGGACATGTACGATTTGGAGAGGAACTACCACAAGGTCTGCACCATCAAGGCCTCTAACTGCACTTACTGCGAATGGAGCCCCGATGGCAGGCACGTTCTTACCGCGACCACCAGCCCGCGTCTTCGTGTCGACAACGGAATTCGCATCTACCATGTCACTGGACCTCTTATGTACAACCAGGATATGACCGAGCTGTACCACGTCACCTGGCGCCCACAGTCGCCTCAGCAGCATCCGTTGGATAATGTGCTGACTGCACCCGCGCCTCACCCATCCGCAGCCGCGTTTACCGCCACCCAGAAGACTCCTTCCAAGCCTGCTGGTGCCTACCGCCCCCCTGGTGCACGAGGAACGGCTACTCCTCTCATGTTCAAGCGTGAAGATGAAGGTGGCGCTGCTTACACGAACACTGGCGTATCTTCGACCAACGTTGGATTCCAGAACGGCTTTGGCAGAGGTGGTCGCCGCCAAGTACCTGGTGCTGAGCCTGCTCAGAACCTGCCACCAGGTGCTGCTCCCGGAGGTGGCGTCAGTCTCTCTGGCACTGGCGAAGGCGAAGAGCTGTCAAAGGCTGCTCAGAAGAACAAGAAGAAGCGTGAAGCGAAGAAGGCTCGTGAGGCTGCGGATAAGGCCGCTGGTCTGACTGCCGACGCGCCCACCGGACCAGCTGGTCGAAGCCCTGAACGTCGCGATGGCCGCGATGGCCGCGACGGTCGTCAGCGCAGCCACAGTAAGAATGGAGGCTATGGAAACGGCAGGAGCCCCAGCCAGCAGCGCCCGTACGGAAACAGCCCTAATCGCCGTGCCCGACCTCAGGATGGACAACAGCGCCAGAACCACGGTCAGCAGCAGCAACGTAGTCAGGATGCTCGTACTCTTCCTCCTGTCCAGACCTCGAACGCACCCGCCCCCGACCTTACCGTCACTAGTCCTGGCGATGGCGGAAACCCTCAGGACAAGAAGATCCGTGGCCTGCTCAAGAAGGTCCGCGCTATCGATGAGCTTAAGATGAGGCAAGCTGGTGGCGAGAAGCTCGAGGACACCCAGATCAAGAAGATTGGCACCGAGGAGTCCATCCGCAAGGAGCTCAGCGCGCTTGGGTTCCAGGGTTAGAATCTCCTGGAGCCCAGGCTCAATTGGGACGCTATAAACACCATCTACATGCGCTCAGGGCTACCGGAGAGCCGAACCCCATCGCCCAAGAAATACGTGGTGCTGAACAGTCCTCCAATCTTGCCATTGAGCCCGCGACTCTTGCCTCATAGACGATAAATTGGATGGCGAAGTAGAGTAGACGGTACCCAACACTGGCTACCAAGAAAAGCATAAAATCATTCTTCATTACTGCGCAACTCTATCCAACTCATCTGTTCTAGCTGTACGTGAACTTCTTCAGATCCGCTGCAACATCCCTCACCGCATCCTTCGCCTCGTCGCTCCAAGCAGTCATTTGCAGCCACCCGTGCGTCATCCCGTCGTAGTGCCTCCACACAATCTCATTCCCAGCCTCCCTCGACTTATGCGCGTACTCAACACCCACATCTCTCAGCGGATCAAAGCCAGACGTGTACACGCCCGCGCAGCTCTGGCCCTTCAAGTACTCTTTATATTGCATACCGGGCGAGATGTACTTGTAACTCGGCGGCGTGCCGCGCGGGAGATAGTGGTCCGCGAACGAGAAGATGCCGTTGCACTCCAAATAGTATCCTGAGTTGTTCTCTGCGGCTGCGGGCGTGTCGAATGGCAGTCTCGCCTCCGGGTACAGTAGGATCTGGCTGTGAAGCGGGGTCTTGCCTTCGTCCCGACGCCGCAGCGAGATGGCGGCCGTCATGTTGCCGCCTGCTGAGTCGCCGCCGCCGGATACGCGGGAGGGGTGCACTCCGCGCTCTTGACCGCCTGAGGTTTGAAGCCAGTCGATGATGTGGGAGTACTCGTCGAGTTGGACGGGAAATTTGAATTCGGGGGCGAGACGGTAGTCGATGCCGTAGACTTGTACACCGCTCTCCTCTGCTAGGAATCTCAAGCCATTCTCAAACTCATCGACACTGCCCACTGTGTATCCTCCTCCATGGAAATACACCAGTGCGCCAGCCTCACCCTTTTTGCGGTGCTCTTCCCCGGATTTTGGATAGAACACCCGGACGGGGATCGTTCCATGGGGTCCCCGGATGGCGGTGAATTCTACTTCGCCGATGGGGTGTTGCTTGTCCTTGGGGATGCTGTGGATGCCGAAGACTTCAAGGTGCTTGCGCCGCTCTGCGTGGAAGTCTTCATCGCCGCCGAGGTGGAGTGAGGAATTGTCCTTAAGGAATTGCGAGATGGAGGGGACGAGCTTGGTACGTGTCCCTGTGGTGGGGATCTCGGGGCCTTTGTTGGTGTTGGACATGGTGGGTGTTATTGTTAGAAGACTGAGATGCTGGGATGTGGAAATTGAGATTCAGAAAATATTAAAGTACTCTACGTTAAGACTACAATTGCAATGCTTAACGTCGGTGGACGTCATATCCGAGGGTTCCTGAAGATGTGTTCTTCAAAAATTGAGTTTTGTGGTTCAATTGTTGCGGCTTCAGCGGGTAAGCTACGTTACTCGAACGTCAAGATCCGCTTCAAGGCCGCTTTTGTATGCAGGGTCATTCTACAAGGCCAATGGAAACAGTCATTTGGGTTCGGAAACAGGTCAACCGACAGTGGTGTTGTTGTATTGCCGGACGCTGTTCCGTTACTTGTGGAGATAGTTCCTGTACTGAGGCTCTGCTATGGTGTTTGCAATTTACCGGAGCCCACCAAGACCCAATCTCTCCTTGAACTTCCGATCAACTCGAAGCAAGAGATGAGAATCTTTTTCGTCAGGCACACACTTACCGGGATTCTCTCTTTGCATTATGCGACCTGCACGTTAGATGTGTATGGTAGTGCGCGACGGGCTTCGTCCCACGTCTCTGATGACATGTGTAAGTACCGGCGGTCGTCCTTCATGTATCGAAAGCTGAGAGAGTCGATCAGAGAGTACATAACGTAAATGTTGTCAAGATGCAACACAAGAGCCGTTGGCCGCTGGGAAGGCTTGCAAGTTGTGAAGGTCGACTGTCATTCTGGAGACCTATGATGTCACCGCCATGTGGGGCGGCTTCCCAAATGCAACGGCGCATAAGCTTCGAAAGCTTCAGAATACGTCTTGCATAACAATCTGATTCTGCCAGGGCTGACGCTCATAAGATCCTCGCTTTGTAGTCGCAGCCTGTCCTCACGACCAGGATGACGTAACGTTCTCACGAGGATGCGCACCAGCAAACAGGTCTCGAACGTGTCGCCTCGAACATCACTTGCTGGATTCGAGCACCCCTGTCATCTTGAATTGCAATCGCGAACGAGCAAACAAACCCCACCACTTGCATCGCAATTTGGTATCGCAATGTCCGTCAGGCGACGTATGACGTGCTGTTACGTTCCTGCTCACGAGCCAGCTCGCGAGGTCGCGACTGGATGATCATCGAATTGTGTGCTTGCTTGCCAACTGCCAACGGCCATCACAGCAAGAAGACATGGCCACGGGAATGACGTAGCTGCAATTCTCTTGCCTGGCCGAAGAACATATATAGAGTGCGTTCCGGCGCAAGCAACGTACATATCAACAAGACAACTTACTTCACCAACCTACACTCATCACTCAATCATCACTCAATCATCCCCAACAACCACCAAATAAACAGTCAACATGTCTGATGCCGCACGCAAGGATTTCCACACCAAGGCTGGGGAGAAGCTCGTTCGTCCTCCACATCCCTTTTCCGCGCCTCACTATTGACTCTGACAGACTCCCGACTCCTCCAAGTCTACTCTAGACAAGACCAAGGAGACCATCACCGGCACTGCCGACAAGACCGCCCGCGAGGCCCAGCCTGGTACGCTTTTTTTCTTTTTCGCGCTTCCTTCCTTTAGCCCCTACGTCCAGTGACCCTCTTGCAATCGCTCCCTACTAATACCCCAACAGACTCCCAGAAGACCACCGCCCAGTCCCTCGGCGACAAGGTCGGTCGCACCAAGGACGACAATGTCCACGGCTCTACGCACGAGTCGGTTGGCGACAAGGTCAAGGGCGCGCTTGGTATTGGCAAGCACTAGGTGCGAGTCTCGAGAGAAGATGGCGGAATGATACCCGGGTTTTGTGACGGAAGGACGGTCTTTACTGTCAACCTACGACCCTATGCAATGCAGATGCTTTACGATACCATGCCTGAGGGCTGTGAATGAATATTGATTGATAAAGAACTGTTGATGTTGTCCGTGGTGTCGTACCTTGCTTTTGGTGAGCTATTAAAACATTTATTGCTTGTCGTGAAAGTCTATCCACATTATCAGATGGTGTGCTTCACACTTGTGCCGCTCATCATGACAGCCCTCCACCCGTCGCTTCCAAGTTGTCTCATCATCTGTCACACATCCTTACTCTTGCAGCACAGATTGTTGGGTCAGCCATTCTTCAAATTTTTCCTTCGCAGCTTCATCCACCATGCAGAACTTCACAGGGCCTCGCTCGCTCCATCCTTCTTGCACGAGCGGTGGCTCCGCCAATTCTGCCACTTTCTGGACCTTTCCCGCTGTGCTGAGCAGTCCACCGAGCCTGAAGAGTAACATGAGGCTGCCATTGGGAGCGGGTACGCTAGCGCTCTGCGACTTGAAGACATCTTTAGCCTGCAAGCTGTGTTCGTAAAATTCACGGTCCTGTCCGGCTGCTTCCTTTTTGACCTTGACCAGGTCCCAATGATCGTCCGTGAGGCGCTCGCGGGTCACTACAAGTATGAGGTTCAGTATTGGTTGCAAGAGAAGCACCTATGCATAACAGTGCTCCACTGTCACTTACCATCCCCGCGCTATTGGCCAATAAGATTGACTGTTTCCATGTGACTGTAGCCGAAGAGTTTCTACCAGCGCTCAATCGTCTCTTTCGTAGGGTATTCAGACGCAAGTTGAGCATCAGCCGCGCCGGCAGCTTGTGCCAAGCGCTCCAACTCTGCCCATCCTTCCTCGTACTCCATAATGACTTTGTTCTGTATGAACTTGGATTTGTAAACAGAGGCAATGTGGCCGCTTTCGCAGAAGTTCGAACGTGGATTGTTGCATGGTACGTAGGTGAGTCAGCGTTCGTAGTGAGTCTGAGCTTCGAAAGAGTGAGTGATATGGTTGTTGAAGGCCTCAGCCAGTAAGAGTCAGGACGACTGTACAGTCGATGTTGCCTTCTCAATGGTGGCTAAGGCAGGTATGACGTAATATGGGAAACTACGATCCAGTCATATGGTATGTGAGTCTTTTGAGATGCAGATGCGGACCGAAGAGTATCCTGGACGACATTCGAAAGCCTACTTCGTGAGCGCCAATATTCTCGCCCAGCTTTGTGGTTTGCACAAATATCTGGGTATGAAGTCTCTTGCTCAGATGTAGTGTCGAATCGAAATGGGTATCTTATTTTGCTTTTGCCTTGTCTTCGTGACCAGGGATCTCTATGCTGATGCTTGTGCTTGCTGTTGCTGCTGTGCGGCGTTTTGTATCTGGATGATCTGGATTTATGGTCAGCACTTGTGCATTGGTTTCCCATGGCTGGCTGCCGTACCTCGACCTTGACCTTCTCACTCTTATCCTGGATGCCCTTGATCTGTGTCTCGAACCGCCTGATCTCCTTCTCGATGAACTCCAGACGTCCGTTCACTGACATGAGCGCCTCTGTCTTGTCCTGCTTCAGTAGTACCGGGCCGATCTGCTTGTAGATGTTCGCATCGTCGTCGAGAATGTCGAATTCCTGCACCTTCGTCTTAGCTCCAGATCTTCCCGTCCATTTCCTATGCTTCACACCTTCTTGACAGTCGTATTCTCCTGCTGCTGCGATTCGAGCTTCTGGCGTGCTTCTACGGCTGTTTCAAGCTCTGCCTTGCAATCAGGGACTGCTGTCTGCAGATTTCTGCGCTTCCTTACCTGCCTGCAGGCTCTGATAGCTCTCGGACAGCTCCTGAAGCTTCTTCTGGGCTTCTGACATGATTTGTTGTTGCTGAGTAACAGCTTGCCAAAAGTTTCCAGTTGTTTCAGTTCGCGCGGAGCACGCGAAGGTGGGATGTCAAGCCAACTGCACTGGGCCTAGCGAATCGCGGGGCTAGATTCGGGCCTTGGCCATGTGCATGGAGGCCATGGAGAAGACACCCACGCTTCACTGCACTGTGATAAAGCTCGCCCTGCCAGCTACAAGATTCCTCGCTGCTGAGGGCACTCGCCAAGGCGGAGTTTTGTGCGTTGTCTAGGAACAAGACGCAATAGCAACGACGAGCAAAGCAAACGATTGCCCCACCGAACGCACTCGGCCGTCATAGCACCAGCTCGACCTCAATCGCCGACGCGACGCGCACACGCACAACACATATATTCAGAAGCAGCTGCGGAATATAGCCCAGCAGAAGCGCGAAGATGAGCCAGGCAGACTTTCTGGGCCGTGCCATTGAACAGGTCAAGAAGGCTATCGAGACCGACACCGCAGGCGACTATGAGGCGGCCTACCAGCAGTATTACAGCGCGCGTGAGTGATATGAAATCTGGCATATATACTAGGAAATATTTGCTAACACACTGTAGTCGAGCTGTTCATGCTCGCGCTGAAATGTACGTTGCATTCAACCTCGGTTCCACACCAACCATGTCTATGTCGAAGGCCATACACTAACGATGAGTAGGGGAGAAGAACCAGAAGTCAAAGGAAATGATCCGGGGCAAGGTGGCCGAGTACATGGAGCGCGCCGAGAAGCTCAAGCAACATCTGAACCAGAACGACGTCTCAAATCGCAAGAAGCCTTCTGCTATGGGCGCAAATGGCAAGTCGGCTGGCGGCAGCGGGAAGGATGGCAAGTACGTGTAGATGAGTACGGTCATACGTGTGGACGTCAAAGCTAACCGAATGAAAAGGGACGACGAAGACGGCGAACAAGACGCCGACTCGAAGAAGCTTCGCGGTGCACTTTCAGGCGCCATTCTGACAGAGAAACCCAACATCCGGTGGGAAGACGTCGCAGGTCTGGAAGGAGCCAAAGAGGCGCTGAAAGAGGCTGTCATCCTGCCCATCAAGTTTCCACACCTATTCACCGGCAAGCGACAACCATGGAAGGGTATTTTGCTATACGGGCCGCCTGGTACGGGTAAGAGTTACCTCGCGAAAGCGGTTGCAACAGAAGCGAACAGCACATTCTTCAGTGTCTCAAGTTCCGACCTCGTCAGCAAATGGATGGGAGAATCAGAACGGTAAGCCCACCTCACTCCCCACCCTCGCACCAGATTCTCCTAACCATCTCCAGACTTGTCAAGCAACTCTTCAACATGGCCCGCGAAAACAAGCCGTCCATCATCTTCATCGACGAAATCGACGCCCTATGCGGCCCCCGCGGTGAAGGCGAATCCGAAGCCTCGCGCCGCATCAAAACCGAGCTGCTCGTACAAATGGACGGCGTAGGCAAAGACTCCAGAGGCGTGCTCATCCTCGGCGCAACAAACATCCCCTGGCAACTCGACTCCGCGATCCGCCGCCGCTTCCAGCGGCGCGTACACATCAGCTTACCCGACACACCGGCACGCATGAGGATGTTCGAGCTGGCAGTGGGCAGCACGCCGTGTGAGCTCAGTCAGGCGGATTATCGGCAACTCGCGGATTTGTCGGAAGGGTATTCTGGCTCGGATATAAGTATCGCGGTGCAAGACGCGCTGATGCAGCCCGTTCGTCTGATCCAGACAGCCACACATTACAAGCCTGTAAGTCCCCCAACCCTCTCAACCCTCCTGCGGTCTTTGCCGTTGCTAACGACACGATGAACAGGTTCAAGTCGACGGCCAAACAAAATGGACACCCTGCTCGCCAGGTGACCCACAAGCACAAGAAAAATCCTGGACCGATCTGGACGGCGACGAGCTCCTGGAGCCCCCGCTGCGCGTGCGCGATTTTGTCAAGGCGATCAAGGGCAGCAGACCGACGGTCAGCAGCGAAGACTTATCCAAGAACGCCGAGTGGACCAAGGGGTTTGGAAGCGAGGGAGCGTAGACGGCGGGTGGTGTAGGAGCGGTCTCGAAGTCGAGGCCGGGTACATTGTTTGGATCGTCCATGTGAGAGAGGCATCTCATTCTCGATGCCTGTCTGTTCTATACCGGAAGAGCGGGTGGTTTGGCGTTTTGAGGAGGTAGGTGGTCATACATAGACTGCCGCTTTGAGTTCAGAGAATACATGGAAGGAAACACGCACAACACTCCGTCGCAAGATTTGTGAAATGAAATGTACAGTTCGGTATATCATGCACTTTTCTACGTACTTCGGATCGGAGTCCTACAGTGGGGAACGGGGGGAATCTGTGATAAAATAGTCTAACCAAGTACAGCCATCATCCGCATGCCCTTCCGTCACTTCATAACACGAAAGCAAACGCCACCCTATGCCTTACTGCCTCCTGAGGCGCATGGAGGAACAACAACCGCGACAAGCGCAGCACGTCCCTGCCCTATCATCTGCCTCGTCTCTCTGAAGATACTGATCCCTCGATTCCTAATTCTCATGTTGCCATCTCAGCGATCGCGGTAGCCTGTACCCATTCATCTCCTAGCTGAAGTAGGCTTGGGCGGTACGCTGCTGCTCCGGCGTCAGGCTGCCGGCGACCTGGCCAAGATTTGTGCTGGTAGCCTGGATGAGGCTCTTGACGGCAGACACAACATGCGAGGCGGTTGTGCCCTGCAGTGTCTCGGCCTCCAGAGCCTGGACGACAAACGCGAAGACCTTGGCGGGTTGCGAGAAGACGGCTTGGTTTTGCTGCTCGATTAGCTTCGCCAGGAAGCTGTAGGCGAAAGGTGCAGCCTCCTCGTCGTTGACGATGGGTAGTGTGTCTACCCAGGCGGTGGCGACGTCTTGCCAGTTCTGGACCTTGGCGGTGTTGTGGAGGAGGATCTTGGCGATGGCCGCCGATGCGTTTTCTGTAGCGAAGACATCGTCGTCGTTGCGGGCGTTGGGTTGCTGGCAGACCTGGAAGAGTGTGGGTAGCGAGGCAGCTGCGAAGTCTGACCAGGCTTCGCCGCCCTTGTGAGCAGCAACACCAACACCGTAGACGGCGGCCTGTCGGTTGGCGGGAACCTCATCCTGCATGCCAGCAATGAGCGGCTGGATGATCTGCTGGTTATACTTCCATGACTCTGGCCCGGCGAACTCGAGGACATCATCGAAGATGCAGATGGCCCATTGGCGTTGTGTGGGATCCTGGTTGACGATAGCGCTCGAGTAGAACTCCATCAGCTTTTCCCAGTGGGGCAGGAATTGTATGCCCATGTTCTTGAAGATTGTGTGGAAAGCCTTTGGTGCGTCAGTCAGTCAGTCAGGCAGGCAGGTGATGCTGGGTCGGTAGTAATCATAGGTGCTTACCTTGTTCATGTCAGACAGGAGGTTCTGATCGTCCTCGATGGCAAACAAGGTCTCCTCAGATGCCTCTTCGCCATCTTCGTTCTCAGCCTGCTCCTCCAGACGATCCTTCACGCGCTCCTGGTAGTCGACCAAGACACTGCGAGCGCTTTCGATGAAAGCAGCCATGTGAGTCTGTGTCAGGCAGTTCTTGCCAATGCACTCCAAGCACTCGTAGAAGCACTGGTACATCTCTGCAAGAGTGTCGATCGCAGGCTCGGTGCTGAGAACCTCGAGAACGCGCTCAACAGTGCGCTCCCACAGCTGACCAAGTTGTGTTGACTCTGGGCCGTGTGCCTTCTTGTAGGCGTTCAGGAGAGCAGGAACACACTTTGCGGACGCAACACGGACCGGGTCGTGGAAGAAGAAGGCCAGTCCGGGCAGAGCAATCTTGTCCATGATGTCGTTGACGTACGGCTCGAAAGCATCCTCCAAGACTTGTGCGTAGATGACGATGAGCTCAATAGCCATGTGCTTGTCGTCAAGAATGCTGGTCTTGATGCCAATGACCTTACCCTTGAGCGGGACAAGCTCCCAGCCTTCCTCATCTTGAATCTGAGCCACTCGCTCTTCATCGTCAAGCAGCTGAATGTCAGCCTTGGCTCCAGCAAGTTCGGTGAGAGGGGGGATAACACCGGCCAGGAAGGGAACAAACTCGCGACCCATGACACGGCACATGCGGCCCCAGCAGTGAAGCAGGTACGATGCCTGCGGGTCATCGGACTCGGTGACACTGTTCTGGATGCGGCCGAGCAGTTGTACCAAGTTGAGCGCATCTGGTCCCATCCTCTCCTTCCCGACGGCGAGGGCGATAAGAGTTGCGCACTCCATGGCCTTTGCGCGGAGCAGTCGGTACTCCTTTGACTGTTCTTCCTGCAGGACGTTGAAAAGAAGCGGCATCAGGGTGTTGTAGTAGGTGCCAAAAGCAGTTTCTGCCGAGTCGGCGACGGTCGCAATGGTTGAAAGCGCCTGCTCCTGCACGAACCGCTTGGGGCTCTGGAGAAGCATGAGCAGGTGGTTGAGGAGCTGGTCCAGGTATGGCTCCAGGATGTCCTTCTCGGCCTCCTCGCAGAAGTTGACAAGGGCAGCCGCTGCGTGCGCCTGCACGCGGGGCTCCGCAGACTCGAGCACCGGGATGATGTTCGGCAGTACGATCTGGTGGTACTGGCCCTGCATTGTTCCTGCGAAGTCAGTGCTCATCTGACCAACGGCGTTGCATCCAGCCCAGCGCACACGAGGGTGAGGGTCGCGCAGAGCAGGGATAACGAGATCCAAGACCTTGTCGAGCTCTCCAATCATGAGATCCCGACAACCCTCTGAAATGGCAGAAATGGCCATGAGAGCTGCATGTCTGTCGCGCCACGCTGAAGACGTCATCATGCGGGGCAACCAGTTGAACGTTGGAGGCAGAATGGCTTGCCCGCCGAGCTTGTTGGCCAAGCGGTCCATGCACTGTTCTCCGGCGACGTGGTTCGAGTCGCTCTCCTCGTCGAGATCCTCAGAGACGTTCCACTCTTCAGCGTCATCGTCGTCGGCACCCACGTCAGTCATGAGAGACAGACACTGTGTGACCATGTCGTTGGTGAAGTTGGGGTCCTTCTTGCACATTTGGGGTGCGTTGTCTGCGAAGGTGGCCATGAGCTCGAGAGCGTTCTGGCGAGCGGTCTCGCCGAGATCCTTGTCCTGGATGACGGAGATGCTGAAGTGTACGAGGCTGTTGAACAGCGGCTTGAACATCTTGGGAGCCACCTCAGCGAGGTCGATGAGGGAGACGAGAGCCTTGGTGAGAAGCTCCGCATCTCTGGAGTCCTTGATCGGCGGGAGGATGTTGAGGATCTCGGGGACAAGACCGAAGTACTTGGACTGGGCCTTCTTTGTAATCGAGCGGAAGAACGAAGCGAATGCTTCGACTGCGGCAATGCGCACCGAGGTCTCGCTGTCCGCAAACCCGCCCTTGAAAGCGCTCATGACGACATCTTCGTGCTGCTTCTCGATGATCTGAGGGGTGGTCGAGAATATCCTGAAAGCGTTTTCGCGCTGGGCAGGCACCTGCGACTGGCTGGCCTGGAACAATGCGCCCAGGAGTTCTGGCCACGCGACACCTACAGGGAACAGTCAGCATGCGTCGATTGTGGTTGGGGCGAGGAGTGTGCTACCTTCGTCTGTGTGCTGTCTCGCGAGCTCAGCAACTGCATCGCCGACCTTGGACCTGACCGAGTTGTCGGCCTCGTTGGCCAGGCATTGCAGCAGCTTTGCGCGGATAGCCTCGCGCTCAGGCGCCTGAAGCGTCAGAAACAGATCTGCCGCCTGACCGGACTGGGTCTTGCGAGGCTTGGAGGACTGTCGCCTGAAGATGACGGCGGCGAATGTACGAGTCTGTAAGCAGCATTAGCAGGAGGGGAACCACAGCGCCCTACTAGTGCACGACATACAGGCGTCTCTTGTGCCAGCTCGATTTGTTCTGACAAGCCCATCAGGAGGACCTCTGGTCGTTGGGCCACCCACTCGTCGTTCAACTGCTGCTCGGCCGCTGTGCGCTGCACATTGTCGGGCGACTGGAGGCCCTGCAGCAGGTTCGCGAGGGCGGTGTGCACTTCGGGCGGGAGGACCGACATGGTGTGTGGAATTGGTGGCTATCGTGGGCGGCGGCCCGTGGAGGTAGCAATGCGTGTTTTGGTGCAGCAGAGGGCAAGGGATTCCGTCGCGTGGGGTGGGGGGGGGGATGTTTGCGCGCGTGTTGGTCAGCGCCGGGCTCTCGAGCACGATGCCTCTGCGTTGGCGAAGAAGTGCTGGAAAAGGTGGATGGAAGAGTAGCCGTCCGTGGGCACCTCCAGGCTGCGATTATTGTACGGTTGCTGTGGAAATTTCTGGGAAGGGCAAAGGCGCGGGCGCTGCCCCCCCGCCAAAACACAAAAATGTCAAGAGACAGGGATCCGCAACCCATTGGCTCCTGGTCCTCGCTTCGCCCTCGACCAACCGTTGATGCTTTGTCGCCCGGCCAGTGAACGGGCGCGACGATGGCCATTCTGCGGCCGTCGAGGTTCGCGCTCTACAGAGGCCTGCAAAGCCCTGCAAAGCCCTGCAAGGCCCTGCAAAGCCCTACCCAGCTCTGCAAAGCTCTGCCAAACACGCCGCACATGCTTCGTGAACGTGAGGAGGACGATGCGCCTTCGTAGAGCGCTGTGCCTGCTGCAGCTGTGAGCCCGTCAACAGGACCCGTCCCCAGCTCGGCTGCATGCATTTCTGAAACAGGTGCACAGCACGCGTAGACAGCAGCAACGAGGACTGCAGCTATGCATGACGCCGTCTTCGCGCAAGTGACAGAGTGAGAGCCTCATATACGGATCCCGCGCCCCTATCAGCACAGCTCGCCAGTTGCAGAGACCCTCAGGCCCTTTGTTCGGGCTTGTCACTAGCGCTCGGCAACGCGTTGTTTCGACAGCTTCGACCATCTCGGCAACACCGCCTGCACAACACTCCGCTGCTACTGGCCTCCTTCCACGCACAGCATTCATCTGAACTGCCAGCGAAGCAGCAAGCAGCAGAGTCCGCCGCCACCATGTCGCACACCGGCACCATGCGCGGAACCCCCAAGAACCGCAACCAGCCTGCACGAGCCCAGTTCGTCGACGGCCCATCTGGCATCCCCCGTCCAGCGCTCGAGACCCACGCTTCACACGTAGCGCACAGCGATGCCGGCACCTCCACCCTCAGCGCCAGCCGCGCGAAGCAGTCCAAGAGGGACGAGGTAAGCACCGTCCTTGTACTGGCCTGCAATGGCTGCTCACGGCCCAACGTGTAGGCTATCCGCCGCAAGATCGAGACGGACCTGAACAAGAAGAAGAACCCCGGCGGCCGCGTGCGCCCAACACGCAAAGCCCCCCCCGGCACCGTCCTGGCGCTGAAGCCCAGCCCAGCGCTCCAGATCCAGGCTTCGACGACCGTCGCAGAGGCAGCCCAGCTTATGGCTGCGAAGAGGGAAGACTGTGTCCTCGTCACAGACGACGACGACCATGTCGCCGGTATCTTCACCGCCAAGGATCTCGCTTTCCGTGTAGTCGGGGGCGGCAAGAAGGCACAGAATGTCACCATCGCAGAGATCATGACCAAGAACCCCCTCTGCGCAAAGACTGATACGAGCGCAACAGACGCGCTCGACCTCATGGTCCGCAAGGGCTTCCGCCACTTGCCCGTCATGGACGAGAACCACGACATCGCCGGAATCCTCGACATCACAAAGTGCTTCTACGATGCCATGGAGAAGCTCGAGCGCGCATACAGCTCGTCCCGCAAGCTGTACGATGCTTTGGAAGGCGTCCAGGCTGAGATGGGGTCGAGCCAGCCCCAGCAGATCATCCAGTACGTCGAGGCTATCCGACAGAAGATGTCTGGTCCTACGCTGGAGTCGGTCCTGACTGGACTGCCGCCCACAACTGTGTCCGTGAGGACGTCTGTCAAGGAGGCCGCAGAGCTCATGAAGGAGAACCACACAACTGCGGTCCTCGTTCAAGATCAGGGCTCCATCACCGGTATCTTCACCAGCAAAGATGTCGTCCTCCGCGTCATTGCTGCTGGCCTCGACCCAGTGACCTGCAGTGTGGTGAGGGTCATGACTCCCCATCCTGACTTTGCGCCCATGGACATGAGCATCCAGTCCGCTCTCCGCAAGATGCACGACGGACACTACCTGAACCTGCCTGTCATGAGCGATGCCGGCGAGATCGTTGGCATGGTGGACGTACTGAAGCTGACCTATGCTACACTTGATCAGGTAGGCAACTCGACCTATGAACGTGACCGACCACATGCTGGCTGACTGACTTGTACCAGATCAACAACATCAGCACAGGAGACAGCGAAGGCCCAGCCTGGAACAAGTTCTGGCTATCACTCGACAACGACACAGAGTCCATGATGTCCGGCGACGGCTCCAGCCGCATGCCCGGCACACCAGACGCTCGATCAGTCATGTCCCACAACGACCGCCCCGGCCTGATGGACCGCGGCGACAGCGTCCTCCCCAACGAATCCGCATCTCACCACGGCGAATCCCCACCCCCATCCGCGGTCGCCAGCGCTCACCCCACCGCCGTAGAAGACACTCCCTTCCCCTTCAAGTTCAAGGCGCCCAGCGGACGCGTGCACCGCCTGCAGGTCACGGCCTCGGCCGGCATCGAAGAGCTCGTGTCCAGCGTCGCCAACAAGCTCGGCTCAGAAGTCGATTCCATCGGCGGCACACCCACCTTTGAGAACGGCAAGATCTCCAAGGCCGGGTTTGCGCTGTCCTATCTCGACAACGAGGGCGACACCGTGAGCATCACCACCTACGACGACCTCGTCGAGGCCATCAGCCTAAGCAGACTTGCACACCGCGAGAAAGTCGATCTCTTTGTGCATGACCCGGAGAAGTCGCCCATGCCCGCTGAGGTCAACCCCCAGCCTGCGCTGCCGAAGCCCGCGACGCCGCCGGAGTCGGTGCTGAGGGAGCGCAAGCAGTTCTTCGACGACAACAACAACAACAACAACAACAACGACGACGACGACGACAACGAAGCGCCCAAGTCTAAGAGAGGCCAGGCGAGCGCACAAGCCCAGGCTCCCGAGGTTATTCCTGGTGTGTCGAATGATTTGCTGCTGCCTGGTGCGATTGGTGTACTGGCGATTGTTATTGTTGTTGTGTTTACTATTGGGCGTGCGTCGGGGTCCAGCCGGTAAGCAATCGCATCGTAGGAACATGGAAAGGTATAGATTCCCCACATCAGATTGTACTGTACTACTAGCACTTTTCTTTCGTCTCTTGATATCCATAGATTGCTGGATCGTATTAGTCGACTACCACAAGTCTTGAAACCTACCTGGTACCCCGGTGGATGAGTGGGTTGTGATATGATATGATTACCTCCCATTATTACCCGTAACTATACGTACACTATTACCCATAACCATACCTACACTATTACCCATAACTATACCTACACTGCTACCCCACATGCCAACCAATCTCATGCCATCTATATTGGCCGCACCGCCCAATGCATCCCCGACCCCCAAAAACTCCTTTTGTACACGACTTTCAAAAGCATCATCCATCTACGCAACTTTGCAAACCCTCCTCATCGCCCGCGTTTGGTCTTCGTCCGCGCAAGATACTGCACACATGCCAGTGATCAATAACTGGCAAGGAGAGGAAACATGCGAAGAAACTTACCTCTACAGCTCACTATCCGAGCTCAAACTCATCGCCGCACTCATCTCCCCGTCATCCTCTTCCTCCACACCCTCCCCCTTTGCCTCAGTCTCGGCCTCAGTCTCGGCCTTGGCTGCTGCCTCCGCCTTCGCCTTCGCCTCAGTATCAGTCTCAGGCTGATGGTGTGCTTCCGTGCACCATTCACCCTGCGCCTCGCTCTTCGCTTCCGGCTCGACAGTCTCCTTCGCCTCCGCGGGTGCTGGTGGCGACGCAGCCTGCGACGGCTGACGGGAAGGTTCTCGAGGGTACAAAGACTCCACCAGCGCAGCACCGCGATTGATGTTCGGCAGGAGATACTCGGGCGCTTGGGCTGTGGAGCGCACATCGGGTGCCGACGAGATACTGGCGCGCGCCCGCGTAGTCTTCGGCTCTGCAGCGGTCTCGGTAGCCGTGGACCCGCGTCGTTGCGGCTTGTGGTCGACGGCGCCTTCGCTCGGTTTGGCGACGGCCGCCTTTGCGGGTGTCGTGCTGGTCTCGGACTTGCGTGGGCGGCCGCGCTTCTTGGGTGTCGGGGCCTGTGAAGGTGCTGCGGCCGAGGATGTTGCGGTGGATGGCCTGGATGTAGGTTTGGGCTTGGGTGGGGTTGTGAGGTCGATGGTCGCGTCAGTCTCTGCTGGCTTTGGTGCTGGAGCTGGTGCGGATGCTTGCGATGCCGCTTGTGCTGGAGCCTCGTCTTCGGAATCGTCACGGACGATCTCAGAAGAGAGTGCGCTCTTGCGTGGGCGGCCGCGGCCGCGCTTTGGGGGCTGCGTGGGTGTTGCTTGCGGAGTGTCGTTGTCAGACTCATCGCGGACGATGTCCTCAGACAGATTGCTCTTCCTGGGGCGCCCAATCTTCTTCTTCTGCTTAGGCGGAACGTTGGGCAAGTCTTTGGCCCTTATCCGCTCATCGAGATGGCGATCTATCCTTGGGTTCAGGTCGCTCTCGTCATTCTCTGGCTCCTTCTTGTAGAGCGCGACTGACTCCGTGACAAGCGCATCCCAGAGACTGCCCAGTATGTCTTTCTCAGCCTCCTTGTCCGCTTTGGTCTTTGCCTTGTCAGCCTTGGCTTTTGCAGCCTTTGCGGCCTTCTTCTCCTTCGGCGTAACAAACTCCTCATCCTCGTCAGAGCCGTCTTTCTTCCAGGCCCGCCCTTTGCCTTTGAAGTGCTTGGCTTTGCTTAGGGGTGCAGGTTCTGGAGATGGCTCGCGCGACAATGGTTCTAGTTCACTTTCGTCTTCAGATTCGGTCTCGACATCTTCGAAAACTTGCGCATCGTGGTAGTAGGGCCGCTGCTGCGCAGGCTTTCGATTGCGCAGGCCTCGTCTGGCGCTGGCAGCTGATGGATCGGGTGTGCCTTCAGCTGTCGCTGTTTCTGCAGCATCATCTGCATTCGTATCTGTCTTGATATCGTTGCTGGAATGGACCTTGGGTTTGGCAGCAGGGATGGTCGCAGGTCGTGAGACTTCGGCGATAGAAGCATCTCCGTTGTCGGTATCCTCATCGAGTACCATCTCTTCGGACTTCTCTTCTAAGTTTACGGCATCCCAAAGATGGAAGGGCAATCTTACGAGGAATGACTTTCTTAACTTCTTGACAGAGGCCTGCTTTGGTGTTGTCTTCTTCGGTGATTCTGGTTGCCTTGTCGCGGCGGCTGCATGTGGAGCTGGAGAAGTTAGCATCAGTATCATCGTCGTGGAGGATGCGAAGTCGGTGGAGCTGTATATATTTTGGGGAGAACAAGAAGTGATTCTCGGTATGACAAGCTGTTTGCTGAGCAGAACTCGCAATGTGGGACAAGGGCAACCATGAATCCAGCACAAGCACAACTTACCGGAGCGAACGGGGAGGGGAGATGTGATGACAGGAGCATCGACCTCCATGGGATCAACGTTCTCATCTTCTGGCGATATAGTTTCATTGGACTGAGATGATAAGCGTCGCGCTGCATCAGCTTTGAGCGAATCACTCACAATAGGCTTCTTCCTAGGCTTCCGCGAGCTTGACTTGCGTCGTCCATTGACGGTGATAGCTGGCGCTGCTGCCGATTCAGCCTCTGCGTAGGGGGTTGCTGCTTCGACCTCATCTGCTGGCTCTTCATCTGATGCCACGAGTTCTTGCGACTGCAAACGTCAGTGTGACAACTCTGCGATAGTCAATTATCCGCATACCATGTACTTCTTTCGTGGTTTCCGTTTCCTCTTGCCAGATGCACCTATCTCATCTGAATTCGCCACAGGCGTTGGTGTTGCTGAGCCTGCGGTACACGGCGTTCCGTTGCCGTTGGTGGTCACTGTCTTTTTCGGATCGTGGTCCGGAACGCGCGTAACACGACGGCGTTTTGCACGTTCATCGTCCTGTTTCCATCAATGAATCAATCTTACTTGCAGAGTGATGTTTTTGACGTACGGAGTCGCCGTCTTCGTTCCACACCAATGAAGCTACGTGGAAGATGTATCCGCCGAAGACCTGGTCAGTTTGGCACCAGTCGTCATACGACAGTTTGTTCGAGGGATGGGCTTTCTTGAAATCTTTGTATGCGTCTTTACCATGTTTCCCTTGCCAGGATTCGAAAGAAGCGTGCATTGGCGGATTTCCATTCCAGTACTCGTCTGTTTGCCTTGCGTTGCCGTTCAAAGCCATGGGTGCAGAAATATGCCTCAAAGGGCGAGAGGCCAGTGACGATCTTCAACAGAAACAATCAAAGAGAGATGACTGAGATTAACCGAAATGACAGAATGTGGCGCAAGAGAAAAGTCCGTTGGATGAAGCTTCAGCGTGCAGCGACGCGGCGTGATGCGCGTGATGATGATGTGTTTGTTGTAATGGCGGTGGAGTGAAGTGTCGAATTGTCAAATCCGAAGGTTCCAAGTCCCTTTCAGAGCAGATCCATACCTCGTGGCACGTTAGCCTCAGGAACAAACAGAAGAGACTTGCGATAGCAGAGGCAATACGACTTACGAGTACGCTAGGATAATTAGACGGAATCTGACGCGATTTTACTTGTGCACGTCATTTCGTGGAAGTGGAATGGGAGGTTTGCGACAGGGAAAGAAAAGACAATGACGCTAAAACTTCCAATTTCAGCTCGGCACCCTATCGATTCCTGTGTACTCGTTCGACCAGTTTCACGCATCACAAATCAATCTTTCTGTTGATACAGGAAGCTTAATCGTTGTGCAGTCTGATCTGATGAATTTCCTGATGCATCTTTTACATTTGCAACAGTTGAGTGATTCCAGTGTTTGGAATCACGGCGGCTTCGTCATTGACGGCTATGCTTCTTGCAGACTCGATGCAATGCCTCACTGTGACTAGATAGTTCGATCTTAACCCAGCAAGAGCCCTTTTTGGTTGTAGAGTCTCCACATACTGTTGATTTGACGTCCGACTGATGTCGCCTGTCTCTCGTTGTCTATCGAATTGAATTTGAACAGATCGACTTTGTTATCAATGCTGTTCAGTCCTTCTCAGGGCTTGTCCGCTACAATTCGCAGCCGAAGCCCATATTTTCATGCGAGCTGTGCGTTCAGGTCTTGCGTGATTGTCATGTGCAGTTGCGATGTACGAAAGAGCTCGTTTTTTAAAACCGATGTCTATCGATAATTGTTTGGTATGGGTTGCAACCGTAGCACGAATTTTCGTACGAGCTGTGGGTTCAGAGTTCTGCGTGATCGTCCTGCACAGTCCTCAATTCCATCATGCATTCGAACGCATATATTAGGACGTGCTGCACTTCTTGAAGCTTTGTATTGTAACACTATCATTATCCCACGGCCGTATCGCATCTGTGGGATAGATATATACAAAGCCCTTCCACTCCACTCGTAGATCCAGCCCAAATCCAGATCATCGCACGTCCTCGTGCGTGAAAGCGCGCAAACAACCATAGACTGATGGGTATACAAATAGCGATCCCACCGCCAACCCATTAAGACCAATAAAGCATGCTCACGAAGCGGCCAATAACCACGCAATGCGAAAAGCCGAATTCCCATCGTTGATACAGTAGCCAGGACTCAGATATGAACGCCGATGCCATCTCTAGGCGTGGAAGAGGTAATAGCAATAACTTGGTGCATTAAAGTTTTATATTTAGCCAAGATCCGTTCTGGGCTTTCCAAAACCATGTGCTGAAGGTGATAGTAAGACTGTAGCGACTGTCCAAAATCTTCGTACAAATAGTATGTCTTTCTCTGGAATGAAGACTACTAGTGCGCCGGCTGCGATTACTTTTTTCGATCTTTTAGAAAGACTCAGGTGGGCTGGGCATGCCGCTGCCGTCGTCTTTCTCTGGTTCTTGGACGCTGTGTTCATTTCGGCGAGGCTCCAATTTTAGCTTACCGATTGGTTTGCCTAGACCTTTGAGAATACCAGCAGGTGCAGTGCCCGCCTCACCGTTCTCCTCTTTCTCTTCGTCGAGCTTGCGCTTCTTACGAGCGAGCTGTTGCTGTTCCCGCAGTGGACGCTTGCGAGGACTAGAGATTTTGCCGGTAGGAGGCAGGCGAGGTTTGGGGAAGCGTTGCTTGGGTGGAAGGTCATCGTCTTCGACAAGAGTCTGATCGCTGTTGTTGTGGAGTTTGTTGAGGAGCCAATCGCGGACAAGACCAATCTGACTCTCGGCGACTTGTGCAGTGACGGGCTCGAACTTCGGTGGCTCTTCCATGATGTTACCCGTAGCAGCAACATTACTAATATGGTTAGCGAAAGAGGGTCGCAGGTCCTGCTGATAGACATACCTGTTGTCTTGTCTGGCATACGCATTGTGCACCCTGTTCTGCAGCAAGTGCAGTGGCACACTAAACGTCAAGCCAAATTCTCGGTCGAGTCCTAATTCCCTAAAGCCGAAGAAGTCTTCACCGATATCTTCAGCGAAGTCACCGCCAACAAACTGCTCGCTGCCATCGTTGAAGGCTCCAGCACCATCTGCACCAACATTGTCCAAAGCCGGTCGAAGCAACTCGGCGTAGTAAGAGCGCATACGATCGTGCATGCTGGCGAGCTTAGTACCGAGTCTTTCAACGTCCTCCTTGACGTATGTCTCCAGAGACTCCAGGTCAACGCCATTGACGTGCAAGGAGTGCAGAACAGCCTCCTCCCCAGTGAACCGCGGCACCCAGTTTGTGCACTGCCCACTTTCCAAAACCACCGGAGTATCAGACTTCATCTTGGGGGTCTCGTGATAAACACCAAAAGACTGTACCAGATTTTGAAAGAACTTTGCTGCAATGTCGGTGACTGCATCCAGGGCAGATGGCTGAAACTCCTCGAAGCCAGCGTGGTAGAAGATTTTGCCTACACTGCGCTGCAAAGCTGCGCGGCAGACGTAAGGTGCCATGGGCGGCCCCTCTTCTGAGACCACCATTGGCTCGATGTCTGCTTCGTGGAACGGCTGAGGCTCGTACTTCTGGAATTGATTTTGATACAGCTGGGATTGCAGCTGCATCTGCTTGACGATTCCAATCTTAGCGCAAATTTTTCTAGTCTCCTGTAACGAGTTCATGTTCTTGTCCATTCTCTCGGTCAAAGCACTGTCTGGTGCTGTGAACTGGCCTTTGGGAAAGATTCGCATGTACTCTTCTCGTTGCTGAACGACGTGGCCTTCAGCATCCTCGACCCACTGGAGAGCATCGTTGAGGTCCGGTATCACACAAACTGGATCATAGTAGTCCGGGATCTGGCGCTCCTCTTCGTCCTGGATGCCTTCAGCCAATGACTCGCCAGCAACTGCTTGCACGCCATCCTCCCCGTCAGGCGCAGTAACGGCGCCTTTTGCAATGTCTGCCTCAGCGTCCTTGCGGTGACGAAGCCATCTCCGCATGCCAGCTTTCGAGCGTAGAATTGCAGGCTCCTCGGGCTGAAGTATCTCATCACGAAAAAGGCGGTGTCGTTCGGCAGCAATCATAGCTCTGTCCTTTTTGGTGACTTGCTTCCAGGTTTTGTACTCCAAGTCATCGAGATCAGCGTCTTCCTCCAGAGTAAAGCCACTAACAGAGGCACCAGTGCCGTCTGCCTCCGAGAAGTCAGTTTGGCTGCCCGGTGCACCACTCCGTGATACGCCGTTAGGCCAAAAAGGTGTCAAAGTGCCAGGCGGTGGAGGTGTCGAAAACCCATTTACGCTACCTTCCATCTCAGAATCAGCACGATGGAACTCATTCTTCAGATTTGAAACGGTGCTGTTCAACGCTGGCACTGGCGGTTTCGTCTCTGGCCCCGGTGTGTCCTCGGAGCCTGCAGGAGGTGCTTTTCTGGCATTGTTCGAGCCCTTTCCGCCTTTGCTGGGCGCTTTACGGCCTCGTGACGCCATGATGGGTTCCTCGTCCTCGCTGTCGTCAGCACCATCGGCATCGACATCGCCATTGCGCATCCTCCGCTCTTCGGCTTCAACCTCAGCACGGTCGCGAATGACGATATCTGGAATGAGGGGTACAAGCTTCTCAGTTTCCTTCTTCATATGAAGAGCTTTCTTCCTAAGAAAGTGGTTGGGGTCGGCATTGTACTTCAAGCAGTTAGACCAGATCAACATCAGATCCTCGACGAAGTCCTTCTTTGACTTGTATTGCAGCTGCTTGAGCTTCTTCATCATCGTGCCAATGTCCATGGGGTGCTTGATCACGTTGTAGTAGTCCGGCGCTTCTCTCTTATTGACACGTTGCAGGAAAGGGTGTGCATGCTCGCCAGCTTTGAGCTCCATGAGCACCTTCTCGACGCTCTCGTACAGCTCCTCCTGGCCAACACGGTCCTCATTTGCCCACTTGCTCCTGTTCTTCCGAACTTCGCTTATCAGACTGCGTAGCTGGGCGTCGGTGGCATGTACTCGGTCACGCTGGGCGTCGATGCGAGAGATAAGGTGTTTGAGGGTCAGGCTCGATGCGCCGAGGTTCGTGGTGCTGAGGGTGCCTTGCTGAGGGGCGGCGACGGCAGTGCCATTGGCTGGGGCGCTCGCTGGGGCGCCCGATGTCTCCTGTTCCACCTGTCGGTCGAGCTCGTCCAGCTTCTGCTGCTCCAACATGGCGTCGCGGTCGCTCTCCAGGGTGTAGAACAGCGTGTGGAAGCTCTGCTTAGCCGCATCCTCGGCAGCCTGCTTGTCTTGTTGCAATTGCCTGCGCACATCATCCGAGGACTTGGCCTGCTCTGATGACGGCGTGCCTATCCGGCCGTGGCTGGACTTGAGTGTGGGAGGTGGTATGCGGATGCTTGGCGTGGCCGGGGTGGCAGCGACACGGTTGAGAGCGCTTTTGGCAAGCAGCGGCGAGGTGCGTGTGTCGTCTTCGTCTTCGTCATCGTCGTCATCGTCGTCGTCGCCATAGTCGTCTTCGTCAATGGCGCGGGCGGCCTTCTTCGGTGTGACGGCCGGGCGCGCGTCATGCGCCGTCGGAGCATCATCAGACGAGGGCTTGGGGGCAGCATCGAGGGCATCAAGCAGGTCGGCCGCGTTCGTCCCGCCCAGGACCGCGTTGAGACGCGCTTCGGTGCGCAAGTAGTGCTCCCTCCAGCGCGCCGTCCGGGGATCCTCCTCCGCGGTCGAGTCGGCAGCCCCCTCCCCCAGACTGTGTGCATTTCCGCCGTTTGACATGGCTTCGTCGCTCAGCGTCGCATTGGGAGTGCGCAGGTGGGTCGCATTGGGCGCAGAGTAGGGCGCGCGGGCATGGTTGGGGCGTTCTTTGCTGGAGGGCCGCTGTGCTGATGCCGCGAGGGACATGTCGTCGCTCTCGCGGTGTGGGGAGCCTTGGCGCTACAGCACTGGAGCGGCCTCACAGGGAAGGCCGGCTACGATGGCGACGTCCTGCCTCGAGCGGGTGTCGCACTGCGATAAAATCTAGCATGGAAGCAGCCAGGCGGCGGCAGAGGTAGTCAGTGATGGCTCTGTGATGGAATATGTCGTGTCGGCGCGCGTCTTGATGAGCGAGTGCACACGGCCTGCGATGGACTGTGGTCGAAAGTAGGTTGGTGAGTGCATCCACCAGTGCGGCTTTCCTGGCTAGCGCGTCGGCAGCACGCTGGGATCGGCCACGCTCCAGCAGTTCCCCAATATCAAAACCGTCCCCACTTCGAGCTGTGGTGTGGTCGGTGGTATGATCGGCAAACGCAGTGAAAGTATCGTAGGGATGATTTGGTCGTGTATGGAGGTTACCTTCCACGTTTACACAGCGCGTCGAGCACTTGATTGCAAAGCACTCCTTCTAGTGCAGCTACTGTATCAGGCTATCCAGAGGCCAGATTCACATCTGCAGTCCCTGTTCGTACAGCAAATTTGTAGAGATCCAAGACTTGAGTGAACTGCGCACCTGTGGAGGCCTTCAAGAGGTCGCTAGCCTAACGTTGGCGATCAGTGCTGCATTCGACACCCCACTGCCGCAGACCCTGTGTGTCACCAGCCATGACTGCGCGTTTCTCTGATGCACCTAGACCAACTTCGACACGTTTGAAGAAATGTAGACATGTACCTAGCATCATAATGCTCATTTTGGTACTCTATTTCGGCACTTGTCGAGGTTGCAGCGGAGTGAGACGCACCACCTGGCCCGCTGTAACCGGTTAGCTTAGTGCCAGCAGCTCTAATATCACCGCCTTACGAGCTCGAGAGACGTTGCAGATCCCAGCCACCTCTCCCTGTCAAACTTACAAACGGACCCTTGCTATGCTTCTCGATCAATTATAGCACTCTTCAGACCACTAACATGCGCATCCGAAAGCCTTTTGCGGGTAAGTCCTATTCACCCGCCCACGTCATAGGCCGAGCTTCAGCACATGCCACGTCTTTAGCTACCATCGTCTCCCCAAGTACCTCTACAAGTTGCAGCTATGCGAATCGCTCACAAGGTCGCAAACATACCTCCAAGATGTAACTGATCAATACACTGCAGGCGCCTTCGTAGCCCTAATACTCATCTCGGCCGCCGCCGGCTTCTCGCCGTCCGACTACTCGATCCCATCCTACAAGCAGTCCGACAAGGCCCTGCACTTCGTGGCCTTCTTCCTGCTCACGCTCGCCTTCTACTGGATCCTCGAGGCGTCGCGGCGCAAAGTGCTGCAGTTCACGTTCATTGTGTGCACGGTTGGGCTGGGCGTTGCGAGCGAGGTTGTGCAAGGGTTGCTACCGGTACGTATACAAGTCATGAAAAGGGAGAGGGAGGGGGATGGATGCGGTATGTGTGTAGGTGGAAGCTGATGTGTTGTGTTTTAGATCCACCGCGAATTCGACCCCTATGACATCGCCGCTAATGTATCCGGGTCCCTCCTCGCCATTGCGCTGTGCAATTGGTACCACAAGCGGATGATCGAGCGCAAGCGGGCTGCGCGCGGCTACAATGCTGTCGCAGGGGACGACGATCTGGATGTTGAGCTGGGCGAGGGTGTGGGTGGGCAGGAGACGGGTGTGGTGAGGTCGACGGTGGATGAGGAGTTGGACCGTTGGGATGAGAATGCGGAGGATTGGGAGACTACGGATCCGGATCCTATGATTGGGAATGGGGTGAATGCGGCGACGGTTGTTGCGGTTCCTGAGGATGTTGAGGATGGGAAGAAGCGCAGTGATTAAGGACGCTTGTATGATTAAAATGATTGTATGATCATGAATGGAATGTTGTAGCGACTTTGGGCAATGCGAAAGACACGTCTTAGACATCACAATGCAATTGCGCGAGATTGATGCATTCGACCTGGATATCGTTTAGAAGCTCATAGTTAACCCTGATGCTGTTCGCATTCCTTTTAAGCTAACTTGCAACCATAAATCGTCACTTGTAGCCTGCCCCATCTCCTTCCATGATTTCATTCATGTTTCAAAGTATGAGGCCCCGAAAGAGCCGTAGACCCAAGCGCCATGATCAATTACTCCCGGACACCATCGTCACACGTTTACGAGGTCTTAGCGGCGGCCTGGTTGGGGGTGATCTTCTTGCCATCTTTGTTGAACCTGACACGTGGGGGAGGAGCACGGTTGCGGCGGCCCTCGCGCGAACGGACACTGTCTTTTGTCAGCCTCTCCGCCATGTGTGGTGGGAAAGAACAGTGACGTACCGTACGATCTTGCCGTGAATAGCGCAAGAGATGCAGTACTGGAGCTTCAGGTACATCTTGGGAACGGTGTACTCAGGGAAGACGGAGGCATCAGAGATGTCACCTGCCCGTTGTCAGTTCCAAGGTTCTTCTGATACTCGATTCGCAGAGCGAATTCAACAGTGGTATATGTGCTATCCTTGCGGATGCGCGCATTGTATATGGTTTCAAATATCGAGGTGGGACGTACGGATGGCGGCGGACTCGACCATGTTGCGGATGGTGAACCTCTTAATGGCCTTGTCCTTGGGGACGCATCGCGAGCAGTTGACGCAGCGGATGTACTTGACGTTGCCGCGGCCCTTCTTGTTACGGCCGCTGTGAGGTTGTTAGCTTTGCCACTTTTGCAAACTGCGACGGCTTCGATGTTTCGCGGGGCGCGGAGGGTGCGTACTTGGATGCTCGCTTCTTGACCATGATGGGCTGATTCTAAGAGAGTGTGAGTAGTTGTCTTCTCTCGCTGTTCGGACGGCTGGGGGACACGTACTGTAGATGTGAAAAACCTAAAAGTCAGTGGGTTGTCGTGGGCGTAATTGCGATGCTGGAAGGAGCTCGCGTATGAAATTGCACCAGTGTGGGCGCTAGGGCCCGCACCTTCCTCGGCTGGCGCTAGTACGGAAAGAGCACAACACATCGCCACAAGTCGCTCATCTTTCGGACAACACACAACTGTGATGACTATCTTGAGGATCCGAATGTTCTCCGACCCTCTTCATGACACATTTTGCTGGCCTAGCGATGATATGATCGAGAGCAGGGGTTCTGATGGCGACTCATCTTGATGCTTTGCAACCTCAAGTCTGGGAGTCTACACATGACCATGATGTCTTAGTCTTGTTATACAGAAATATTCAATTTCAAGAGAACACAGTTAGCTGCATTGCAGCAAATTGGCGTTCCGTCTCAACTTTCCAGTATCTGGGATGAATTGCTTGGCGATGGACATTGAACAACATCAGGGTGGAGCATGGCATACGTCCCTCATGCATAACCAGGCCTCCTGGTTTCAGCATTACTTCTACATTGGATCGTAGGTAAACATCGAAGCTAACTACAGATACTTTAGAGACTCCCTGGGTATGGCAGCCTTCTCAGCTTCAGAAAGTAGTATGCCAGCCCGAACGTCAGTCCACCAAGATGTCCAGCGTGCGCGGTCCTGGTGTTTTCGCTGTTCAAGTAGTAGCCATCATAGACCGCGTAGCCAAGAGTCAAAAGCCATAGAGGCACAGGTAGTACGCCGAATAAAGCCACCTGATTCCTAGGCATGAAGCAAGCGACCACGGTAACGGCGCCGAGCAATGCACCAGAGAAACCCATCGCTCGCCGCTGGACACCTACACCCGCCTGCTCCTTCATCTGTTCTTGACCCAGCCAAAGAAGTGAGCCTGCTAACCCCGACCCAAGCACGATGAGCGTGAACTGACCGGGCGTGACTGGTAACGCAGCGAGCGCCCCGCCCAGCGACCAGAACGTGAACATATTGAACGCAAAATGCATAAAGTTTGAGTGTGCGAACGCACAGGTAATGACTTGCCAATAGTAGCCGTTCTTGACATCTCTCAAGCTCATGGTCATGTTCTGGTAATACTTCCTGAAGTTCTCCATATAGCCTTCTTTGGCTTGTTCTGTGACGTAGATGCTGTACCCGAAAACAGCGGTGTTGACACCTATGAAGCCCTTCAGGAGGAACATGTTCGCCGCGTACCGACGCTCATGACCAAAGCCGCTTGAGTAAGAGCGGGCCTGTCGTAACCTGGAGACCAGCGTCGACGGTGGCTGTCTGAACGAGTTGGAAGGAAGTGGTCGCTTTGGTGTCGCCGTACTGAAGAAGCTGGAGGAGAGTGGTTTCCTCAGAGCCGGGCATGGTCGAGCTAGCTCAGCGAGCCGGAAGAGAGACGACATCTTGAAGCTTGGGGCCAAGGCAAACTGTATGCAGTATCGTTGATACCGTGCACGTGCTTCAAGCGGCTAAAAGCTTGCAGAGAATGCTCCTGTGGACCACCAGGAGATGCGTCGAGGTTGCCGGGGAGTAACAATCAAAGGTAATCAAGCCACCTTGTAGATCTTCGTCGAAGGGCTAGATCATTACGAGACTTGTGTATTTGTGATGGCGAGAGAGGCAATCTGGTGAAATAGTTCTGCCGAGCTGATGTGACGTTCTGATGTACGATCACAGGCCCAGGGGCGCAGTGAGTGGAAAGTGATTCAATCGACTAGAGGAAGGACGTCGGAAGAATGTTTCCAGGGTTTGATCGTTGTGACCCTGCCGGTGTTGTGACTATAGTGAAGGAAGGGGCCGATGTCAGGAACAAGCGTGGCCAATGATGACACGGGCCCGGTGGAGCTCGCTCCCACTCCCACTTCCTCAGTTCGGCCTGCATAAAGAACGACTCTACCTCGCCGGTCTCACTGCACACCACATCTCGCGCACAAATCCCTGAACTATTATTCGCACCTCGAGCTCTTGAGGCGTCTCACAAATCACGCCGCGACACCCTTCTTTTGCGCGAAAGACACACACGGCTATCACGTCTAAGACCGCTTCTGGTCGCGAACAACGACATCATCCCCGTCGACACTGCTCTCCTACTGAGACAGTTAACAACAAACGAAAGCACACCAACTATAGCTGCCGCAAGTGACTAGGCATTCTTACCACCTCCCGTCGAGCTCCACCTCTCTCGACCACCTATCCCACGAGCCTTCAAGGACGACTAACCCCACCACTATCGCTGTCCAACACTGTCGCTGTTGTTGCGCCTAGTCGATCGCGCCTACCACCGCTCACCTCACCCACCGTTTGACCGACCCCACCACTTCAAGTGGGATATCACACAATGACCTCACAAATCACCGACCAGCTAGCAGCAACCAAGCTGAATGATGCATCACCAGAAGCCAATTGGAAGGAAGGGCTGACAGCTCCGGCGAAAGATGCGCGACCACAGACTGAGGTAAGCACAGGCAGTGGCACTTGGCCCGGCATCCTCTCTCGCTTGTCGAGTCGCGATAGGGAGCGAGCAATTGGAGTCCTCCTTCTACCCATGTGCACTCGTAGGCTGACGTGTCCGGTGTAGGATGTAACTGCGACGAAAGGCCTTGAGTTTGAGGACTTCTTCATCAAGCGCGAGCTTATGATGGGGATCTTCGAGGCAGGCTTCGAGAAGCCATCGCCCATCCAAGAAGAGACCATTCCTGTTGCTCTAACCGGGCGAGACATCCTTGCGCGAGCGAAGAACGGCACCGGAAAGACTGCGGCTTTCGTCATTCCCACCCTCGAACGCGTGAACCCGAAAAACCCGAAGACACAGGCGCTCATTCTTGTACCTACCCGAGAACTGGCTCTCCAAACCTCACAGGTCTGCAAAACCTTGGGAAAGCACCTGGGTATCAACGTCATGGTTTCCACTGGCGGAACAGGGCTCAAGGATGATATCATCCGACTGAGCGAACCCGTCCATATCATTGTTGGAACACCTGGCAGAATCTTGGATCTTGCGGGCAAGGGCGTAGCCGATCTCACAGCTTGCCAGACGTTCGTCATGGACGAAGCTGACAAGCTCTTGTCTCCCGAGTTCACGCCCGTCATCGAGCAGCTACTTGGATTCCACCCCAAAGATAGGCAGGTCATGCTGTTCAGTGCTACCTTCCCCATTGTAGTCAAGGACTTTAAGGACAAGCACATGAACTCCCCTTACGAGATCAACTTGATGGACGAGCTGACCCTCCGCGGTATTACTCAGTACTACGCGTTTGTCGAGGAGAAGCAGAAGGTGCACTGCTTGAACACACTCTTCAACAAGCTGCAGATCAACCAATCGATCATCTTCTGTAACTCCACCAACCGTGTCGAGTTACTGGCCAAGAAGATTACTGAGCTTGGATACTCTTGCTTCTACTCGCACGCCCGGATGCTTCAGCACAACCGTAACCGTGTGTTCCATGACTTTAGGAACGGCGTGTGTCGAAATCTTGTCTGCTCGGATCTGTTGACTCGCGGTATTGATATTCAGGCTGTCAATGTTGTCATCAACTTCGATTTCCCGAAGAATGCCGAGACGTATCTGCACCGCATTGGCCGCTCTGGTCGATTTGGACACCTGGGTCTGGCTATCAACTTGATCAACTGGGAGGACAGGTTCAACCTGTACAGGATTGAGCAAGAGCTCGGTACTGAGATCCAGCCCATTCCCCAGGTCATTGAGAAGAACCTCTACGTTTACGAGTCGCCCGATACGATTCCCCGTCCTATCTCCAACTCGCAACCACGCCCTCAAGGCCAAGAGCAACCTCAGGAAGGTGATGGCAGCATGGCACGGGCTCAAGGCCGACAAGGCTACCGCGGCGGTCGTGGCGGTGGTGGACAGTTCCAGGGACCGCGCCGTGGCCCCTCGCAGGGACAGAATTTACCTCCTCAGCAAATCCAACAGAACCAGCAGCGTCAGAATGGTCAAAACCCGCAACGCAACCCCAGGCAACCACCTGCCGGGCCAGCTTAGGAAGCTGGGGGGCATGTGCGATAGGCTGACTGCGCAGTTATCGTTGACCTTGACATCTCATTTTCAATATCCTGTCACGATTTCCCTTTGCACAGGGGCCAGGAGGTTGCATTGGAGTTTTCGATGCACACACCTCGGAGTTGTTTCTTTATGTTATGATTACGCTATCACTTTCCGACGACTCGATACGGGATACCTGAATTTTCTTTCTCGGGCATGACGGATCGAATCATCGGCGCATCTGGAGTTCTCGATTTGGACCGTCTGTACAGTATCTCATGGTCTGTCCGGATCTTGTGCTTGTCTGTCGGTCGGCTGGTCTTGCCGACTTGCGTCTTTGGTGGCTTGGTCTTCACGTCTTCATTTCCGGAGCGTGTCGCGTGCCTCCTGTTTTCCTTTCTTCGACTCTCTTTCTCCATCCTACAGCACCGGAGGCTTGTGGAGGTTCTCAAAAGTTCGAACTTTTTGATAGAGATGGGCCAGCGTTTCAGTCCCACCGTTCTTTGTTCGACTATCGTTTACACTCGACATCCACTGGATAATTGTAGTTCACCTGGACTAACATCAGTCACTTGACTGCCTCCTCGATTTGGCGTCACCCAGCCCCTGCAACATTTACCGCTTAGTGGCTACGACGCGGCCATGTCGACTCTCAACACCCGTTCAACTGGCTTCCCGCTGGTTATCATCACATGCCCTGTGGTTCTACTCCCCCATCATAGACACCACGCCCTCAGAGCGCCACTTTCCCGGCTCAATTTCAACGTTGATCATGACGTTTGCCATCACGCTTTGGCATTGTCTACCCGATCAGTCTGAGCTTTGCAGTTTGTTGCATTCGTCAAGCAATATCGAACCTCGAAGTGCTACTGCCGGTGCTTCAAGCAAAGCTCAGTAGAACGAACCCAAATCAAATACAGTAAATCATACGAAAATCCCGAAAAACACAAGGAGATCATCTACGAGCTATGGACAGTTAGCGCTCAGCATGCTCAGATCAATGCCAATATGTATCCCTTGACCTCCGAGCTTTGATTGTGATATGATGCATATGCCGTGACACGGTTTGCCCTCGGTATACTGACTGCTTCCAGGATCTTACTTTCATTATAATGTACTTGCTGGTCGCTGTCCACGTCGCCGGGCAAGTCCAACAAGCTGGCACACGAGACGGCTCACCTCCAACTCAACAAAGTCGTGTCTGCCGCTCCACGCGTCTCTTTGTTTCTGCGAAAATCGTGAAATACGATTCCTGCAGCTCGAGTGGCACTTCCAAGTATTGAGAATACCAAGAAGAGGATGGCAGTGAAAGATGACAGCGAAAAAGCAACGAAAAGATTTTGCACTCAACTTGAGTTTTGCACTCAACTTGAAGGCGCTGAGACGTTGTTTGGGAAACTCCAGCGGCGGTTGTTGAGGCTATCAGGTGAGCAGAAGGCCTCAGTTGAGGAAGACGACGAATGAGGCGTAGTGTTTGGCGAGGCTGCCATCAGGGCAGCAAGTGATAGATGGGTTCTGAACATTAGCGTCCTTTGATAAGACCGCATGCAATCAGTTCTTCAAATGTGCCATATCCCGATCCACCGAGTCCTGTACATGCATTTTACATCTATTGGTGCAACGCAGCTCTGCAGGACCTGCCGCGCCGGCGGCGCACAAGCCACAAAGGGTTTGTGTAGCAGTCAGGTAAATCGCGTCTCCATATGCTCAGCAAGCATAGGTTGACAATGGACAGCGACGCAGACGTTACCGAAAAGCTGCTGCCGCTGACCCTTTCCCACGCGGTCCTCCTCTTGCTCTACCCGTCAGCGTTAAGCTAATCTCGATCGTCTGGCTGAACCTGATCCGGTCCTTAAACCCACTGATAAGTACGAAGGTGATGACTAGAAGGGAGATCTAGCTCTTAGTAACAAGGACTGGCAGGCGCTAGAAGAGCATTACCTTGTATATAAGTGCAAGGGCATGTGTAAGTGCGTACGGTGTAAGAAGCAGTAGTTTAACGAAAAGTCTAAGCTGAAAGTGCCTGTCAGATCCGCTTGCGCGCAGACAAGAAGACTGCGGATGAGCCTTACCTCTACAGCCATAACAACATAATGAACCCAGGCAACATGCCAGGTTCGTTAGAGCTGTCACCAATCAATGAAGATGCTCGCGTTCGGGTCGCTGAATTGCATCAACTGTTGCATCCACGTTTGAGAGGACATGGTGATAGAGTAGACTTAGGATGAGCTGCTGAATGTGGAGAGCCTGAAAGAAACAACACATTTACAGTACTAAGTATGTAGCACTCAATACTAATACTAATATCAGCTCAGCCAGTCTGGCTAAATGCTCTCAAGATAATGCGGAAGTGATCTCGGTCGTGAAACTACCAAATTTCCTTTAAGCCTGACAGATTTACAGTTGAAGTCTCCAAACATGGGCATGCGACGCTGGCAGTTTGGTACCGGATTTGGGTGATTGAGAACGCTAAATGTTCCAGTGTTTCTGGGATTTCGTGCCGGCAAAGGAAGGAGGAGTTTGACCTGTTGCTGTCCCTAGACTTAAAATTTTGCACCTCTGCCACTCGTCTTATTGCGACAATATCAGCTCGAGGGCGCTGCCATTGATTCGGGAACCCGTGCAAAAAGCGTGTCGACCTCACAGAGCGCCACTGTTGTGACGAAGGAAGCTGCAAAGAAAAAAATAATATTGGTGTTCTGGAAAGGTCATTTCCAATGCATAAGTGGCGACAATGACAAGATTCGAACTTGCGAGGCCGAAGCCATTAGATGACTAAATCAGAAGATTCAAGTCTAACCCATTAACCACTCTGGCACATTGTCCAATAATCGATAGAACTAATTAATGTTAATTAAACCTATATCGCAAGATAAAGACACCACAGTTTGCTATCGTGTTTTGCGAGCGCAATCCAATATTGAACGAAATCTAAGAATAAGCTGGCGGCATCTCATCATAGCGTTAAGGCGGCGGCGTCGTTAGTCTATCGTAAATCATTGGCTACCTAAAGATTCGCCTTCCCACTCAAGGCCCACGTCCCCTTCTCACTCCTCACAACCTTGTCCTCGCCCCTCAACTTTTCCAAAATCTGAATCACACCCTTCTCTGCCGGCTCCCACAAGTTCTGCGGATAATCCTTATAAATGACCTTTACAATATCCATGCTCGTCCACCCTTCCTTCCTCTCCTGCGCAAGCACATCGAGCACCTGCTGCTCACGCTGCTTGCGGTGTTTGATATACTCACGAATTCTCGCAGGCCCGTTGTCGATGACGGGCCCGTGACCGGGGTATGCGCAGCCGGAGAATTGCTTGGCCATGCTGTCCAGACTTTTCATGTACGCTGCGAGGTCTTCGAAGACTGCTGTGCCCTGACCCAGCACGTTGTCGGCTGTGAACATGGCGTCCTCTTCTTCGAGGATGAAGGCCATGTGATCTGTGGTGTGGCCGGGGCAGTGGAAGGCGCGCAGCGTGGCGCCTTCGGTGGAGAAGGTCTGCCCGTCGGATATGGAGAGCCATTCATCGTTGCCGTCTGAGTTGTTCTTGTAGACTTTGGTGGATGGAGAGTGGGCGAGGAGGTCGGGGACTCCCTGGACGTGGTCGGGGTGCCAGTGTGATAGGAGGGCTTTGTCGATTGTGATGTTGTGCTGAGACAATGTGGACTTGAGTGATTGTATCCATGCCTCCTTGCCTTCGCCAGTGTCTATCAACAACCGTTTTGTGCCAGTGCCGATGATGTATGTGTTTGTGCCTGCGTGCGCTGTTCAGTAAACCACAGGCTGAACGAAGGATTGCAGCGGACCTTGTAGGGTGAACTGAAGGCTGTCAGAGCTCCGACCTACTACTTCAAGCACGCTGTTCGCTCACCTTCGAAGGATTCCCACCGAGAACCCTGACGACCCGCTCACTGAGCTGTTCCACATCAGGAAGAGGCACCAAAGGCTCAGACATCTTCGAATACAGTCTGCGGTTCGTGAACTTCACAATACATCGCAAGCGCGGGGACATGTTCACCTCAACCTGTCGCAGCTCCTCGCAATCACTACCTCGGCACGCGCTTATCTTAGCGTGCTTCCAGAAGAAATGACGGAAGTGTAGACTATCCCTTTCGAGACACCACATAAAATCGCCTTACAAAGTCAAGATGCCAATCGACGACTCCGACGATGAAATGCCGTACGTCCCTACTCTTCAAATGTGACTCTTTGCTAAGCAGCGAAGACAGCTGTCAGGCGACGCTCTCTCCGCGCTGAAAGAATTTTACGGCGAGCGCGATGCACGACAAAAGCAGTTCGAAGCTCTCAAATCGCAGGCTGAAGATGACTTCGACGGGAAACTATCCATGGATGCATTCACCGAAGACTGGAATGTGAGCCAGTTCTGGTACAGCGATGAGACTGCCACGGTGCTTGCGAGGCAGCTGCTGGATGGCGCGACGGATGAGACGAGGATTGCGGTTGTGTCTGCGCCGAGTGCGTTTATCCAGCTGAAGAATTTGCTGGTAAGCTGTGGAGTGGGGGTGTTGACTGGTTTGATGAGGCTAATGAGGTATAGGCGTCTGGAGAGTATAAGTGCAGACCACAGGTCAAGTTGCTCGAGATTGACGAGCGATTTGGCGTTTTCAAGGAGTTCGTACACTACGACTTCGAGAAAGCGATACAGTTACCTGCTGAACTCAAAGGCTCTTTTGATCGCATTATTGTCGATCCACCTTTCCTGAGTGATGATTGTCAGACCAAAGGTCAGTATATACTTGCACAGTACGAGGATAAACTTGACTGACGATTTACAGCTACTTTGACAGTCCGATGGCTAGCCAAAGGGTGGACATTTGATGCTGTGCGAATCATTGCCTGTACGGGAGAGCGAATGGAAAGCATCATCACTGGGAAACTGTACGGAAAGGTTGGGGTCAAGACTACAGACTACGACATCAAGCACGCCAAAGGCCTGAGCAACGAATTTAGGACGTATGCGAACTTTGAGTGCGATGCATGGAAATGGGCGAAGTCTTCATGACAGTATGGGATTTTAGAACCATAGATGTCAAGACATAAAAACAAATATCTAGGCCTATCAACATGTAAAAGATCCACGCTACTATTATTGCACATCGCCAATTCAAGTCCAATATCTCGTCCGAGCTACCCCGCCATGCCCCACCAAGCCCGCTGAAGCTCGGGTCAACATCGACAGCTCCGTTCTCCCTCCACCATCACGTCACACCCACCACGACAGTAAGCACCACAATGGCCGCCTGCATATTCTGCAAGATTATCAAGGGTACAGACCAACCATCTCCGTCCCATTGTGTGTACCTGACAAGTCGTAGGAGAAATCCCATCCCTGAAGATCTTCGAGTCCGAGAAGACACTCGCCTTCCTTGACATCGGGCCCCTGAGCAAAGGACACTCTGTATGCCCCCTCCCAATCTCAACTTACCAAAGTCATACTAATTGGGTGTGTGTGTAGCTCATCATCCCCAAACACCACGGCGCCAAGCTGCATGACATTCCCGACGACCAGCTCTCCGAGGTGCTGTCCGTGACGAAGAAGATTGCCATTGCGCAGGGCGTCGAAGACTACAATATCTTGCAGAACAATGGAAGGATTGCGCATCAGGAGGTCGACCATGTGCATTTCCATTTGATCCCCAAGCCGAATAGGCAGGAAGGGTTGGGGATCGAATGGCCGACGCAGAAGGCGGATCCGGGCGAATTGAAGAAGTTGTTGGAGGAGATTAGGAGTAAGATGTAGAGAGCTGTTACGTGATCATGTAGTGAAGTATGGAAGCGGACTTGATGGTCTACTGGTCTGTCTGCTCCGCTCACAAACACGACGTTCGCTACAAAACGTGCTCTCTTCCTTCTCGAAACTTGCGGACTCACTCCCCCTTGAAGACGGCCTTCCTCTTCTCCCTAAACGCCGCCAACGCCTCATCTCTATCCTTCGTCTTAACAACCAATTCATACGCCGCATTCTCCGCCTTCTCCCCCAACACACACCCCTCGACCGCGGCCAATGCAGCCCGGATCGCGATAGGTCCACCCTCGCATATTGTGATAGCAAGCTGCACCGCCTCGTTCAGCACCTTCTTCCTCGCCTCGCCCTCCTTCGCCTGCTCCTCAGGCGTAATCTCCACCAATCTATCACAAAGACCCAGGAAATACGCTTCTGGCGCGCCGACCCGGCGGCCTGTGAGGATCATGTCCCGCGCGCGTGCGAGCCCGATGAGCGCGGGGAGGCGGTAGGTACCGCCTGCGCCGGGAATGATGGCGAGTCGTGTCTCGGGGAGTGCGACGGTTGTCGTACTGCCGAAGACGCGCATGTGTGTTGTTAGGGCGAGCTCGAGGCCGCCGCCGAATGCGGGGGCTGCGAGGGCGGAGATTGTGGGGATCGGGAGCGTTTGGATCGAGGTTAGGGTGCTCCGGAGAGAGGTGAGGAAGTTGGCGGTGCTGGGGGTCTGGTTAGTCTGGGTTCCTGTGTGGACAGGGGTAGTTGGGAACCTACTCTTCTTGGGTGAATGTAACTCTTTCTTTCAAGTCTGCGCCTGCGCAGAAACTTGTGTCGACCTCGCTAGCCAAGATCAGAGCTCTGGTTGGTCCTGTCTGTCCTTCGTTGTGTATGCTAGTGATCTGCTGGTTGAGCTCGGAGAGCAATTGTCTTGAGATTGCATTGCGCGCGGCAGGTCGGTTCAAGGAAAGGATTCGAATGTTTCCAGAATGCGGTGCCGGATAGTTCACAACGTTGATTACGGGCGATGGCGCGCTGGAGTATGCGCAGCGTTGGATTGGGCGGACGAAGAGCCTCGAGCCCGGTCGTAATAAGTATGGCATGTTGCGGGTGTGTGGAATTGCTCGTTCAAGGTTCAATTGAGTTGGACGAAACAAGAGCTCTGTTCGATTCAGACGAAATGTCTGGGGTAGCTTGAGGCTAGCAGCGGGCCACTGAGCCGAGGTGTTGTTTCAGCCTTATCATCAATGCGCTTTCTCCGTCTAACTGCTACTTTCGGTGGCACAGCCATCCCGCTTCCCGACCATTACAACGCATTGTCGACGTATCAACCCTTGGCTTATGCAGGGTCATCGACTAAGAAGCATGTCTCGATGAAGGACGTCGGCAACACGGCTCCTGAACTGGAAACTTTGCCGGCTGAACCTCGAAAGCTGATTGTGTCTTTTCTAGTTCCTACGTGTGGCTGCGACCCGGTTCAAAAATAAGGCCTGAAGATTGCTAATCTAGCGCATCTTGTACGTGTTACAGGTACCTACAGCAGCCGTGATTGGCATGGCGACACAACTGGTAGCGTTGCGGGCGTTCGATACTGGCAGAAAGCCGTCAACTCGATGCCCAACCTTGAATACCTGGATATCGGTGACCAGTACAACTGCGGTGAATACATCCATTTCACAGATTTCTCCATGTCAGATCGACATGAGTGCATTCTTGATTGGTTTCTCCCAGACCTTCATCCTCCTCGGCTGCGTACGCTAGAGCTTAACGGGTTTCGATACGATGATGCTACGATTGCTAGATCATTCCGGACAATATGACCTCGCCTGCAGACACTTATCTTCGCATGCGCCGAGCCCGTGCTATGGGATGGCGGCGACATTGAGATCGTTGAGCAAGACGACAGACCAGCCGAAGAATCCAAGCCACACCAGCAGCAACCCTCACAAGGATCAGGATGTTTGAACCTCTGTCGGCAGTTGCAAGCAGCCCATCCAGAAGGTCGCATCAAGCCGCTCAGCCGACCTCTGTCAAGCATAGGTCACGTTGGCGAAAGTCCAATTTATCCGAAGTACGTTGAGCAGTTGCAAGAAAGTGGCGTTCTATTAGACAATAACGAAACTGATGATGAAGAATTTTGATGCACATGGTGGCACTTTATTGCTGGAGTCAGCTGCGGGCGTATTGCTGCATTGTATCGCAGGAAATCGCTCCTAGGCTTGACCAAGTCATGGATGTATCTTTTACCCCTTGTTTCGTTCGATACAGATAATCCTTGTGCACTGCGTGACAGTGAAATCGACTTCTCGCAATCAGGCACTCACTCTGCCTGCACCCAGCCTCCCTGGACGCTACAATAGCGACGTCCGCCAGACGGTTACCTCCGTACCGCCGCCTATCCGCTTGTTCAACCATAGCGGTTTCTGACTCAACTCATCTGATCAGGCAATCGAGTTTGCCAACCAACACACAACCACGTCCGAATGGAGCAATATGAACGACCTTAAGGAAAAGAAGAACAAGAAAACACAGACGGCGTCAAAGTCCGAACCAGTCGACCTCGAAGCGGGAAGGCATGTTGATGAACCGGATGCGGCAGATGTGACCAAGGCTGTCTACGACGTTCCTGGTGCATCTGTCTTGCCGCACACTGTTGGTGCCGCCAAAGAAGAGACTGCAGCAGAGTCCACGGATACATTCGCTGCAGAATCGTCGAAGGGCGATACGATGTCGGACGACTCTACACCGGCGGCAAGCGAAGAACCCTCAAAGACCACGAGGACAGATGTTCCACCACCACCCAAGATCAAGATCACTAGCCCGAAAGATACGTACAAGACCGTTCAAGATAATGATGCCGAACCGAACTCCGCAGATGTGGTCATGCCAGACTCGTCCAAAGCGAAGACCATCAAGGACCGTACCAACGAAGACGTCACCGAATACGCTGTCGATGTTGCGGGGGTACCCGTTCCCGATCCATCCAAGGCTAAGCTCATCAGCAAAAAGCCTCAGAAAGGCTACGCAGAGCGGCAACGTTGCACCGAAGTCGAAAGATTCGGTCACGCCAGAATCGGCCACGGCTGGCATCGTCATGGGCAATCAGAACGAAAATCGCTGCCTGATTCATTTGGTATCTACATGGTCGTTTGCCCCAGAGCCTCCTAAGAAGAGCATCGCTACGGAGGCAACCACTGCAAAGATTGGTCATGAGAATGCGGCAGTAGCTTCCACCGACGTGCCAGATCCATCACTCCTGTCTGAGGCAGAGCAGGATGTGATGTCGAAGACGACGGCTGTACCAGGCCCTTCCACCCCCAAGAAGGCTACCAAATCTCACGGATTACCACCTCTCCCACCGTTCAACCATGAGGCTTTCTCCCATGTCAATAACATTCGACGACTGACTGTCAAGATATTCGCCCTTCCTTGGTCATTGAAAAACGAGCTTATAAAATCAACAGCGACCATGGTCCCATCCTCAAAGTCCAAACTGACAAAGAGAAAGGCACATTCAACAACGTCCACTAGCTCGTCCTAAGCCGGAGCTCCCGGTACTTCCTGAACACGTGCGATCCGACATACCTCCAAAAGCGCGGAGATTCTCACAAGCTCTCATGGGATCCCAAGTCGAGTTTCAAGGACATCATTTCGACTTACATCCATTGGCCCTACAACGGCAACTTCCCAACCGGAACCATCGACAGCGACAAAACCAAGGTTGGCGCTGTACTTCTGCACTTGCCGAGCAATATGTCCTCCGCGACAAGCTCCTGGATGACACGTATAGGAATGATATTATGGAATACTTCGTCACGATACACGTTTGGACACGCAAGCTTACCTTCTGCTCGGTGATGGATGTCGTGTACAACGGCACGAATCCGGGCTCGCCTATGCGACAGCTGCTTGCCGATATGCATGCGTTCATCGTCATTGATGATGTTGGCAAGCTGGAGATGATGGACGATATGCCGGAGGCGTTCGTTAAGGACGTGTTGAAGAGAGTGCTGGTGGTCAGGCCGAATGGGGTGGATGATTGGCGGTGGTACCTGAAGAAGACTGGGAAGATGTATCATTAGTAGGCGTCCGGTAAACCGAGTCTTGAACTCTTACCCACGGATGAGTTTTGGAGCTGTACAGATGGCTGTTATTGCATGCACAGCACGTACGCTGCTCCTGGCTGATATGGGATCCAACGTGAGGCCCGATGGGTAATCCATTGGGAATACTATTCAGTACGATGGAGGGGGTTCTTTCAAGCTTTTCTTAGTCTTCAGGCTTCATTCCAGAATATGTGTTGGCAGGTCAAACTAGATTCGCACATTCACGACTGCATACAGGCGGCCGCAAACATACCTCGGATGGTCGTCAACAACCCCACACCCAGCCTCTTCGATAATCTACAACGTCCTTAGACGTCACTGCAACTTCTCGTTTCTGGTTTAAACTTCAGTCAAATAATGCCTTGGAGGTCTTCAGTGTTCTGCGAGGCCCACCTCAGTCAACGCCACCCAAAACAATGCCCCAACTCCCAGCCTCCAATAATTCCCTAACATACACCACCCCCTCCTCTCCAACCCATCTAACTCACCATACTATCCCCATCCCCGGACCCAACGGCCTCTTGACAAATCCACGCTGCAGCCATCAACCCAGCTGACATCCAACTCTGGGCAACCCCTTGGTCGGCTACATCGTCAGCAAGAAAGAAAAAGGTATTGGTCGAGACTACTCCGGTACTGCCGTTGCGCTCGGTAAAGGAGCAAGCACGATCTGCATGCTGATTGTATGTGTAGAACGGAGATGTTCCAACACTGGTACGATCTGTTACACAGGGAAGGAGCATACATCACGATTGTGGAGGACAAGATGGGTCGGACTGCGATGGGTGGGCCGTTGACGTACTTCACGTATCCGTCACAGATACGGAGGCATGTTTACGGATACTTCTTTGGGCCAAGATACGCGAATGTGTTCTTGTGTCAGAAGACCGAGTTGTTGGAGCAGGTTGCCAAGCTCGCAGACGAGAAAGGGGTGCAAGTGGTTCTACAGCATGTGATTAAGGGTACACTGGACGAAGAGGGGCACAAAAAGCATGGGATAAGGTTAACAGATACATGGTGGAGGGGAGCGTGCGCTGGAAGATTGTTGTTAGCATTGCGTAGACACAGGCTACGAAATCTCTAACTCATGCTGAAGTAAAACAAAAGTCCATTGCTATCGAAATACAAGTACCTATGCTAGAATGCTTACTACAACAATGCGGGTATATATCGCTCATGCCACAGGCCGTTAAATCGTCAGTCATCAGAATCGTAAACCGTCAGTGCCAGAGAACAAATACAGAACAAAGTCCAAACAATGACCAAGAGGACAACGCCAACGCCTTCAAAACTCACACATGCCGCCCCTATATGCTCTCCTAAACAGTCTCCCCCCGTTTCCAAAACCTCAGCCCCTTCCTCTCCTTCTCTTTCCCCTTTCCTTTCTCTTCGGCGGCCGGCGTCGGAACTCTCACCTTCGCAGCCGCAGCCGCCATATTATTCAGCATCTCTGCATGTTCGTAATCCCACGGCTTCGCCCACCTGCTCTCGGGAATCTCGCCCAGCTTCGTGCTATCGCTCGCAAATGTATACGAGCTCGGCGTCACTTTATCTAGTCTCCTCTTCATTGGCGCTGACACGGATGGTGCTGCTGGCTTGGTGGCGTTGCTGAGAGATGACGGTTTGGCTGGAACGGGCGGCGGCTTTTTGGTGGCCGGTGATGCTGAGCTCTTCCTCGGGGTTGAGGTAAATTGGGGCAGCTCTGGGATTGGTTGGTGGATATGCTCGGGCATGAAGGAGAAATAGTCGTACGGCTGAGCGTAGGGTGACCATGCGACTGGGCGGATAGCATCGAGGGATTCGACGCGTTTGCGGTCAGTATTTGGTCGTGGTAGTGGCGCGTCTGCATATGCGCCTCGAGCGTGTGCGGCGCTTTTGAAGTCTGATCTACACTGAATCATTGGGTCCAGGACAGCGTACTCAGGAACTGGCGATTGTAGGGGCGAGGCATACGGCGATGCGTGGGGTGAGCTTGACTTTAAGTCAGGTTTCGATGTGCTAGAGTTGCTGCTTGAAGCATTGTCTTTTCTTGAAGTATTTCTTGACTTAGACCGCACCATGCAGAGCTGAGGCTGGCTAGAGCTCTTAATTGGCATACGCGTCACGTGGGAACCGCTAGGGCGGCGACGAGAAGCGGTGGACTTCTTGGTATCTTTGCTGGAGTCGGAGCTGTTGCCTGACGATTCACAGTATTGTGGTGTCTTCGACTTAAGCGCAGGGTGGATCTGTAGTTGCAAGTGGCTCAGGCGTTGGTATAATTGGCTCATACTTGTCAGCGCATCTCGTCTTGATGCTTCGGATAAATCTGTCAAGGACTTGTAATTCAGGTTCATGTGGCTATGGGTGCCTTTATTTTCATGGTGCAGGAATGTGGTGATGATGCCGACGAGGCCTGTGTTGAGCCTCATCAAGATTTCGGCAAGAGATGCGTGAGCGATTGCTGAGGATGATCAGTATGGTAAACGATGTATGAGACTAGACGTAAACTTACAGTCACCCTCTGCGAATCTGTGCCGCATACCCTTCTGTCGATAGCATTCTTCGTACCTCTCCGCTAGATCTTGTGGACCTCTGCGCAGTGAATTGGACAGTTGCAGCTCTGCGCTCTGCATCGGTTCTGGGGGTTGACTTTGTTTGCGCGCTTTATGTTTTTGCCTTCTTTCGCGCAAGCGCTTGAAGATGTTGAGGCCATTTGTGAATGCTTCTATAAGGTTGTGTACGCAGTTTGAGACATCGCCTTCATCTTCAGCCTTGTGAGGCTTCTCTTGCGTTCGCACCGCCATGTCTTCAATTCGTTCTTGAATGCATTGGCAGAATTGAGTAGAACTACAGGAGAGAATTCAAAGAGAATATTGAAGTGTGTAGTTGCTTTGCTGTCGAGGTATTAGCGAAGGTAAAAGAGTCATCTCTAAACCGCGCCAAAGCCCAGGCGGGCCTGGTCACTCATCCGTGAGCTTCATCCCGGCCCAGATAGCTCCAGCGAGGCGAGGTCGCGCTGCTGTTCCTGCATCTTTGACTGGGTGTTACCTTTCACGCTCGCACCGTTTCAAGCTTGTGCTGCGCGGACACTACTCTTGGACGCATGTAGCCGCCTCGAGGTCATGTCTTGGACGTGTTTATGGATCTTAGTGGCTGACGTGGTCCCACTACCCTGCACGTTAACGGGCTAGGCGGGACCACCGCATGCTGGATAAGCTCCCCACACGAAGCGCATGCGGTGAGACTCATGAGACTTGTCGAGTGGATTGCAATAGAGTGGGGTCCTGCGAGGCTGGAAGTACTTGAGTGGACAAGAAGACAAAGTTACAGGAACGCGCATCAAAAGTCTACGAACAGCGAATGTTGAGGTGGTTGGGCAGGCACGCTTCACTTTGCGGCACATGGGGGTCCAATCACGGAGGACGAGCAGATTGCTTCGATTCCAAGTACGTGGATATCTATGTACTAGTACCGAGGTGCACCGCTCACTCGTTGTTACAAACCCAAACGCCACGCTATGCAATGTAATGTTCATGTACCTCTACTGCTCGTTATCTTCGGCATCTTCCACGGAGACTGCCCGCATCGTCACTTTCTCACCTTCTGAGCTGCTTCCTGCGACCGCGGAGCTCGACCCTTCCGCCTCGTTCCGCTCGGGAAGATTGCCAAAGCTCCAGCTCGATTCGAGCGAGCTGGGCCCAGCGGTTTTGGGTGATGAGCTCGATGCTGGGTCTGAAGCTGTTGGTGTTGTAGAGGGCGTAGGCTGCACCAACGTTGGGCCTGTTTGTGGTTGAGGTATTGATGGCTGAGCTTCTGGTACCGTAGGTGCTGACTGGACTTCTGGCGCCGCAGCTTCTGGTGCCGACTGTGAAGGCAGCGACGATGGAGCCGGTGCGCTCTCTTGACCAGACTGCGCTGCCAGTGTCATGGGCCTCAACGTCCACCCCTCTGGAAGCGTCAAACCCTCAGGAACTCCGGCATCGCCCTGCCTCAGAACCTGACCTCTAGCAATGTATGCTTGCGGTGTGAACGAGCTCAAGCTCTGCAGGTCCATCGACGAAACAGCGTTTGGTTGTTGGCCAGTCACAGACAAAGCGTTCAGACGGTTCAGCTCAACAAGGAGCCTAGAAGTTACCTCTAGCTGCTCGTTTTGTACATTCAGTTGACGAAGCTGCTGCACGATGTGTTGCTGAATGCGCAGTATGTCATAGCGAATGTCATCAGGATGTTGTGCAAGAGCTGCCGCCATCTGATCTGTAGACACACTCGGCACAGCGTTGGAGAGCAAAGGCTGAGTCTGGGCTTGTCCCTGCTGTAGTTGAGTAGGCACTTGAGGTGCTTGCCCTGCAACAGCTTGCTGGCGGAGCTGATCGATGGCGTTCCTCACATTGTTGGCATTGCCTGCTTGTTCCGCAGGTAGGCGAAGATTCCCCAGTGCAATTCGAAAGGGCCCAAAGTTGAAAACACGCATGTTGCCGGCGGGTCTGTTCTGTTGTGCGCCTTGAGGAGCAGGTGCACCAGGCTGAGCCTGATTAGCTGGAGGTTGTTGCGCATTGCCTGGCAAGAAACCTCGCAGACCGCCTTGAAAGGGCGCATTTGCTTGGTTCTGCTGGTTCTGCGCTACTGGGTTTGCTGCGTTGTTGGTTTGCGCAGGCTGAGGTGTGGCTTCTCCAAGTACAGGTCGTCGGCAAGTTGGGCACACCTGTTGCCGTTCTAGCCAACTTCTCAGACAGCTGAAATGCAAGATATGCCCACACGGCAGCTTCTTTGGTCTTTTTCGTTCATCCACCCTTCGCCCTGGCTGCGCCCCTTGAGCACCAGGTGAAGTCCAGGGTCGCATCTCTTCACGGCAGACAATGCAGATGTTCTCTCGGCTGAGGTTGTCTCCAGTAGCGTCCGGGTAGCGAGTGTTCATATCGCGAGTCGCATTTCGGTACTGAATGAAGTCGTTGATTCGCTTGATGAGCGAGCGAACGGACATGAAAAGATCCCGCATGATGTGAATTGGGATACCGTAGAAAGTCATGAGGACCGTGAAGAATCCCAGGTAGACTGAGGCCTTCACAAAGTCGGTGGCAAGATCCAGGTAAAATACCCAGCGGCCCTTCTCTTCCCAGCCAGGGACATCTGTTTCGTCATCGTCCTCCTCGACCTCAGCAGGAGCTTCTGTCTCCTCGGCAGCTTCCTGCTGGCGAGCCTGTTCCCTTGCAATTCTACGAGCTTCGTCTCTCGCTTTCTCTTGACGCTGTGTGATGGCAAGCTCGACGAGTGATAGACCGTAGCGCATGAGAGTCGATATCGAGGCGATCGCGAGCAGAACGTACTCGAAGCCGAACATGACCATAACACCTGGGCGAGCTGCGGAAAGAATCGAGGTAACGCAGTACCGTGTCATGAAGACATCGAAGAAGACCGAAAGGATCAGGGAGCTGGCCAGACGGGCATGGAAAAGCCGTGGGTTTGCTGGCGGTTGCTGCTCGAGGAACTCTACCCTCCCCTCTCCAATCCACTGCCATACTTTGCCGGCGAGGAGACAAAGGAACATGGTGAAGAACCATAAGCCAATATCGTCCCTGAAGATGGTCATCGCCAGCAGTGTCTCGCTGACAGCGAACCAAGCCTTGTCGTACAGCTGTTCGGTTTCGATAGGGCGAAGCGGGCCGTAGAAGAGACGTTGAAGTCCATATCCGAAGCTTGCTGCTACAATGAGCATCAAGTTGACCAGAAACATGAGAGAGCCAGTGCTCTGTGAGATATAGACGGCGGCTGAGTAGAAATTAGGGCGCTCATAGTATGCGCGTGCGAGCACGATGTTGGCCATAACGGCCGAGCCCTGCATCTTTCAGTATCATGAAGAGGAAGGGGGTTATGAATGACATACCGCTACGTAGAGCTTGAGGCGGCCCATGGTGTGTTGACAAAGCGTCAAGAAGCTTAGAAGATAAGTATCATCGCTGTTCGAAGAGGTGAAAGAGCTCGTTGCTGTTAGCAATGGACCTCATTGGTGTTGGAGCAAGCTGCCACGTTTCGGAGCTCTGTAATCTAATCAGCACGTGAGCAACAGATGACATCAGCCGCTTCGGACCCTCCGCACCTCGCTTTTCCCCAGACTTCAAGCTCCAGCCACCGCCAAACATCTCCAAATTGGAGGGCCCTCCCCGCCAGAGCCTCACTGGGCGAATCTTCTCGGATACTTGAGTTTGAGATCAGATCCAGGGTCGCACACCGTTCTGCGCAGGTCCAGGTGCAGCTGTCTTTGTCAACCCTGCATTTGCCGGCAGCTGTTGGTTTGTGGCAGCGTATGCCTGCGCTGGCGTGTGCACGCTCGGGAGATTACTCGGCCACGCATTTGAGCCTCACGATTCAGCACTGGGCCTTTTACGGTAATTTTTGGAACAAGCTCCATCACGATGGCCTCCGCTCGGGCAATCTCTTGAAAAATCTTCGTTGATGCCGTTGCACGCTGAGTGCACCCTTCAAGTTTCGCGGAGAGTTCTCCGCTGCCAGAAAGCCTGCTAGATCGCGCGCCATCCGTGAACAGCCTCGATCGTAAGCACAAGAGGCTGGATTTGAGCCTTCCTGCACGCGTTCGAGAACGATGATGTACCACAACGCTTGCATACGTTGTGGGGTGTCATGAGGGGTTTATGGGGATCTATACGATCTATGACAAGCTACTGCATCCCCGCCCAACCATGCATACACAATGAGCAAAGCCAAGATCCAAGTGGTCGGTGTCCAAGCTCTGCTTCTAGGGCATGATGCATGCCTACCTCTGATCAGGAAGATCCTGCTGACCCAAGGACTACATAAAGCTCTTGGAACTCCCGTCTTGTAGACAATCAGCTTCAAGCCTGTCTTTCATAAGCACCTCAATGACAATGCATTGGTCAATTGTTGTATTGAGCTACGTGCTCGGGTCTGCCCTCGCGCAGAACTCAAGTTCTAGTTACGATACCACAGTGCCATCACTTGGAGCCAATGTGCTCACTGCGGACATGGTCTCGAGCATGGGCAACAACACCCTGTTCAACAGATGGCGACCCACCTACCACTTCATCTCGCCGGCTGGCTGGATGAACGTGAGTGTTCCAAAAGCTCAGAAGCTCACTGTCAAGCTTACACATTTCAGGACCCATGTGGTATGATGTACGATCCTACCACAGACACCTACCATCTTCACTATCAGTTCCACCCTAACCACGTCAACTGGGGCAACATTTCATGGGGGTATGTGAAGTCCGCGAAACTTGAGTATATCACGTTAATGCACGCAGACATGCCATATCTAAGGACCTCGTGACATGGACTGACGTTGGAGGCTGGGAGGACGATCAGGCACAGTCTGTTGGTACAGGACCCAACCCTGACTCCAGGAACTCATCCTACTATGGTCTCGGTATCTTCAGCGGTTCCGCTCAGCCATACAACCTTACAGGTGGACAGGATGGTACTCTCATTGCCTTCTACACTGCAGTTCAGTACCTTCCCACCAGCTGGGCTCTTCCCTACATCAACGGTACGGAAAAGCAGGCCATCGTCATTTCCAACGATGGTGGTAAGACTTGGGAGCAGTACGAGGGCAATCCAATCATCTCAGAGCATCCTGAGGGCTGGAATGTTACCGGCTGGCGTGACCCCTTTGTTGAGCCCTGGCCTGAGATGGATGCTATTCTTGGGCAGGACGAGCCTCACTGGTACATGGTGCTCGGTTCTGGTATCAAGGGTGAGGGCGGCGGTGGCCGTATCCCCCTCTACTCTGCTCCTCAGTCCAACCTGACCGACTGGACCTTCCTCGGTGCTCTCTGGGAGCCTGACAGGAACGAAACACTGGGCTCGCTGCTCGAGACTGGTACCTACGGCTTCAATTTCGAGGTCTCCAACTTCTTCTCCCTCACTGACGAGGATGACGATGTTCACTACTACGTCCTTATAGGTACCGAAGGTGGCAACCTTACGTGGCACCCTCGCGCTCAGTGGGGCCTGTGGAACGAGGGTCAGGTCACCAGACGTGAAAACGGATCGGCTGAATTCACTCCTGTCTCTGGTGGCGTTATTGACTCTGGTCTTCTCTATGCTGTTACCAGCTTTCACGACACCAAGAATAACCGCCGAGTCCAGTGGGGCTGGGCTGCTGAAGAGAACAACGGCTTCGGTCTCCTTCAGAACGGTTACCAGGGTGCTATGGCTCTTCCTCGCGAGATGTACGTCATCAAGACTCACGATCTCGTCAACGCCGATGGCGGCTTGACAACCAAGGGTACCACCCGTGTTGTTGAGCATGGCAACGGTACTTTCACTGGCTACACTCTCGGCGCCCGCGCTCTGCCTGACGTTGTCGAGGCTCTTCGCGGCGAGGAGCGCACCGTCAACGCGATTTCCAACTGGACCAGCAGCATGCTTGTTGGTGCCGGAAGCGCTCACATGGAGCTCGCTGTTACTCTCAGCAACTGCACTGGACCTGCTGGTGTCACCATCGCAGCCAGCTCTGGCGGAGAGGAGTACACTCACGTTTACTACGACCCCTCGAACTACACCATCAATGTGGACCGCTCCCACTCGTCGACCATCGATGAGTACGCCAACTACACCATGATTGGCCACTTCTACCCCTACACCTTCTCCAACGGTACCACCGAGTCGCTGCACATGGACGTCTTCATCGACGGTTCGCTCGTTGAGGTCTACGTCAACGTAAGTCGAAACTTCATCACCTTGACCATTCTCGTTTACTGACATAAAACAGGACCGCTTCTGGCTTACAACTCGCATCTACCCTGCGCGCCTCGACAGCACCAACTTCGGTATCTACGTTGGTGACAACTCAACCGTCCAGGTCTCCAACATCAAGACCTGGGAGATCACTCAGAACTCCTTCCCTGACCGCCCAATCAACTCTAGCTCTGAGCTTGTCTTCGACACGACCGAGGAGACTAACGACTACGTCTGGTGGACCGGAGACTAGTTGTTCACTTTTTATTAATTGGGACCGAGGTCAGCGAAAGCATGTATATATGTATTCACGATATGAGGTAATGACTACGACGAAGACAAAAGTCTGAATGTATATAGTAACGACGACAATGTACGTTGTAAAAGTATATCTTATTTCCGATGATCCTACACCCAATTACCCGGTTGCGCATCTGCATGCTTGCAAATATCGATGCACTAATAGCTTCTAACCTTCGCCCTCACACTCCGCGGACACAGCATCTTCGTCACATTATCCCGCGCGGTATGCCTCAATCGGGTTCCCCGAAGCGAGCGGCGTCCTCCAGGTGAGTGTCTTAATCCGTCCACCGGCTAAAAGGGACGAAGAGCCGTAGCTCTGCGGCATATTGATGTTGGCTTCGCGTAGTGCATCAACAAAAGGCTTAAATGCACTTACATTCATATCCAACGTTCGCTATTGACATTGTGATATTTGAGTCACCTACCGTACAGACAAATCAGACTTCAACATGACGGACGCAGAACAACAATACCAGCTCTCCCAAGAGCAAATCGACTTCTTTCTCGACAATGGCTGGCTCAAGTTGAGCAACTGTTTCACTCGAGGGCAAGCAGCCGGGCTGCAGTCTACACTATGGACAAGGCTCGGAATGGATCCGAATGACATGTCGACATGGTAGGTCTCTTGGAATGTTATCAATCACCATCTTGCTCACAGCCCCAGGCACACTGAACGTACGAACATGCCGCACTGGAAAGAGTTCCAAGTCGCACACTTCGCCCCACGCGCTTGGGGCGGGATCTGCAGCCTGCTGGGCGGTTCGCACAAAATCGACGTCGAATCGAAAGTGTCACTGTGGAAAGACTCATTCATCGTGAACCTCGGGACCCCAGAGAAGCACAACAAGCTCGTCAAACCCCAAGAACTCGACAACTGGCACGTCGACGGCGATTTTTTCGTGCACTATCTCGACTCGCCCGAGCAAGCCCTGCTCGTCATACCCTTGTGGACAGATATCGTTCCTGGGGGCGGCGGCACAATGATTTGTCCTGCTGCTATTCCGCATGTTGCCAAGCATTTGTATGAGAATCCGGAGGGCGTGAGTCCGCGCATGACGCCGCGGAGGGAGAATCCAGAGTTCAAGCAAGAGCTGGGACTGAAGTGGTATATTGATCTTGCAAAGACGATGCCGGATGAGGCGTTTGTGGAAGTTACCGGTGTGGTGGGCGACGTATTTTTGTTGCATCCGTTGATGTTGCATTCGGCGAGCAATAATATGTTGAGGAAGGTGCGCGTGATCACGAATCCGCCGGTGAGCGTGAAGGATCCATTTGTGTTTGACAGTGAGGATGGGAATTATAGCGCGGTTGAGCGCAAGACGCTGCGGGCATTGGGGAGGGATAGGCTGGAAGGGTGGAAGATTGCAGCTGAGAGGCAAAGGATTGTGCCCGAGCGGGTTAAGATTCAGGAGAGAATGAGGAGGGAAGAGGAGGAGAGACTGCGGAAGCTGCAGGAGAGTAAGGAGAGTATGGAAGGTGCTAAGCAAGTGCCTACTGCCGCATAGTTTGTAGCGACAATAACAACAATGGCTTTCTGAAGGCGCGCATTGAGATTCAAGTCATCAGCACTCCCATGTGCATTTGTGCCCTCCTTGTGGCTGTTGATTTCATGGTCTCATTAATTAATTACTATAGTAAGGGTATTAAAGCGCAAATCAAGTCAAACCATCTGCACTTACTGCTTTTTGGGGATCATAAAGTTCGGCCTACTCGCTGGCAGCGTCCTCGTGCAGTCCCTCAGATCCTTCAAGTTTGTCACACCTGTCAAGCTCATCCTGATATATGCCTTCGCATAGTCTTCGTTCCAGTGTGGCTGGTCACCAACAAAGGACTTCCACTCATCGTTGATCTTAGGGTGTACGCTCAACACCTTGTCGGAAGGAAGAACGAAGATCTTGTCGTTGGGTTTGGTCTCTTGCTGCAGCGTATCATTGTAGAATTCTACATCCCAAACTCCCGGAGTAGTATCGAGGGGCTTGTTGGCTTGGGCAGTGTCGACAAAGCGTTGCTTTGCTGTTGCGTGCGCGCCGACGAGAGCGGCAAGGTCGTGGGCAGAGAATCCTTTGGCTTGGAAGAGCGCGATAAGGTTGTCTGCACTGTCGTGGACATCTGGCAACAAACCAGTGGGTGCAGCTTTTGTCGCATCTTTACGGCCAACGAAGGTTCTTATGCGAGGTCCCTTGGGGCATGAAATAGTGGCGTGGTTGTGTGCGTATTGAACAAGGTCGGCGTATCCAACTTTATATTTGGTTTGTACACCCTTAAGAACCTGACGAATACCTTGCAGACCGTTGTTCTCTGGTCGTGTTTCCTCGCCAAAGTCCATCAGAAGAGAACCATCAGCGCCGCCATTGGGTGAGTTCTTGTCCCAGGATCCGGCGTCGTGGAAACCAAGGCGTACTGCCGCACGGGCGTTGTCGTTGCATTGGCCGTCTGATTCTAAGAACAGACTTGTGAGCTCTTTTGATACATCGTACCCTGTGGATGTGTCAGTTACGTTTGTCTGTTTGAAGGAATGCAAACTTACAGGCACAGCAAGAGTCAATGGCTGATATGCAGATGACTGGCTTGTTGGACTTGTCGTTGTCGATACCGGACTTCACACCAGCGAGTACGTCTTTGATGAGTTGTTGTACTTGGGACAGGATCCCCTTCAGTAAGTCATCGATAAGTCCTGGTGCAGCTTCGCGTTGTTCCAGTGGACTGGCAAGGGCAAGGAATGTGAGCGAGAGAAGAGGCAATGCCAGTATGAGCTTGTGAAACATCTTGAACGGCTGGTCGAGGGTTCAGATGCTTGCAAGCTTCACTGCTGTAGGTGGTAGGCCACGAACCCGTGAAATTGATGATTTCAAACTGGGTACGGAGCGTTCCTTATATGCTTCTCCATCGTTGAAGTCAGTCTTTCCTAGAATACATATTGTCCGCAGGGCTTCTCGTCGCCACACGATACTCTGACTCTTGCATGGTCTCGGTCGGTAAGGTACCTGGGTTAGCGAGGCTAAGCTTTCCAGCTCGCTTGCCCCGAAATAGTAGCCCTTTGCTTTACCACTTCGAGTGCACGACACCTGCCAAGTCTGCTGAACGGCGTCCACTAGCCAACCAGACGCAAGTCGATAGTCAGGATAAGGTCGATCATGTACACACGAGTCGGGAATCCGCTGCCGTGGCGGATGGACTGGCCTAGAAAAGCCATGGTTCAACCGGTACCGACCTGGTCAGCCTTACTCCAGACAACAAGGCTAGGAGATCAGAGCGAGGCTAGCGGTGCTGTCCGATGGAATCTCTGTCGGCTAGCTGACTTAGGTTGTACTTTAAACGTCTCTCGAGACATCAGGACTGTTGCTTCATCGGCTCCATGAGCCTTGGATGAACGATAGCGATACCACCAGTGGTAAAGTTGGAGCACAAGTGCTGACGCTGATGCTTGCTATCTGCAATAAATATCAGCCAGCCGTATGCCACCAGTGCTGGCAGCGAGAAAGGCCAGCCCTGCGCATTCGCCTCTCGTATTTCTATCAAGTGGCTTGCCCAGGTTATCGGATCTCGCTTAATCGCTTAAAACAGCATCGTCCACGGTGTTGGCACTGCAGATCTGGACCCTGAATGCGACTGTGGTACCGGAAGAAGTCGAACCTGAAGATCTTTTCGACATGCGAAACTTTTTGCTTCTCCAGCATAGGAAGATTCTGCCGTGGCCTGAACGTGGTCCGTGGATATCCAACGAGAGTCGCGTGCCTGGAAGAGGACGGCGGGTTGGCATGTGGGTGGTGATCAGCGCTAAGGCTGAAGGCTTCGGGTGCGGGGAGCCCGCCAATAAGTTGATCTAACCTTCAGTCTCACCCACGATGTTTTCCTTTGGTACGATGCTTCAACAAGACATGGCCAAGCATACTTATCGAGGGCCAAGTTGGTACTGAAGAGACTTTGAAGATGTCCGGCGAGCTAAGAGGACGTTCCGTACGGAGTTACTCATCGCTCAAGTCACCGGAGCATCACCGAGTATCGAATGTTGAACCTTGTTGGAGTGCGTAGAGCAGACTGAGTGAGTTTGCGCAAGCTTGGCTCTTCTACACCTAAAGCAAGCAACCAATAGTCGCGTGGATCTGCATGTTAAGAGTCTGACGTGCATCGTGGAGTTCGTAACCTTATGGATGACTATCCCTCTCAGTGTGTTGGATGCCAACAAGACACAAATAGAACCCATATTCAACGCGACAATAACTTGTGAGTCGCTGGTAGATGCTGATATGGGCGATCGCTGGTGATGTATGAATTCAAGAATTGTGCCTGCGACCTGCGACCTGCGACCTGCGACCTGCGTTCTGACTCGCCCTGGTAAGACAGATAGATTCTCGGCGTCTTTATGTCATGTGACACGTGCTTCTGGGTGCCTGTACTCTTGACAATCTCACATGGGGTCGTATGATGTTTTGTCAACAGGATAGCCATACAGTCCCTCTGCTCGAAGTTTCCTTGATCAGTGACGTGGGCGAAGAAAGAGGTCTACGAGCCAGGCGACTCTTGCACATGTTGTCCACCAAAATGCTGCGCGATTGCAGTACACTGCGATGGCCGGGATGGTAGTTGCAAACCAGGATAATAGCTGCGAAGAAGTAGAGAAATGCATAGAATGACTCCGTGATCTCGCGTCGCGAGCGCGTTTTTAGTTCCGGCGCTAGTACTAACACCGCGCTTGCCACATCGTCGAATGAGGTGCTTGGTTGCACTACTCAAACATTCACCGCGAATCCGAGGACGCGGTCCCCTCCTTCTTGTATTCGCGAGGTGCTTATCCTCGTCCTGCTATTATTTTGGGTTGTATGCGCGCACTGCCACCATGCCTCTAGGCTTCGAGCGCATCAACGAGCGCACCCAGCGACCGAATACCCTAATCAACTTCATACGCACAATTCATGGCCCATCTTCTACGACCGCCGAACAGATCCTCAACCGAGTTGCGGCAGTATGCTACCCGTTCATGAAAGCCAACATGATCCTCGTCCAAGCACTCGAAGAGTTCCCTTACAATACCGAGTTCGTTGGCCGTAACTTCAATGCTGGTGAGGTCATACAGCTTGTGCTGCGCGATAGGAATGGTCGGTGGCTGCCTCAGCGCATGGTGGAAATGGTTATGGTGCACGAACTGGCTCATTGCAAGCAAATGAATCACTCCAAGGCGTTCTGGAAGGTCAGAGATGCTTATGCAGTCGACTTGCGGGCTCTGTGGGCGAAGGGCTACACTGGAGAGGGCATGTGGGGTCGAGGCAGAGGTTTGGAGACAATGAACATACAAACAAGCCAGGTTGATGTTGGCGATGTGCCCGAACATCTGTGCGATGGCACATATGGGCGCAGGTCGAAGAAGAGGAGGAGAGGTGGGAAGGAGAAAGAGACACTCTCCTACGCGGAGAGGAAGCAACGACGTATATTGAAGAAGTTCGGTGCTGGTGGTCAGTCACTGGGCGCGGACGATGATACCAAAGTCAAGCTTCAAGGTGGTGTACCAAAGAAAGGCAAGCCGAGAGTAGCGGGCAGCGCGCGAGGTCGAGAACTCAGAGCCGCGGCTGCATTGGCGCGGTTCGAGCCTGTGAAGAAGGAGCAAGAAGAAGTTACTATCAAGAAAGAGGAGACATCGGACAGCGAGACTGAGGACGAATACGAAAATGTCGATCAGGCTGATGCGGCGCTCGATGTAGACGGGTCGAAGCTGGTAGACGATAAGGGCCGCGCCTTGATCAAGATCTGCGAAGACGAAGACGACAAAGATGGTAATGCACGGCGGGAGATGGATGAGATACAGGGCATTGCACTGCAATCGAAGCCTTTTCTTGATAAGTCTGCTTCCACACCTCTCTTACGCTCTGATACAGCGAGGCAAAGCTCTAAACCCAGCAAGCCACTGCCAAAGACCACCAGCTCTTCATCGGCACAGGTCATCCATCTCGATGAAATCTGGAAGCGACGTCCTGAGGCATCAGCAAGTCCTGCTACAGCAAAGCCCACAACCAGACCGGCAGCGGTGCGGGTGTCGTGCAATGTCTGCTCGCTTTCAAATGAGCCCAGATCATTGACCTGCGCTGTTTGCTCCAACGTCCTCAGTCCATACCTTGTGTCTGATCATTGGAGATGCACCAGGGAACCCTGCAAGCAGAGCATCTACATCAACGCAGGCGATGCTGGAGCGTGTGGTGTGTGTGCTAAACCGAGGCTGGCACAATGATCGAAGTAAGGATGAGATGGCTTACGACTTGAACGATATGATACCCCATAACAGTACAGTAGAAATAAAACAATGAAAACTGCGTCCAGAGTTAATCGTAGATGAAGTGCAATGATCAAACCAGCCAACTGGAAGGTGCTCCCCTTACTAGCGCCGATTTTTAGCACCTGCATCTCCAAACATCGTCGTCATCATTCTGAGCCTCCTTATTAGTGTCCTTCTATCACCACGCGTATTTGACTGCTCAAACCCAAGAGTTCAGACACACGTTCAAGCACCGCATCCTCAAGGCGAAAATGAGCTCTTGCACTGGAGCCCAGCATATGCGTTCCTCACGGTTTCTCTAGCTACCGCGTGAGATCTGAGACCTTATTTACGAGCATGCACTTGTTCGCGGTACAATACCGATCAATTGCGCTGTCGTGGAAGGTCCCGGATACCGGACATACTCAAGAGCCATTGTGATCACGTTATGACTACGCTTGTCTTCGATCCGCAGGCAGAGCGTTTCGAGTGGGGAGACTGCTCATGCGAAGATCCACCAGCCGGTCTTGAGCACATCGCCAGAGAAGCTCCCGAAGCAGCAAGAGCATTCTACAAGTGTGCGATGGCTACATGGAAAGAGCACCAGACTTCCTTCACCAGTCTCAAGAGCGCATATACGGCGTATTGTGAGCTCGACAGCACATCCTCTCCGCGAACGGGGCGTCGAAAGTCGTCAACTTGTGCGGTGCACCTCGATTGCTAAGTCATACCATACGCTGTAACTGCAGATGCTGTGCGATACTCATGGTCTCCTGTGCCGTCGGGCAGACTTGAACGTCAAGTGCGGCAAACAAGCCCAAAATATCCGAGGATATCGACAACTTGGGGCGCATGAAAGCAGGAATTCGGCTACTTGGGCAACAAACTAATCAACAAGGATGAGACCCGAGGGTATCCTTAGCGTAACCTGGAGTCCACGCGCACACTGTTCACCAGAAGAAGTATACGACTTGCGTGTCGTCCGATTCCAACACAAATCTCGTATCTCGCTTCAACCAACCATGAAATTCGTGAGACTCAATCAAGTCACCAAGAGGTACCTGACGCCAGCAAGGTTAGTAAATGCTCACTCTCCATCAGCGTCGACATTACTCGCGAACGGCGACTCGCTGCTACTTCGTATCATCGTACGATTCGAAGCCCAGCCTACTCATTTCAGACCTGCTTACAGTGAATAGCGTCCTCAAGTAGACAGTCAGCCACCTCGAATTGGTAGTGAGACGGAGATGCTCCCGTGATCGTCCGTCATTCACTAGCCAAGATCCTGCCCCGCATCACGCCAACCTAGTCTGGGAACCAACTCGCGCTCGTGATTTGACCAACAAACCCGATATGCATGCAACGTTGTTGGCTCAGCATTGCGGCCCTTCCATCAGGCATGTAAACATTACCATCGCGAAGTTGTTGGGTTACACAAGAACAACGGGCACCCTGTCAAACGGTGCAGGAAAAGCAAACCAGTAGACTTGCATGAGAGCAACTCGTGGATCCCTGTGGATTGTGGGAAAGTCCACCACCGAGTACACGAACCGTGCCGGGCCACAACAGCCCCATCCGACTAACTCCATTAGGGTTGCGTCAAGTCCCGACAGAGCACCTCTGAACATGTCGATAGCAGACTCGAGTTCTACGACTCCTCAGTTGGGACCAATCAGAGATGCTCCATTAAGCGAAGGACGTTCCCCTGCACTTCGTAGTTGTGCTCCATGCACGTACGTGTGGACAAGGGTTCAGTTCAGCTGTCAGGCCTAATTAGGGCTGCGCTGGACTTGCGCTCAAATGTGGCCCACGGGCTACGATATATAAGATTACAAGGGGTTCGTGATGTGCACCTTCACCATTGCTTGGCTCCGGCTCGCCCTGATCCCGCTCTTTTAATACCTCTAGGTCAATTCCAACCCGCAGCAATCTTCATTTACATCTTCGACTGGTCTGAGTACAAATCATACGCACGGTATGGCGAAGCTCGTCAACCCCATCGATGTCGCACACAGTCCGCCTGTGCTTGCTTTCGTCGGCCTCTTCACACATCTGGTCCTCCATCAAGATGAGTGGGACAACAACATCAACACCTTTCTCTGGATATGGTTACTTGGCTTTGGCGGTATTGCTACAGCTGAATATGTGCAAGACCCTCGGGCCAACTCAATTGGCGCCGTCGTAAAGGTCACAGCAACAGCAGCAGCTATCTACTTCGGAACGTTGTTAGTGAGCATTTTGGCTCACCGAGTGCTGTTTCACCGGCTGCGAAAGGTAAATACCTTTGGCTCAATTGGATTGATCATTGCTAACATGCAAAAGTTCCCCGGCCCATTTGTCGCACGCTTCTCCAAACTCCATGCAGTCTTTGCTGGTGTGCTCCCTGACTATCAATACTACAAGTACAGTGAGGCACTGCAAAAGAAGTACAAGACCGACGTCATTCGAACCGGTCCCCGAGAGCTTGCCATCTATTGTGCCGATGCAATCCCACTAGTCCACGGACCTATGTCAAGGTGTAGGAAGAGCGTTTGGTATAACAACGCGAACCACATCGGCGGCGCATCTACGCAGACGACGTGCGACAAGCAAGACCACAAGCAGCGGCGTAAGGCGTGGGACCACGCTTTTAACGCTAAAGCGCTGCGCGAGTATGAACCAAGGCTGAACAGACATTCACTTGCGCTCATGACAAAGTTGAAGGAAGAGGCGAAGAATCCTTCAGTGCGAATCACCAACTGGGTTAATTTCTATAGCTTCGACGTCATGGGCGATATTGGGTTCAGCCGCAGCTTTGGTATGCTGGAGAAGGGCGAAGAAGATCCCATGATCAAGCTTCTACACGCCAGTATGGAGCCGTTGTCCGTTTTCGGGCACATACCTTGGGCGCTGAACTTGATCACCCGTACGGCTGCCGGCGCCAAACCTTTGATTGAACATATCAACTGGACGTCGAAGGTCTTGAAAGAGAGGAAAGCTGTACGTAAGAAAGGAATCTGTCGTACTTGCATGCAGCTGACGCCAGCATAGATCATCCCGAAGGAAAACGACATCTTCAGCTGGCTGCTCGATCCTGATAGCCCAGACATCACCCCAGAACTGAACGCTGATTCTCGTCTTCTTGTTGTCGCTGGAAGGTAAGCAGTTGCACAATTGCGTAGTTCTTCGTGTTAGGAACCGACCTGACTTTCTATTCACAGCGACACCACAGCCGCAACACTGTCTTTCATCGCCTACGAGTTTTGCAAGCACCCAGAGGTTCAGGCCAAACTACGCAGAGCGATCGACGCCGCAGCACACGACAAGGACCACCTCGACGTCGAGGATGTACAAAACATCCCGTACCTAGATGGCGTCATCAACGAAGCTCTCCGTCTACACCCTCCTGTAAGTTCCACCACATCACTGACTTCATGAAGCAACTCGACTAACACCCCCAGGTCCCCTCCGGCGTCCAGCGCGAAACCCCACCCGAGGGCATTACACTCCCCAATGGTACCTACATTCCCGGCAACATCATCATCTGGATGCCCATCCACTGCCTACAGCGAGACCCTCGCTATTTTGCCAAGCCCCTGACTTTTCTACCCGAGCGCTGGACCGACGAGCAGCCTGACGCCGTCATCGACAAGCGCGCGTTCATGCCGTTCAGCACCGGTGTGTACAATTGCGTGGGCCAGAAGCTGGCGATGATGGAGCTGAGGAGCGTGACGGCGAATCTTGTCCGCGCGTTTGAGATTACGTTTGCAGAGGGCGAGGATGGCAGTGCGGTGGAGAAGAAGAGCAGGGATTGCTTTACAACGAATGTCGGGGAGTTGGATGTTAGGCTTAGGCCTAGGTACAAGGCGTGATGATGAGAGTGCGTTGATGGAGGGAAAAGATATATGGATATACGACGTACTGTAGATGTTTCACAGACCGAATGACATACGAACGAGATTCTCAAAGCAGGCATACACGCCTCGACTTCGAATGGACCTATGTGTTCGCCCAGATCGTAGTCTTGTTGCTCGAACTCGCTACTATTAGCTGTTTTCAACATAGTATCTGTCCGGCCTCCGCCTCCAAGGCCGTTCGTTCCAGTTCTCCATTGCTGGAGCCGAGCGCCAGCACAGGAGCGAGTGCACCAGATCGTCGGAAAACCTAATGCATATATCTCGGGCAAGAGTGCGGGGTCGCGTCGTGTCCCAAGATTTCCACGCCCACATGTCGGCCATCAGTTTGCGTGCTGGCGAGTCGGTACATGTACCTTCGCGTATGATGCGGACAGCTCTGTGGGAAGACGCGTGGCTTGGTGCGGGCTTCCACTACAGAGCCATCCGTTCGTTGAGCACAATGTTCTGGAAGTGCGAATCGACAACTGGTGTTTTCAGCGTCTGTGCTCTGATATACAGGTGGGATCTAGGTGTAGAGCTGTTGCAGATACATCTCGAATGTTTGAGGTTTGTCTTCCAAGGGCTCTGCATGGGATGTCTCGCGCAGTTTTGTGCTGCATGCGCCTGATGCTCGGTCTAAGATGCTGCCGTAGACTTTGAAGATTCGGTGATCATTGTCGCAGCCCCCGTTGGTGATTGTGAGTTGGCTACGTGCTTCGGTCAGGCCGACGATATGGGCTGCTAGCCAGGCGTCGTTGTAGCCATATCCACCACTATTGTCCGTATGAAGTTCACGTACAGTTCTCGGTCACCTTACTGCAATCAGAATGACTCCTCCGTTGAGACTGTAAAGGGGTCAATCAGATTACCGCAAATATGTCCATTCTGCACTTTGGCGGACCCATGACAGGCGACGAGAACTTGCGGCGTTTGGCGGGCGGAGGCATGTGTATCGACTGCTTGTGTAGAGAAATGAGCGCAGTGGCCAATACGTCCTCTGTGAATGAAAGAAGAGTCTTCAGTGATGGAAGGGGGCAATAGGAGACAATTGCGGTCTGCTGGAGGAAGAGGCAGCTATAGACAACGCGTGCCAAGTTTGGAAGGCACGACGACGGACTGGCGTATGTCGTCCAGCCTCGAGATGCGGTAGCCAACAATCATATGGTATTGGCTTGTGAAGTTGTTGGTAAGGTATACGTCCACATGCGTCTGAGGCCGAATATCGATGGCCTGATTGATTGGTTTAACGTCCTATATGAGTCTGAGACTATGGAAGACGAGAAAAGCAGAAGCTCCTTTGGTAATGCAAGGTTTGGTTACAGGAGGTTGAGTTCTATAAAAGTACAAGAGATGGTGGGGGCTCTTGCCCTAAGCAGAGTTGCTGGAAAATGAAAGACTGCAAAACAAAACAAACAAAGGAAAGTGTCGCGGCCCCGCAGCGATATGAAAAGGCCGACCTTTCTGACCCTCGGGTCCTAAAGGTTATATACACCGCAACAGAAAGAGTCTGCAATGGTGCAGTGCTAGGGCATGACTAGGCCAGGTCTTCTGTGTGCTGTCCAAGATGCCGTTTGCCTGTGCCTACCTTGGTCCTACTGATAAGGGCCAGAGTAGTCTTGATGCCTTCTTTGGTGTGGAGAAACAGCGGCAGTGTGAGCTGCACTTTCCCCAGGCTGTCCTGGAGATCGATGGCCTGGATTCCTACATAGTAAGTATTTCTGAGCAACACCAAAGTCTGCAGTCTCGTCAGCTTTGCACAACGCGTGTGCTCTCGCTATTGCGCAGGAAAGCACAGGTGATGACATAGAAAGAGATTGATTGATATAAGAAATCCTCGCAGCATGTATTCCTGGTGCTCCCTCGCTTAGTCCATCAGCAGTTTCCTTCTCGCTGCGGCATCTAAGTGCTCAAACTTTGGCCGCCCTTTGATCCTTTTCTTGTGTTCGTATGTTGGCTCATTTGTGTTGCTCGCACCCCAGTCGCCCTACTCAACTTGGATTCATGTTCAGCGCCTCTTCTCCCCAACCTTCTCCTCAAGCGTCCTGACATAGCCCTCTATCCTCTGCACCGCACTCTGCAGCGCATAGATATCCTCGGTAAGTAGCTGGTTGCTCACGCGGTACTCGTCGATAACGTAGTAGTACATGCCGGCGCCGGCGGTCGCGGTACCGAGGAGGAAACCGAAGAGTCTGTTGGATTGGTGTTAGCTTTGCAGGTCATGATATCTTGCGACTGGAAGTGACCGGCGGTGCTGGAGTCTCGTGAAGGAGCTTTTGGGTGAATGCGGAGGAAGAGGTCGAAGAGAGGACGTGGAGAGGCCGGGCGTGTTCGTGTTGCATTGTGTTTACACGTGCGTACATGCGCATTCATGCATGCTCTTGAAGTAAGACATGAGAATGGAAGACTCACCCTCCCCTAAAAGCGCCAACAGGCCTCCTGACCGGTGCAACAAGCGGCTTCTCTTGTCTCAAAGCAGCGCTGGTCTGGAATCCGCGCACGCTATTGTTCGCAGCCCGGAACGCTGGGCGAAGGACGCGGGATGCCATTGTATATCGTACTCTCGATGTCAATCGTCGAGGTCTGAGGTTTGCGGACGTGTAATGGGGGATGTGAGTGTGAAGTGCTGCTTGTTTGTTCGTGACGTGATGTTGCTCGAAGCTCCAGGTTCTCCGCCCGGATGAGCTCGTTTGAGCTCTACAAGCTTGGAAGGCGCGCCAGACGCTGGTGAGCTCTGGCCAATGAGCGCAAGGCTGAGCGCACCAGGCCGGATTGGGAGGAGTATGCTCACACTGCACTACTGGCAAGTCGTGAATGCTGAAGTTGCGACTGATCCTCCGCCAGACAGTCACAAAGGGGAAAGTGCTTTATCCGTCAAACCTTCAGGAGCCAGGTCGGGTTTCGGTGAGGGAGGATTCATAACAGGAATATTATGCGCGTGCTTAGTTGAGGGCCTCGTTGAAGTATCGTCGTAATTGTCGAGGAAGGACAAGACGTGGTCGATCGCCCCTATGTTGGGATTGGTAGCGGTTTTAGAATGAGGCAGAGCATATTCTGACATGATTGTCGGTAGACGTGTGGATGTGAAGAATGATGTGAATGCGAGTTGATTTGAGTGAGGAGGTTGTCAGAGGTTTTGTGTGCGTGGGAAAGACCTGTATGAAAACATGCTCTTACGAACCATAGTTGCAAAGCTGGTATTGTAGAGGAAACGAATAAGAACATCAACAAAAAGCCATACCAGGCGTGATCCCCTTGTGAGTAAACCAAAGAACATCAATACCAATGAGGACACCGTATAAAAACTCAGTCTGACTCAACACCGTCCCATGCATAATAATAACCAAGTGCCCAATCAAACTCCATGACAATTCAATCAATCACGAGTTTCTACCTCGACCTTAGACCAGCACCAGGCCTCTTCCCACTCTGCCTACGCATGCTCTCCAGCTTCTGCTTCAGCTGCTCATGAATCTTGCGGTTCTGCGCCCACCCCTCGCTCAGCTTCTGCATCCTCAGTGCCGCGATGACAGCCAATGCCGCCGACTTGAGCTTAGGACGGCGTTCGTGGACAGTGATGTCGGGTGTAATACCCATTTGCGAGATGAGATTGAGATCCTCTTGATTGCTGTATTGTTGTTAGATTATGAAGATGCAGGTGAAGTGGAGAGGAACATACCATTCATTGTAGGTCTGGATTTGCATGAGGAAGAAGCGTTTCTGATACCCGAGCGACTCTCGGAACGACTCGGCTCGTGAGCAGCGGGCACGCAGGAACTGGATTTGCTTCGCGAGGCCGTTGATCTCCTTGATGTGGCGCTTCTCGAGGGCCTGTGACTGCGCATCGAGATCGTATGCCTCGTGTTGCGCCTTCTGCTGCACGGCCTTCGCTGAAGCCTGCAGCAGCCGGAGCTGGGACTCCTTCTCGCGTAAACGAGATTCCAAGTCGCGAAGCGCACGTTCCATAGACGTCTTCTCTTCGCGCTGCGCAGCCTTGGTCTCGTTCTGAATCCTGCGGTGCTGTGAGTCCTGCTCGCGGAGGCGAGACTCTAGATCATGGAGCTTGTTCTCCAGCGCTGCTTTCTCCTCACGCTGCATAGCACGAGACTCAGACTGAGCCGAAGCGGCCTGATTCTCCTTTTCACGGATCATCGACTCTAGAACCGTGATCTTCTCCTCGAGTGAGGCCTTCTCCTCCAGAACCTCGTCGGCATCCTCTTGAAGCACCTCGAGCTCATCCTCATACTCCTGCCTCTGGCGGTTCGCGTTGTCCCTCAGCTCTTCGAGAGCTTCAAGTCGTTCTTCTGCGAGCTGCTGGATAGACTCGGCTTGACTTCTCTGCGCATTGATCTCTTCCCGCAGAGCCTCGAGTTCATCATCGCGCTTGCGAACAAGATCTTGCATGACATCGATCTGAGTATCAGGCTCATCGGCGTGGTTGCGCATTGCGTCGAGCTCGGCGTCGCGCTCAGAGACTGTTTTGCGTATGGTTTCGAGTTCTCGTTTTCGGTCGCTGAGATCGTTCTTGAGCTGCTTAAGCTCATCGAGTGCTGCCTCTTGCGCATCCATCTTCTTTTGGAATGCAGTGACATCACGCTCGCGAGACTGCAGCGTCGATTGCAGGTTCGTTAGGTCGCGAGACAGAGCATCTCTCTCACGTGTGACCCTCTGCAGTGCTTCGATTTGCGTATCCTTGCCGGACATGGTCGATCGCAGGTTGCGCATCTCGCGCTCGATGTCATCACGCTCTTGACGTAGCGTGCCAACCAGAGCATCACGATCGTTGTTCCCTCGGTTGAGTCTGTCGACCTGCGCGTCTTTGTCCGCCATCTTGGACGTGAGGTTGTCTCGCTCGCGCCGAAGGTCTGAGAGCTCGCGTGACAGTGTATCGCGTTCTCGCATCGCTTTGTTGAGAGCATCAGCTTGCGCGCTCTTACTCGTGAGTGTTGATCGGAGGCCCTGGACCTCCTGCGTAGCGTCGTCTCGCTCACGGCGAAGTGCGTTGAGATCTCCAAGATCACGGTCCTTCTGTGTAATAGTCTGTCGTAGCTGTTGTAGCTGTTGTTCGTACTCGGAAGCGTCGCGCTGGAGACGCGTAATCTGCTGCATGGAGTCCTGGAACTGCCTACGGTAATCATCAAGCTCATCTGCCCTAGCTTCGGCGGCGTCAACCCTCGATTGAAGAAGCTCGATCTCGACGCCCTTCTCGCGCGTAACATCGACGACCTTCTGTTGCGCGTCATGCGCGGACTGTCGTGCGAGCTGGACCTGGTTGTCACCCTTGGACTCAGCAAGCTGAACGCGCTCGTGCAGAGCGTCAAGCTCAGCATCTTTCTCGCTCTGTATTGTGTGCATGCGTCGCTGCAGTTCTTTGATGTCGGCATCCTTTTCGCGTTCGAGTGTTCGGAGGCGTTCTTCGAAGAGAGAGAGTTCATGGCGCTTCTCTGTCTCCGCTGCCTCAAGCTCACGCTCTGCCTTGTCCAACTGCTGCTCAAGCTCGCGGATCTCTTGGTCATTGCCATTCGCAGCAGCATCGAGCCTGTCCTGCAGCTTCTCAATCTCGGACTCCTTCGTGCGTTCAAGCGATCGTAGCTGGTCTTCAAGATGTTCGATTTTCTCGTTCTGCTCCTCGATCTGTTCACTCTGTGTTTGCAGTTGTCGCTCCTTGTCGGCGACTTCTCTGTCTCTTGTCTGTGAGACAGAGTGAAGCTGTCCTTCAAGCTCAATCACCCGATCCGCCTCCTTTTGCAGTCTGCTGTTCTGCTCCTCCAGCCTAGCAATCCCCTCAACCTGCTCTTGTAGTCGACGGTTCTCCTGCTCCAGCTCAGCCACGCGGTCAGCTTGCTGTCGTAGCTCACGTTCGCTTTGTTCAAGGTCTGCGATCCGTTCGGCCTGTTCCCTGAGCTGTCGATCCTTCTCCTCCATGTCGGCAGACGATGAGCCTTGCGCGTTCTTCAGCTTGTTCTCCAGCTCCTCGATCTGGTCTTCGTGTTCGTCGAGTAGCTGGTCCCGTCGCGCGACCTCAGCCTGTGCATTCTCAAGCTCCACGCTGACCTTGTCGAGCTCGTCTTCTGCACTGCGCGCCTCTTCTAGCTTCTCCTCCAAGCGCTCGATCTCTGCAGCGCGCTCTTCGGCCAGCCGGCGCAGCTCATCCATCTCCTCGCGCATGCCCGCATCGGCGTGTCGCTTCTTGACTTTCTCAGCATAGTCTCGCAGCTGCTGCTTGTAGCTCTCGAGTTCCTTCTCCGCAGCCTTGAGGTCCTTGGAATACTGCTTGATGTCGCGCGACATGGTGACCTTCTCCGACTTGAGGCTGACATTCTCCTCCATAGTCCTGACGTTGAACTCGGGGCCCATCTTTTTAAGATTCTCCTCCAAGAAGTGGATCTTCAGCTTCAGACCGAAGTTCTCCTTATCGATCTGCTCAAGACGCGCTTCCTGCTCACGCAGTGTGAGGACATTGCCATTCCCGTTACCCATGTCGAGTTCGCCCTCGGCGCGCCGTGGCAGGGCCATGGGCGTGCCCATCGCGCTGGAACTGGGGTCGGGCAGCTGGGTGCGGCCGTCGATGGAGTGGTCGAAGGAGCTGGACTGCACGTCGAGAGCGCTCGCTTCAGGCAGTGGAGAGTCGCTCATGCGAAACCCGGGCTTCATGGCCGCGGGTGTGGTCATCTTGCCGTTGAGCAGGCCGACGACCTGGCGGGTGCGGTTGGCGGTCGCGCTCTTCAGCATAGGCGTGAACTCGTTCTTCGCATTGGGGTTGCGCAGGGCGGCGAGCGGGTTGCGGGGTGTGCGGGCGCCGCCCATCTTCTTGAAGAGCTCGTCACGACCGGTGGGTGCCTGGAACGACTCTTCTCTGCTGAACGAGAGGTCATTCTGGGTGAAGCGCGTCGCGTCGCCCACCTCTGTGCGCGGCGTCTCCGGGAAGTAGTTCGCCATTATCGATGCTGTCTGCTAGAGTATGCGCATGAGTGAGAGAAATGTCAGTCGTCGGCGTGCGCACACCTCAGTCTGCAGAGGAAGTGCATGTGTTATTGAGTAGTGCCCAAGGTGGAGTGTGTTGTTTGTTGTTTGGCCGTATACGGCTTAGTTCTACCGCCGCCCGAAAGAGGAAGGGCCGAAAAGGTGGGGCGTTCCCTCTCAGCCAGTCACGTCACTAGTTCGCCGCTCCATCACAGCTTTTTGTAACCGCAAATCTGCGATACTCACCACTCAACATGGACTCTGGTGATGGTCTGAAATGGTTTGGTGAAGGTTTTGACGGCTTCCCAAAGAGCCTTCCGGAGGATGTTGTAGAATACATCATCTTCATTGTCGAGACTAGACTGTCAGATATCCAGACAAGAGAGCGTCTGCAAGCCTTCCAGCGTGCACTACAGGACTTGAAGAAGAAATTCCTGAAAGAGTACATCTGGCAGCGAGACGAGATCAAACTTGAGCTTGTGCGCGAAGACGATCGCTGGCTCCTGAAAGGGCAGACAAACTACGGCGACAGTGTCGCCGATGAGTGGCTAATCGTGTACTTCTTGCGCGAGCTAAGTAAGGAGTTCAAGGATGCATGGATACGTATTTACGACACAGATGGCGAGTTCCTGCTCATCGAAGCTGCAAATGCGTTGCCGAAATGGCTCACTCCAGAGGTTGCAGAGCACAGAGTCTGGATCAACACGCATCGTCTGCTCATTATACCTTTAGGCAAAGAAGAGGCCCCGGCACCTCTGAAATTACCAGACGCTCTCACTATACTCAAGGACACGCCAGGCCGACCACAACACTATCCAAGGGTAGAAAAAGAAGCCTTCCACCGCCTGAACAACTACCCATCCGCCGTCTCAGAAAACCAACACCACGCCACCCTCCCTCTCCCACGCAAAGTGGCACATATTCTGCACACGAATCCATCCTACATCTCCTCAGCAGTCGAGGCCTTCTATCTCCGCGATCCCATGTCCTTGCGCCTACTTCAGCCCGAGAAGTCCAAAACAGCACTCATTTTCCCGCCCGATGACTTCGTATCCGTCAGCGTCCGCTTCACGAAAGTTTTATACGCGCAGCTTCTCGGCCAGCACTGGAACCCACCACCCCCGTACGAGGCCGCCATTGAGTTACTAGTAAAATCCGGCCACCCGCAGGAAAAAAGTGAGGTAGCCATCAAGCTCAGCGCAGGCATGCAAATGCTCGCATCACACACGCTCTTCGCCGACAAAAAGGCCGTCCGCGAAATCAATCTCCTCCTCGAAGATCTAGAGAACGGTGACGACACATTGCCCACTGACGCTGAGATCGCGGCATGGCCGAAACGCGAAGACGACGAGAGTTGGCTGGACATCGACTTCTCTGAGTTTGAGAAAGAATTGCAAGGCAAAGGAGGCGAGAAGGGCTTTGGTGACAAGAACGCTCAGGAAAACCTGAAGAAAATGGTGGAGAGATTTAACACGTTTCTTGCTGATGATGAGGCGGGGCATGAGGGGGCGAGCGCGGGCGAGAGAGATCCGATGGATGAGGATAATGACCCTGATCCTGGACGGGGATGGGATGATCCTGAGGATAGCGATGACAACGATGATGGCAATGAAGAAGAGGCTCACTCATCTGCATCAACTCCTGGTGCGAAGACTGCGCCCAAACCCAGACCAAAGTCACAGCCTCAAACCGCAAGAGCCAACGACGAAGATGACAATACTGAGACCGAGTCAGAAGACGACGCAGATGCAGACGCCGAGTATGCCGAGTACGAAAAGTACTTCGAGAAATACATGACGCTTCCCGCACACGAGAAGGCCATGCTTACCGAAGATGCACGCGAGCTCGCACGTGCCCAGGATGCTGAAAACGAAGAAGATGAAGAGATCAGGAAGCTGACCGAGGCGATGGAGGCAGAGCTCTTCGGCCACGGAGCGCTGAACCTCAATCCACCGAAAGACACAACCGGAAAAAAGACGTTGAAGAGCGCCGAAAGCGTGGACAAGAGTAAGAGCAAAGGAAAGGGCAAAGCCACAGTCTCGTTCGCCTCCCCTGCTGACGATGATGTCGAGGAGATCGATCGCGAGGAAGGCAGTAGGTCAGAGGATGAGGAGATTCTGGATGAAGACTATAACCTTGTGCAGAACATGCTCGCTGCGTTCAAGGGACAAGCTGGTGCCGCAGGCCCGGCAGGAAACATGCTGAAGGCTATGGGTATTCAGTTTCCGCAGGATGCTGATGATGAGGTACAAGGCTCCAGCAAGAGCAAAAGCAACGTTGGTGAGAGCAGAGCGAATGACAATCCGATGAGGAAGCAAGACTGGTATATGAAGTAGCCGGCACGGAGTTGAGGGTATGTACAGGTGCATCGATAATCGCAATGTATGTCAAGCTGGACTCCTGGTTGTCAAGTCAGTGCAGATGAGCCTGAGTTGCTGTGTACTGAACAGTGTTATGTAAATTGCCCAATGCAGACGCGAGCAGATGCCGGAAATGTAGTTAACCCCACGTTGCTGCTCTGCGGTAGCGAAATATTGTACGAGCACGGGGTTCACTGCTTCTAACAGTCTACCCGATTGATTGTGTCTGATCTTGGACTGAAGTTGGTGGGACAGCGGACATTCCCTCCTTCAACACCTCCAGCCACTCAGAATGCATCTTGGCTTCTGATCTTTCTGATCATCTGAGCAGCATCCGCCGGAAAAACGTGGGATCTGTGATCTCCGGACGCCGGCAATATCAACTTACGAGTGCATCCTTGTTCAAGACGCTGCAAAGGAATGTCGGTTTTCCGTAATTCCGAACCGACGAGCTTCCCAAGTTGCTGGTATGCGCTATGAAAGCCTTGAAGCTGCGACTCAGTATGTTGCACAGTTGCTTGTCATCAATGCGAGCGTCAGCTTGGCGCAGGCCTCGCCAGATGGCGAGAAAACGATCAAGATCATCGCAGGCAGACATCGAAAAGACATAAGGCTGCCGACTGCCGACTAGTTGGCCGATGTCAGATCAAGGTTGCAACGTCTGACGCGCTAGGCGAAAGCTCGCATTTCAACTTTGTTCTGTTTGGGCGAAGCCGATGAGTCAAAAGCCAGGAGCTGCAAGGTGATCGGAAATATTTCGTTACCGTTGTTGCCTCGTACGATGCATCTTGCCAATGGTCATGGTTGGATCGCGATGTTGAATACCTCCAGACGAAACGTTCGAGAGTTTTTTTGTTCAGCGCTTCCGACATCCGCTCTCTGACGTTCCGGAGCAAGAGCGATGGGCTCATACATATGTTCTGCCTGGTGTCGGTATCAACTCACGGTCTGTCAGGCCGGATGAGGCCGGATAGCAGCCACACGCCTTACAGGCTGCATGGATCATCTGGCAGTCTTCGCGTAGCGACTCCCGCTCGGGAGCTTACACAAGCCCAAGGCGCTAGCAAATGCTTAACAGCAGTGAAGTATGGCGCAGGTGACATTGATCGCCGCAGTCGCCAATCGCAGTGGGAGGAAGTCTGCGGAGCTCGGAACGGTGTGCATGTTCGGAGGAAGCGTAGAGTTTTTGCAGTGCTTGTGCAAAAGAAGTGGGTATGTTCTCGGTCTGGACCAAGGGTGTGATGTGTGAAGGGAAAAGTGTGATACGGCAGACTTGCCTGAGATGGTGCATGGTGTCACTGAAAGTTGAGGTTGGACGACCCTCGATATTGTCGCTGAGACGGATACAAGAGCTCACCGAGGCCGAATGCAAGTGTGGCTGCCCCTCGCGTCTGTTGTCAGTTGCACAGACATGGTGTAAGACAGCTCTGGCATTGCGCTGCAGGGCTACGCCCCCTCCCCCGCACCGCACTACTCGTGTTCACCGGTAGGTAGGGTGGAAGTGATGAACACTCAAGGCAACAGGGATTTGTACAAACCTGAACAGTGCGAAGTTCGCCGGTGGAGCCGTCAAGTGTCAAAGCAAAAAGCAGAGGCTGATGGAGGCGCCGGATATCAGACCCACTTAGTCCGCGGCTCTGCGCCTGCACGTCACAACGATTCGAGGAAGCTGCGATCGAAGCCAACGCCGCGCTGACAAAGTTCTCTCGTGATGCCGATTGCTTCGTTAATATCGTGTTTCCGCAAGTTCCGGCGCAGCCATAAGACGATAACGGCCCTGGCGGCCTTGTCTGCGTCCGATTCCTATACTGCATCATCCCGCGTCTTCCTCAGTCATTCGTACGAAGTTTGAAGCTTACAGTATATAGCTGCGCAAACCATCACATTCGCTCTGGCAGCTTACCTGGACCTTTGCGCAGCTTCTCCTCACCTAGCGAACCTAGCCCTCTGCTATTCCTATCTGTATGGCACGCGGAACCCTGACAATAGCCATTGCCGCATTGCTGCTCCAGGTTCTTCCTCTGGTAGCTGCCCACGGCGACGAGCATCATGGCGAGACCATGGATATGAGCGCGCACGATGCGCTAGCACCGCAACCCCAGAATGACGGACACCAGAGCTATTGGAGTTTGTCCGAGTATGCGACACTGATGTACTGGCACATTGCGCTCGAGATTCTAGCGTGGGTGGTCATTCTGCCTGTCGGTAAGCTACCCGGGATCCGCAATTGATCTTCAGAGCTCCACACTAACGCAACCCAGCTGTCATGCTGAGCATCGCTCGCTCGCGATATGTTCTTCTCTCTCAGTTCACGTTTCTTGTCGTCAACGCGTTGGCGCTCCTGATTGGTGTCGTGTACAACCACAAGACCCCAGAGCTGTACGAAAACAATGCGCACAGCAAGACCGGCTGGGCCATTACCTGGATCGCTTCTGCCTGGGTCTTCATGGCGCTCATCCAGACGTACATGGATCGAAGCCAGGCGCATTTGTTTGACGATGAGACTACACAGCCTTTGAATGCAGCGAATATGGCTCAGTACCAGCGTGTAAAGGAGGAAAATCTCGAAAGCCCCTACAGGTATTCTAATGACTCCGGACAAGGCACTGAGCGCAACTCAGCGTCGCTGTATGGTCACTCTCGATCACCTAGCGTGGAATCAGAGAATCAGCAGTTCCTAGGGCCAACGCGCAGAGACACGCACGACGAGCTCGATGACCTGGAAGACGTGACTCTTGAGAAGCCAAAGTCGCGGTGGGATAAGTTCTTCTCCCGTAACGTGGCTCGCTTCATAGCAGGCAGGACAGCAAAGGTAGTCCGTTTGCTCTATGTGGCGTTCGAACGCACAATAATCATCCAGGGACTTGTCGCTATTCTTACAGGCACGGTTGTGTATGGCGGCATCGCACATGGAGGTGCAGTGTTCAACGTCTTAGCCCACTACATCAAGGGCGGCATCTTCTTCGTTTACGGCTTCCTCACACTCGGTCGCTGGATGGGCGCATTCGCTGATCTGGGTTGGGCGTGGAACATGAAGCCCTTGGGGGATGTCGTTGGTCGTCGCAAGGCCAGTCTGCCGTCCGCCGAGTTCACCGAGTCGTTCGTCATCTGGTTGTATGGTTGCACCAACGTATTCCTCGAACACCTCGCAGCCTGGGGCGATGAATGGACAGCGCAAGACCTGGAGCACGTTTCGATATCAGTGTTGTTCTTCGGTGGTGGTCTGGTAAGCCCCCCTCAATCCTTCACCCACTAGCGCGCATACTGACGTACCTTCCCAGCTGGGCATGATCATCGAATCGACCAAAATGCGCGAACTTCTCAACAGCGCCGTCGTAACAACCTCGCACGGTCAGGATGACTCATGGCAGCAGCCCCGCCAGTACAACTTTTCCATGAACCCTATGCCCGCACTCATCATCCTGCTCCTTGGCAAGATGATGAGCTCGCACCACCAGGCTTCCATGCTGTCAACTATGGTTCACAGCCAGTGGGGCAGCATGTTCATGGGCTTCGCGCTGGCACGCTGCCTCACGTACATCGTTATGTACATTGCGCCGCCGACTTCGTACCTGCCGTCTCGCCCACCGACGGAGATCATCACCTCTTTCTGTCTGGTCGCTGGCGGCATCACCTTCATGGTCAGCAACAAGGACACTGTTGCAGCGCTGGAGTCGTACGGACTTGATGCCATGTTCACATTTACCGTGACTATGGGCCTGACGGCGCTCCTGTTGGCTTGGACCACGGTCGTGATTGCGATCAAGGGCTGGGCCCTCCGTGTTGAGGGCAGAAGCCAGTACGCGAAGGGTCGCGCTGGTGTGCTGGCCTAAGTATTGCACTTACGGACAGGCCGAATGATGTCAGCCAGCCACGACCATGCTGGCTGGTGATCATGATGGTCATGATTATCATCGTTGTTTTTCCTTTCTCTTGCGACCTTACGTCCTTCTATGATACCACTGCAGTATACCCCTCTCCTGGAGTCGGCGACAGCCTGGTCTGCTGCATTTACATCTCTTTCCTTTGCAATTGCGAGCTGGTAATGTTAATGATGACGATGGAATGGATACCTCAGTTCTCACGGAAAGCCTTGGTAGCCTTGAATGCCTAGAAGAAATTGATAGCAGTAATGAATCCGTGGTATATTGCTTACGCTCTCATCTACAAATCTCACCCGATGCATGCTCCCAACTTCTTCCTCGACAAAACTTTACACGCCCCTCCCCCTGCCTCTTGTGGACCCTCTCGCAATCCCACTCCCTCTCGGCCCGCTCGTCGTACCACCACGCATGGGTATCCCTCCTCTTCCCCTTGCCGTCGGTATGCCTCTCCCCCTGCCGGCAGCCGCAGGTGTCTTCCTCGGGGTCGGCGCTGGGCTGGCCGCGTTCTTGAACTTGCTCGCCGCCTTGGAGCTCGGAGGGTTATCGACAAAGGACGTATCGGTCGTGAGGAACGTAGCATCCACGTCTTCGACGCCTGACGCGCGACGATTGGTTAGGTTGGCGGAGGGATTGAGAGAAGGGTGGTTTTGCGGGCGTTTGAAAGAATCCGGTACCGGTGCCTGCAAACATGTCAGCCTCCACTTTTGCATACCCTCTTCCTCACTCCCCCGAACTTGACTTTCAAAGCCGAGATTGTGGAGCGCGTACGCACCTCAGGAAAATCAACACAAAAAGCATTCATATTCATGCCGTACAGAAACCCGGCAAAGCTCTCGCTGAACCGCGCAAGACTCTCGTGCATAAGCTGCAGCTGCACGAAGTTCTGCTCCAGGTCTGCCATAGCGTCGCTCAGCTCCGCGAAGCCGTCTTGCAGGCCTTCGAGCGCGTTGGAGGAGGAGGCGTTGCGTGAGCGTTGCGCGCTGTCTCGGAGGGAACTGCGTGAGGAGGGGCGAAGAGGTGTGGTTGGGCGCGAGCGAGGGGAGCGCGAGCGTAGGCGTTGGGAGCGAGAGGAGGTCAGTTCTTGGGTGGGTGTTGTTGATGCCATTGTGCTTGTTGGTGTGGTGTATGTTCGATTCGAGTTGTGGTGTTTGTGTCGTCGTTCAGACCATGCGAGAACAATGACTGCGAATCCAAACTCAAAAAAAAAAAAAAAAAAAAAAAAAAACGCCTTCACGTGCCGATTGTTTACCTTGGAGGCTGTCGCGTGAGTGTGTAGAATGTCTCCGAGTCGTGTTTTGGAGATCAACTTCAGCCCGCGGGGTGTTTACCCGACCCTGCATGGTGTTGTGGCTTGAGGGGCATTTTAGCGCATCTGCATCGCAGCATTATGACGCCGTGCCTTCCGCGTCTTGTGCTCCTGCTCGTCACTCCTTCCTCTGAGCTTCGGGTAGCCGCATACGTCTCAAAGCCCTATAAGTGCCAGCCCGCCGCCTAAGCGCTGAGAGCTTCAACTTTCGTCCGGACTTCTCGCTACCCGTCTCTAAGGCGATCCGACATAGCCGGACTAAGCGTAGAATTACAGCATACGGTACATACGCCGTCTGACCTGCTCAGCCACCCCATATTCATGTCACTCCGCGCTCACACGCTGAAGACACTGTTATACGTATCCTCCCCAACATCGACGCATACAGTATCGACATTTGTTAGCGGACGACTTACCCCTTTCGCCCTGCGAAACTTCACTGCCTCGGCCCCCCGCGCTCGGAGACACGCTTTTCGCGAACAAAAACCCCCTCCGGCTTACTCCAAGCAAAGCGGTTCAGGGCTTTGGACTGCTTCTATAGTAGTTGGTCTTGCAATTGGCGGCGCATTACTGGTTCCAATCTTCAGATCTGCTCCAGTCCACAACACCGAAGAACGCACTACTTCGAGCTGCGACCGCACAGATATCACAGACTCGTTCCTCGTCATGGCCACCAACACTCCCGCTGGTCGCCCCGGCACGCTTACGCCGCAGGAAGAGGAGAAGCTGCGCGAACTATGGGCGCTCACAATGAAGGTCTTTGGCGTACACGGATCGCTAGTGGAGGGAAGCAACGGCGTTGAGACGCCGGCAGCTGCACCTGCAGTCACACCCGCCGCGGCAGCACCGGCCGCAGAAAAAGAAAAGAAGAAAAGCAAATTGCACGTTTTCTCGAGGCACAAGAAGGACAAGGCCGACAAGACCGCTGAGTTTGAGTCGACTACAACGTCAGGAACATCGACGCCTGATATTGGACGATTGTCACTCTCAACTGAAGACGACAAGTTTGGTCAGACAGCAGAATTCAAAGCTGCAATCGCAAACATACCGCCAGAGAATCTGCGCACCGCTTTCTGGAGCATGGTCAAGCACGATCATCCTGACGCCCTCCTCCTCCGCTTCTTGCGCGCACGTAAATGGGACATCGAAAAGGCACTGGTCATGATGATCTCGACAATGCAATGGAGACTCGGCGAGATGCATGTAGACGACAAGATCGTCAAGCACGGCGAGCTGGGCGCGTTGACAGAGGCTGCCAATACCACTGATGCTAAGGCAAAGAAGAACGATGAGGACTTCTTGGTACAGCTGCGCATGGGCAAGAGTTATCTACACGGCTTGGATAACGCAGGGCGACCGATGTGCATTGTCCGCGCGCGCCTACACAAGGCCGGCGAGCAGACAGAAGCAAGTCTGGAGAAGTTCACTGTCTACACCATCGAGACAGCGCGCTTGCTCCTCAGGCCGCCGATCGACACTGCTGTAAGTCTTCGAGCGTGCACATGAAGCTGTCATATTTGGGCTAATGCGAACAGACCATCGTCTTCGACATGACCGACTTCTCCATGGCCAACATGGACTACACCCCTGTCAAATTTATGATCAAGTGTTTCGAAGCGAATTACCCCGAATCCCTCGGCACCGTGCTCGTCTACAAAGCGCCCTGGGTCTTCAACGCCGTCTGGTCCATTGTTCGCGGTTGGCTGGACCCTGTTGTTGCAGGCAAGGTCAGCTTCGTCAAGAACGTCGATGAGCTCGAGAAATTTGTGCCGAGAAGCCAGATCCCCAAGGAACTCGGAGGCGATGAGGACTGGGTATACAAGTACCCCGAGCCGGTGCCGGGCGAGAACGACGCGATGAACGATGAGGCGACTAGGCAGTCGATCGAGGCCGACCGCACACAGATCGTAAGCCGTTACGAGTCGACAATACTCGAGTGGATCAAAGCTGGTGCACAGGCAGGTAGCATCGAAGCGAGGAGGAGCGAGCGCGATACCATCGCCGAGGATCTGAGGCAGAATTACTGGAAACTCGATCCCTACGTTCGCGCGAGAACGCTGTACGATCGTATGGGCGTTATCAACCAGGGCGGTCAGCTTGCTTTCTACCCGAAGGCTGCGGCTGCTGCGGCACCAGCAGTGACAGCGACAACGGCGCCAGGAGGCGTGTCCACAAGCGTCGATGACTTGGACTAGGCGTTTAAAGCCACCGCGCGGCGCCTCTTGCCGGAGTTGGACCGCTTCAGGAAAGAAGATGGAATGATGGATGTCGAGGACCCGGCGGTGGTCCTCTGCGCTTGGATGAGCAAAGGCGGCACCGAGTTGCACGACGTTCTCCGAAGTATTTCTCCACCACCGCCAGCACGTCGCCAACGAAGCGAGCAGAGGAGCAATAGACGATTCTGGTTCGGGCGGTCGTCCGTCTCCAGCTCACATTGATTGGCTCGGCGGAAGTTTGCGGCTGCCACATGCAATTCTCGTACGTTGCTGCGGATTCCCATGAGGATCCTTGATCGCATTGTTGGCCGGTTAGCATGGCCGTTATTGTTATCATACGAGTACATAGCACTTAATAAGCACTACCCTTCACGCATATCCACTGGCTCCACTGTACAACGCCATGAAGATCCTGCATGCAATTTGCAACTTTTGCATGATCCTGCCGTACGGCAAGTTTGAGCCGATCAAGCTGCACCACTCATGGGAAGTGAGAGCACTGCCCATGTTGAGCTCTATCTGCATACACCCTGCCCTCTCATGTCGCATGAAATCCGGACGCAAACATCCTATTGCTCTGGACTTTGGGAGGCAGTCAAGAGGGGGCTTTGTGCATCGTTTAGTAGCTGATAACGATACACGAGGCTACAGGTGATTTAGCCTCTAACAGACTGCTCTCTCATTACGATGGAAGATCTCCAGGCTTCACGGTCAGATCAGGTCTGTGGCTGCTGCGCTCGAGCTCTGCAGGGTGGGAGTCAAAACGTCTGATGAGCACCGAGTCATATACCCCAACAGCATCACGTGCGCGTGACTCCTACACAAGCGTTGCAGCACAGCGGTCCTGAACACTGGAAGAAGCCGAAGAACATCGAACGAGCAGGATTCTGCTGACATGCAGCAACGGAGAGAGACCCGCACTCTGCCACACTCACCGCATGAAACAATCGGCCCGTATATCGTCTTGCAGTCTTTCAAGCGTGCACGTTTTACCCGTCTACACTCGAGACTCCACAATCCACTAGCAAAAGAGCCATTCTCACAGCCAGTCCAGTCCGTAGTAAGGCACATGGCCGTGTCCGTATCAAACACGAGGGAAAGCAGCGGTCGTCTCGATAGTGAGTGGGCTGCTTTGGCAGGTGGCATTGCGGATGGTGCCGTGAGGTCGGGCGACGTTGGGCTTGAAATCGTGCACCGATCGTCTTCCATAGTCTTAGACTCAGATAGGACGCTAAGCCAATCAATCAAATCGTGCATCGAGATGCGATATGAGACGCGTTGCATGCGTCCGTACACAGTCCTCTCGACGCGCTTGCGAGCGAAGTATGGCTCTTGAAGATACCAGCCCATGGAAGTGGAAAGTCCTTTCTGGTACTGCTCGATGCGTGCAAGGTCAAAGAAGCAAAACATGATATTTTGCTGGCTATTGTACATTGACATAGATGTACATCTAATACAGCACCCTTCCCAAGTGCAAGCCCTGATAATCGTACAACTGCAACGCTCTAGTCAGAGAACTTGATGCTGCTCCCGCCCTTCTGCCTGCGATCCTCGTGGTTGTTCACCTCATCCAAATGCCTGGCGAACTCGGCATCAGCATCCATCTCAGGCTCGCTGAGCACCCCAGGCGTGCTCACAGCCTCCGTAGCGTCTGCGCCCCTTGCGCCCTTCTTGACCTGCGCAACCTCTGCCTCCTCTGCCTCTGACTCTGGTACGACGAGACCGCGCGCTGGGCGGTAGGTGATCTCGCCTTGAGCGGCGGCGGCGAGACGCTGTTTCTGGCCTGCTTCGCCGGCGCGGCCGAGAACACCGGCGATGACTTGGATGCAGCGAAGACTGGCGTTCGTTAGTTTGTATTCGGGTATAGATTTGGATCATGTCTCACCTGTCATCGTTCGCCGGGATGGGGTAGGTGACCCATGTAGGATCAGCATTTGTGTCAATGACACCAATCGTAGGGATGTTGTTGAGCGCGCACTCGTGCAGCAGGACGTAGTTCTCCAGCGGGTTCAGACAGACAACAAGATCTGGACGCAGCACAGGGCGGTCGTACAGCTGCTCCTCGAAACCGGCGACGTCGGCATCGTGCTCGTTGACGACCTTGGTCTTGCAGCGGCCCAGGATCTGCTTGCCGTTCGTGATGCTTCCGGGGATCCAGCGCTCGAACAGGTGGTACCCCTTGGCTAGCTCGGCCGCGCGAGACACAGCGCGGTCTTGCCCATCACGCGTACCGACGAACAGAACAATGCCACCTCTTCTCGACACCTCCTGGACCACCTTGGCTGCTCGTCGCAGATGCGCGGCTGTGACCTCGAGCGAGATGATGTGTATGCCTTGACGAATGCCGTGGATGTAGCGCGCGTTGGCGGGATTCCAGAGCGATGTCACGTGTCCCTGGTGGGCTTCAGAGGCGAGGAGGAGCTCGAGGGTGACGTCAGCGGGGGCGGGGGGGTTGGTGAGGAGGGTGTGCGGTTGGTAGTGAGGGCTGATGTCGGCGCCCAGTCTGCTCATCTGCTTCGACTGCTGCTTGTGCGCAAAGTATTGCTCTGCCACCTTGCCGACCGAGGATGGGGACGGCGAGGGTTCTGGGGGACTGGGACTGTCGAAGCCCACGCCCGAACGGAATTCACGCTCCCACTTCTCTTCGAAAGTCTTTGGTGGTGCGTCTGCAGTGTCGGGTGTGTGGGTGGAGTAGCATCTTCGCTGGAGCGACCTGCGTGCGAGCGCGGGGGCTGCTCGGTTGGTTAGACGTGGACTAGAGACTACAGGCTACTCCAACATACCCCTCCGCGCGACGAGATGCCGTATGATCATGGTGCTGCTGCTCGACATGTTGATGCTGCACCAACGTGCCTTCCACAAAAGTTCGGGGCCATGTCTTGGCGTTTTCATGCCTTTTCGGTCCGCGGAGAGCACGGCTCAAGAGTGCCGCGCGCCGGGGCAGCGCAAATGTCAGCCGTCAGAACAGGGCGCTTGAGCGCGTCACAGGAGTCCCAGCGCGCCCACCCAGCAAAATGAGCTGATGTGGGAGGCTGAAAATGGAGCAACGCAGCACTCCCGCCCGCCCCGAGCAGCATGGCATTTCACTTTCCGCATGCACACGAGCATTCTGGGCCTAGCTAGCATTTCCCCACCCTGCGCCCATCCCGAAGCTGCGTGTTTCTGTTGTTGCTGTGCTGCCCCACGGGCGTCTGTTCTGCGTGCCGCGTTTCTTTCTTTTCGCCGTGGCCTAACGCAGAGGCGTCCGCTTTGCACCCACGCGAGACCTCTCTAGCTGAGCCCTAACACGATCACCCACAACCATATACTCATCCCCCCCCCCCCCCCCGGCTGTTCTGCAGGGTGGCGCCGCGCGCTGCTTCCTCGCCTTGGATGTCGCTTGCAGTGCTCTTCACTGTTACAACCCCCCGCTGCCGCCGCCCGCACCCGTCCCTAGACCGCCTCGACGGCTGCGACACCTGACACGAGCCTATCGATGACCACGACTAGCTGTCTGCTGCTACCCACCGCACCGATTGAGCGCCCGGGTGCCTGCCCGCCATGAACGGCTACCCCTACTCGTCCCAGCCCTATCCGGATGGGACCAGCAATGGCGACGGCATGCTGGACCTGAACGGCGGCGACATGAGTGCATACGGCGCTGGAGGCCCCGAGGGGCAGTCGCTCGATGACATTGTCTCGCAGAATGACAAAGCGAACCGCCGACGGAGCATGCCTGTATACGCACGCCAGCCCCAACAACCGCACCAGCAGTCCATGCAGATGACCAGCCCGACGCGCAGCATGTCCATGATGAGCTTCGGCGACCTCAAGGGCGGCTCCATGGACGACTTCGCCTTCGACATGTCTGCGACGGCGGGCATGGAGAACATGATGCGCAACAACAGCTTACCCAGACCCACCGGCGATTTGCACCCCGATGGGATGCCGGGCGCAGATCTTGCCATCAAGACGCAGTTCTCAAACGCCGCCTCGCCCTTCTCAACCATGGCCGCGCCCTTCTCAACCATGGCCACGCCCGGCTCCAACTATGCCTCGCCCATACACGCGACTGCAGACCTCGACATGGGCATGAGCGCGTACCCCAACGCCATGAACATGTCGCTGGACATGGACGACTCGCTCAACAGCATGATGCAGACAGACATGAACATGTTTGGAAACAACCAGTTCAACCCCCAGATGATGGGGTCACCCATCAACACGAACACAACGCCTATCAACCAGGGCACCGAGTTCGTTGGACCCTTACCTGCACCCCAGAGAGGGTCCAACCTAGTCGGCCAGCACCAGTTCGGTGGCATGCAACCTCAGAATCAGAATCAGAATCAGAACCAGAACCAGAATCAGAACCAGAACCAGAACCAGAACCAGAACCAGAATCAGAACCAGAATCAGAACCAAAATCAGAACCAGAATCAGAACCAAAATCAGAATCAGAACCAAAATCAGAATCACATCCATTTCAAGAGTCGCTCCATGAGCAATACGCCAGATGGTCGATCAGCCCCATCTCTTCCCAGCCGCCAAAATAGTCAGGGCCAGGAACAGAGTCGGTCTAGCAGTGCTAGCCAACATCGACCGGACACCAACAACTCAAACGCAGCGACGCAGCTGAGTCTCAAATCCCTCGAGAACCAGCGGCCAATAGCACAGGATCCAACAGAAGATCTCTCCCACGAAAAACTCGAGCACATCAAGAACCTGAAGTTACCCTGGGGAGAACCAGCGGGCGGCTTCCCTTCGACCATGCACTCCAACCCCCACATGAAGACCCAGTTCAAGAACGCATACTCTTCATCTGGCTTCGACATGCTTAGCGTCCTCATGCGGGTAGCCACAAGACCGAATCCACAGATTGACATTGGCTCCGTGGACTTGTCGTGCGCTTTCGTCGTGTGTGACGCTGACATGGATGATATTCCAATCGTCTACTGCTCGGAAAACTTCGAGCGTCTTACCGGTTACACCAGGCACATGATTCTCGGCAGGAATTGTCGTTTCCTTCAGTCGCCTGACGGCAAGGTCGAGCCCGGCATCAAGCGGACCTACGTTGACGATGATTCGATTCTCTACCTGAAAAACACTATCAGCGCAGCGACAGAGGCACAGATCAGTTTGATCAATTACAGAAGAGGAGGGCAACCGTTCATGAATCTTCTCACTATGATCCCAATTTCATGGGAACCCGGTGGAAAGGTGAAGTTCTTCGTTGGATTCCAGGTCGATCTCGTCGAGCAGCCTGGTGCAATGACGAACAAGAACGCAGGTAAGATTCTTCGCTTTCTTTTGTCTAACATCGAACTAACAGCGGACGAGATGGATCATACAGGGTCAACTACCAACGCGGCATGTCCATGCCAAGCTACGTTTTCAACGATGCTTCCAAACCACAGCCTGAACAAGGTCAAACCATCTCCAAGGACGAGGTTTCGAACGTGCTTGCCTCCTACAGCGGTTCAGGCGATTCCGAGATCACTCGACGCATATGGGACAAGGTGCTCCTCGAAAACACGGACGATGTTGTGCACGTACTGTCCCTCAAAGGCTTGTTCATGTACTTGTCACCTTCCAGCAACAGGATACTGGAGTACGATCCTAGCGAGCTTGTTGGAACCGCTCTTTCTTCTGTATGCCACCCTAGCGATATTGTGCCGGTCACGAGGGAACTTAAGGAGACTACCAACGGTGGGTCGGTCAATGTGGTATTCCGTATTCGAAGGAAGAAGAGCGGCTACATGTGGTTCGAGGGTCACGGCTCGCTCCATACTGAACAGGGCAAGGGCCGCAAGTGTATCATCCTGGTTGGTCGCGAACGCCCAGTCTACACGCTGAGCAAGTCCATCGTCCGCGAATCGGGAGGTATTGGTGACAATGAGCTCTGGACGAAGATGTCAACATCAGGCATGTTCCTATTCGTCTCATCGAACGTACGCCAGCTACTTGACCGACAGCCCGAGGAGCTTGTAGGAACAAGCATGCAGGCACTCATGCGCCAGGACTCCAAGATGAACTTCGGCCGCATTCTTGAGCTCGTACGAGGTGGGAGAAAGGGAGAAGTGAAGCATGAGATGATCAACAAAAGGGGACAGGTATTACAAGCGTTCACCACACTGTACCCTGGGGATGCCACCGAAGGCCACAAACCGACGTTTGTCGTTGGACAGACTCGACTTCTGAAGTACTCAAGGAACAGCAACGGTCAGCGACCGTCGATCTACCAGACGAAAGAGCACAATTCGCAAAGCTCGCTGCAACCGCGGTTCAACAGCGCCTCACCACTGCCTGGCTCCATGCCTGCATCTACATCTGTCACCACCGGGTCTATGGTCGCATCACCCAACCCAAACTTCAACACAACGGAGACACATAGTACTACATTTGCCGGTCACAACGGGTTGTCGGTTGGTCACCAGGATCAGAGCTTGGCGTCAGACGACAACGTGTTCGATGAGCTGAAGACGACTCGAAGCACAAGCTGGCAGTACGAACTCCGACAAATGGAGAAGCGCAACCGGTACCTGGCAGAAGAGGTGCAAAGTCTACTGGCTGCCAAGAAGAAGAGGAAGCGCAGAAAGGGCGCTGGGCAGATGCAGAAAGACTGCGCCAACTGCCACACGCGAACAACGCCTGAGTGGCGGAGAGGACCGTCTGGCAACAGAGACCTGTGTAACTCGTGTGGTTTGCGATGGGCCAAGCAGGTATGTTAGCCAGCTTACTGAGTCTGGCGACGGCATGACTAACCCCTGCACAGCAAGGCCGCGTGTCACCGCGTACATCATCTGCGGCGAGCGACAAGAGCAAGAAAAGTAATGCCTCGCCCCGACACATGCAGAGCCACCAATCCATCCTCCCCCACGTTGTTCCTTCCGAGACTGGTCAGCTGTCCTCCATCCAATCGACCCTTGCGCCAACCGCCAAACGTACGCCCGAACACGCTGGCATCAAAGACCACCACGCCGCCAAGCACGCGCGTGCTCAAGTCACGGCTTCCCAAGGCTTCATCCCTCCACCCAAGATTGACGAGGAGTAGCGTCAACTGGCTTTCTTCACTTCTGTTTTATTTCTCCAGGCCCGGTTGTTTTCTAGTCTTGACGATACCCCACGCACTTCTCTTTCGCCATCCTTTCTTCAACTCATGCGGCTTTCGTGCTATCGACACTTTAGCGAGCCTTCACTCTATCTACGAAATAGATCGCAGCTTTCTTGCTTGTAGCGGATCTCGAGAGGAACTCTTTACTCTTGGTTGGAATGTTGGGGGGACAGCTATGTAGATGCCATATGTCTTCCAGAGCAGCGAAAACGTGTACATATATATCTTAGCTGGAGGGGTCTGAACGTATCAGAGCGAATGAATGAATTGCTAACCAACAAACCTATCCACTTGCGAATCCACATGGACATGCACTCCTTTCCGATACCCTGGACCCAGTGGAGCGTGCTCAGATCATGATCACCTCGTGGTCTGTCGGCTATCGAACTGTGATCAGTCTTCACCGCCTTCATCAGGAGATCCCTTTGTGTTGCTAGCACTCTTCAGACCAATTCCCACAACCTCTTCGGCGCGAACCAGCAGAGTTGAAAGGCAGGTACCCCTCGGCAAGGCTGCAGGTACAAGGCACGGCATCCTTGCAGACACGAGTCGGTACCGAAGACTGCAGGCACCCGACGCTTGCAGCAGCACTCCGCGAACAAGGAAACACCCTAAGCTTCACATGCAGTCGCTTTGTTTCTTCACCTTGCAGCTCATCATCACAAATGATTCGGCGCTCAGTCTGGAAAGGTTTGGTAAACGGTTGGGCGCACAAGCGCAAACCTTCGCGGAGATCATGCCGGCGTCCAAGGTTGCAAGGGTGCAGCTGGGCCTCGTCGCCCATACGAATTGATCGCCGCCAGGAACCTCACGCCGTGGACTCACTCCTTTCGCAATCCTTACCCGCTGGCTGATACCCTGGGACACCCTCGTTTTCTTTTTGATTGCTTTGTTGACTAGCACGTCTCCTTTCTTTTGTTTGTTTACGAGACATCCGCCGCGCTGCGACACCGAGCTTGCGACACCGGGCTGCGACACCGGGCTGAGCAAGCTGAACCTTGAGACGACGTACAGTACCAGCCGCACGAAGGCGTAAGAACGAGGCATTGCGAGCACGCGCAGAGACGGATACCGGATCGCGATACAGCCCACGCTCTTTACATGCGCAATCGCCAGAGAGCAGAGAGGACAGCCGCCATGGAAGAGCAAGATCGCATCACCATAACCATCTGCGGCGACGGAGGATGCGGTACGCCCACAACCTCAGCGCCCCCAATCGCACACCACGCTGACACTATCCAGGAAAGAGTTCCATAACCCTCCGCCTGGTCCGCTCAGAATGGACATCAGAGTAAGCCGCCCACGCATCCTCCCTCGACCCAGCTAACGCGCCCAGCTACGACCCCACAATCGAAGACTCGTACTCCGTAACCCGCGCCGTGGACGGACACTCCTACTACCTGATGCTGACCGACACGGCGGGGCAGGAAGAATACCGCGGCCTCTGGGCAGCCTCAAACCTGCAATCCGACGCCTTCCTGCTCGTGTACGACATCACATCGCCCAACTCGCTCGACGCACTCGACTACTTCATAGAGATGATCGACATGGAGACCGAGAACCGGCTGGACAACGGCAAGGTCCCGCCGGTCAAGATCGTGGCCGGAAACAAGTGCGATCTGCAGAGCATGCGCGCGATTGAGGCGAAGAAGGGGTTGGAGTGGGCGCGCAAGAGGGGTTGTGGGTTCATGGAGACGAGCGCCAGGGAGATGGTTAATATTGAGGAGACGTTTGCGCTGCTGGTTAGGAGGGTGGTCGAGGCGAGGACGAATGATGGGAGAGGAGGAGCGGGAGCCATGTCGTACCCTCAGACGCCTAAACTGCCGTCAACGGGAGGCGAGAAGGCGACACGGCAGCTGGATGCGGGGGGTGAGGACGAGAAGCAGAGCTTCTGGAGTAAGCTGAAGTGCTGGTAGATGGGTTGGGCATGAGGTTGCATAGGAAAGGTTTGGTGGGATGGGAAAGGTTTGGTGGGTTGGGATGGGTTTGGTGGGTTGGGATGGGTTTGGTGGGTTGGGATGGGTTTGGTGGGTTGGGATAGGTTTGGTGGGTTGGGATAGGTTTGGTTGGATAGGATCGTGGGATTTGTGTACTATACCCGGTGGATGGCACTCTTTGGGCATCTCTTTTGTACGTTCGGCAGAGGGCATCAAGAGCGGATCGTGTGTTTTGTCACTATATTGGAGCGTGACGCTGTGTGCAAGACTGTTCAAAATTGCATACTTGAGATCCAACTGAGTTCCATTTGGATCACGTTCCCTGATCACAGCTACCACTGATATCCCACAGGGCAGGTCCGGACACAACGCAGCAGCTACTAGACTCAAGTCAATGAGCGTTCCGATGATGTTCAAAAGATATCGAGCCGTCACAGTATGGAGGCATACTACACTCTTCCACAAATTCCCACTCAACCCCGCAACCCTTCATCTCGCTACCTCGCACCTCAAGATGATCCCGCAAAGCCATTACCTACAGTATATCAGCACCGTACAAACCATCAGTGCAGATAATCCAGCGCTGCACAGTGCCAGTCCAGTCCTCACTACAGCAAGACTTCAGACTAGGTTCTCCACTGCAGGATCATTGCTTACTGGATATGAATCATGCCTAGCGCCACCGTACGACAGATCACAAAGTACTGGGATAGCTACTGTGGTCCTTTGGATCGCACTCGCTCTACGGAGGCAGTGGGGATGACGCGTGGGGCGAAGGTAGAGGCCGTCGTCTTCTTCGTGCGTGGACAATTTAAGCGTAAGGTTCGGGAAGAGTGTGTGGTGTGCGGTGCCGATGTTGTTTTGCGTTGGTGCTGAGGAGATCTAGGGAGCATTGTTGCATTTTTCAGTCTAGGTAGCAGGAGTGAGCACTGTACTTTGTCTAGTATGTGCGAGCATGAGTTGGTGCGTGTTGCAAAGAAGTGTTCGGCATCATTTCAGTGAAGATGTCAATCCAGAGCTTTTGGAGATTTTGGAGATATAACTGCTGGTCGGTGTTGTTGCACTGTTGCAACGCGAGCGAAAGCCGTTTTTCATGGAGTAATTCACCAGGGACATTAGGTTCAAAATCTGTAGAGAAGTGAGAAGGGCGCAGCATGGTCGGTACTGTAGGATTGTTGGTTTTCATGACTCCATTGCTACCGAAAGATATCCTCAAAAGTCCATGTTGATATTGTGCTTTGCAAAAATCTAGGGACCCCCTCTGTTTGGTAGCTCAAGAAGAGCATACCAAGAAGTCGAAGTAGGGGGGGCTTGATCGGAGGATATATATGTGGGCTTCTCCACGTGCTAGACCCTGAACCAGACCTTCACCACCACTCGAAAGCCACGGACATAGCAGAGGTCAGGTCAACGTCACCGTTCTGTCTAATTTCTTCCCTCTCAACCACTACTCCTCTTCTCAATTTTGGCTGTTCCTTAACGTGCATCCATCTACAAGCATCACCAGCATACTCAGCTTGACAAGGCGATTAATTAGATACCCACATCACGTATCCGCCCCCTCCTCTTCTCATAGTTGCCTATATGGGCATAGTTCTTTGCCAAAGGAGGGGGTCCCAATACTTTTGCAAAGCACCGATAAATGGGACAGTGAATGAGAGGTTCGAGCGGAGCATCGCAACGCCACTGTAGGGTCACCCACTTTCTCCCGCCTATAATTTCGTATGAGATCACGCATGGATCTGCAAAGAGTATCCATGCTTTAGGCGTGGGCGAAGGCTAAGGTCGTTTGGAGTTGCATATTGATCCCAAAAAGGTATGTCGGTACGAGGCAAGGCTGCAGGTGCGACCAAGATATCAAATGCAGGTACTCTTCTCCTCCAGGTCACCATCGTGTTGCTGTGGCTTCAAGAGTTCACCTGTGCGGTGTGTGTTCCAAGATGACATCAGCGATTGTGCTCATGGAGGTGGCCATGGTGGTGTACACTTTCTGAGGATGTGGACATGACCGAGCAACGTACATGCCCATATTATCAGTCTGGGAATTTTCTTAGAGCCTAAAACCATCGGAGAGCTATGCCCGACTTCCCTCCAAGATGACAGTTCTCTGATCTGTTCTCAAAGTTGGCACTCGGATCCTAGATTTCACCTGGCCATCCGGTGAGCCGCTGTCTTACCTCAAGTACACTGCGGTGTCGTACTTGCCCAAGTCCCGGAGCTCCCTTGCAATGATACATTGCCCGTATGTTATCAATGACATCACTAAGCTATGCAGAGTTCAAATTATCTATTGTGCTCCACCGAATCAGAAGTGTTGGGCCCCTTCTAGCTAACAAGTATCTGAGAGCCCCTGAGCCTCAAATTCTATCTCCTGTTGATTTGCTAACACATACAGCCGGAAAATGACCCGTGACCTTCGTTACACTGTGTTATTGCGGAAGTGACCAGTCAACGACACAGGATCAGGTCCACGCGAGCTTCTATCGCATTGTAGGGCAACACAGACCACAGTCTACGCCACCATATGGAGCGACGACAAGAGCGCTGCGTCTACTCAAGTTTACTTACGGGGCACGCTGTGGGGAAGCGGCTCATTGGGCCCTGTCAGGGTGTGCTCCATCAGTGCCTTCCTGTGCAGGGATTGGCGTTGGATAGAACTGGTTCGACGTTTTCTGATATTCTTGTAGGCTTCATGGCTGGCTGGAACTTCTTCTTATACGAGGCGCTCCTCATTCCATTTGAGATCACAGCAATCAATATGGTGCCCAACTTCTGGAAAGATGACATTCCCGTCGCAGCCGTCTGTGCCGCAATCATCGTGCTATATGCGTACGACCTCCCCTCCTCATCTTGAGCCATCGTCGCCCTAGCAGAGCTAAAAGCTTCCAGAGCCTGTAATATCCTTGCAGTAAAGGCCTACGGTGGAGCCGAATTCTGGCTCTCAGGTGGCAAAGTCATCTTGATCCTCATCCTCTACGCATTCACCTTTGTTATCATGGTTGGCGGAAATCCACCAAAAGGTCCTTACGGCTTCGGAGAGATCCTGGGCCAATGAACGCACATGGCAACAGAGACCTGGGTCGCTTCGAGGGGTTACTGGGATCCCTTCGGGCGGCTTCCTTCTGCATTGTTGGACCTGAATGCATCTCCATGGTAGCTGGCGAAGCAAAACGCCCACGCACTTATATCAAGATGGCTTACAAACCCCTCTACTACCGGCTCAACTAGCAGAGGGATGTGGAGAGGCGAGAGCAAGCCAATGCAAACCAAATTTAGTCCTGTAAGCTGAGATACGGATGGGACCAGTGTGCTATGAGGGATTTCAGCGACATCGTCTGTATATATAGTCGCAATCTCAACTTGTAGCTTATATCTCAATGCCGTGAAATATCCGGTTTTCCAAAAACCCATCCCTCGATGGCATGTTTTAAGATCCCAGTCCAATATCAAATCCCTCGCAAACCCGACTCTTTCGTCTAGCTGATCATACGCATAGTAACCTCAACCGTCGCAAACGTTCCAGCACTAACCGGCATAGCCCTCAATAACGTCGGTCCAATGCCCTTCCAAAAGCCCCTTGCACCTTCCTGCGCCCACACCTTAGCGAAGCAGTCGCGCATGCTCTTGTACTTCTGATCCTTCCCGAATCCATCGCTCTGCATCTTGCTCTTGACAACGTCGAACGGGTAGCTGCTAATCCAGAGCATCTCTCCCGCAAGGCCGCCGTATGCAGCGACTTTCAGGGTCGAGATGTCTTCGCGCTTGATGTTGTTGCGCGCGGCGTCGGAGTTCATTAGGTATTCGAAGGTGGTGAACCAAACACCGTAGGCTTGCGCTTCTCTGAGGAACGTGACGGCGGTTCCGCGGTATACACCGCCGAGCACGCCTTGGTGTGCAGAGAGCTTGCGCACGCAGTCGATCGGGCCATTGTAAAGACGGGCGGACCCGCTGGGCTGGGTCTGCAGTCGGATACGGATGTGCTCGATAGGTGAGGAGAGGACGGTGTTCGCGATACCGGCGAAAGCACCGGCGGCGTAGTATTGCGAGTATGATAATGCGCCGCTGCCGGTCTTTGCTGTGTTCTGAGCCTCGAAGTAACGGCGCGCGAAGTTGAAGCCACCAAATTGGACGGATACACAAGCTCCAATACCAATCAGTGGTGTCAGTGTGCCCTTGTAGAAAGCAAGAGCCCCCTCGTTCTTGTAGATGCTGGTGGCAGCGTTGAGGGCACCGGAGTATTGTGATGTGGTTTGTAACCTGACCTTGACGATGTCGAAAGGTTGACCAAGGAGGACCTGTGCTACACCTCCTACTGCGCCTGCGAAAAGGTCCTTTGCTATTCTCCCTGACCCGGACTCGGGGTGTTCTATCTCTTGATCGACCTTAGAAACCATTTTAATTGCTTTCTCGGCGCCTTCAACTTCTCAATGCCTCTACTCCGCTATCGCTCCAAGATCCCAGCTCTTATCAACAGCGCACGAGCCCAGCGGGGTTCTCTCAATGTCCTGTCTCTTTCACGGCTCACAATTGCGTGTAAAAAGAGCAATTGACAAGTTTTCAAATCTGAAAACGATATTGTAGTAGATATGCACTTGTGATGTTGAAGATGCAGTCGCATCGCGTTGTGCGGAAAACTATCGACATTCACCAATGACGATGGCGTGCTCCACGCACAGACGCGGTTGACGCTGGCGCCGCCGACGGAAAGGAGTCGCATGTCTCGATGAGGCTGTACTTTCCTTTCCTGCGCTGGCCTTGGGTTTCCGTCGCGCATTGGTGTTATGCTCCAACTGGAAAATAGCCTAAGTATGAGTTGACCGCCATTCTCGTCGACATGAGATGTCAGGATGAAGCTGCAAGTGGGTGCTGCGCCGCTCGGTACCAAGTGTTGGACATGATGCAGGGTCACTGCGCCTCCAAATCGATCTGCCTCCTTCCCCGCATTTTTTCCAGTACATCTACAAGGACAGGATCCTTGCCAAATCCATTTGAAGATGGTTTGAAGGTAACTCTTCAATATGTCAAAAGAGGCTGGTCCTCCAATGTGAGTACGCGGAAAGTGCCACCCAATCACGAGTGCTTACTATCACAAGCGTTAGTGGTGAAGTTGCTCGAGTCATAGTTCAAGAACTGCAAGCCGACGATTCTTCCGAGGAAGACGATACTGAGCAGGATGATGAACGGCCAAAAGACGTTGGTGGGTCGTGAAGGTAGAAGAAATGACAAATCCAACGGAAATAGAACCAGCGAACCCCACGGTAGTAGACTTGGAAAACCCTTGAAGAAGAGGAAGCCGAACACACAGGTGCTGAGGGAGAGGAACTCCCGTTCCCAAGTTTCATTGCAATCCACAGTCGACAAAATTTACCTTGTTGGGAAGGTTCGAACCAGCCATCCATCTTTGGAACCAAGACACATAACAACACAAACAAACAGAACTCCTGTTATTATTGCGGCATCTTCTAAGTGTTCGACTACACATTAGAGGGTATTCTACGGACTCCAAGCCAAAAACATCCGGCGCATATCCGAACCACGACATCCAACACTGGATGGCCTTTCGTGTGAGTGAAGCGACAACACCATTGACGGTTCGACCACTGACAAGCTAAGGTTTTAGGGTGAGACTGTCAGATTTCGCGTCATCTTAAAGGCCTCCCATAAACCTGTCGCCCCCAGTGATAACAATTCCACCGGCAACAACAACGTCAAAGTCGAAGAAGTCATGCGGCTCCTTCGAGCAATATCATCGACCAGCTCATAGACGCTACAAGACCTGTAGAGGACGACCGAAGTTTGCACGAACACTTTCAATATCCACATGGCCGCTCTGGCAGAAGTTTCGGAGCACTTTAAGTCGCAGCTGGCAGAATCCTCACCTGTTGAAATTCCTTGGAGATCAGTTCACTATTTCGTCGTCTATGTGCATTGGCTGCACACAAGAAATCCCTGACTTGGTCCGTCGTGATGTAGCCGATGCTGGAAAGGTCCACGAGCGCCTTCATCTGACAAGACAGATTTTTCTTTGGAACCAGACTTCAAGATGAACAATTCATTGGTCTGGCATTGGTACATTCTGGGATCTGTGCAGAACCAACCCTTTACACCCTCCGAATCTGGAGAGTGTCCGAACCATATACAGCATAACCTCGAAAGGACGCCAGCTTCGAAAGTCCATAGTCATTGCGTTCATCTACGCGAAAGGAACGAACCTTTCCTGATAACCCGGCAAAGGTAACCGGAGTGAAGTTTGTGGAGGATCTTGCTCTGAGGCTGATTGCGAATCTCTCCCTTGCGCCGGGTCAGAATTGGTTGACGAAGTATTCGAAGCCTAATCCGGAGTTTTAGCGAGACGTTACAATGGACGTCAATGCAGACTAGGAGGAACATCGCTTTGTTTGTATGTTCGCGTATATAGCGTTGGCGGATGGTGTCTCTTATGTTCTTGCAATCTCGATCTGTCGCGTTCAAATAGTGTACCTGAACCTTGGGCTGTCATCGCCCATCTCTGCAGTCTCTTCCTCGCTCTTGCCTTCCGTCAGATGATCTTCTTCGCCCTTTTCACGTCGTGAGTTCAGCATACCGAGATATGCCCACAAGATAGCGTAACAGGCAAGGGAGAAAGCGACCATGGCCATGGTGACGGCGTGACCTTTGATAAAGCGTGGGCCTTCTTTCGCAGGATACAACTGGGACAGATCAGTACATGAGAATTTGGTGTGATGATGGACGACTTACAAACGACGACATAATACCGGCACAGTTACCGATTGAAAGCTGCAAGCCGGTCGCACTCGTACGCTTCCCGTATCTCGGCAGATTCGTAGGCAACCAAGCGAGCGGGATACCGACGCACACGTACAACCCCATAGCGACCAAAAAGCACCCTGCGTAGTGCGTCGCCGAGCTGCTCGGACTGATGAGCATGGCATACCCAATGATACTGACAACACCCAGCAGGATGCTGTAGAAAGCGCGTTTCTGCTGCTTATCCGAGAAATGCGCAACAATGAGGTAGGTGATAGCACCCAGAGCGTAACAGGGAATCGTAAGGACCTGCACCATCGCACTCGATGCCTTCGGCATGATAGCACGGATGATAGTAGGTAAGAAGGTCGAGAACCCATAAAGCATGGTGTCAGATCCGAATTGCGCAAAGCAGAAAAGCCAGACCTTCCAATCCTTAAAGCACTTCCTAACATCTTCCCAGTGGAACTCAGCCGCCTTCTTTGTGTAGCCAGTCTGGCGTTTGAGACGAGCAGCCGCAAACGCCTTCTCCTGATCATTAAGGAAGTACGCCGTTTCCGGCTCATCAGGCAATATCCACCACGTCGCAATGCCGAGGACAAAAGTAGGAATACCTTCGAGGATCATGATCCAGCGCCATCCGCTTTTCCCAGCGATGCCGTCCATGTGACCGATCGCATAGGCCAAAAGACCACCACAGGCACCGGCGAGCGCAGCAGAGACGAATAAGTATCCAATGCGTAGGGCGAGTTCGCGCTTGGTGTAGAAGAATGTCAGATAGACAGCCATGCCCGGGAAGAGACCGCCTTCCACGGCACCGAGGAACAAGCGGCATGCGATCAGTCCCCCGTAGCTTTGCACAATGCCTGTCAGTGTTGCGATGATGCCCCATGAAACGGTAATGAATGCGATCCAACGCGATGGTCGGAGTTTCTTCAGTACCAGGTTGGAAGGGACCTCAGAGAGAATGTAGGTGACGAATAGAATCGATACAGCGGTCTGGAATTGAGTTGAGTCCATGCCTAGGTCTTCTTCGAGTCCATACAGGCGGGCGTTGCCAATATTTACTCTGAGCTTGAGTTAGTACATGGCGTCGATTAGTGCGAACTTCTTGAGAAGCTTGTCAAGCTGGATGAAGCTTGTTTCTTTCGCACTTCGAAATCAAGGAAATTGATGCTTGATCTCGGCACTCACCTGTCAAGGAAGCTGAGCAGGTACAGCAACATCACAACAGGGATGATGAAGGCATCGAGCTTTCGAACGAGTTTCGCCTCAAACGCGGGATCAACTTCTCCCAGCTGTCTTTCAATTTCATCGCTCTTCGTCGAATGAGGAGCATGAGGGTCCGCTCCGTCGTACTGCTTCTCGATGTCGCTCATCGTGGCGTTGATTTTTTCAAGAGTCGAGAAATTTGGTTGACAGATGAGTCGGCGTTACGTCAAATTGTTGGTGGGGTCTTGTGCCCGCTGCGCTGGAGTGCGAAAGGACACAAACTTGGTAGTTGTAGATGGCAGTTCTTTTGTCTCAGAAGCGCATCTTGAAACCGAACGTAGGAGCCGTCATGGTCACGTACCCTCTCTCGCCACGAGCAGATGTCTTCCTCTTAAATCTTCGGACTTAGAGTAAGACCCACCTAGAGAACGGCAGATCGAGGCGCGGGGCTGGACCAACGAAGAGTGGCGCTAGCCGCGTTCGGTATGACGTCTTCTTCCTCGCTGATACGGCACGATGAAGAGATAACCACTGATATGACTGCGCTGATGCCAAGGTGAGTACAGTGCTGCCATGGCCCAAAGTTGGGGAACTGCAACATCAGAAGATGGGGGTGCTGGATGCTGACGTTGGGCGCCTTGAAAACCAGAAAGTTGCACCCGCGTTTCTTCGAACTTCGAAGTGGACCGTGTCTGTTTCGTGTCTACTTAGCAGGCTTTCACGACCACTTTAGCCTCAGCTTGAAATGATTCCGGATTCTAGGCTAATATTGACGATGTGTAAATGGGCCCTGTCAGCCTCGCATTCTGCTTCATGCCCCTCGCCCGAGCTTCCCCGGGGTGCCACAACGACGCACTGCGTGGGTGCTCGAATGACCACACGTTGAGGCGAACAAGTTCCCTACTACTCGTGTCTATTGCAGTCTCAAAGATCTGTCTGAAAGTCAATGTGATCCCGAAAATGCTTCTCGTCCCATGGGAGCTAGGGCAACCCTTACTGTCTCTAATCAGAACTCATGATTGATTCACGAATCTGCAGCCTTAGGTAGCCTCTTCTGCAGAACATTCTATTCACATTTCACGAAGTCTATGAAGCATACCCGCCTGGACCGGAAGTTTGAAACATAGCTGCATGTACCAGAGCCGACGAAGCATAGCTAGAACTTGAGTTCTCCCAATCCATAGGTAAGACAATGCCGCTATAGATGTCGATTCCTGCCGAAGGATCGACCGGCCAGATAAGCTCATCCCGTGGTATCTCGATCTCACCTGTCGAGTCGGGCTCCACGGTGACGGTACTTGACGGCATAGCTAACGTCGATCGAGCAACGGCACGTACATCCTTCGCCATGGCCTTGCCTAGGGCCCATATTGATCCCATGGCATTCAGAAAGCCGATACTCAGCTTGACACGATCACGAGCTATGGACAAGGCATGGTCTTCGAGTAGATTGTTGCAAGCTGAGATCTGCGCGGTGGCGATCTGTGCGCATATGCACATGCTGAAGACGCTGTGCTTCTCGATGGTACATGGGATTGCGAGGAGTTTCGTCTGAATCTCTGCTACTCTGAGTGCACGTGCTGTATGTGCGCTTCGTCCGGTTGCAGGCGGTATCGAGAATGGTGCCGGTGCCGAGAAGGCTGTTGTGGAGAGCTCCGCTTTATTGTATATCAAAGAGGAGAAGGGCCGGTGCATTGTCATCAATACACTACTACTGTCAGTTACAACTATGTGTAGTGCGGTGAACAGCATACATTGCTCCGATCATGTGAGCCGTATAGATAACTTCGTCAACTGTTCCGTCCTTTCGCATTGGGTCTCTCTTGACGGAGGGAAGCAGCGAGTGCCAGATAGCTATCTTCGCATCCATGGTATCAATAAGCTCTCTGCTGAACTGTGAAGAGGTGGCAAACATATTCATCACTGTGTGTTGTTAGTGAGGTGTTACGCATGCGAACGTATTTGTACCATAAGGGAAAGTATTAGTACCATAAGCGACAGTCCTGCACATGTCATGAAGATATGCAATGGAAGAATATACCACTTCAATATCTGCAAGCTCTCGATTCTCCATCTCCTGATAAGTCGCTGGAGTTGGTATTTGCTGTATTGTTAGCCGAAGCATATGTTTCGGTAGCCTGTTGACTTACCCCGGCTTCGTAAAACTCGTCATCGCAAGGTAGATCAACACTAATCGGCATATTGGCAAGTTGGTATATAGGTGAGTTCATCACTATGGCAAAGTGTTGATCGGTGATTGACAGCATGTACCAAGTTCTTCTCCATGCCTCTTCCAATACCGGATTCCCTTCGCCCCATAGACGGGCAAAATCTCGTTTGTTCATATCGAGCTCCAGTGCAATCAAGATTGCCAAATCCAGTATCTTTCGCGACTCTGGTCGCATATCTTGGTGATGCTGAGCGATCGCGAAGAGCATCAGAGCTTGAACTGTGAATGGCGTTCGTGCCAACGATGCCGAGCTCATGGCTTCTAGTGCTGCTTGGTAGTACGTCTCTGATGGGCACCATGATGCATAGAGAGACCCGATCCACTCAAGAACTAGCAGCAGATCACCTAGCGCGTGATTCGCAAGCATTCTGTATGACTGGAAGAACTCCAGGGGAAGGACAATCGGGAAGGCAGGCCAGAAGTATTCGTAATACAGCTCCAACAAGCGATCATCACTGATCTGAAAGGATAGTGTTGATGAAGTGGGAGACTGTCGTTCCTGTATGTGGAGGCTCTCTATGGAGGGTATGCTCGACGATTCGCTGTAGATAAGATCATCGCCTTTTGAAGAAGACATTGGTGTTGTGTATGAAGCAGACCCTTCGGCTGAAGCCGACTCTTTTAACTTCTGTTTGGCTTCTTCGGCCTCTTTCTGCAATCTTAAGCGCCGTCGTGCAAGTGCTGCCTTATCAAGTCCTCCGCGTCGAGACTTCTGATAGACACACTGCTTTCCGTCCCGTCTGCATCTGTTGCATGCCGGCTGATTCGAGTCACACTTGACGTGTCTGCTTCGACACTGTACGCAAGCCAATACAACACGCTCGATGCGCTTTGCGTCAGGCGGTGTATCCATGTTGGACCTCAAGCGAATCAGAGAGCTTTGTCTGTCGAACGGTCGCCTCCGAATGTGCTAAACTGACAAAATCATCCAAGTGTAATCAGGTTCAAGTCGGACCGTTATGAGGAGATGTTGTCTGAATTTCAAGGTAAGTCAATGTTATCGTAATCCGACAAAGAGCGAGCTGAACGCCTTGCGGGGCTAAGTCAGGGTTGTTCGGCTAAACTCGGAAGTGTAACTGGAGCTGTAAACGGAAGGTCGCTGCATCCTTCACTGATGATAACCTAGATCTATCTGAATCTAAGAGGCCGTGTGAAAGTGGCCAGAGGTGTTTTTTGTAATTCTCACAGGTACAGTGGCCTATAATCCCAAGCTCTCGCCGCCATCCTTTCTCGTCTTCGGCACGATCTTCAACGAGAAATCCACATGAGGAACACCCTGGTGTATGCTGCTCGTGCTCACAATGTCGATGTCTCCACAGACATACTTCTCAACGTTGTACTCTGTCAGACCTCCACTGACCTCGACCAAAAATGTGTTCCTGTCCCCTGTGCCTCTTCCCCACTTCTCCTTCAACTGTGCAGCCGCAACCTTGACACCGTCTGGCGTGAAGTTGTCCAACATGACGATGTCAGCGCCAGCGGCGATTGCTTCGTCAGCCTCCTCGAAGCTCTGGCACTCCACTTCAACCTTGGTAGCAAAGCCACCAGCTGACTTCGCGGCCCGGACGGCGTTAGTGATGCTTCCGGCGGCGACGATGTGGTTGTCCTTCAGCATCGTCATGTGAGACAGATCGACTCGGTGAGCATCGACACCGCCGACAAGCATGCCGTACTTCTCTACTAGTCGAAACCCCGGCGTAGTCTTGCGAGTTCCGGCGAGAATATTCTGGTAGCCCGCTTTCCGTAAGAGAGTGAGAAGGCGGTTGGACTTTGTTGCAATTCCTGAACAGCGGGCAAGTGTATTGAGCGCTACTCGCTCGCCGAGGAGAAGGTTGCGAACTGGTCCTCGAACGGTGGCGCAATGGGTGATCTTCTCTCCAACCGAGTCGCCCTCCTTGACGTGCCATTCGACTCTGTATACATGCCTCAGTCTTTCATGGCCTTCTTGAAAGTAAGGAGTTACTCACGTGCAGTCCAATTGCTTGAATACCTCGTCAAAGAACGGGACGCCAGCAACAATACCCTGACTCATCAGCTTTGCAACCTCGTGGAAACTGAGATCTCACCTCGCTCTTGCCCAGAAGTTTGGCCTCCGATTGCTCTTCTCCAACTACAAAACCTCCATAGTCGAAGCTTGGAGTGTCCTCTTCAAGCCAGTCCGCAACGTACCGCTTATACGTCAAGGGTAGCAGATGTGCTACTTTGCCGTGTGCAGGAGCTCCCTCGACCATGTTGACTGAACTGAAGACACCGTCTAGTAGATTGGACTGTGAGATTTCGAGATTTTAGAAGACTTAGGGTTGTGAAGGCTTGTGGAAGGGGTGATGAGTTCATCGGGCCTTCGGTACTGCCCCGCCAATTAGCGGGCGCATTCGGAACGCCACTAAACATACCAGCGTCTCGAACCTACATTTGAATCTAGAGTCGAACTCAACCTGGCTTCGAAGCCATACATTCTCTTGGAACCGTGCAGTGACTCCAAAAGACAGTTTCTTTCGTTAGTGAGTGGAAGAGCACAATTTCCGCAGGGTGGAAGGCTCACGCCAACTCGTATACGGGAAGCAGCTCCTCTCGAATCTCTGAATCACGTGAACGAGATGGGGAAGCCCAGCGTTTTACTAGCCAACTTGATATGTGCAAGACTTGGTCTCATATGCGACATACCGTTTTTTCGACTCAGAAGGCCTTCCTATCCACCAAGCCCTATCACGAGCTGAACTGTGCGGCCCGTCACTTACGGATACTAACGCATACAGTAATTGTCTTTGCGCGGCCGCTTCTGGACATTGGAAACTCATTGAGGGTCTGAAAATGTCCCAGTGTACGATGTCCCTAACGCGCTGAACTTTCATCCACCAAACAAACTTTCAGAACGTTATCGAGCCCTAGGTCTTCTTATCCGGCTCTCCCTCCTCCAGATATGCGACACCTCCGTCCGCCCTGGCTGGATGGGCAACACCGGTACTGACAGGTGGACACTTGTTCATAAAGTTGGCAGCGAGCTTTTGTAGAAATCCACCCGGGTAATCCACCAGAAGACTTGGTTGTAACCACTCAGCGTGGATACTGTAGGTGAGGACGTCGAGAAGAAGTCGACATGCAGGAGAGCCCTTCACAGTGCCTTTGTAGATGATATCGATCTCCTTCGTATTGGGGATTCTCTATTGTCCGTCGGCGCGAACTTTGTAGATGCTGGTCACAAGAGCCTCCGTCGTGTATTGCAACTTCTCGCAAAGAACATACAATTTAGCCAAGTTGTATCGTTCGCATCGCAAGACCTCAGCAGCAGGTAGCGAAGCCAGAATGCAGGCGAACTCGTTGTTGTAGACGTGGTGTAGGTAAAGCTCGAAGGTCTCGGCTTCATCATCTGGCATGCGGGGACGAAGAACAACAAACGCAAAAGCGGATAACGCCTGAGAAGAGTTGTTAGGCATCAATGGCAGCGTACGTGTAGGAGATGCCGAGCTGATGCTGCCTACGTCTTTATATGGTAAATGCGCATCGTAAAGTCATTGCAGCATTTGATCTACTTGGAAACAACAAGATGTTCAGCCAGCTCGTAGTCCCTGTCCACCACCCCATCGTTGCGTGGGCAGACCCCCAAGTCAACCCTCGGCGTCCATACGTCGATGTCACACCTAATCATCCATACCCCACCCCTCCCTCAACTCTTCCAACGCCTCACTCCCCTCCGTACCCTCCTGCACCATCGCCCAGAACTCCCTTGCAATCTTCTCCCTCCGTCCCATCACCCCTTTCATCATCTTCCACTCCTTCTCGACCTTCGCCCTCTCCTCGGCCGTCACCTTCTTCGCATGCCCGGCCCTCAGGCTCTCCAGCCTCGTCACGATCTCGGACTTCTCGTGCTCGAGTGAGGAGATGTTGGATAGCATGTCTGCGGTGCTGAGGGTGCTGTTTAGCGAGGCGAGAGTGCTGCGGAGCGTTTTGGTGAGGGCTTGGAGGTCGGTGGTTTGCGTTTGCAGGGAAGTGATACGGGTGTCGTAGTCGGCTAATTGTTCAGGGGAGACGGCATCGTCGGGGCTCTGGAGTATGTTAGGGTCGTTGTCATGATTGCTGGTAGGTGCGGTGAAGCATGGTGAGGTGAGGCGCGACATACCTGCAGAGCATGATACACGATCTGCTTGCCTGCACAGAGTTAGCTCCTTGCGCTTCAGACACACGCAGGACGCACTTACCAGCTGGACGACCCTCGATCAGCTTCTGCTCGTGCAAATCTTTCAGGAGCTTCGCGGCGGCAGCTGGATGGTTGTCAGTCGCTCCTTGTTCACCACTTCAGGAACAACGGCATGACTGACCCTTTGTGACTTTGTTGTGCAGGTTGGCTGAAATATCGATAGCAGAGTATGGCCTGTTCGTTTTGCCTATACGCGTCAGCATAGTGTTGTCTGTGATGTTGGACGAGGTGAGGTGAGATGAGATGAGACGCACGCAGGTAGTGTAGGATCATATCTGAGCCCTCAGCGCTGGTCGCTTTCGCCTCCTTCTCGGTCGTTTTGCGTGGCGCCATGTTGTCGTACCAACAAGGTTCTGTGCAGTGGGATATGCGAGGATTAAATCAGAGCGATCAAATGCTCAAGGTCATTTTGAGAGGCGCTAAGTCAAGGTCTGATGGTGAGTGTCTGGGAAAGAAGGAAGGAGCGACCGTCAACAGCAGGTGGGGCAAACCTCGTTATCGCGCACAACGCTGCATTAGATTGGTTAAGCTATGAAAAGCATATGCAGACATCTCATTGGAGAGCTGATGTACGCACTGTGTCGTGTTGCATTTACCCTCCTCGTTCCCCGAACTCCCTTGCCCAGTCTTCGAACTCCTTCAGCCCCTGCTTGCTGACAGACGGTCTGATTGTGCGCAAACTCGCCTTGAAATCTTCGAATCGCATCGGGCGGATCTCATCCATTGTCATTGTGAGCAGGCTCTCGCCCAGCGAGCGCAAAGGGCCCATTGCAGCGTCTTTGGCGAGCGCGGTGATGTCAGAGCCGGAGAAACCTACACTGTTGTTAGGAACACGTCCATCATGGCGCATACCGTCAGACGAAGGATAATCAGTACTCACCATCTGTGAGCGCAACCAAGCGGTCCAGGTCCTGCTCGCTCAGGTCATGTTTCTGGTGGCTCAGCAATGTCTTCACCTGCTGCTTCCTAACGAAATCCTCCGGCAAAGGAATGTACTGTCGCCTGACGAATCTCCGCCTTGCTGCTTCATCGATAGCCCAGGGCAGGTTCGTCGCGGCGAGCACAAGCACACGCGTTGCATCACCTTTCTCTCTGTCTTTGTCGCTAGTTTCTCTGCCAGCAGCTGCCTTCTGCAAGTCCGACCACTGAATCAGGAACTCGGTTTTGATGCGTCGTGTAGCTTCATGCTCGGAGGAACCTCCTCTCGAAGACAGCAGGGAGTCGATTTCGTCAACGAAGATGATAGATGGAGCGAGTAATTTTGCCAGAGAGAACAGAGCACGGACAAGCTTCTCGGACTCACCAAGGAACTTGGACGTCAAGCTGCTCGCAGAGATGGCGAAGAAAGTCGACCTCGACTCTGTAGCTACAGCCCTCGCCAGCATTGTCTTCCCCGTACCTGGTGGCCCGAAGAGTAGCATACCTCGAGCAGGCTCTCGCAACCCCATGAACAAGTCCGGCCTCAGGAATGGGTACACGACCGTCTCTTTCAGCGCAGACTTGGCGATCTCCAACCCTGCAACATCGTCCCAATGAACCTCATCTCCTTGTATGACGATCTCGTTCAAGATATTCTGTGCTGATTGCTTGTCCACGCCTCGAGGGAGATTCTTCAATATTTCTTCTGTCTTCCCCCTCCACTCGTCAGGCTCTTCATTTGTCTCGCCACCCTCACCGAACTCGGCTGTCGGGTTAGGGGGTAGATCCGCACGCATCGAATCTCCTCGTTTCCTCGTCTTTCGATGTGGTGGTCGTTGGGGTTGCTCGTCGAAGCCATCCTCTGCGAGTGGAATTGGTTCCGGTGAGGGCTCTCTTCGTACGTTTCGCGTTCGACTGATGTTGCTGGGCGTTGAAGGTGCGGCTGACGGTCTGCGCGTGGTATCGACGTCCTTGTTCCCGTATTTGGTAGGGCCCAAGTCACTGTACGATCGCGCCGCCGCTGATGCTGCGAGTAGTCGAGGGTCTAGCTGAGCTGGAGGATACTCCTTTCGGTACGATGGGAATGCTGGCAACGGAGGCAAGGCTGTGTTTGCCTGTGACGATTGGGTTCTACCCAGCTCGGCTGGCTTCGAAGGTACTGGTGGCGGTGGAGGTGCGACTTTTCTTGGAATTGGAGGAGGCTTGGGCTTCTCGCTATCGCTGCTATTCCTCAGTGCTGGCACAGCATAGTTAGTAGGTGCCGGCCCTTCGCGAGTCTGAAAGTAGAACGGCGCTGACTTGAGTGAATCTTGTAATGAGGGCTGTACAAGTGGTGTCTCCGGTTGTGGTGTCGCGGCAGGCATCTCCATTGATGTCCGGGGAGAAACAATGACCGGAGGAGTCGCTGCTTTGGGCACACTCAAGCTCGGCCTGCTTGAGCTCGGTGCAGCAGTCCTTGATCCAAAAGCCAGAGTTGCAGCTTTGGAAGCATCAGGACGTGATCTCATTGACATGGGCATCTTCGACGCTGGCTTGCCCTCTTTGTTCGGTCTCAGTGTCCGGAGCATCCTGCCACCCTTCTTTTCTGGCGATGGTGTCCGCGACTTCTTCTCTTCTGGCGGTCCGGAGGTCAATGTGGAGTTGCTCATTGTCTGCGTCAGGCTGTTGATGCGCTTCGATGTATTGCCAGAGCTCTTGCGTGATGCCACCAAGGGGCGAGTGGGCAGTGGCGGTGGTCTCGCGAGGTCGCTCTGGACGACAGGCGGTATTGAACCTCCTCCAAGCCATTCTGACGAGCTACCCGTGTCAGCCGGGCCCAAGGGTACGCCATGGGGAGGTGGAGTGGGGGCTTGGGCGTCTGTGCTGGAAAGGCTCTCCTTCGACTCTTCCCTGCTCTTCTTCAGTGCCTCGAGCAGATCGACCCGCTCCTTGCATTGCAGTTCCAGCTGCCGTAAGGACTCCACCAGGGCTTTCTCAGTCTCGGACGATGGGCGGTAGGTTGTGGGGTTGCGACGGGCGTTGTGGTGGTAGATGTGGTCGAGCGCAGTCTTCCATGAGCGCAGGGCTTCTTTCTCGTTTTGCTGGTGCAGTACGTCAGCAGCTTGTTCGCATGGTCTGATCATAGAACACCAACCTGACTCTCAAAGTAGACGGCCGTCGAGCAAGCCAGAAAGGCCTCATCGTAGGCCTTCTGTGTGGTGTTAGCGCGCATTGTGTGGGGCGCGAATGGTGAGCGAATGGTGCGCGAATGGCGAATATTATGACATGAAGTAGGGGTATTGAAGGAGTGTCACAGTGCAATGCCCAAATTGTGGTTTGAGACTCAGTCTGGTGTCATATCGCGCCAGGCTATGTCCGCGCTTGCCATGACGTAGCGCCGACCAGTTGCCGTTCTGAGCATCACAGGGCTGAATGGCTGCGGCAGCACGCGACGCGTGTCCCGTTTTGGGCTCAGACTTCAACCACATGCTCCAAGACACCAGATCCAAGGGACCAGATCATCTCAGACCACCTGGACACAGATCTCACGGGTAGAAGCGACGCAGCGAAGGATGGACAGGGCATGTGCGGGTCGCGTTCGGATCTATACTAGGGCCACTATCGATTATGCTTCTCTTTTCTTCGCGCCCAAAAACTGATAGAGCGAGTCGACGATGCCAGTTGACGAAAGACGCCGATGCTACATTTCCCATATGGTACAAACATATCTGCGCTGACTGCATAACGCTCAAGAGAAAAAGCGTCAAAAATCCTGTACGCCGCCATATGGTCCTTCCAGATATCAAAGCCAGGAAAGCTTCTATGACTATACAACGAAGCGTGAAGACCGTTACGCTTGCCTAGAGAGCTCGCACGGTGTGGCTCTTGTAGCCTGCTCTATGCCGAAAATATCGAAATCCCTTCTACTGCTGGAGTGGTGTATGTCGCATCATGGAGACATACGCTAGTGAATTGAGCGCATGGCTTTTGTTGAGAGGTTGTCGTTATAAGGCGGTGTTTGGGTTTGTGCTGCGAGCAATGAAGAACGCCTTTGCCATCTCGTATGCAGACCTAGAAGGTGGTGAGTCGTGTTTTGCCAGCAACTTCAAGTGTGCACTTACCAGCAGATCGCAGTGCTGGGCATTGTGGTAATAATTCTGGGCTTCAACCCACGGAAGTAGCCCTTGTAGCCTTCCCTCTGGTGGATGATCTTAGCGGCCTGGAACAGACCAGACACAGTCCTCAGCTCGGCGTCGCGAGCGCTTCCTCGTGTCTGCAAGAGCGTCTTGATGACGTCCAGAGGCGTAGTAAGCGCCGCAGCAAAACCACCAGCCAGCCCTCCGGCAAAGCAATGCGTGTACGGGTCGTAGCGGCCAGTGGGGTTCATGACCTTCGATATCGATTCATACGACATGAATTGCAGCGCCGTGAAGGGCACTGTCATGCACAGTGTGGTGGGGTACGAGACGTAGAATGCGCCAATGCCTTCCTTGCGGAAGACATCCCGGGCACAGTGACTGACTGAAGTGTAGACCGAACCGTGCAATTGCATGCGCTGTTTGATGACTGTGAAAATCTTAGTGTTTGTTGGCGCGACGAAAGTGGTGCTACGAACCATCGAAGGGGTTCATTAGTGCATCGCTGGTTATGGTGGCCGCAGCACCGCTGGCAGCTGTGGTGGGTTAGCAACACCTCCTGAAATATGGATTCCAGAATGATGCGCACCTGCAGCAAGAGGGTGATGCTCATGGCTCTCTCCCTCGTTTCCACCAAGAGCGTGTTTTGTAGCCTCGTAAGACGCAAAGTATACGGCGTGCGCGGGTCCTGGTGTCGCCGTTAGTCGTGCGCCCCGAGACATGTCGAAGCCAGGTGTAGGTACCAGCGCCGAGAACAACACTGGACAGGCCCCTCCACAGTGATCTGAAGCCCTCTACCCTCGAGACGGTTACAAGGGCATTGGCGATAGAGCTCTGGTATGTCGCGGTGGGCCCGGGGTTGATGACTTGCATCCTCGTCTATCCAGCTGTCAGCACGTCGTCCAGCAATGTCGCGTGTTCCAGTGAGGTCGCGTACCTTGAGCATGTCGACGGGGTACATCACCGAGTGTTCCTGATGCGTTTTTAGCTGATGTGGATCTGTCGCGGCGACTTCGGATGCGTACAGCAATACCTGCGAACGCGCCTGCCAGCATGTTCGCGCCGAGCGAGAAATTTGGTGGGAGCGCTTCATAGCTGTAGACGAGGTCAGCCATGCCGGTCCGGAGATCGCTGGCTTATTGGGAGCTGTACTCATGCTCTGCTTCTTCAACGGGCACTGCTGGCCGGTCATGGCCACCCATGATCTGGCCGGGCGTGACGACGGTGGATGCCAGTTTGGCGACTGATATGACGAGATGGAGATGGCGGAGTGCAGCTGGATCGGTCGCGCAGGAATGGGGCTATCTCGTCGTGGTGATGAGCGAGTGACCGCTCGAGGTTGATACTTTTTCTGAGTACAGGGCTGGGCGCTTTTGGTTGCAAATGAGATCTTGGGGGCCGTGCGGCGTCACTGAACTATCTCAAGTAAAACCCGACCGAGGCTCCGAGTAACAACATTCCCATGTCAATTGCCATGTCGCAACGGTCTAAAGTGATGCGGATTTGCACGGCTTGAGGTCGCTAGCTGCTCTTGCACAATTTGCTCTCTGCCATTTCCATTGAAATTCTACAAGTGCAGGGCTGCACACATCGTGATGACAGCAAGTAATTGGAATGTTGCCGGGGACATGCATCATACATCATCGCCAGCGATAGCTTTCGGAGGAGTGACCGCCCGAGAGTGAGGGGAACAATTGTTTTGATTGGGCAAAAGGATCTGATAAGACAAGAGATCATCTCCGCCCGCAACATTACACCTCATCGAGCATAAACCTACGCGCTGGGAAGTTCGTTTGCTTGAAGATGCTACTGCGCTGTCTGTGAAGCTGCTAAAGACGTCCTGCAGCGTTTGCAGAATTCTGAGACGTGTTGTGAGGGTAATGTTGCTGTCAGCGTTCGATTTCATGAGGATCTGATAACCATATGATAATATTGGAATTACGAACGAATTGCGACCCCAACCAGATACACGAGCAGATTTGGCGACCGCTCGAACCACACTCAAAGCTCTTTACGTTTTGTGAACAGACATGATCTTGGAGGCAGCCGTCTTGACCTTAATGTGGAACAGGAGACCAAAGGTTTTTCAGTCCATATTGTGGCAAGTTGTATGGCGATTGAGGGCGGCATCTAAGCTCAGGATACAGTAAAGGAAAAGCTTGAGCGCAAGGTCTGGCACCGTACTCAAGCGCCATCATATACATGAGTAGCTAATGTACAGCCTAATCTACAATCCCACCTATCGATGCCTTGCATCAGGTGAACCTTGGACCTCGAAGGTCACAGGCACAGTCGTGACGCGCAAACCTCGCGGGCTCTTGCAGCTTGCATGCGGGTACGCGCATCAACAGTCGCACTTCTTATAGTATCTCGGGAACGCAACGACGTCCCTAATGTTCTGCACCCCGGATAGGTAGCAGATCAGGCGGTCGAAGCCTAGACCAAATCCTCCATGCGGTACACTGCCGTACCGTCTCAGGTCCAGATACCACTGCATGGACCCGCCTGACGCCTCGGTACTGCTGTCAGATGCTAGGCGCAAACCGTGATCCACCATGGATTGTTGAAGTTCTGGATGTCGGTGCTCACGCATTGACCCGCCTACTAACTCGCAGATCTCAGGGACGAGGAGGTCGAAGCATGCGACTGTGTCTGATCCGGACGGACTTGATGGCAGCATGTAGAACGGCTTCATCTGACGAGGGTAGTCTGTGACGAAGATGGGACCGCGTTTGCCGAAGTGCTCAGCGAGATAACGCTCGTGCTCGGTCTGAAGACCATCTTCATGTTCAGGCGAGAATTCGAATTGTGCTTTTCCTTGTGTTGTAGCGTCCTTAAGGTGTTGTATCGCCTCAGCGTATTTGATACGCGGCCATGGTCCGTCGATCAGTCCCTGCCATCGTTGCGCGAGTGCATCGTGCGACACGGATGTGCCCTCCTCACTTTGGTCCCGTGCCCGAGCCTCGAGTAGCTCTTGGCCTACACGTGAAGCCTGGAGTTCGGTTGCAACAGAGCGCAGCATATTCTCTACCACGTCCATGACGTCCTTGAGATCATCAACAAAGGCGACTTCAGCCTCTAACATGTAGAACTCGCTGAGATGACGGGCTGTGTCACTTTTCTCGGCGCGAAAGGTCGGTGATAGCGTCCATACTTTGTCGACAGACTGTGCCAGCGCCTCGAGATGGAGTTGACTGGAGACTGTCAGGTACTTGGGGGAGCCGAAGAACGGCTCAGGCAGTTTCTTTGGCTGATCAGACAAGCCAGGTATAGGTCCTGATGTTGCTTCAGCTGTCGCAGGCTCGATCGTGAAGACTTCTCCCGCTCCCTCGCAGTCGGACGATGTGATGATGGGGGGATGACACTGTATGAAGTCGTTCTTGGCAAAGTAGCTCGTTACTTGTGCGGTGACGAGAGACCTCAACCGTAAGAGTAGAGCATTGAGGGGCAGACGAGGTCGCAGGTGGGGAATGGTGCGAAGATACTCTGCCGACTGATATTTCTTCTGGATCGGAGAGGTCGCAGCATCATTAGCTCCCAGCACACGAATGTCCTCGACCTGAAGTTCGTGCGATTGCTTCCCACCCGGTGATGGTTTCCATTTTCCAGTCACGGTCACGGCAGCACCAGTCGAGAGGCTGTTGATCAGATCGTCAGCACTCGACAAGTGATGATGCATTGATTAGACTAACTCTTCTGCTAGCTGAGGTGACAATACAGCCTGAACTGTCTGTAGAGTGGAACCATCGCCGATGACTGCGAAGGCAATGCGCTTCTGCTTCCTCACGGACCGAACATAGCCATGAACCGTGAATGTCTCACTATCTGATGGTCCCCGTGGTGGAGTAGTTGAAAGTGGGTTAGCTGATCTTAGCAGCTCAGCTATGTTAGTCGGGCGAAAGGTTGAATTCTGTCGTGAACGCTGAGAAGATAACGCATGTGCCTGAACGACAACAGCACGCCGAGGTGTAAACAGCTGCAAATGGAGAGCGCTCCTTCGGATAGGCAGCAGCAGGCTCATTTACGCGAACGGCAGAAGTCAACCAGCCAGTGGGCAGCGTTACCGTGAAGCGTGAAGGCACAACACCATCAGATGTCGTCAACGAAACTTCGAAAAGGGAAGCAGCGCACGGACACCCTAACTAAGCAATGCAGCTGCACTTCGCCGTTATTGCACTCAGGCACTCGTCAGTCGTGTCACCCGTGCCCTTGTCTTAAACACTCTAATCTCCACGGCCTTACTCGAGTTACACGAGATCTCATGCCCTGGTACAACAGCCGATGGACGCCCGTCTTGGATGTGTTCCGCATTCCCATTGGTCAAGGACACCTTTCCATGCCCCACCGCCAAAAAGCACACCTCACAGAACGCCACAAGATCTCGACCGCCGTTTCTGCACGCCTCCCCCATCGTGCACAAAAACACCCTTCACAGCAGGAGCCCATCATTGCAGTGGCTTTGGCGGAAATGCTCGCAACCTGAAGTTGTCGTGTTACCGTGCTGGCGGTGAAGACATCATCCGTACGAACAGCAGCCATCCGATCCTGCGTGCTAATAACAAGTGCATTTCTTAGCCTACAGACAGATCGTAGTGCGGACGCTACTGCTGCGGCGCTATCTCGTGCAGGATCTCTTTGCTGTAGCATTTGGGGCCAGCACCTGTCATCATCGGACTGACCAGACGTCGCCAGATCTTTGTCTAAGCTGCATACACCGATATGCAGATCTCGCCAATGTCTGGCCGATCGATCCTTCCTCACATCCCTGCTCCAACAGCCATCTTGTGCCCCAACACGAGCGCCTTGTGGCTTCAAGTTCCTGGCGGCAGAGCGGGTTTGACAATCGTCTCCAAGGATCAGGGAGCGAGTCACGTATTACAAGATGTGGTTGCTTCCGGTTCGCAAGGTCTCAACGCCCTGTAGGCTGTGCCTTCCCTAAATTGCTAATGGACACGACTCAAGCCTTTGCTGCGTGCAGCTTTGCCAGCGTGCATACCACCCGCCAGATCTAACACCCTGGTTCAGACAAAGGAGGCAAAGCTTGATTCAGACGATTGCCATATCCGTCGTAGGCGCGTGAGAACCGATCTAACACACCCCTGCAAATTCGCGGCTCCGATCCCAAGCTCATGTTTAGTTGATCTCAATCACATGCCTTGGGCCAGGTGATAACTGCCCTTGTCCCCGGCAGGAGTTGAATATCAATTGTACCGCTACCTGTTCCTCCACTCACTCTCACATTGACTCTGCCGATCCATCGTTACATGTATTGAAGACACCTATACAATAACATACATACAGCTACATTCGTGTACAAACATTCACATACATTCGCTGTCACTATTCACATCCGGCCCACCATGTCACCGTCAAAACTCAAGCCCTCAGAAATAGCAGCAGAAGCTAAGCGAGTATGGATGCCGTACATCTGGAAGAACTACATCAAAGACTCAAAAACCTCATACCTCTACCCAGACGCCACACAAATAAGAGCTAGTTCAGAAGGCCGGTCAACACAACGGACAAGAGTAGCAGTCATGGAAGGCGACCCAGTGAACTACGCTTTAGGCTGGTACCAGAGCGCAGCAAATTCGAATTGCAAGAAGATACCTGTTGTCAACGTAGCAAATGAGAAGCGCGCAGGAGGAGACTGGGAGTCAGGACTCATTGCACCAGAAGAGTGTTTCGCGCGGAGAAGTAACCTTGTACACGCTCTTACCATGCCGTGGAACGCGCAATTAGGGCGGGAAGAGAACTTCTACCCCATACCGCAGAGGGGAGGGATATATTCACCCGAAGTTTGTACGTCTCTAACACCCCTTTCTCCTTCAACATCAACTAATATTAACTTGGCAGTCGTCTTCAGAGGCGGCCCCGACCAAGACCACGCCCCCTTCTCCGAAATCCAATCCCTCCCCGTCATCAGCGTCGCGCCCGTTCGCCGCCCCAAACTTGACGAATCCGGCACCAAGTACTCCTTCGCGCAAGAAAAAGAGCTCATGCGCGAGAAAATGCGAGCCGTCCTCCGAATCGCGTCCTATTGCGGGCACCGCAACCTTGTGCTCGGGGCGTTCGGGCTGGGTCCAATTTTCCGCAATCCGGCGACTGAGGTGGCGCGCATGTGGAGGAAGCTGTTGTTTGAGGATGAGGAGTTCTATGGGGTTTTCCAAGATGTGGTTTTTGCGATTGATAGTACGATGGTGGGGCCGCCGGGGAAAGGGTTTGCGAGTGATTTAGAGGTGTTTAGGAGGGAGTTTGATCCGAGTAGTATTTTTCCTGTGCGCTTTCAGGTACGGGTGTAGCTTTTTTTCTCATGGAGCGTTGGCATTATTGGACACAAGGTGCTGGACACCACACAAATACCATTACACGAGACTATGATTATGAAGACAGATATTGGTATGAGCGAAGAGCGCAGATGGAATCTGGTACAAGCAAACACATAGTACACAAACACATGCTCATGTGAGTCCTTGCGCGTCTCTGGCTGTGGGATCAAAGTGTTGACGTCACCCCACATTAGCCCACGCGATCTCGGTTATCTGCCAGATAGAGTTTCGCCTGCGCACCGCTCCTGTGCAGCGCTCTTCCCTGCATCTGGCGAACGCCCCTCTCATCCTTCCGGTGTTACCTTTCTCAATGTCTTGGGTAGGGGTGCAAGACATGTGTAATGCATCTCCGTTGCTACGAAGAAGCAAGGCAAGCGAGCCCTGACTTTGCTTTTTGGCAGTCGGTAGACACTGGGCACGGACACTGCGCGGCTAACAAGTGGACATCCCTCGGGTTCATTCGAGAGGAACAGTCAATAGCAAATGCGCTGGCGTGTACGCGGCTCCGCACATATGGATCTTGGATAGAGTCACGTATAGTAGCGCCAAAACTCGATCATGCAGCTGTGCGACGTGGACTCTGCGGCGGAGACGCAGATACGATCGAGGTCTTGCAGGATGTCAGTTAGCCTCTTGGGTGCGTCGCGAGGTATGTGGGTGGTGTGATTGGTGAGGGTAGGTACGCGGGCACTTCGAAACTTGGCTTTACTCGGGTTGGTTAGTATGTGAAGAGGGGAATGCTGGCCAAGATGTTCGCGCGGTCATGGTGGTCAACGATAGTATGTTGCGGCTCGCAATCACTGCCTTGTTACAGCAAGGGATGAACAAGTCATTTGTAATTCAATTAAGAGCTGCGATTCTCGAGGCGCAACTGGAAACGATATGCATTTCGGTCGATTGAACCTTCAGGGCCAGGACTGTTGCTCTTGAAGGCTCAAAGTTGAGAGCTATCATCAAGAAGCCTTGCGTCTTTATGAAGTCCCCGAGTTTCTGAATAGAATGCTACTTTCAGAGTAATCTCGAGGGTATTGCTAACTGCACGATTCTGGTTTTCTTGATTTCATGAGAGGCAGCTCAGTCAAGTGTGTAAGTGATGGGACCTAAGCTATCACGACATTCGTGTTCTGTGGTGATAGGAAGACGGCGGTACGGCTCCACACTTGTACATTCGTAAGACCTGTAGTCAATCTCATACAACTAGCGACCTTGTGTCGGCGATGATGTTTGAGCTTTTCTCCTCCTAGGGACCCATGGTATATTCTACATATGGTACATATTGTACATCGTCGTGAGCGGCGTGTCCGTAATCGTCTACTTCTGGCCTGGCAGAGGCAGTTGCGGTGCTGTGATCTCTCCACCCTGCGACTCCAGTCTCTTGATTGTCTGTTCCTTCTGGTAGTTGACGACTCGTTGTTTCTTGAAATATTCGACCTGCATGCACTCAGCCTCGGTTCACTAGAGGGGCACTAACATGAGCTATGCGTGATCGTGCAGCAGAAGGAGCCGAGCAGCCTCACTGCCAGCTGAGGAGGTCTTGGAAGCTTGACGTTCCAACTACCAGCTCAACATGACACGCCTGAATGCGCTCGGTGAGATTCTAGAAATTGTAGTGCTCGACAGAAGCAGGCCCACTCACCCAGCTGTGTGCGCAGTTCTTCTCGAACTCCTTGTCGAACTGCGAGCAGAACGTCTCCGCCTTCTCTCTCCCTGACTTTGTGTTTATGCTGTCGAGGATGTTGTTCTTGTCGAGGCACTCGAAGAAGGAATCACGTGCTGCGTAGCACATCTTTCGGTTTGTTCGTGATGGGCTCTCGAATGCGCCGCCGGCTGTCTTCTTTACGCCGCCCTCGTCTGAGGACCCGGAGCTCCACGGTAGCCAGGCCATGGTGGTGAGAATGTGTGTTTGCGGAGGCGGAAAGTTGGGGCAACTGTTGGATCTGTCGCAAGGGTTTAGAAGGTCGATGCAGCATCGTGCACGTGACTCGGGGATACTCACAGTATCCAGTAAGAGCCGATGCAGGTCTGTGTCGAGCAGAGTGTTGTTATTGAGAGTAGCGACTGGTCAGTCCATAGAAATCAGTTGATGCTTGGCAATCTCGGAGCTATGATGATGGAGGTCCGCGCCGATGCTCGTCCAACAGGCAACATCTCAACAATAAAAGGTCACACATCAGCCTCTGCACCATATGTCATAACACAACGAAGGCGCACCATCTGCGCACTCATGCCCCGTCGACGCCGCCCTCCACGGCCCGGTGCGCTCGCTGACCTCTCTCCCACGCGCATCGCATCCCAGATTGTCCTCCTGCAGCTGGCCTACTATGCATGCGCCGGGATTCTTATCGTCTTCACGGCCCTCGTCGCTGGCAAGGAGGTCAGCCTGGACTTGATATTTAACTGGGAGACGTTGCGCGGCGACACCACAATAGGCTGGACCCTGGGACTGGTCTGGATACTGAACAGTCTCACCAGGTAGGCTGCATCCACACATTGGCACTTACACGACGCTGACATGTCGCGGTGCCATCTTCATCCTCCTTCTAATAGCGCGCTCGAAACTTGTCCTCGACTTCGCCCTCACCGTACACTTCATCCACCTGATCGTCACCTCCTTGTACACGCATGCGGTACCTTCACACCTTTTCTGGTGGGCGCTCCAGACAACTAGCGCCACCATCATGACTTCTCTTGGCGTATGGGCGTGTCAGTGGCGTGAGCTGAGGCCTATCAACTTCGGCGCCAAGAGCTCGAAACCAGCTGCTGATGATGGGGTTGGAGAGATCAGAGGTACTGAGAGAGGGAGAGGGAGAGGCAGAGACGGCGCTGGGGAGTACGAGATGGCCAACATGAATGATGGAGACAACAACGTATGATAGAGGGATGTTGGATTATGCATTGCATGGAGTTGCTAGAGTTACAGCCATTAGGCCACGACTAGGAGGAACATACCCCCTCTGTCCTGACTGTCAGGATGAGAGCATGTCAGCATGTCACGACTGCTCGTCTGAACTCGTGCTTTTTTTTTTTTTTTCGTTTTCAACAGCACTCAATGCTCTTGATTAATCTACCTGCCAGGAACCACCTCGAGTCGGACCGATCAAGAACAACGACCCCGTCTTCCACACCAAAAGTCGGCCACACACCCAACTCGACACCCGAAGCAGACGCTGCGCTGACTTCTTCCGCGCTGAACTCGGGTTGTATCCTACACCTGATACGTGCCAGCTCTTCGAGAGACCCCAATGTCGCTGTCTCCACATCCAGCACAGCCACTATCTTCATCGAATGTACGGCTTTGTGTGCGTCGCTCCCAGGCCAAGAGTGCAGCATGGATCCTGCACCAGATATTAGACAGCGCAGTAGAGCTTCGGGGCACTGTGTACCTCGCAGCGGTTGTCGCAGTGGACATTGAAAGGTCTTCTCGTGATCCTCTCCACTTCTCTTGAAAGCGATCATGACGCCCATGTGTTCCGGCTTGGCATGATTTTGCTGTTGTGGATGCAACAGAGGGACTTGTGCAACATCCGGAACTGCTCGTGAAAACACACCGCTCACAGCGCAAAGTGCGCACAAAAGGTATTGTGATAGCATCCTGAACGCCGTGATTTCGTAACAGACTGGACAGCAAGCCTGCAGGAACTTAGGTACTTGTAGTTGTACAACTCAATGACGCTACTGTGCTATGTCGTGTGCTCAGACTGTTGTCCGGCTTCCAAGAACGAAATTGCAGAGTCCGGCGCTTCACTTCCGACTCATGTAGCCAGTGCCCCCAATGCAAAACACAACACATGACCCGCGGGAATAGTAGAATTGAGTGTAACGTGAGTGGAGTTGAACTGGATGGGCTAGGGATAGGGCACGTGCGGCGCTTTTGGGTTCATTTCGGAAGATGGATGCGGTCAGGTTGCCGTTACAACTTTTGCCGGTCTTGGTCCTTGCGGGTTGAAAGCGACGAAGAGAGCATATGATGCAAGAGCCTTTATTCGCACTTCAGATGTATCTTGTAATACGCCTTTAGAGACGCGACACTTGCTGCTGTCTAGGGACTTCACCTGCGATCTATTAGGGTCTTCACTAGCGCCAATGCGCCGTTGCACATCCTGGCCGTTCCCTTCAACACCATCCACAATTATCTCCGTAAACATGATCGACCGCTAACACAAAGAGTTTCAACTGACAGGCACGCGACCAGCTTGACCACCATGGCGGGTGGCTATCTGAATCAGCTATGGGAAGACTCAGAGCCTTCACCAGACAGGCCGCGATACCTACCGTTATCAGGTACCTTCTCAGATGCAGAGTCGGGCTCATCAAGACCACAGTCGCAGCAGCATAGACAACAATATCCTGTGCAGCTGCCTCATTCCGAACAATATTCATATCCGGAACAGCTTTTTCAACAACCAGCCCCACTTATTCCGCTCAGCACTGTAGAGGACTTGCATCTACATGAGCCATACACCAGCTCAACATTTCAAGATCCTTTCAACAGGGCGTTCATCAGTAACCAGCCCGTTGTTCACGAAGGCTACATCCCGGCACCCGGCACACGAGAAGAAGATTTGTACCCGAACCTACCAGACGGGTACCGCGATTCGCTGTTTCAGGACTATGATGACAGCTCTGATGAAAGCGACTTTGAGCGCAGGCTAGCTGAGGCCGAGGAGCTGCGCGAGATAGAAGAGAGGGACGACTCGGAAGCCGATGCGAACTACTCCGAAGAAGATGCTGACCAGGATGAGGGCGACCCCAACGAGATGGAGATTGACGAGAGCTATGTTGAAGAGCGAGCCAAGCCCAAGGCCAAACGAGGGAAACCGAGCGCTCGAGGTACTCGTGGAGGGCGGCGGGGCAGGCCCCCAGGGAGAGGGAAAGGTGGATTCCATGGACATACTCGAAAGCAATTGCGCGAGAAGAAGAACCCAGGACGTCCGAGCGGGAAGAGAGGACCTCGCCAAATTGCCGATCCGGGACCAGAATTCAGAAATCTGCAGCGGGCTGCTAACGAAAGGTTCATTGCCCAGGACTACCCCAGAGCTCTCGAGTATGGACAGAAGGCTGTTCAGCTGAACCCTGAGATCTTCGATGCTCACAATATTGTCGCAGAGAGCTACGCTGCGATGGGCGAGGAGCTAAAGGCCATTGAGTCTTTGATTATTGGCGCACCTACAAAACGTGATCCCGAGCTGTGGCATCTCATCATCGAGCGCATCAAGAAGCTGGACACGACAGACCACCCAACCTACACCGAAGAAGTCAAGACGGCGGTCGTTCTGCAGTGTCTCAAGTCCATCATTTCTCTCGATGTGACCAACTACGAGGCGCGCAGTCTAAAGCTTGAAATCGAAGCTCGCCTAGGCCATGTCTCGAAATGTGTGAACCTCGGCACCAAGATGTTGAAGACGCTCAGAGAGCAGAAGCAGGACCCTGACACTGAGGTCCTGAAGATTATGGCGATGATGGGTACATCGACAGCGAAGCAGACGAAGCGTCATCTGAGCAAAATCATCGAGGAGTTCGATCAAGCTATCGAAGTCTACACAGGTCCAGGCAGAGATCCAAAGGCAAGTGACCTGGACTGGGAGTTGACCAACATCTACCTGGACCTGCTGGATAGGACTGGCAAGTACGAGTACGCTCTGCGGCGCCTCAAAGATCTGTCGAGATGGAAGCAAGGAAGACGGAACGAAACGTATTGGGACGAACAGAAGGACGATCGCGAGTTTGACATTGAAGATACCCCAAGACGCGTGGAGGTCTTTGACTTCAAGCGCAAGTCGAACTCAGCAAAATATGGAGAAACACTTCCACTGGAGATCAGAGTCAAGATGGGTCTGTTTAGGCTGCGCAAGAGCGCCGACGACTACTCTGAAGCCATGCACCACCTCGAGATGCTCGAGCCGGACGACAAGAGTCCAGACGCCCTCATGTGGGACTATCTGGATCTGTTCCGGGTCATTGCCGATGCGCTACACTCTACTGGCCACGATACTGAGGCTTTACGCTTCTATGAACCACTGCTTGAGAGCAACTCTAGTGAGATGAGCCTCATGAGTTATCTCGGACTCTACACCGTCTACACGAATCTAGGCCAACGCGAGAAGGCTCAACAAATTATACCGATCCTCGTCGGATGGATCGCGGACACTGTCGACGACCTTGCCGTGCTAGCAAAGTTCTTCGAGGTGCAAGGCATGCCACAAGAGGCAATGGAACGTGCAGACGCTTGTTACAGAAACCGTGGCCTTGTCAAGTTGCGCAGAATCGGGTTCTCAAGATTACGCGAGATCAGAAGTCATTACGAAGACTGGCGGAGAAGGTCTCGCGGCAATCATGGCAAGAAGAAGAATGCAGTGAAGAAGCAGAGGAAGCTGATGAAGAAGGCCATTGCAGCGCTTGACGACGAGGATGAGGACAATGAAGACGTCGACAACGAGCGGCCGTCACTTGGACCGCTTAAAGAGCGTCCTGCGAAGGGTCTCTTCCGGACGAGGAGAATTGCACCTAAGCCTCCCAAAACACAGACCTTTCTTCCGTTCGATGCACAGGCTCAGCAGGGTCCGACATCGACAAGACCTCGTACGCCTGAGCAAAGGACCCTGGAAGGCACGGGTGTACCTATGGACGCCATAGATCATCGTCTATTCCGCAAGAAGCTCCAAAAGCTGGCTGAAGACAACGCTGATGATATCACGGCTGCTCGAGCTCAACATCGTGAAATAGTGGCAAGCTTCCAGAAACTGGACGATGTCTACGAAGCCGCTGAGGGCGGCGATGAACACGCAACCAACACTGTCTTCTCCATCACCCGTGAGCTAATCGAGGAGTTCTCGACCTTCGATCTCTTCTACGCAGACAAGAAAGAAGACTTCAAAGGCTATTTCCGCCGCATCGGCGCCGGCGAAATCTGGATGGAGTCCGCACTGATGGTCCTAGCCGTCGTTGCCAACAACGTCGAAGACGGCGCAACCAACCCCGAGCTGCGCGAGAAACCCGACTCAGCACCACAAGACTTCTGGGGCGTCCACTTCAACCGCTGGTGCGACGCGTTCGGGCGCTACGCCCTCCTGCTCGCGCGCCACGGAGACGATGCCCGCTGCTTTAGCACGCTCGACATTGCGCTCCAATCCAACATCTTCTCGCGCTCGCTCTCGTACCACCGCAGCCTTGAACTCTGTCGGCTCGCCTGCGCGCTCGCCGTCGACAGTTCCGTGCAAGCCTCCACAGCCATCCGCTGGTTCCTCAAAGAATACCCCTTCGGCTCCGACCTGTTTCGCTTGTACTCGTGCGTCAACCGCCTCGTTTCCTTCCCCGAGGGCTACTCGACTGGCCCCGCGCATAAAGTGCTGATGCGCTACATTAAGACTATGGACTACGCGCTTCTTTCCCCGGAGCAGCGGAGCTGGTACAATTTCCGGTCGAACGAGCGCATCGGGTGGGGCCAGAACGGTGTGAATGCGAGCACTGTTGATGCAGTGAAAGATCACGATCCCGCGTTGTTCGCTTTATACGCTCACGTTTTGATATGTGGAGGGAGCTACATGGCGGCGCTGAATTACTACTTCCGTGCCTTTGCGCTTACGCCGCAAGACCCCATCCTCAATCTCTCCATCGGCACGGCGTACATCCAGCATGCGATGAAACGATTAAGTGAGAACAGACAGTTTCAGATCCAGCAAGGTCTCTCTTTCATGTACAGATACTACGACCTGCGCACCAAGACTGGCGTGGCTACACTTTGTCAAGAAGCGGAGTTCAATGTTGGACGCATCTGGCATGGACTGGGGCTTGTTACGCTTGCGCTGCCGAGTTACGAACGGTGTGTACAGCTGGGTGAGAGAGTCAGGCAAGAGGCGGAGGAGAGGATGGAAGAGGGAATAGAAGATGGCGAGTGGAGACATGAGGATTTCGCAACCGAGGCGGCATTTGCTATCCAAAGCATTTATGCTGTGAGTGGGAACTTTGAGGCTGCTAGGAAGGTCACGCAGGACGCACTCGTTATCGAGTAGATGTATGAGGAATCATACTTTCGGACAACATTGGTTTGGAGTCTGCCTCCGTAGTGCAGGGACGATGGTGTTCCCATCTACACTCTTCCCACGAAACCCTGAACTACCACACCACTAAGCAGTGAAGCAGTACATCTCCGCTTTTTCATTGCTGCTAGTTTGTTCGACATCGAGAAAACGTTTGAAGTTGATCACATCACGCCAGGTTTTTCCTTGTCTCTTTTGTCGTGCCGTTGATGGGTTGCTTTGCAGATCCTCGGAGAAGGAACAAGGACGTGAGGTCTATGTTTGCTTTTTGCTGGTGTGTGATCGACGGTGGCTTGAGCGTTCTCGTGCAACGTTTCTGCCTTGCTTGTTTGTTCTTTTGGACGGAAGCGGTTCCTTGCCGGCGGATGTGCAGCGTGGCTTGCATAGAGTCTTCACAACATTGCTTCGTTTTTTTTTTTTTTTTCATTTTTTTTTTTCGCTATCGATCCATGTTCCAGCGTTTCAGAAACCATCGCACTTCAACCGGGTATGCGGAAGCACTATACTTGTGACTGTATCATGGCACCGAGTCGACTGTCGTGTGTACTACCTGCACAAGCGCATGCCGTGCGATTAGGTGCCATCTGCTAGGCACATGCGATCTGGATAGACTGACTCTGTAAAGGAAGTGCAGCTGAAGCCAGGTAGTTGTGCAAGACGGTCATGCGCTGATCTGAAACACCATGAGGGAGGACCGATCGAACGGAGGCAATGGCGGATGTTGTGTGCGTTTGGCGTGCGCGTATAACGTAGACGGTGTCGATCGGTGGTACGTCCTTGGATCTGGATCGTTGGATCTGGATCGAGGCTGTAGGGACAAGAGGTTGGGACAGAACAAAAGCTTTGAGTGTGAGAGTATGAGTATGTTGGTATGGTATTCATTATCTATAACCTCGAACGTATTTTCCTCCTCCCTTAACCCTCTCCAATCCAAACCTCTATTCGTACAAGAACCGTACAGAGCGTGGCCGCACCGAGGCAGACCCTATCATCAATCTAAGCTGGGAATCACGAAAACAAACTGACCACTTCCTGCGCCTCGCGAAACGTCGATGCATGCTCAGTCAATCTCAATGACATCCGTCTTCCCCTGCCTCGCCTGTTGCTGTTGCTGCTGCGCCGCCCTGGCCTGCTGCAACTGCTGCATATGCTGAATCTGCTGGGGCGTCGGCCTCTGCCCTCCATTCGGCTGCGGACGACCGTTCGGCTGTTGCTGACCTGGCTGCTGTTTCCTCGCCATCTGAGGTGAGAACTGTTGTGGACGATTCTGCTGTTGCTGCTGAGCGTGTTGTTGCTGCTGCTGCTGCTGCTGCTGCATCTGCTGTTGTGACGGCTGTCTCGTCAGCTGTGGAGAGTTGCCTTTCGCTTGCTGTTGCGGCGGAACTTCCAGTGGTGAGGGCGGTTTGTATCCGCCTTCCATCTTGCAGCTCAGCACGGTATCGTTCAGCTTCCTCAATGCATCGGGTACGGCGTCGAGCTCTGCAACGATGCCATTCCGTGTGCCGAACCAGCCCTCCGCCTTGCCCCTGAACAGCTCTTTCAATTTCTCTTGCAGAGTCTCCAACCGTCTGTGACGCGGATTCCTTTCAGGCGTAGGCCGAATGTCAGGAGCATGCCTAAGGTTATCTTCGATGAACCAGTAAACCTTGTCATTCTTGGGCTGGAGGCGGATGTCGAACGTGCAAAGCGGATTCTCGTAGGTGAGGCGGTACTTAAAGACTGAGTGCACATGGATGGCAGGATTACGGATATTGCCCGGTGTCGCGGTATCCAGTTCGCGGAGCACGGTGAGGAGGGAGCGCGTAAGGACAAGCACAGTGCAGAAATGGTCGATGCCATTTGCGTCGCCGAAGGAGAGGAGTGGGAGGAAGGGGTTGCGGTCGTTCGCAATTGAGGTGAGGAGTCGGTGGATGCGGTGGTGTGGATTCGACGGAGGGATCTCGATGGCGACCTCGTTCTCGGAGGCGAAGGAGACGGCTGCGATATGCGGAGAAGGCCCGTATTGAAATTGCACCTTTTGGAGAGACGATGCTGTGAGGCGCATCTGGCGTTTCTGGAGGGTGGTAGCGAATGAGCGCAGGCGGTTGACGTCGCGGAGTCGCGCTCGAAGCTCGCCGAGGATGTCGCTGCCAAATGGAGTGGCTAGAAGGATCCTGAAGCTGCCGTCTGCTGTGAATTTGAAGCTGCTCTGTGGTGAAGCGGCCATGAGCTTTTGCATGTCTGCAGCTGCATTCTTGACCATGCGACCATCGGCTATGTGCCACACACTACGACCATCGCTCTTGAGCCCTTCGCAGGCGATAGCAATGCTGTCCTCGAGCCATGGTTGCTCTCCGGACTTGGTGGTGAGTAGGTCGGTCGTCTGCAGATGCATAGCCCAGCCTTGAACGATGGTGTTGGCCTCGGCTGGCTTGCTACTTGCACTGAACTGGTGGCGCAGTGTGAACATCTTGTGTTCTTTCTCCAACTGACGGGCTGTGACTCGGAAGGAGAGCAGCTGGACGGCTACACGCTCTACGCGGGTCAAGGTATTGCGGTTGATAGCCATGCTGCTGCCGTCGTGTCTGTCCATTACGATCTGTTCGGCGTGCTCGATCGAAATGCCATTGGACCCCATCTCAAATATGCACCACGACTCGCCTGCAGTGCCCACAATAGCGGCCAATGCCCAAGTTGATGTCCAGCCACGAGGCGAGTACATGACGTATTCCAAGACGTTCGACTTCACAGCTGCCCGCACAGCATCCGGTCGTAGAGCCTGCCTCGTGATTTGTTGCCATCCTAGTTGCTGCGCAGTTCTCTGAATTTGATCCCGTAGCGTCTGCGAGAGCATTAATGTGAGTATGCCTGCTATCTGTGCTGGCTCTCTGCCTTGGTTCATGGCGAACTCGGCTCTGGCTGCAAGCGCGCTGGCTGGTTGCATGATGTAAGTGCCGGTTACTGGCTCCAGTGATAGCGTGACCGAGTTGGATACTGTTCCAAGGGTCGCAGTGAGACTGCAGTCCGTAGGCTCAGACTCAGACAAGCTCGCGTGTATATCGAGCCTCGAATCGAAATGCTCCCGTGTCGATCGTAGTATCTGAGCAGTGTGAAGTGCGATGACGCGCTTGAGTATACGCTCCATCGAGAGGTCGTTCCAGTCGATCTCGAGGTCGACATCCACCACTTCCTTCCCTTGGCGAAACCAGCGCGCTGTCAGGGATGGTACTGGAGGACCTCGCCAGGACATCTTTCCGTTCTTTGGTTTGTTGCTTGTCGTGCCAAGCTCTATCCAGTTCTTCCTCCCTGGCCTGTCGGTCCAGTACTGAACCACGAGTTCGCGATGCACTGGCTCAACTCTCAGTGACCCTATCCACCCCGAGCGGGCGAGACCGTCGGCCTGCGATCTCAGCACTGAGAGCTTGTGGGTGAGGACGAAGTTGTGAAGGAAGTCGAAGAGGCCGGACAGGCCTTTCTCGCGCAGAACGTAATCTGCCTGAGGCTTGAGTGCCAAAAGGAATTTACTGCCGAGCTCAATTGTTGGCGCAGGGGCGAACAGTAACCGCAGGTCAAGGAACCACCACTGATCGCTCGCATCTTCAGCAAAGGATAACACGTCAAACTCCATCTCGTTCTCAATCATAAAAATGGCGCGACCTGACTGTATCCGCCAGTTTCGAAGGTGTCGCGGAAGGGTCTCGTGTACATTCAGCCGTATCGAAAGGGATGTGTTCATGGCGCGCAGAAGCTTGAGCGCCTTGTCCGATGAGACGGGATCGGGTGGTATGTAATCCAGCTGTTGTCTGTCAGTACTATGTGATCTCTGCGATTGGTGGACATGCGCACAGTTGGGATCCAGGACGCTTTCCCCGTCGATAAAACTTCCAATGCAGTCCTGATGTCCGGGTTGTTCTCCCGCGCGTACGCTGAGAGGATCTTGATCTGATTCACCTGCTCGTCCACAAAGTCCATGTGCGCAGCCTGCTCTTTTGCCCAGGAATACAGGTCGATAACCTTGCCAATGTCAAGGGCCGACTTCTGCCCCCATTCAGTCAATACCAGCAGCTTTATGAACTTGGCTCGATTTTCTTGCGCAAACTTGAGAAGGAGTAGCTTCTTCCGTTTGTTGACCTCTGGGTTGTCCTGAGGAACGACACCGTTTATCATGGCACCGTTGGCTTGCTGGCCCAGCGACATGCCAGACATCTTGTGGAGTGCCTCTTCGAGCGCATTGTAGCATTCCTGAGCGATTCGTGCTAGCAGCTTCGACAAGGGGTGGTAAGCCTCCGGCCCAATATGCGCAATCTCAGGCGGCAGCTCTGAGGACTGATCCATGGTGGGCGCCGGCACGGCTGTGGAGGCGCCGTTCGTGGTGGCTTTGCCCATGTTCCCGTTCATGACGGCCGTGTCCCTGCGCGCTTCGATCCCATTGACCACCTTCCCGTCGAACGAGCGCTTCTTGTTTTCTCCATCTCTTGCTGAGTCGGTTGCGCTGTGGTTCATCATGAGGATGCCGGGCATAGTCTGGGCGCCGTCATGCAGCTCGCCGGCGCGCTCGCCACGTGTGCTCGGCGCGCAGTCGCGATGATGGCGGTGGGAGCCGTGCACGGTTCAGTCGTATGCGCAGGGAAGAGGGCGTCCGGTAGCAGCAACGTTGCGGGTGGAGGGCGGCCTCTGAAGGGTTGCGGCGGGCCGACGGGCGGGCCAACGTCTACGGGCGTGCAAGTAAGGGGCGAAGGCCGATCGGCGGGAGAATGCACGTATAGCGAGAGGCTCGAGTTGGCTGGCGGCGCCGGGGTATCGTGAAGGCGCGCTTTGGTTGCAAGCAGAGGGCCCAAGCAGAAGGCAAGCAGAAGGTCAAAGCAGGAGCCGGGGGATTCTCGGTTCGTCGCTACCGCATCGCACGCGCGGCTAAACGCTGACTCCGCACCGAAGCAGTCGCGCTCGCACGGCAAGGCGCAATTGGGTCCTGGGCGAAAAAGAAGGTGGCGCGTTGCGGCGACAACCTGTGCTGGTGGTGTTGTTGGCGATCGTGGAGACACGCAGGCTGGCGAGGGAAGGCTCGAGCCCTGACGTTCCTTCCTCTTGGCAGGACCCACATTGGCCCTGCATCATCCATCCAAGACGCCAGCAAGACAAAAGACAAGCAGCCTCTACGAAGACTAGAACTCTCTGCACGCAGGCAAAACACAGCTCATCCAGACATTGCACCGGCCGGCAGTGTTGAAATTGTGCTCTGCGCAATGTCCGCTGATGTGAGCTCGTGCTGTCCTGCCACACTGCAAGACGCGCTGGAGTGTTGATGACCCGCATTCAGCGGCGAGCGCGGCGTGATCAGGACATCTGATTACTGTCTAGCCAAAAAGGCGCCTTGTCCGAGACTGATGGAGTGTGGCTCACTTCATCATCTGCACGAGTTCCATGGATCGGCCAGCCGCCCCAACAGCTGTGCACGCTCATCACGGTTCCTCTCTTGCTCTTCCTTGAACTTCTGCAATTGCTGCCAAGACCCGAGTCCTATTCACCGACTCGAGCATCCCTCGACTCGTCTGCTGCACTGCCTGTCTGGATCTGTGTTCGTCATGTCTCAGTCGCGGTAACGCAGCTTCCCGCCGATCAACTCGACGGCTATGACGCCACGCGCACCTGAGGAGTTCCTCCCTCCGGAGTACCGACGACCGCGACCACAGCTCGAACGCAACGCGTCAGCACAGTCGAAACTCTCGCTGCCCGCGTCGTCGCAGTCCAACGAGGCCGACGACGAGCAGAGCTTCTCTGACCGCAGCTTCGACATGGAATCCAGCGCTTTGCAACCGCAATACGAGGGCGAAGATACGCGCCCCACCAGCGACAAGGAGCTGTCCGGCTTCTACATGTACGGGTGGGCAGCAGAGGTGGGTTTCCTATAGCTTCGGTGGTTCCCAACTAACGCGTCGCTCCTTCCTCCTCGGTCGTTTACCCCACTTTGTTTGTTTACAGGAAGGAGCTTTGCGCGTACCATTGCCAGCAGCGGCTGCCTAGCTAACCTGTCCAGGTCTTCGTAGTCTGCGGCATTGGCTCTTTCATACCCGTTACCCTTGAGCAGCTCGCCCGCGAAAATGGCGTCCTCCTCCATGACCACACCACGCCATGCAAGGCCTCGCTGCCTACCGTCTCTCCACCGGCCAGCTTCACGGCCCTCTTCAAACCACACCACCCCGAGAAGGGCCAATGTGTCGTCAGCATCCTTGGCTTTGAGGTCAACACGGCCAGCTTCGCCATGTACACTTTCAGCATCTCCGTGCTAATCCAGGCGTTGCTCATCATATCCATGTCTGGCGCTGCAGACCACGGGCGGTTCAGGAAGCGCTTCCTCCTGTGGTTTGCCTTCATCGGCAGCACGGCAACCATGCTGTTCTTGCCTGTCGTGCCCAGCGTATACATAGTGGGCGCAGTATTGGCCATCGTTGCGAACACCTGCTTTGGAGCGAGCTTTGTGCTCCTAAACAGCTTCCTGCCCCTGCTGGTCAGATTCCACCCAACCGTGCGGTATGCTGTATCGAATGGGGATGATTCGACCGACGACTACGACGACGACGACGACGACAATCTCTCTGATGAAGCACGCTGCTCGAGCCGCCTTGCACGCCACGAACCGGTGTTCGATGGAGTCGCAGACGCAACCACCGCTCTTCTTCCGCCGCAGCGATCTGCGCCTGACCTGGCTAGTCCACGCACAAAAGACCGCTCGGCTCCGTCCCAAGAGCTTGCGTTGTCAACCAAGATCTCGTCCTACGGCATTGCAATCGGCTACATCGCTGCGCTACTCCTGCAGACACTCTCAATAGTCGTGGTCATTGCCTTCCAATCATCGAATTTCGGACTGCGACTCGTCCTGTTCATGATTGGCGCATGGTGGTTCATCTTCACAATCCCCAGCGCGCTGTGGCTGCGACCACGTCCAGGACCACCACTGCATATTGGTGACAACACGTCCAACGCCCGTACAGTGATTGCTTATTTCACTTATTCTTGGAAATCTCTGGGTCGCACAGCAATGCATGCGAGACACCTCAAAGATGTTTTGCTCTTTCTGGCCGCATGGTTCCTACTCAGTGATAGCATAGCAACCGTCTCTGGCACTGCTGTGCTCTTCGCAAAGACAACGCTAGGCATGTCGTACGCTATGCTGGCTTTGATCAATGTCATCGCAACTGTCTCTGGTGTGCTTGGCGCATTCACGTGGTCCCGAGTGTCACACTACCTCAATGTCACTCCTGTGCAGACAATCTTAATGTGTATCGCCCTCTTCGAAGTGATCCCACTCTATGGCCTACTAGGCTATCTGCCATCAATCCAGAGATTAGGATTTCTTGGGTTGCAGCAACAGTGGGAGATGTACATGCTTGGTGCAGTGTACGGATTCGTGCTCGGTGGGCTCAGCTCTTATTGTCGTGCCCTTTTTGGCGAGTTGATCCCTCCCGGTTTCGAAGCGGCCTTTTACGCGCTGTATGCGATCACGGATAAGGGCAGTAGTGTGTTTGGCCCAGCCATTGTTGGGGCCATCACGGATGCCTACGGAGAGATTCGACCGGTAAGCTGCCCCCAACAGCATGTTGCTACGAGTCCAGCGATACTAAGACTAACCATTGCAGGCGTTCTGGTTCCTTGCCATCTTGGTTGGTCTACCTTTCCCCATCATGATGCTTGTCGATATCAACCGCGGTCGTACCGAAGGCATTGCGCTTGCAAAAACCCTCGCAGAGCTAGACGTCGGTCATCGGAACTCTTTTGGTCAGCGCGAAGACTCCGAGGATGAGCTCAACTAATTGCACCCTTGACGAACGAACCTCACGAACCTTGCTGCATTTCAGCGCATTCGCATACGCCTTGCATCAAAACGGCGCTGGTGAATGCCCTTACGACTGCTGATAGCGCTCTTTGATACCCTCAATTAACACACAATCTTCTCTCTATTCGCGAAACCTTCAGTACTGCACGTTCGGAGATCGCCACGGGTCGAGTCTTCCCGTCGCTTATAACCTTGTCTACAGGACACGCAAAACTGGATCCTCGAGGCTGCATCGACGGCCATACCGTTGGTTCACATAACCTACAAGGCGTCAGCCAGCCACCAAAGCCATCGGGTCAGCCAAAATGGTCCAATTCGGTCGCCACGCCTGACCCCATACCCCACGCAGATGCGGACAGCACGGGTGACGCCGATCGTTGCACACTTTAGACGGTCCAGAGGTTCTTAGCGTTCTCTCTCGGTCATGCAAACGTAGACTCACTCACCCGCCTGTCAGGAATCCAGTAGACCTGCATGGATAGCAAGACACTTCAGCGCAGCCTCGGTGCAGCCTTGTTGCTCTTCGCCAGGCCAGAGAAGATGTGCCCCTCTTCTGTGCAGCTGGTTGCTGATCGAGACCAAGAACGACGGCAAGCTCAGCTCAGCACCCATCACAACTAGATTCATTCGGTACTTTGATATGCACAGTGGCTTCATCTTGACTGAAATCAATGCTGCGACCAAGGTGTGAATCGGGCGACTATGCCGACGTCGGGCTTCACCAGAACAGTGTTCAGTACCGCAAGTACTCGAGCCCTTTCAGGAATGGCGCCAGCATTACATCCACATACTCCAAGTGGACGAACCCCGATTCCTCTGACTCCCTAAGTTCTCTGTCGTTTTCCAGCCCCAACTGGCCATCCTCGGACTATAGCATAACGCTTGCAGATGGCAGATCCTTTGACGGCTCTATGGCGCTCTCTTTTTGCAGGGGGTCTTCATCGCCAGGGAGACAGGGGCCTACACATTTCAGTCTAAGAGCGGCGAGATCGATAACTTTGGCTATCCGTGGACGGGTGAAAACGCTTATTCAGCTTGGAATGATGGGAATGCGAACTTCAAGGTTGTCTTCGACGGAGGCTCGATCACAGTCTCGACCTCTGTGCAAATGAATGCTGGGGATGCTATCCCGCTGACTTACGTGTGGCTGAATACCGGCGAACCGGGCCAGAGCAAGTTCAGGTTTACCACACCGAGTGAAGCAGGATTCAATGCTGGAGATGGATACTTTGTAAAGGCCTGCTTGGCGAGCGTTTTTGCTTAGTGGATCCGAGCTCCATAGCTCTAGTGTAGCTAGAAAGAACACAGGGCGCTCCGGTGTTATGTACCAGAAGCTTCATAGCAGCATCCTTGCACTTCACTGCTTCGACAGTCGACCTTACTGATCATACTCGATCAACACCCACAATTCCCTCCAGTATGGAAGCTATCGAAACTTAGCGATGGTAAGGCGCAGGTGAGTGTAGCACTGCTTGGACAAAACGATACAGGAACTAGCGTACGTGGCTACTCTACTTCTCCTATTTTTTTTACTTCGATTTAATCAGCCCGCTTTTTGCTACCAACAACGTGCTGGCGCTTCTCTAGTTGCAGTTTTTTTTTCATCGCTATATTACGCTCTTAACTGTCCGTGTATGCGCCAGGCGACAAACTAGCTGTGGCGGGGAAACACTATACTGAAGTGAAACGCAACCTTAAGGTTGATGCTGAAACGAGTATCTACTAACGAACTTGCTAATCAGGTTCGATATTGACGTCGGCACCGGCAACGCTCACAAATCCTTCCCTGTTTTCGCCAATCTCCTCACCCACCGTTCGAGGTTCTTCGAAACAGCCCCCTCAGCCGGTTGGAAGGAAGTAGGAGAGTGTGTGGTGAAGCTTCTAGATTCTCACCTGGCTGTGTTCGCGCTATATTTGCACCACGTCTACAAAGGTGACTTGCCCGTTATACCGGATCCTAAACCGGCCGAAGATCAGACATATTTGATCCACCTCGGAGCAGCGGAACGTCTGCACCTTGCGAAGCTGTATGCATTTGCCGAGTGTCTTCAGTATATCAGAACGAAGAATGCAGGCATCAAAGCGTTTGTCGCCGCAACATTCAAGATGCAAGCATACGGAAAGTGGTGGGCCCCACGCCTAGGTCCTGTGAATACAATCTGCCAAGGTACCCCACCAAAGTCACTTATGCGACGGGTGCTGGTGGAATGTTACACAGAGTTCACGAAAGTGCACTGTACTGGGGAGGAGTTACAGTTCTATGCCGAGTTGGTGCAGGAGCTGGCGTTTAGCCTTTTGGAGCTCGGCGCCGAGTTCATCACGCATCGTGACAACAAGCATGACAAGAAAAAGAAACATTGGAAGAAGCATCATCCCGAGGAGTATCTGGGGGAAGAAACAGGAGAAACGGCATAAGCTTGGTCAGAGGTTGACGTTCACAGCCATCGGCCTTGGGCCCTAAGGAAACGAGTTGACTGACTAATCAGCACTTACATCAAGCGCATTGTTGCGAAACACCGGTTTCTAGAACCTATGCACGAATGGAATTGGCTTTGTTATGAAAGTAATGAAGACTGCTCGTCAGTCTGAGGAAGTTGTCTCACAAAAGTTTGAACGTCACGCAGTGAAGTTAATCCTTTGGCATCAAGCCAGAGTTGGTTGTGAAAGTGGAAGTAACGATCACGTGGCCTTAGGTGTGCGCCCGCTACCCATAAAGCATAACGCCTCTCTTTACATCCAGCTCATCTACACCAGCCGCATCCCCAGCAAACCCACCGACATCTCTCAAGACAAAGAGTCAACCCTCCTGTGCAAGCTCTTCGCTCTAGCCGTCTATCTCATGGACGAAGCAGCGCAAAACGCAGCACTCGAAGCCCTCGAAGCCAAGTCCGAAGAAGTCTCTACTATCGACGCAACAGGCTTCCCATCATCAGATGATGTGTGTGAGATCTACAACGCTACCACCTGTGAGTGCCTAGCAAGGGATCTGATTGTCGATGTCTACATGAGCAAGGCGACAAAGGAGGTGGTGAAAGGGCTTGGAGATACTCTGCCGAAATAGTTTCTGATGGACTTGTTGGCGAAGACGTTGCAGTGTAAGACTGAGTCTTCAACCCAACGATCGGTTTTCCCTCCTCGAGCGGTGGGCAGTGCAAGCCAAGGAGTTGAGCAGCCTTCTCCAGCGGTTGAGTTCCGCGAGTAGTAGTACTTTTTCTTCGGCTGAATCGGTTGTGAGCGGAGAGATAACTAAGCAGATTTGATGGACTCAGGATAAGCGGCCAAGGTTGAAATCGATGCATGCGATCATGAAGGCAGGCGGATTTTGTAATGAAGAAGTTAGTTGGTTGATAGCGTCTATCGAACTGAGTGAGAATATTTCTTCCTGTTATATAAACAGTGGTGAAACAAGTAACATCATAGTAGAATCGATAGCTGACAAATTTCATAGCTAGTGACAAGTTCAAAAAGGACATAGCATAGACTTACAAAAGTATCAAAGGTCTTTCGACTGTGTGCGCCTCAAGCAATTTTAGGGAGGAATGCAATTATCGAAACATCTGAGAAGCATTCTGCAGATAGGACTGGAGTCTGCCTGAACTGCACTATGAACATTGACTTGTAAATCACCGAAGCGCTAACGTGATAATCTTGAGTGGAGGGATTCTGAACAGTTCAGCGAGCACACATACTTGGTGCTTAGCTATGTGTTTCAGGTTGTATTGCTGGGAGAAAGTGGCGTTGACCGACCAGTAGTTCTTACCCTTACACGAGGGATCGGTCCGACCCGAAAACTTACAACCCACACATCGGACGGTCATCGGGCTATGAGAGAACCTGTACATCTTTCGACAATCTCAATGGATTGGACAAGCCATACAAGGAACAAGTGAGTTCTTATGACGCATGGATATCCCAAAGTTGTTTCACTGGAGCACACAATTGCAAGCACTCGACAGTAAACAATCACAAGGCTGAAAAATCGTCGATCAGACTATGTTATCGTCTACATAATACCTCTAAGCGCTATGGATTGCTAAGTTTACCTTTCGGAAGATATCAACGTTGATCATTGGCGTTCGCCTACCCTTGCAATCTATGTGGCTTGCACGGCGGTACACATGGTCTTAGCCCACCTCACCTGCAAAGCACTACAAGTATGAGCAGTCTGATCTGATCAACATTGAGCTCTAAACCATCCTTACCAACTTCTCGACTAATCCTTACTCGGGACCTGTACTAGACAACAGCAAACAGAATGGGTTTTCTCGGCTTCACCCGCAAGAGACCTCCCATCATCATCAATGAATACCACAACACGTATCAACAAGCCGTTTGTCCTCCTTCCACACCAAAACTTCATCATGACTGACAGATTTCAGACTGGGACCGCAATCGTCGCTGCCCCTACCCCAACCGCTCCACCGCGCCTTCCCGCTTGCCGCAGCTGCTACTCTGCTCAGCACACTCAGCTGTCTGTCACTCAGAAGGGTGTAAATGTGGGTAGAGAGTATTATGTTTGTATTGGATGTCCAGCGGAGGGAAATAAGGGGAGGAGCTGGATTATGTGGGCGGATCAGTTGGTTTCCTGAGAGTTCGAGACTAGTGACCGGGAAGTCTGTGTAGAGCCGGTATCAAGACAACCGGAGCCGATAAGTTCGAGGTGACTGGATCAAAATTAGGCCTTGTTTCGAATGTGACCAGTCATAGCAGCCAGTACAATGATTTAAGATCTGGCTGTTCTCAAGTAAACGGCAATGAACGAAGTGAAGTGAAAGCTCATGGCGTAAGTGCCCAGTGCGGGCTTGCCCACTTGACACAAAATCTGTCCGCCTCAATACCCACCTCGCCACACTCAACATCGCGACTCAAACCTTTTGACTTAGCTCAAAATGTTCGGAGGACCTACCTTCGGCGCAAGCGCGGCTTCATCACCTACGCCCTCCCGGTCCCAAGCAGATAATCTCTTCGGAGCAGCGTGTTCAACAGTGCGTAGTACGGTACTTTTTGGCAGTGTAGTCGTACTGTACGGCTCGTCCTCTTCACCGTTACGTCCCACATCATGCTATAGTACCTCCGTACAGTTACTACCCGTAGTACGTACCATTAAACACGCTGCTTCGGAGGCCCTGTACAGTCTGCACACGTTTCGTTCGGACAATGTCCACCATGGCCATCGCAAAGCAACCTCTTCATAGGCCCTGTACAACCTACGCGTGCGGCAGTCCTTTCGGCGGCACTTCACCAGGTTCGAATTTACTCGGTAGGGTCGAGTAATAGCCTGTCTCCAACTTGAATGGAGCTGCTTCTGCCAGCTCCGAAGGCAAACATGACCTCTTTACTCCATAAACCGTCACATTCTTCGACTGCGCCAAGGACAAAAAGCATGATTCCTTTGCGCTCCCTGCTGTAAATCCGGAAGCCTTCGATCTATAGCTTCAGCATTTGTACACCCGACGATTGCCAGTCAAGCCCAGCAATTCGAGTTCTTTTGATTACAATACTAAAATCACTCTCCTTTGCAATTTTTTTTTGTTTTGGCCAAGATCTTGCGTGATGATCTTGCAGCGAAGGACACCATCAGTGGGATCTACATAAAGGCCCACGAACAACCATGCGAGATGCACCCTCTGCTTCCTAGCGATGATAATATTGCCATCATCTACAGCGCCACAAAGGGGCTGTGTGGTACCAGAAAACTAATGGTCGACCTGTACGTGTGGAAGGTAGCCGGTCAGTGGGTGAAAAATCACATCAATGGGTACCTGCCGTACTCAACAGAGTTCTTTTCTGACCTCGCCGTTGCATTTTTAGATCAGCGAAAAGATCGCTCGAAGACAGTGAATATGGAGAAGGAGGTGTCGGAGTACTACGACAGTACTAGAGAGCGTCCTATCCGAGGTAAGCCTGTTGACTGTAACGCGCCAGACAATCGGACCAGGGAATATATCTTGCACGATCAAGGGTGGGTAGGAGGGAAGGATAAGTGAGTAAGTAAGATTTCGCCGCCACATCAATTCTGCAACTTTGCATCAAGAATAACAACTTACACTTATCAACACCCCTGACCGCTTGAACATGCACCTCTTCGACTTCAGTGCCGGGACTGCTGCCAAATCTATAGGCACGTCCCCTCCACAAACACCAGGCTCGTTCCCCCACTCGCCGTCAAAGGCAAACAATGAAAGCTTTGGCAACGATATGCTTACCATCCACGTCAGCGCCGGCGACCAGCGACAGACCTTCACTACGTACAAGAGCATCCTCGTTGAAAGGTCAATTTACTTCGCAGAGCTCACCACCTCAAACCCCGAAACAAAGACCATTGAGCCTCCCACAGACGATCCTCGCATCTTTAACCTCTGCTTCCAGCTCATCTGCTTTTGGCGTATCCCCAGCAGAAAGGACAAGCACGTTGGAGGCGAGACCTATCTGAAGGAGTACACGCTGCTTTGCAAGCTGTACCTCCTTTCCCACAAGGTCCACGACAGGAACGCGAAGAATGCTACTCTGAACGCAATCCGGGCCAAGTGCGAGTGATCTATCTGGTTTCTTAGCCTTCCGTCAAGTGCGGACGTAACCCTGATCTACGAGATCCCTGGAGCGCGGATGCTGATGGTCGACTCGTACATGTGCAAAGCTACGGGACAATGGATGAAGGATGAGTCAGTTTTGTTCTCGCCGGAAATCTTGAGTGACTTGGCGGTGAAGATGTTGGATCGATTGGAGGTGATGCCAGTACCTGGAGTGAGCGGAGAGTATCATGAGAAGTAGAGGGTCAATGGAGCGAAATGGTCTGATCAGTCTAAACGAGCGCGGTTTGGACGGTTTAGTAGAAGGGAAGCCCACGTCATTGTGACGGAGTTAGATATTTGCTGCCCAAGGTACAATAGCCAGATTCTGTGGTGCCGAAATGTAATTGCAATCATTCTCAACCATCCTGATACTGCACTTCCTCGTCCCAGTCCTTCAACCTGGTATGTGGGCTTCTCAACCAGGCGCTGAGCTCGTGCAGAAACAGTCTGCTACATCTTCGTCCCAGGAACTCGGTGAGAAGGTTCTCTGCATTCCCGTTGCTGGCCTTGATGTCTACCATTTTCAGGATAGACACAATGTACGAAAGCAAGAACTCAGCATTGCTGCTCGTCGTGGCTGCCTGGGATGCCGAGCCCGAAGGGCCCGTGTGAAGAAAGCTGAAGACACGCAGTTCACGCCGTATCCAAGTACGAGCTCGAGACTGTAGCTCTGGGTCCCCAGCGATCATTTGAGGGGTTACATCGCGGTAGCCAGAATACGGGTTGCTGCCTACGTGTAGTGAGTAGAGCCCCTTTCGATAGATCTCTCGACGTCTGCGCAAGGCTGGATCATCCGCGGGAGGAGAGAATGGGCGGTGAGTACACCTTCGTCGGCTTGGCAATCCATATGGAGCGAAATGTGATAAGTGTCCATGGTCGGTAATAGTAGATTGGTCCTTGGGAGTGTGGGTACGGCGAATACTGTAGCTCTTGAAATCGTCAGATGATCTCCAATCGTACTGAACAGCAGTAACGTCTGTCTTGCCTGGCCCCAGTCAGTGGCTTAAAAATGTCTATAGAGATGCACAGCTTACATAAGGGGCAAGTGGACCGCTCCTGGAGCCAGCTCACGAGACACACAAAGTCAAAGTTGTGGTGATTACAGGGGACCGTGATTGCCCTTTCGGTGACTTGTGAAAGACATATTACACATGTGTCTTCAGACTGCTCGCTATGCTCTGCTGTTGCTCCCATGCATAGATGCTTGTATCGAGGTTGGTGAACCGATGATTTCATGGGCGGAAGTGATGCGGCGATGTGGTCCGTGCTGACACTAGCGTGTTGTGACTTCCTTACGAACTCTCAGCTGCTGCAGCAGAGCATCCACTGCTCCTGCCTCGCCAACGAAAGCCATTATTTACTGCGGGCTAGACACCCTCCTTTCGAATACGCGACCGTCTTCCATCGCAGCGAATGCTGCTCGCGACAACGAAACGCTTCTCTGTATCGCCTATTCGCCGCTCGGCAGTTTCTATGTTAGCAACGTCGACAAGACCTGCCGTCGCAGGTCCTAGTGGCAAGCCGACATATCACACAGTGACTGCGCTCAAAAGATGGTCATGTGACGATAAGGACTTGCCTGCTGTCAACGACGTCAGGGCTATACACGTGTACGACTTCGACAACACTTGTATGCTTGATGCAGCCTTGTGCTTCGATCACTACTGACGATCGCAGTATTTGCAAGTCCCCTCCCAAACAAGCAGTTGTGGAACAGCGCCACGATAGGCCAGCTGGGAAGCCCGGACATGTTCATGAATGGAGGCTGGTGGCACGATGCCAACATTCTAGGGGCCACTGGTGAAGGCGTTGATGAAGAGGAGAAGCGTGGCTGGGCTGGCTGGTGGAATGAACACATTGTCACTCTGGTCGAGCAATCGATGCAACAAAAAGATGCACTGAACGTCCTCCTTACCGGCCGCGGCGAGTCCAACTTCAGCGACCTCATTAAGCGCATTGTCAGAAGCAGAAAGCTCGACTTTGACATGGTTTGCCTCAAGCCTGCAATTGGCCCTGCAGGGCAAAAGTTCAGGAATACGATGGAGTTCAAGCAGGAGCTGCTCAAGGACATCGTCTATACATACAAGGACGCAGAAGAGCTGCGAATTTATGAAGATCGCGTGAAGCACACGAAAGGCTTCCGCGACTTTTTCTTCCAGTTCAACAAGGATCTCATGGCTGGCCAGCTGAAGGGCAACCGCAAGCCTATCGTGGCAGAAGTCATCCAGGTTGCCGAGAACGCAACCCAGCTGGACCCTGTAGCTGAGATCGCCGAGATCCAAAAGCTGATGAACGCACACAATACTCGAGTCAAGAACGGCACAGCACCGCCCGGCACGGTGCCATATCAGATCAAGAAGACGGTCTTTTACACTGGCTACATGATCCCTGCGACGATGACCGAGAAATTGACTTCGCTCGTAAAGCTGCCCCAAGGCACACCAGACATCGACGTCAGGTTCCTTGCCAACAGCATCCTCATCACACCGAAGCCATGTCCGAAAAGTATCCTCGATAAGGTCGGCGGTATTGGAGCCAAGGTTAGGTGGAAAGTTACGGGTATCTCCTGTTTCGAGAACAAGCTGTGGGCTGCGCGAGTCCAGCCAGTGCCAAAGACAGCAAAGTTTTACTCTGAGAATCCTACTCCAACTGTTGTGTTGGCCATTCGCAAGAACGGACGACCAGCAGACGCAGCGCGCATTGTGAACTGGCACCCAGTTTCAGACGATCAGGCCTTCGAGTTTGATAGCGTAGTGGGTGAGAAGCAGATGCTGCGCATTGAAGAAGAGACTGCGAACGAGAGCGAGTGGGAGAGCTACTTCCCTAACAAGTCCTACCGTAAGCGCTCTGCAGAGCCCAACAACCAACATGGTGATCACCGGTCACACAACGCACGCGGCAAAGACGACAACCGCCCATCAGGATACCGTGGCGGCAACCGAGATCGTGGTCGTGGCGCCCACAGGAATAACCAGTACGGCAACCGAGGCAACCGAGGCGGATACCGCGGCGATCGCGGCGGTCGGGGCCGTGGTCGTGGTGGTGGAGGCGGTCAGTCACAGTACAGAAGCCTGGACGATGTTGGCAGCAACTACGGACAGTCCGGTCACGACAACAACCCGGACGCCTTCTACTGAGCAAAGTTCCCTCTCGCTCACCACTTACAAAAGTGGCTATTTCCGTCGTTTGTATCATGTTGCGGCAGGCTACCTGGTCAGCACAGCGCTCGGGCTCGCCAGTATCGCTGTCGACGTCTCTACGGCGAACGTTTCTCTGCATTGCGTGTCTTGCTACGACAGCAATTCTCGCGCCGCTCAACAAGGAGTCTCTTGCTTTGTACACCACAGGCATATCGTGCATTTTCGGGCGCATGTTTCCATCAATGAGATACCCAAGTTTCCTTTTTTGATAAGCAATCCTCGTGGCCGCATGACGACGACTGTGGGCAACTCCATATGCGTTGTCTTGGCTCACGTTGGCAGGTACCAACACATCTGATATGCAGGGACTATAGGCTGATACACGTGACCCGCCCTCGTTCTCAACGACTACTTCTGATAAGCCGGACGAAAGCATAAGTCAATACGAACATCAGAATCTGATGTTTTAACGCGCATTGCAGCTGACAATCCATGGCGCAACAGCCCCTCACACTTTGGTCTTGTTTCCGTAGGACCGCATTCTTTGTGGGCATCGGTTTCTGGACCCATCCGCAGATGACCATGTCCATTGCTTGTCCTTATCACCGAGGCCGGCGCATCTTCCGCCGTGTACATTAAGTTGCAGGAGGCTCTCAGCGCACACGTTCGAATCCTGTTCTACGATCGTGCAGGCTACGACAGGAGTACCTTGCCGCTAGCCTCAGCCTTGCCGAATGGGAAAATCTTCGCCAGGGACATAGTGCGTGACCTCACCAAACTTCTGGAGGCCACTCGGCTGGAACCGCCCTACATCGTGATGAGCCATTCGTACGGCGGCATACCACCACGTTTCTTTCTCAAGTTGCACAAAGACGATCCATACCATCACCGGCATGATACAATGCGACACCGCTACAGTGTTTATGCTTCAACCCTTCGCTCGTGTTCCCGACACAAACCTCATGGCTGTTGCTCAGAACGTGGATTGGGAAGCACTTACGCATCTCAAGGAGCAGTCTGGCCTGTCCGACGCTGAGTGGGACTATGTAGTCGGCACCTAAGAGCGTACAGACAAGGGCGCTGAAACTTGAGGATATACACGCCTCTGCCCACGAACTGGCGCTATATGAGCAATTCAAGCATCAAATATTGGGCGAGAAGCCGTTGTTGGTGCTGAAGTCCAATATGACAAGCTACTATCAACAGCTATATGACGAAGGAGTAAGATCGGGCGATGGATCTGAAGAAGGAAGGGAGAAAGCGAGGAAATTCATTCTGCTGTGTAGGCTGTATCACGATCAGATTGCTAGGGCGCAGAGCAGGTTGAGCTTGGATGTGGTGTACAAGTGTTTCGAAGAGTATGGGTACGATATACCGATTCAAAAACTTGCGTTCATTGCAGAGGAGGTGAGGAAGTACCTTCCTCGATTGGCAGCTATGTAGCCCTGTTATGTCATACCCTGCCTCCGTCCGTCGGAGGTCTCTTGCTTTTAGCGAGTGGCTACCGGATCACCGGACTTACTCGGACACTTTGAAATGCGTCTGAGTGACCTTCTTGCCATCCCTGTACCGGTCCAACACTCCGTTGACTTTCTCCACATTCAGTCCATCGACAACTTCGTACTTCAACGGTACCAGACTCTCGTTCCTGAGGTATTCCTCTACCCGATCCCAGAATGGCTTGGCTGTATTGGGCTTCATATGCGACAACCCGAGCACGTTACGCATCTCATATCCAGCTTTCTTCTCCCCAACGATCTTCGACTCATCGATAGCCCCGGAAGAGAAACGCAGGCGAGCAACTTTTCCGGTCTTGCTGGAAGATAGCGCGCTGATGGCGAGATGTTGGCCATCAGGCGGGTTTATGGCGTCGAAGGCATACACAAGGTCATCGCCGACAACATCGCGAACACGTTTGATGACTGCCTCGTCGCCACCATGTCTGTCCAAAACATGCGTCGCACCCCATCTCTTGAGTTCTTCTTCAGAGCCGCCAACAACTACAATCTTTCCAATACCAGCCATTTGGGCAAACTGGACGCCAAATCTTCCGCAGTTGCTTCCTCCGCCTAGGATGAGCAGTGTAGCTCCCGAATAGTCAAAAGAGACGTCTGTCTTTCTCCAGGGCGCCGGAATGTCCAGTCCACTGGGGTCGAAAAGACTGATGAGTGCCGCAACTGCGTTTGTGGGGAGTGTAGCAGCGTCGTGATCATTAAATCCTTTTGGAATCTTCGATGAGAAGTCCTCATCCACGATTGCATACTGCTGCAATGCTTTCTGATGATGACCGACTAGCTGTGATTGGGAGACTATCTTATCCCCAGTCTTGAACTTGGTGACACCAGGTCCAACATCTGCAACGACTCCAGTAATGTCATGCCCGAGGATGGCTGGTAGGGAGTCTTTGATAAAGAGGCCTATATCGCGAGCCTTTTGATCATGTGGGTTGAGACCTGCCACTGTGACACGTATTTGGACTTGTTTGTGTCCTGGTCGAGGAATGGGCCAGTCTGACGTTGACTTCACGCGCCCGCCGACTTCGGAAACAATCAAGGCTGTTTGGTTCAACATCTTCATTGCTCTGGCAGAGAAGTAGTGATTGGCAAAATAAGCCAGAAAGAGGGGTAGAGTATGGTTTCTCGATGGTTTCGATCGTGGCGTGACGAACTAGTTACGGGCAGGGCTTTACGTTTTATATTCAGCTCTTCTTGCTTTCAAGTGAAGCCGTAAGACCGATATTGCTAAGCAAGATGACGAAACATTTTAACTGTGAACACAATCGCGAAGTTTGATTTCAAAGCACGTGGTTATTGCATCTCAACCACACATTGGGACTACGTGTCTCCTTGGCAATATCGTGACACAACATGTCGCGTCAAACTAAGGTTATGCTGTGCTAGTGTAGATCTTAGTTGCAGCAAAGGCTGCAAGTGTGATCTAAACATTGGTCTGCCTGGTTAGGATTATGTTACATGCAGGTGGTTGATTCGCCATTCATTTATTCTTGATCAGTAATATTATAAATTCGGAACATGCGGGGTCCAAACTGTTAATAGGCTAGCTAGGACCTCGCTTCAACGCGAAGACCATGGCGAAACAACACTGTTTACATAGCTACTGTCCATCCAGCTACAATCCATCCATCTGCAGCCTCCGACTTCTGATATGAGGGCAAAACAAAAAGAATGTGTGCCAGGGTTGCAGCCCTGCATGCGCTAGTGCTTCAGAATGCTCATCAAAACCTACCCTTTAGCAGAGCGGACGCGAAGCCGGATTCAAGATTACGACTACGCTCGATCAGTTCAAGAACGGAGAACAGAACGCGTTGGCATCGCGGATATCCTGCAAAGTGCCTGGGACTGCACCTTCCGGGAACAGGCAACCGAGTTTGAGGTAGCATTGAGTTGAACTAGGTCAACCTTTGCGCAAGATACATCGCGAACGTAGACCTGGCTTACCAACGAAATTAGTCATGGAAAAGTTCAGCTCATGCGATGATCCTTCACGGCAACCCCTGCCTCATATCTGTCTTCTCGTTCAAGTCCCAAGCCTGACTGCTATCATTGTGCACAGTCGCCCTTCTCTTGCTCGGCGTAAGTTTAAAGCTACTGTCGATGTGGAAGTAGCTGTTGCCTTTGTTTGCTTTGGCGCGTGGATTGTTTGATGACACAAGAGTGTTGGCGGCTTCAATGTTGCCGACGTCGAAGACCTCGTCGTAGGCGAAACGGTTATTACGGCCAGCTTTGTTGTAGGACTTTACATCGTCGGGTTCTCCGAATCTGCAGGCTAGGGCGATGTGGGCTGAGTCGGCTTGGTTGGTTTTGCGAAGGACGGCTACGCCATACTATGAAGATGATCAGTGAGGAGCCATGGATGTTTGTCTGGGAAAATCACTTTCGTCAAGAGGCTTTGCAGAAGACGAAAGCTCTCATAGCTTACTCCATTTGTCAAGTCGAATCCTCGGATCTCGACACTGAATCCGTTCTTGAGCTCCTGTATCTGTGGAGCTGAGGAAAAAGTGGTGAGTTGGGTGGTCGTAGAACACATCTTGATTGATATCAAGATTGCAGATGAATCAATACAAATTGAGTTTCTTTCTTCTTAGTTCAGTGTACTGTTCCATATTTAGATGTGCATATGGGACTTCAGGTCATCGGCAAGAGCTCACCACCGACCATTGCCGACCGACTTGTCACGTTGCAAACTGGATTGTAGCCGTCTATGATGCTTTGCCTATCATTCTAAGCAGTTAGAAACGGAAAAAAGGCTTATATCCCTGCGAGCTGAGTTGCCTCTGTCAAAATTTGTAGGCTGCGTTGTTTGAATGAGAGCTCTTGAGATTTTGACGATTCGCGCTGGTCGAAGGTGCCCAAACAGTATTGTGCAGCATTTGTGTATGCTTCAGAGAGCATTTTCTAGTTTCGAGCTGCATCAGTGTTCAAGTCTGCAGTATTCCAATTGTTAGATGGAAAGTTGAAGTGACCTCGGATGATGGGGCCATGGCAACGGTGGTCATGGCGGCATGTAACCAGCGCTGATGACGTAATGAGCCATAGACGAGGAAGGCCCGCACCTGGACATTTGCCGTAGCCAAGTTGTGTCTTCCCAAACACTCTATCGATTATCGACCAGCATCACACATTCGCGATGGACAGCAATGACTGCATCACGGCAAACGGTCTTTTCGTGCATGTTTATGGTGCCGTCGTCGCAAGACAAAGTGTGATCTTGACGGCGCAGGCGATCGAAAGGAGCCGCCCTGCGAATCCTGTCACCTTTCCGGCAACGAGTGTATCCTTGCGCAGTCGAAACGAAGACAATGGCAAAACAAAGCCAGGGCGAATATTCCACAAGATTTGAAAAGCTTCGTAGAACACAATGAGGCTTTTGGAACTTCGGCCGAATTATCTACAGCTCCCCAGGACACTGACATGTAGAGACAAGCTCGAAGATCCTTGGAGGGATTTGGAACTTGGAAGAGGAATCGAGTTAAGAAACCCATCCGATGCGCTCGATGTGCTTGCACATTCAGATGATCGTTCACTGCTAGCCACGACTCGTGGTCCAGCCAATTATGGAACGTCATCTACGCCCAACGACCAGGAGGGTGGCAATCAGTCTGCAACGCTTAAGGGTCTCGAGTTGCTAAAGGTCAGTGTACTATCAATGAGTGTGATCTTCGAGCTATTGTAGATGTCAGTCATCCTCAACAAATGAACCTGCCACGCGCATCGACTGACGGTGACTTAGGTATGCGAAAATATACATCCTTACTGTCCTATAGTCCCGGAAAAGTTTCTCACGCCAATGGCTGTGGAACAGATTGCAAAACCTGATCACTTCCTTCTCACAATCGTGCTGACGATTGCGTCGCGAGATGCGTCGTAGCATGTACTTGTCCACTGATACTGCTGGGATCATGCGCACATACTACTACTAGACGTATTCCTAGCTCGGCCCTCAACTCAAATGCCTCGTACCGTCGGAGGCCTTTTGCTACTAGCTGAACGCCTCAAGAGCGATCTCGACGTCCATGTTTCGCGACTTCTTGACAACCCACGATTTAACTTCACGATAGATTCATTCTGGCCAGGTATTGCTGGTTTCTCGCAACCAACGGACTTGTCGACGTGCAATTGGCCTTTCCGAAAAGCTATGATATACCTGCGGGGTTTGCCAGTCCATAAAAGCGGAGCTTTCAGCTACCACCTCAGCGTTATCCTTCCGTGGCCCGTCCCGCTTCAGGCATGAGGCTATACGATTGCTGAAGCAAGCACACAATAGCATTGACTACGATGATGTCGGCCTCTTCTATTGTGAGATCGATACAGCAACAGTCGATCTGAGGATTTGAGCTTTTCGGCTTCAACAGGCCTTGCACGCGCACGGTAGTGGAAAGAACCCTGAGGGTGTTCGATCACTAGCTCATTAAGATGAACTTCCTCGAGGTCTTTAAGATGGGCTGGCTGGATCTAGGCACTCAGTGAACTGTGAAAGGTGATCATTCAACCGTCCAACTCCAGGGGTCTAGATGCTCAAACCCCCTCCAATATTCTGGGGCAAGCTGGGGATCCACTCACTACGGATGTGCAATTTACAAACGCTTTGGACTCTGTTTGGATGGGCTAGCAATCGCGAACGCCGAAGCACAGAACATGCCGAGTCGCTACAGCGTTGGAACAGTCGGAAATGTTGATCGCTGCGCTTCGCAACACTCTCGTCGTGTGGGCTCTCAAAGATTCGACAATTTGTTTTCGCATGTTCGAAATAGCATCGCAAACACAGCCAATTCGACTCAAGAACGTATACGTCCATATCGCAAGTAGTGTCGCAGGACGCTCTGCCCACAGCTCCGACAATCTCCACGAAACTGTATAACGCTGTCCCTCGACGGTGTTCTCTGACTAGCAGGTTTATTGATCACTCGTGTGGCTTTGAAGAGGGCAGCTGGAGGCGAGGCCATCTCCCGATGATTACCGAAGAGTCGCTAATAATAATAGGCCATGTGGAGAGACTGCATCGTTCTTTTGATGTTCATCGTCTAGGTTGCCCTAGGGTGATCTGCTAAGGCACGTACGATGTGCCAAGGCGACCGGATATGTGGCTAACGCTAGCTTGCGAGTCCATCCATGCACTACACAAGGCTGTCGTCTCGTAGCCTTGTAACGCACGTTCACGACGCTTCCAAAGACTTCTGGACGCGAAACGCAGGGGGTGGATAGCGTACCCAGGGAAGCCTACATTGCGATTCAGCCTCAAAGCGAAGACCGAAAGCGCTTTCGAGCGATGGCTTGCATGTTATGACCTGTTACAGATCAAAGCGGCGCGATAATATTGGTATGCTACCGGAGCCGCTCGAGGTTTGACCGAACCAATATAATCGACAAACCAAACCATTTGTGGTGGTTTAACAACGCTGTCCAGGCTCGCTGATGCGTCTACTCAGCTGCGCCTCGAGAACTCCAAGTGGCTCGCGTGCTCCACCTGCGGCCACTCCGTACCTCACGATCAATGCCGCTTGAAGGTATGGTTGAGACATAGTTTTTTCCTGGCTTCGCAATGGATTATATAAACACCATCTGCAGTTAAGCAAGAACACCAAGCAGTCCTTCACACTCCTTCCAGTCATTCTTTACATTTGCTAGATTCGTAATGCGTTCTTCATTCGTTTTCTCCGCCGTCGCAGCGTTCGCTGTAGTCGGAGCTCAAGACATCGACTTTGCAGGCGTCGATGCCACTCCCGACCCGGTGATCAACATCGTCTCCGGGCTGAAGGAGCAAGTCATCCCGTTCGACCAGAGCAAGGCTATCGCGGCAGTCGCCTCTAAGGTTGCCGCCGATCCGCTCGATGTCAAGCCTGCGTCCACGCCAACGGCCGTACCCAAACTCAGGCGGCACTTGAAGCGCGCGGCTTGTGATCAGGAGCCTAGCAACCCCAACACTTACGGCTTTGACCTTTCATCTGCCAACAACTTCCGTGCCGACACCAAGCTTGCGTCTGTAGCGGAGGGCGCGTCTACACCATCTGGGTACTTTAACACCTTCACTAACCTGCAGGGTGCTAGCAGTGCCTACGGATATCTTGGATATAAGGTGGTGACAAGCTACGACCCCTCAGAGTGCGCTTCGGAGTGCAACTCAAAGGAAGGATGTCTCGGTTTCAACATCTGTAAGTCTTACACTGATCATCCGCCATAACAACTCCTGACCACATTCAGTCGTGGAGCGTGACCCTTCATTGAACCCTGGCCCGAATTGCCAGAACCCTGATGCAGTCGCCAACATCAAATGCTCATTCTGGGGTGGACCTGTCTACACCGACACTGCGACCAACAAGGGTCAGTGGCGAGAGCAGTTTGAGGTCGCCATCGCAGGAAGCAATGGCTACTCATCTCTCAAGACCCAATCTGCCGACGGTTACAAGCAGGTCGAGCTTAAGAACAGCGCGATTAACGCTCCTCTCGACTGCAACAAGCAAGGATCTTATATGGGCTACCAGCTCTTTACCGAAGGCGCCTTCGATGCCAAGCTCTGCGCGACTGCTTGTCAGCAAACCAACAAGTACGCACTGGAACACCCTCCCACCACCGGCAAGCCTCAGTTATGTCGCTTCTTCAACACCTACATCTTGCTCAAGAACGGCGTTTCCCAGGGTCAGTACTGTTCCATGTATACTCAGGAATGGGATAGTTCCTTTGCGACGAACGATGGTCAGTACCGCGGAGATGACCATTACACCATTCAGTACAGCTTTGGGTTCACAGACTCGAGCGATGATGGCGTACCTGTCTGCCCCAACGACCTGGCTTACCTGAAGTCCAGCGGCCAGGAGTTCTGCACCAGCTTCATCGGCTACAGTCAACCCACCACTACTGCAACAGCTACTGCTACCACAACACCCGCCCTGCAGATTACCACAGTTACAAAGACATCTACAAGCTACACTACAAATGCAGTCACATACACTGCCCAGGTATGGAACGGAAGACGCGTCCGACGAGCAAACAACGGCACAGATGTGACCAACAGCGTCATCGTTGATCCTTACGAGATATCCATTGTGGCAGTCAAGACTCTTTCTCACGAGGATGATGCAAGCATTCCTAAGCTTAACGACACTATGGCGGTACTGCTCAATGAGGTTCAGAAGCGTGACCTCGCGACGCCAGCCTCCATCTCTGCTTGGCCTACCAGCAAGATCTCCGCAGCCTGCTCCCAGATCGCCACAGGCACTTCCACTACAACTGCAACCATCACCGCGACTGCTGATACTCCAGTGTCGACGACGACTCAAGACTTCCAGACCGTGGTTGTCGTCCAATCGACTTGTACAGCTCCTGCACCCAGGCCAACCGCTCCCTCTTACACGAAGATCTGCGGTGGTGACCCTTCCGAGGGCGTTCCAATGGTCCCTGGCGCAAGTGACAAAAGCTGGTATCGCGAGAGTTTTGGCCTTGCCTTGCCGTTCGCCGTCAAGATCTTCGAGACCTCATCTACTCAGATCACACTGAATGTTCGGGGCTCCATCCAAATCGGTAGTTACACATTTAACGTATTCTCCGATGCGCTCTATGTGTATGGTCCAGGCTGGAATCAAGGCGTCTTCTACAGTGTCGATGGTGCTATTGGGTCGCGAAAGATCCACTTCAGTTGGTTCACAGGCTCCTACTACTGGGGTCACGAACGTTTCCATGTCACCGCTACCTTTGACGAAGCCAAGCCTGGTGTTCTCGTTAGCAAGATCTTCGATACCTGGGGACAGGTTTCGCCCAGGCGTACCATCTCGGTTGTAGGTAACGGCAAGAATATCCCCTTCGCTCAGAGTGGATCCACCAATGTGCACGAGGGCCAGGAGATCACCTTCGACACCACTGGTGCCGGCAGTGTCTCGTCCAAGGATTTCGATCGTATCGACTGCTGCCACAAGACTAACTGGGAGTGGCACGTTTGCACTGAGGTGTAAGACTGACAGTCCCAAGGTCAACTTTTTTTTCGACATTCATTCCTTCACTTTGGACTCGCCTTTCGACATTCATTCCTCTACTTTGGCCTCGCCTTTCGACACGTCTCAAAAATCTTTCCTACGCATAGATAAACATATCACAGTAATGATAATTTCTGTACCTCAGTCCATATTCTCTGCAGTCGAGCCTCGACTTCGCGCTTGTTATAGAGGTTGCATTGTTCTTTTCATGTGCGTCCGTGCGTGGTGGGCCATCTCTTGCGGTTCCGACACAATTTATACGTACTATGAAGGCAGAAAACCCGCATTCATGGTGAGTTTTGAAAGCCTTAGGTGGCACTGAACGATATGCTGTAACTTGCCCTCAGAAGAGCTGTTCCATCCAAAAGTGCCACTGATCTTGCGTGCTCAGAATGACAAGCAAGCGTCTACGAAAGCTCCACGAACGCTATAATATCGCCAGACTGATTTCCGGTCTCGGTCTGGCAGAGATCAAGGATCACTAAGTACCTATTCGCATCACCTATTAACCATCAACATAGGCAGACGAATATGGCAGTGCTTAGTCTCTTGTTTTTGTTCTCAAATATGTCAAGCACCGCGGCTTATGTGGGGGCAAAGAGCTGTGAGACATCGCTGTTCCCGCGAGAACTATACCGCCAAGTTGAAGGATGGGTGGATTGGGGCGTGCCTGAAATGGGGTTGTTGGAGGCATGGGCTGCCGTACGGGCTACATTAAGTAAGGCGAACCGGCATTGAGATGCTGTTAGCTATCTGGGACCGTCGGGTCCAAATAAACATAGCAGCCACTCTGTTCAACCTCCTCTGGGGTTCGCACGACCTCCAGAAAGGTGTGTTGTACTGCATCTTTGCCTTTGACGCGGCGCAGCTGGATGCACCTTTCAACGGCTTCCTGTTTCGTTCCCTCAGGCCACTGGGAAGCAGCCGGCGCAGTCACTACCTAGAACTTGTATGTGAGTTCCTCTGGGACGTTTCGGAATTGAAAAAGCCGTCGCAAGAAGGCTTGAGGCTCGTGTTGCTAGGGGCCAATGTAGACATTCTCGAGCAGAGACTGCATGACACCAAGCTTTACTTGAGGACGTACAGCAGCAAGCGGAAACTTCAAACCTACCTTGTGGGGACATATCATATCCCGCGCAAGAGTGCGTCGATTCTCGACAGTGTGATCAAGTTCAGCATCACCAGACGCTATACAAGGGGCAAGGGGGTACTAGACTAAACATTGAGTGATACGCGATTAACTTTCAACCCTAACTGTCTCATTTGGTCAGCGTGCTGTTGAAGTATACTACTTCAAAGTTGGTGATCAAATGTGATGGTGGTAGTCCAGGCGCCCACGCGAACAAACCTCTGGCATATGATCGTAGCTCTAGAGCCCTGGGATGGGATGGCTTTGAGAGTATTGTATAGAAACACTTCGTGGCTGGAGATCAGTCCCAAAACTTCTCGCACTACAGCTTGCAATGCAGTATAGGTAAGGCGGCTCTATAGTGTAAACATCTCTATGGGTTGCCCACTACTGCTTGCCAATGACAATGTTATCGATACGCCGAGCCTGGAGAAACTCTCGAACGCTTTCGGGCTTAACCTGGGGATATCGCGAATTATCAAGATCGCCTCCAAGTGCCCATTTCCCAATGAGAAAGAAGTACGATATATTGCTAACATCAGACAGCACGTCACTATTCGCTCCAGGGCCAGCTGGGACTGAGGTTTCTACTTATGCATGCATGGTGGACCAGTCACCTTTCGCGCCAGTTTTCCTCTTCTGGGCAGCATCCGCAGTGCTTCCTTTACTTTCTAGGCTTGGTATAATGTCGTAGACTTGCCCCATGATATTTACGACCTGACCAATGCTCTTCCGACCTCCTACAACTATATCCGGGTCAGGAAAGCCTGCAGCACTAGCATTGTCTAGCACAGATTTTTTTTTTAAAAAAAAAAAACCATTAGTTTTAGAATCTAAAGCCACGGTAGCCACATACTCTGCCGCTGTCTGATAGTTTGTGACCTCCCAAGCCTCGTCGCCCCATCCACAGAACTGGAACCTTCTTGCGACTGGGTCCCAGCCACTTAGGGATTGCCAGAATAGCTCTGACATAAGCCCGATAAGAACGTAGACTCCCGCTACAGTTTTTTTGTTTTCAAATAAGCCGTGATATGCTTCATCGGATCTTTCACAGGGATTTCACCGATCTCTAACTTCTGATAGTCGCCTGTATAGTCGCTTGCAATGTAGCGCTGCACGCCTTCTTGCAAAGATCAGTAAGGAGTTTTTGCGCAGAGGTCATGGTCTCGTTGTCGGCGTAATAGCAAAAAACAATAGTGTCGGAGCCACAGACGAGAGGACGCAAGGCTCCCGCATCGTAGGCGTCCGTCTGAATGAGCTGCAGGCGTGGTTGGGTTCGGAGAGTCTCTGGGAGCTTTCTGATGTCGCGGCATGACCCTCATAGCTGGACAACTGGATTCTGGAGAAGCTGGGAGGCGACGTGTAAGGCGAGCTTGCTGCTAATGCCGGTAATGGCGATGGTAGCAACGGTATCTGGCATGTATGTACGCTCTTAACGTGCAATGAACAAGTTGGAAGATTGAGCTGATCGTGTGTTCGTGAACGACCGCATTTTCCTTCCAGCGCAACAACTTTGTATTAAGAATTGTACTTGGGGTCTCAAAAGACTAGTAACCATACTCGTCCGTGATTCCCCCATACTTTTAATCCTACGTATGATCTGCAGTCTGAGCGTATAGTTAGCGGACCAAGCGCCTCGCTTTCATCCGCCGTACAAAGCGTTCCCAAACTACAGAAGGTTCAGAATATAGCATCCGGTCAGTATTACCAGGGGGGCTACGCGACGTTGCGTACATGAATTGCACACTGGACTGGAAATGGCGGTCGCCCCAGCTGTTGTAAAAAAGATTCTGCAATGTGCAACATCCTAACCCCTGACACCGGCCGAGACTGCAGGAAGATGACTTGTTTTGTGTGCAAATCTATTTGGCTCCAGGCGATGAAATGAATCCTTAGCTTTGACAGCGCGCCTATCCTCGCCTCATAATGACATGCAAAATGTATGGACCACCCCTTTCTCGGTACACTAGCCCTCAAAGCCACACAAAGACCCACTGTCGAAGCTACCTGGAGTCGGTGGAGGAGCAGGTAGGGGGAGGTGTGGGCGGTCTACCTGTGATATGCGTGCGATTCTGGCACTATGATGAGGTAGATGACGTTACCATTCATGCCGTCTGTGAAGGTATGGCTCAGGGTCTTTCTCAGGGTCCTGGGCATGTCAGAGAGCATGTATATAGGGGTCAAGTCTCCACCACATACTACACGGGTACATCTGGCCACTCAGAGTACCCCTTTCGCCTTTTAAATGTGAGTGACAGGCTATGGCTACCATGGGGAGGGGTGGTCCGCACATTTCGCCAACCACCAATACCATGAACTAGAGCTTACAGTATCTGTGCGCGTGATGCGCACCTTCGCGTGATGCGCACCCCAACCACTTTTCTGAGTATAGCAAAATGAGGCTGTACAGCCACCCATAAAAGCAATTATCGTGAGAAAAGTTGGTAGAGTAATGTATTAATGTATATGAAAGTATCCCGTGAAGGATTAATTATATAGAGTTGCGGTGCGGCCGCTGCGGGTGGTGTGGGTGCGAGGTGTTGGTGCAGGCAGCGGTGCACCACCTGCACTTTGCGCACCTGCAACACGACACTTCTTTGTTGCAGTTGCTGAAGGAGCATTTGAAGCTTTGCGCTTGCCTTTATTAGGCAACTGAGAGGCTTTTTGAGTGTCGCGAGCTTCTTTATCCTTGCGTCTTTGCTCTTTGCGAGCATTGATTGCAGCACGCTCCTCAGCGCGTTGTCGGTCACGCTCTTCCTTCTCCACTGCACAACGTGCCCGCCTTGCATTGTCTTCCTGCTGTTTCAGTATACGGAGGTGCTCTTCACGCTGCTTTTTAGCTACTTTTTCTGCATCCTGTTGTTGTTGATACTTCTCAAAAGCTTTCTCACGAGCGTCGGCTTCACGCTTTGATGAAGGTGACCACCACTTTGCTCCGCCAGGCCGATTGGGGTTGCGAAACATCAGTGGCAGCGCTTTCTGCTTATCCTTGACCTTCTCCTTCTCTTGTAGCGCTGTTTTTGCACCCTCTAGCTGATGTTGGAGCAGTGAATTCTGAACAGAAAGGTGGTGGATGTATTGCTTCAGCTCCTCTACAGCAACAACGTCATTCTGCTTAACTGCAATGCAAAGCAGCGACTTTGCTTTGAGCCATGGTGGCTCTCTGGAGTGAGTTGATAGCGTAGTTTGCAGCAGAGGTGTTGATGGAGGAGCAGGTGTTGCTGGCTTGAATTTTGAGAGTACTTTGTCAGCGTTTTGTGGGAAGAGACCTGTTGCTTCGAAGCTCTTCTCCACCAACGTTTTGGTGAAAGTTTGCACCCAAGCCTCCCAGAATAAGGGGAAGAAGTCGCTCTTCTTCAACGGCAGCCATCCCTGCACCTTCTGGGTACGTTTATCAAGGGCTTTGGTGTAGTTGTGGCTCAACGGAGCAAAGCACACTACATCGAGCGGCTGCAATCGATGGGTACTGTGTGGCGGGAAGATGAGCAAAAGTATCTTGTTTTTATCGCAATAGTTAATGAAATCCTTTGTAACATGGCTGCCGTGCCCATCAACGATCAATAGTCGCCACTTTCTGCGGTTTTTGGGCTTTGTGTAGCGATCAAAGACCTGGTGAAGCCATGTCAAACCAAGGTCGTTGTTTGTCCAGCCATTCGGTGATGTAGTGAAGTGTACTGAGTGCTTTCTTGGCTCAATTGAGCTTACCCAGGAGCTCTGTACAGCTCGGCCAGCGGCCGCGTAGATGATGCCTGGAGGTAAGACACTCCCATCAGCGCAACAACAAGCCAGAAGAGTTACCCACTCTCTGTTGCCATCGTGGAGTGACTGCCTGTACTGCTTCAAGCCGTGTAGACGCTTATCAAACACCCTCTTGCTCTTATGTGTGACACCAATCGCGAAGCCCTTCTCATCCATATTGTAGCACTGCTCAGGCTCCAGCTCATATTCAGCAATCTTTCTGTGCACAAGCTCAAAATAGAGGCGATATTTATAGTATGAATCAGCTTTGTGGCGTCCAGTTTCCATTGGCAAGGTCCATCGATTGATCAATCGGTCGGGGTGACGAGTGAGGAGGCGCCCAACCCACGCATCTGAGGGCTCTCTTCCGGCAAGAGGAGTCGCAAAATTTCGTATCATTTGCCTTGTAGGCATGAGGAATCGTTCAGTAAGGCTACAAATGTATAGTACAAGTTCTTCTTCATCGCGTGGGTGGAGGAGTCGCTGGTTGACTGACTTCTGTTCATGCGACACGACTTGACGCTTGTGTTGACGTGTCAAAGTTGAGCGCCAACAACCGTGTTTTTTTGCAAGTGCGCGGTATGAAAATGAAGCGCCAGATGGCAATTTACTGATCTCATCAAGCGCACTTTTAACAGACATTGTGGTGTTGAGATAGAGCTGATGCAGTTTGTATGAGAAAGTGGGTGGGGTGCGCATCACGCAAAGGTGCGCATCACGCGCACAGACACTGTAGGCGCACTCACAGTCACTGACAGAAAACCATCTACTATCACGACATCATTTACTATCACAAAATGTCGCGGGTTGTGCACGTAGTACACAGGCGAGGAAAAAGTTGAAGTATCAAGACGATTATTCTACATGCTACGGAGGGGAGCTATACATAAGCAAATGTCTACGTTGTAGCTGTCAACATATAGCCGTGCGACATAGCAACGAATGAGCAGGTAAGCGCATATGCGGCCAACTGCAGACAGACCCCGCAGCTGTGATAACATCATTACAATAGAACTCACAAGTTCTTATCATTGACTACAACGCTGTCGGCTTATCGCAGGGCTACTACGCCTGCTGCTTTTCTCCTGTCGATCGCCTTTCCGGCGCTAATGCGCCTTGCTTATAGCGTCCGCTGCACCCTGCTTATAGCTTTTGCACCACGCTTACTGGATTAGGCAATTCCCCATATCTGTCTTTGTTACGGATGGATCCGGACGATATGCGGAAGCACGTTGTGATTAGAAACGCTGAGCAGTATGGAATAAATCGCGACCACTTCACTTACGCTTTGTTGGTATCAAAGGTTATTTCTGACACGATTTCATACTTAAAGAGACACATTGTCTTGTCTTTTGCCTTAGTACTACTCCATCATGTCACCTTCATTTCTCGTTGTTGGCGCAACTGGCAACACTGGCCGGAGCACAGCAACTCGCCAAGCTTCCTAACGTCGAGGTGGTTGAGCATAACTGGACCGAGATTACTTGTTGCAGTAAATGCAATAAGTGAATGTGTAACCGTGCAGAGCAGTAAGTCAGGGGTAACCGCGCGAAGCAGTAAAATCAGTATATTCTGTTGTGTGTTGTTCTGTGTTCTGTCTCAACACCCAGCGGGGTCTGTTTACATGACGTATCTGTCGTGCAGCCAGAAAGTGCTGTTGGAACAGGCAAGAGCACTGCACCAGCACACGTGGCAGACATGACCTCTTCACTCCATAAACCGTCACATTACTCCCCAGTGGCTGCGCGAACGTGGAGTGGTTCGAGCCTTCATTGCTGCACACAACCAGCCCAACCAATTTGCCGAGAAATCTACATTCCATATCGCAGCCCTCCGTGCCGGCGTCAAGTACGTTGTCAGGATCTCGACAACGGCTGCAAATGTACGTCCAGACAACGGTGGCATACTACCCGCGTTCGCATTGGGCCATCGAAACCATGCTCGGCTCGCCAGAATTTACCAGTTTGCAATGGACGCCATTGCAACCTAACATCTTTATGTGGCATTACCTGAGCCCCGCTGTGGAACTGGTCAAAAAGGTCCGCGATGGGGGCAAGCAAGTTCCGCTCCGCTTGTTTGTAGGTGCAGATGCGCCAGTCGGTATCATCGATCCTGATGAGGTTGGCTTCTTCGCAGCGCTTATCTTGCTCCAGGAGGACATCTCCGTACACAACAAGCGTAAATATGTACTCAACGGGTCGGAGGACATTACTGGAAGCCAGCTCGTTAAGATGGTAGAGGATCACATTGATGCTAAAGTTGAAGACGTCAAGTTTAAAGACTTTCTGTTCCTGCAGGATATGGTCGCCGCAATGCCGCACGAGTCAAAGAACGTTAGTCTGTCGTTAGAATGTGCTGCAGAGTCGGTGTGGGTGGGAATGACCTCGGCTAAGACAACAAGTACGGAGGAATTGAACTTGCAGCGCCGAAGAAGACGCCTGCTGAATATTTTGAGATGATGTCACAGTAAATCATAGCGATACACAATCTATAACTTCGCCTACCCATCCTTAAAGGCCTTCAACCCCCTCCTTTCCCTGTACTGAGAGCTGTCTCCAAATTTCTTCGCTCCCATTTCCTTTGATTCGTCTTCGCCTTTCTAATTCTACACTCTGGGTTCTGCTGTCCGCCCCAAGGAATCTGAATCGAACCACTTCCAGTCCCGTCCAGGTCACCAGAGTTCTCCAATGTTCCTTACCTATGAGCCGAGAGCTCCTGTACAACAACATCACCGAACAACAACACAGATAGAAATACAATCATTGACCACAACCTCTGTTCGCCAGCGGTCCGTTGCAGTGTTTGCCAGCAGTCCGTTGCAGTATTTGCTAACGGTCCGCTGCACTAATTGTCCAGCTCATTCGGTTAGCTCGGGTTTGCCTCCATATCCGTTCACGGCTATTCCCTTCTACTATATCGTCCCGATGGATCCTCGCCAAAGCTCTACAGATCAATCAATACTCTCAACTGTTACTGCGTGAGCAGTGTCGGTCGGAGGCTGTGGTCAATGATTGTATTCCTATCTGTTGTTTTTGTGGTGTCTGTGTACAGGAGCTCTTGGCTCAGAAATAAGTGCACTTGCCCTCGGGCAGTGCCTTCCTCAATAGAATATCATGTGACTTAGGCCACGTAGTTACATCAACCCTTCCCCAACCTCCGACCGACACTGCTCACGTAGTTACACTATGCATATAGTCTGCTCATTGTCACAGTAGATGACAGGTCTCACATCCGGGCTGAATCTGATGTGTTTGAAAACTCTGTTCCACCACTCCATTTCTCCTCCAGCTACAGACAGGGCTACCAGCTCTGCCTCTGTGGTAGACTTTGTGACTGATCGTTGACGTGTTGCCTCCTAATCGATACACATCCCATACGGTTTGAACATGTATCCATACGAGCTCAGTTTGGATTCTTCATCGTCCGCGAATGCTGCGTCAGATTCTTCATAGAGCGTCGACAGGTCATTGATCTGGCTGAAGTACGTTGTGTTGTTCCTTGATTGATTACACGCTCCAACAGCAAGGTACTTGGTACCAATCAGGTATCTCCAAATATGTGTAGCGGCTGCCAAATGCTTTTTTCCGGGTTCTGTAGGTGATGTGCTAAAGCAAGGCGGAAGGGCGGAGGAGCTGCCCTATCCATCATTGGAGACTCCCATATGTCACGTGAGACAACCAACCAGACTTAACAACGTATTGTTCGAAGTAATACCTGTTGTGGTATTGGTTGATCCATACAAGGTCTGGCTGTACCTCTGACAGACTAGTCTAGTGTGTGACAGGTCACTGGCCCGAGGTCAGGTATATAGTCGTCATCTCCTAGCTAGATAGCAATTTAGCGCAGTCTTCCATCGACCCGATAGTCCTACGTTATTGTTTACCGTAGCTATCAGTATACCACAGCGGCCCATGCCGCCACATTACCACATAGGAGCCTTTCGCAGAGCCATGTCCTTGAGCCATTGTTCGGATGCTTCTGGACTGCTGAACGTGGATCCATCTACAGTTGTTGATGTCTTAATATTTCTCGGTGAGGGAACCGTGTAGCACCGAGATGTCGTGGATTGACCGCGCCGTAGTTTTATCGCCACTAGCTATGTAGCGGCGTGGGCCGCTGTAGAATACTGATAGCTACGGCAAATGACAACGTAGGACTATCGGGTCGATGAAATACTGCGCTGAGTTGCTATCTAGTGAGAAGAAGACGACTATATACTGACTCTGGAACGTGCTAATCCAGAACAGTCTAAGTAAGGGTAATAGGGTCTCGTATGGACCGACTAGTACCGCAACAAGCTATTACTATGACAACAACCACCCTCCACGAACGCTGCTCGTCATCGTCCAAGGTATGCTTCTGACAAAATCCCTCGGATGCCATTGTTATGACCTCGAGTACGACAGATTGATGTCATGACCGCGAGTACGACAGACTGTTGCCCTGCAGTTGAACGGTGGCTTCGGACGTTTTCTTCCGAGCAGCCAGGAGTACCTAACGCTACATCGTCACAGCCGCAACTGTGAACGCTACCAACTTCATCAGCTGGACAGAAACGAACGCGAGATATGTCGGCCTCCCGACCTAGAAGTCCTCACAAGCGTCCGCGAACAAGGCGCGACGATGAATTTTTTTGGTGAGCAGAGCGCATCCGACACGGTCACGGAGCTATCGGAAAGAACGAGGCTCTCACAGCCATCATTCTCCGGCAGGTCGTCCTCCAAGCGAGCAACAAGCCCTGTACGGGACCTTTTGAACGACCTGCGCGTCTCGAAGCCCGCTATCTTATGTGACATACCCTCCACCGTCACGCTGGCCGAGCACGCTTCAATCCTGCAACACGGCCTTATGAATTGCCTTGAAGAGAGTATCATACCGTTAGGTCTCAAGGTGGCAATTGTCTAGCAGTTCTGAGACGGACAATGGCTGATTGGAAGTCCACCACAGGATCGCGTTACTACGACACACCATTCGGTTGCTGCAAGCATCCCAGCCTCTTCGTACGATGCCTCGGATACTGTTCGCCAGCGGTCCGTTGCAGCGTTTGCCAACGGTCCGTTGCAGTGTCTACCAGCGGCCCGTTGCAGTGTTTGCCAACGGCCCGCTGCACTGATAGTCCAGCTCATTCGGTTAGTTCGGTTTGCTTCACTGCTATCCCCTTCTACTATATCGTCCCGATCGATCCTCGCCATAGCCAAATAGACCAATCAAGACTCTCAACCCTTCCACAGATACTTTATCGGTGCCGGAGCTTGACGCATTGTGGGACTGTATTGAGGATATTCTGGGTGAGAGCAGGGACTGCGGAAGATACCAGTAGGATGAGAATGCGTGGTGTATGAAGGTGGTACATCCGCTTTTGCGCCTGGCACTGAAGGGAACGTCTACTCTGAAAGTGGATAGCGTGTCTGTCAACGTCGATGTTCCCTGGGTCTTGTCAGGGCTGGCCATGATGTGCGCAGGCAAACTCAGACGATCAATCCTGACGTACTACCGATCACGCACAATAATTATCAAGTTCAAAACAAGGTTGACTTTACCTTCTCTTTCCATCGCAACACACCGGAAGCTTCTGATCTCTATACCAGACTTGGTCTTGCTGGTTTGGCCGAAACACTCGGTCAGACAACGGACGCAAACACAAAGCGACTAGCTCTGTTCTCTGGTATCGCAGTGAAACAAGGAAACGGTGGGAAGGATGAGGCACTTGTGCATCTACCGATATGGCTAGCTGCTGGGCTAGAAAATATAAGGCGATTGGGTGATATGGCCCAGGAGCGGCCGTACACGGCAGGAGAGCTCAAACCAACGGTTGGCTGGACAGTCGTTGGGCATGATTGGCACACCTAAATTGCTTGTATGGCTAGTGAAGACGGTCGAGATACATTCGTATGAGCACCCCTCTTGCAAGTCTGTTTGTCGGCAAGCTGACGGTTTGGGTGCAGAATGTCGTTGGGCCGTGGAGAGTCGCAACCGCAGATACTAGAGACGTGTTTGGCATCTTCAAGCTGTTGCGGTTGGTAAGAAATACAGCGGAATTCGTGTCGAACGAGTACTGGGAATGGTTGCGGGATGAAATTCTGATACCTTGTACCACTCTTGAGACCTGAACATGTCAAGCGAGGGCGCGATCGTCGCCGCGACCGGTACGCGTGGCGTGCTCAAAGAACGGATAGCTCTGCATTTTTCAGGATCATTTTTAGCAACAATAGTTATGACAGGAAGACGGAACAGATCAGAGGTGTATGCTAGAAGCGGAAGCTGCAAGTACCGCGTGAGGGTGAACTCGGCGCAACGGATGAGGCGCCTATTATACTTCACGGCTTGGTGATGCTGTTTTCCATTTAGAATTTCAATAATGGCGTCGGTAAGCTCCACGGATCCTGCAGCCCTGCATTTGGCTCGTGTCTGCCGCCGCGCACCAAGCTAACACCCCCGTTGTAGTGCCCGTAGTGTGTCCGAGGCGTTGTGGCTCCGTCAGCATGCTGCTATGCCTCTTACGCGACTGCACTGTCGGCGTCCTCATCCGAAACCCCAAACTTGCGATGGGCAGTTTGTTGTCTGTGCCGGCAGGCTAGGCCGCGCCATGGCTTCAGTAGCGGAAGCCGACCACTTGTGAGACGGTCCTGGCGTATTCCACTGGGTGAGCGGGGCGGATACGCTGCTCCTCAAGTGGTTTCCTCTGAGCTCACTCAATCTCATCGTCGGTGTGGCCCGGAGAGAGACAGCGCAGCGGACGACTGACTTTGACGCTGCGACTAGTGACCTCTCTCAGCCTACGAATCTGATTTTGGGTTTTTGTTTCCCTTCATCTACAGCTGCGACGATCTCGAATGCAGCGTTGTATGGCAGCATTGATGCGCCTTCCACGGGCTCTGCGCCGTCGTTATGCGAGGCTGATAACCTTGGTTGCTTTCGTCATGTACGTTATCTACGAGACGACGCTCATCCTGCAATGTCTAAGGAGTCCTCCAACCGAATCCATCGCTCGCCAGGCTGTACGCGTTTACATCGCCGCTCTGCACTGCAACAGCGAGCAGATCTTGCGAAGTCACTGGAACGCCGCTGTAGTCGCACTCGCACGCGCCCTGGGCTCCGAGAACGTTTTCGTCACCGTGTACGAGAGTGGGAGCAAGGACGACAGCAAAGTCGCGCTGTGAGAGCTCGACGCATCGTTGGATAGGCTTGGAGTCAATGCAAGGAAGTAGGTCATTCATACGCTTGGCGATCAGGACATCACAGAGGGTGAGAATCCCGTACATGGTCGCTAGTCTTTACCGTGTAAAGCCCCTTCGACGAGTCGAGTTTGTTTGGGAATGCAGCTTTAAATGGAAGGTAAGGTTCTTCCAAGGCTCAATGCTAAGAACGGCCTTGCACCATAACCTGAAAAATCAAGAAAGAGCTCTCAATCTGTCAAGAGTTATTTCATCTGGACCTGGTGAGCGCAAAAGAAGCCCCTCCCTCTCTAGTCTCCATGACAGCGACTCGCTTCGTGCTGGACTTGTCCTCCATGCTCACTTCCTCAAAGAGTTCCTCGTCGCATTTGGCCGCCTTTTCGAATTGTCTCCGGTCGAATAGGGCAGCCACGAGACCCACAAGACCCAGTCTCATCTGCACTTGACCAATCGTCTCTGTAGTCTTCCTGACAGCCCCGATTCCGACTGCCAGCCCAAGCACTGCAAATCCCATGTTAGCGCCGATGAGGAACCAAAAGCCAGCGATTGGCAGCTTCGTCACGATCTTCGAAAGGCGTGCTTGAGCAAGCAGGCTTGGCTGACCGATCGTCTGCGAAGCAAGCGGATAAGAGTATGCTTTGCTCATACCCATCTCGAAAGATCGAATAAAGTTGTCGGGTGAGCTGCGGGATACTGGGCCAGTGGATTCGTCTTGGAAAATGTTGGCCAAGGTACCGATGAAGCGCGTTCCAGGCATGCTTGAGATCCCTGCTGTACTGCCATTGCTTAGACTTTGACTAAGGATTGTGATCTTTGATTCAACCGAGGCGTATGTCAAGTCCCATACTGAACAATTAGTGCGCTGCTTATACAGTTTGAGAACAGCTTACCTGTGATGTTACAGTGCAAGAGTACAAATACGCCCAGAAGGGGGTGAGTCCAGACCCTAAGGTCGGTTTCGAAGGTGTGAGGTAGCTGCGAAAAATCTCCTTGCTCTGCGGTCGGAATTTTTCGCATTACAAAAGCATTCCACGAATTTCTTAAAATGTCGTTTGCATCTTCACCGCCGTTTAAGTTATCCCGAATGGTCCTAGACTCTTCAAGGTTGAGTACAGCGCTATTGAAGAAGGGGGCACTCTCTGCAGCATATTTGTGGAAGTTCATCGTGTGGGTTTTCGTGTTGTGAGATGTAAGGTTTCCGGCGATATCAATTCCCGCCTTGTTGCTTGTACAGTTAAAAGGTACCAACACAACGGGAGTACCTTGACCGTCCTTCGCTTCAGTCACTGGCCTATAGACATCGCACCCACCCTGAGGGATCGCAGAGCAGGTGGTAGATACACCAAAAGAAGAAGCCTTCCAGTCCATTGAAGGCTTCGAGTCTGCCGGACCTATAATTGCGTATTGGACACCACTCGAGTCGGTAAAGCTCAACACCTTATGCTGGCTAGAAATCGAATTCTTCATATCCTGGATGATGCTTGCATTCGTGGGCGCAAGGCTCGTCGCGTTGTTGTAAGCAGCTGATCGCGCTGTGATAGCACAGCCCCAGTAGTTCTTCTGGCCAAGATCTCCTACCACCGGCCTTTCTAAACACCATGGGGCGAGACCTCTGCTGTATGGATAGGCTACTGGGGAGAGCTCTTGCACTTGGATGAACTCAATCGCTTCAGCAGCAATATGAAAATACACATCCGCAGCTTGGATTAAAACACTGCTTGTCGTCAGAAGTCGTTTAAGTGATGTCAGATGTTTTTCTTGAGGTACCTTGCGAAAATGCCGGCCATCAATACTGAAATTCCGCGCCTAAGAATTTGCGGCAATCGGTGAGAAGGGTGTGTGTCGTCCTCTCTATCCCAGAACACTGCCTTGAGCTTCGAGGTCGAGAGGTCCCAAAGTACCATCCATTCCGCGTTTAGAACTCTCAGTAGGGTACTCAATTGGCGGGGCGTGAGTAAAGAGCCGGTTTGAACCCCGTTAGAAGCACGTAGGAACGATGCTGCGTTTGTGTATGCATGCATCGTCATTAGAAGTCCGATCAGGGCGAAACTGACCGTAGAAGAGCTTGAAGCGATGAAAGCAAGCCGCGCTGCTGGAAAATCGATGTAGAAGTGATTTCTAGATGTCGTGTTGATAGCGTCTAGCTCATGGCAGAGCTCCTCAACCGGACAATTCTCGTGAACGAGATTAGCGAACACGATCCATACGACGACGGAACAGGAAGCCAACATAGGAGTGACGATGGCTAAGCAGCAAAGAACGACCTTGCGCCTATGCAAGCTGCAAGCAGGCATGCAACGCATTGAGATGATAAAAGAGACTTGAGAGTATTGAGGACGCTGTACCGCATGTACTCCATCTATATCCAGAAACCTGTATCTTATAAGATCACTCAAAGCCTCTCCAGTGTGAGCATTCATCGATGTTGAAGCGCACGATTTGTCCAGTGACATCTCCTCCCATGTCATTCTTGCAACAGGTTGATCCTGCTGAACGTATTGCGGCACAGCCGCACGTCAAACAGCATGAGCACAAGTGAAGCATGGTAGCCTGATAGCTCCGTAACAGCGCCTTGTCTCACAGATCTGTATAGACACTGCGCCCTTCCTGCATGTATTCCGGACACCTTGGCTCAAATTGGTTCCAGGTACTGCACGAAGATACTCATGTTTATCTTGATGCGTTGAAGTACTGGTACTTTTGTTTAGAGGTCACAAAAGAATATCAGGCGCGACAAGGTCTCGATCACGAGATAGAGTTCTGGATTACCGTTGTTAATCAGCGAAGCAGCTTGTACTGGCTTGTTGGGTGAAGAGTACATCAAGATAGTAGCCGAGCGTTCTGTAAACGTTTGTAGCGGAGAGCGATAGAGATGCCTGTACGTCGAGGAGGAGTTTGCCGTCAGACACACCGTGGCGAACAATAACTTGCCTCTGTATCACAGCTTATCTTTGGGATGCATGTGGTTAACCAAATCCCAGATGAAACAAAGGTATGTTGGGCTGCGCCGCATGCACTGCGTCTGAAAGTTGTTTCAGGGCTACCGTACCGGTACAATCCCTGCCGTGCAGCAACGCTTAGTGAAAATGTCACCAGGGTCGCCTCTTGAAACAATGCAGTGCATGACTCGTATAGCAGACACTGCAGCCCTGTGACACCAAGTGTTTGCTCAAAATCACAAACGCAACGCTCTCTAACATCCGACAGATGCTCATATGCAAGCGTGCCCGAGACACAGAAGTGTCTCACGGTTCTGTGTGTATGTTACAGATGTGGGAAGTAGACTATCTAGCTTGAAGGTTGATGAGATTCCAATTACAAAGTTAATGGACAAGGTTGAACACAATACCATAAGAGCAGTGTTACTACTTGCTATATACTGTATGAGAGGGTACTGCTTGTTGACAAGCAGTCCAGGTTGATCCAATGGAACAGGGGTGTTGCTTGTGGATGAGCACGCATGTGTGTCATGCTCATTGATGAGCAGTCACATGACTGTTGGTTTGTTACTGAGTCCTGCGAATGCGCCTGCTTGTAACTGTCTGGTCTGGTTGGTGGTTACTTATTGCTGTATCATCTGCCGTGTGGGATGTATGATTGTAACACTTGGGACATAGTCAATAGTGAACCGATTCTCCAGGTACTCCTCTCAAACAAAGTGGTAGTGAATTCTGAAGTGCTTGGACCTGGCATTGATTCAATGATCCTTGATCAATGCCATAGCAGACTGACTGTCTGTGATAAGTGTATACTGAAACTTCACAAGTTGGACAACCGTAGCAGCAGACAATGACCATGGAATCCGAATAATAATGTCTGATAAACCTAAAACTGCCCAAGTGTGAGGGGGTTAAGATGAGGTGGTGCCCAACAGGAGCATCAGCGTATTAACCCTAACCCCCCTAAGCGCACCCAACGAGGTAAGGCGCTCTCATCGGAGCCGCAAGATGCAAGCGACGCAGAGACGAGCTCTGCCGAGGAGTAGCATGACGGCATGGTACAGACTACGTCTCTAAATAGTGTGCTCTAAGACAACAGCTTTGATTCTCGTACGTAGCGCATGGATGGAGTGAGAGCAGTTTCGACAGTGGGGAAGGGGTGTTTTTCCGGTCTGCAATTTGAAACAAACAATCTAACTTCTCTACATGACTTACTCCTCCAACCTTGCTTGCCCTTCCGTGAACGCGTTACCTCAGTGACGCTCGGCCAGCAGGGCCAGCTTTGATGCATGTCTTCGTGCAAGCACGTCGGGCCGCGCGGAAATCGTTCAAACACTCGCTCAATCGCATCGCCACGCCTCGCACTCAGACGTGTGCCCAGCCTCTCTTGTTCAACACCTGCATCTCATCGACAATGCACGCCTCTCCAGCATCCTCGACTTGCCCGCTCAGCCGCTTCGAGCTCCCTAGTCTGCCACGCACCTTCCACCTCGCGAGCCAAGGCGACGTCACCCACCGACGCACGCAATTCTTCCACAAGGCTTTCAGCACCCGCCAGAAAGACAGCGGCGACTGCTATGAATGCACGGCATCACAGGCTTCTGCGCTGTAAGTCTGTCAGAGTTCAGTGAAAAACTGTACGCAAAGGAAGAAGTTGAAGATTGTACTGAGGTTGTATCGAGTGAAGCTACGAACAGTATATATAGGTGAGTAGCTGTAAACAACGCTAGTGTGACGTGGCAGTTACTCTCATGGAGGTGAGGTACGACAGGCAGGAGCACCCCAAACCGTGACAAAGTCACATCATGTTGATCAGCCTGTTCGTTGACGTCTGCTCTATGACTGCTAAGGCATCAAACCACTATAAGCTTCTGGCTTAAACATTCAACGGATACTCTCGAGCCTGCTAAGCTCACATCGGACTGTGCTTCAGCCCGGACTTTACGAGACTCAAGCTAAGCGAGCCAGATAGTGTCTCCAGGTAACAGCAGTTCCACTCGTGCATCTAGACCACGTGGTACTGCCAGGATTGCATAAAACGAGAAAACTTCTTGTCACAGGCCGAACGCTATCGAGGATACGAACTGTCGTCATAACTGTGTTGTGTGATGGCCTGGATATTATGCTTTGCAAAAATCTAGGGACCCCCTCTGTTTGGTAGCTCAAGAAGAGCGTACCAAGAAGTCGAAGTAGGGGGGGCTTGATCGGATGATATATATGTGGGCTTCTCCACGTGCTAGACCCTGAACCAGACCTTCACCACCACTCGGAAGCCACGGACGTAGCAGAGGTCAGGTCAACGTCGCTGTTCTGTCTAACCTCGTCCCTCTCCACCACTATTCTTCTTCTCAATTTTGGCTGTTCCTTAACGTGCGTCCATCTACAAGCATCACCAGAATACTCAGCTTGACAAGGCGATTAATTAGATACCCACATCACGTATCCGCCCCCTCCTCTTCTCATAGTTGCCTATATGGGCATAGTTCTTTGCCAAAGGAGGGGGTCCCAATACTTTTGCAAAGCACCGATACAGTCTACGCAAGATCGCTAGAAACGATATAATATATGCCCAATCCATACTACTCTGCATTACCCCAAGGTGCTAAAGTTTTTCACTATATGTAGCGTTGGATCGTGAGTGATCAGTACGCATGTGCTGAAATATTGAAGGATTGAACTGAGGGTGTATTGGGTGAAGCTACAGACAGTATGTATATGTGAGTAGCTGTAAACAACGCTAGTGTGACGTGGCAGTCACTCTCATGGCAGGTGAGGTTCGACAGACAGGAGCACCCCGAACCGTGACACTATACGACTTACCCCTCTTATTGTCACGAGCTTTGCTTAGGTGATAAAGCCCACTGTTCCAGAACCTGTACTCATCGCTGAGAACCAACTGAACTGTGTTTACAAGCTTTGCTTAAAGTACAACTTCAACACCAACATCCTGTCATGGAGTGACAATACTGGCCCTAGGGACTGTACACGTAAGCTTCGGTAACATCTGTTGAGACCCTGTAGCGGAGTTATGTAACTCCGTTAAGCTATCCTCCTGTATTTAATGTACCTTTAGCTGCCCTGTTACGTAGTTCTAAAGAGCTACATCTTGTAGAATACAATCTGTTACTGCTGTCTGTTTCCGTTACGGCCACCTGCCGGCCAGCTCCCTGACACATCCCAGAACATTGCCAAAATCTGTACCAAGAGTCTCCCGCGCCCGCTATTCCCCGAGATGGTTCACATGATTGGTTTGGGATGACGTGATGCTTTCTGGTACTCGGAGAAAGGGGAGTGTTGGATCTCCATACCAGAAGGAGGTACTGTGACATGGCTTGTACCTGCCACCAAACTTTACTAGTACATATAATTTCTAAACATTGGAGATCCTCCAACTCCCACTCAATACACTTTTACCTCAACAACATGATAGGCTGAATGTTGGAGTAGTTGCAATGAATGAAGTTGTAACCGCGCAAGGCAGTAAGTCAGGGGGGAACCGCGCGAAGCAGTAAAATCAGTATATGGTATTGTTCTTGTTGTTCTGTGATTGCCTCTCACCGGGCCACCAGGGTCTGTTTACATGATGTATCTGTCGTTCAGACAGAGGTAGAAAGTGCTTGTTGGAAAGAGAAAGAACACTGTATGATCAGTCGCAGAGGCGTTGCTTCATGCTACACTCAGTGAGTTTTGTCATTACCGTTGTCTGGGTAAAAACGCCGGGGCATCATCACTTCCTACGGCTGATGAGCTCCAGGCACGCAAGTCGCATTGCAATGGCAAGGCTTATGCCAAGATTGAAACCGTGAGTGAATCAATGGAAGATAACGCACCGCAAACAGCTTGCGGGAACAGGCCACTTTTGATGTGTTATCGCGACGGGTGTGCAAGAAGTCCTTGCACATACGATGCTGGTTGCGGCCGCATTTGTCGCTCGTGCAGCATACAACCAATTCTGTCCAGCTGGGATGGTTGTCGTCGAAAATTTCGAAAATGGTCCACTGCTGACTGTAAGCCACGCTTGCGTTGCGACGCCATATGGATAGCACCTCGATAGAACTCGCACTTCGTCGGAGTCGGAAATCCGTCCATACCGTGTCCGTGCCACTTTCACTGTATACTTTTAACCCTCTGTAACTCAACATCACTATCCCTATATAGGGAATGATTGCAGGCATAAGTGAATCAGGCTCTAACAAGGGTTAATTCAATTGCCCATAGATTTGTGAGATTTGATTTCGTAGGGAGCCCCGATTTTCACCGCCCAGGATCCTTTGCGATCACCTACTTCGTGTTTGTGTGTCGCTCATCGTTAGTTCTCTATCAGAACGTTTTTAAACCTCATTCGCCATCCAACATTACATTACTATCATCCCTGAGGGCTGTGAGAACCCCCAGGACAATAGCAACGATACCACACGCGCCGGGATCAGGCATTGAATCTGCCTCTAGTTCTACAGCTGACGCTGCGCCAACATAGGTCGATCTACCGTAGCGACTGCGCTGGTGTCGAGTGCGCTCGCAGCCTTCTTTTGCAGCCTCGAAAGCAGCCTCGAAAGTAGGTATAGATTGACCAGATGCGCATTGCTGTATTTTCTCAACAAAGGGAATAAGCGCATCCATCATGGTACGATCTCCAACGCCAGCCGAAGTATATCTGCGCATCGTGGCAAGACCTCCACCGAGCGCTTCGCTGAAGACGTGCAACGAAAGCCTTATATTTGGATCCAACTTCAATTGCTGCTGGATGCTGTTGGCAAAGCCCGAGAAGAAGATCGAGTATAGGGCTCCAGATGTACCGCCCATCTGTGAGCCTAAGATTGTGGTCAGACGTTGCACATCAGAAACGAAATCGCCCGGGCTCGATGGGTCGTCGTGACTGATTGTGAAAGCATTTACGAGACCAGAGCTTCCAGCAAGGAGAGTGGTTCCACAATCACCGTCACCAAGGTGCGTATCGAAGTGAGTGATCTCCGGCTCCGCGCTTCTCAGAGATGAGTCGACTCTTTCTAGAATTCGATGCAAGAGGCTTCGATCATCTGTTCGTATGTCAGTCTCAGTGTCAGAACTAAGCACGTTCGAGGGTAATCGGCTCACAGGAGATCTTTGCTTGTGCAGAAGCAAGGACCGAAGTGGCATCGTTGCCGGCGTTGTCAGCTAACGGACTATCGGCTCTCCGCGTGGAAGGATTCGGTAACGCAGGTTGCCAATTAACACTCTTGGTCGGAGTGTCCAGTAGCCTGAGTAGGTCCATGCCTTTGGCGCCATTTGGCAAACTGAAAAGAGTGATGCTGAAGCCGGACCCATCTAATGAGGAGAGGTAGGTACCAGAGAAAACTCGACAGGGGTTAATTCCATACTCGCTTTTGAGGGCGAGTAGAACATGGTCTGTCAATGAAAGGAGCTCCAGTTTTGACAAACCACCCAGATTGTTGATAAGAAGAACAGTCTCCGAGTCTTGATCCCGCTTGAGGTACCCGTACTCTGGATTTTTCTCGTCTAGCAAAGTCGAAAGCAATGTACTGATCAGTTCAGCTGTGCTGCTATTAGTTTTCATCTTTCGAGTGCCAGGCTCGTTGTGGATCCCCATCCCGAGTTCTACTACATCAGAATCGATCTGTCTACCCTTGGGCGCACCAGGGATCGAACAACCCTCCAGCGATACACCAATGGTTGCAATTCGGCCTGCGACAGTGCGCGCAATAGCCGCGACTTGAGGGAGGGAACTGCCTTCTGCAGCGGATGCTCCTGCTATCTTGTGCACGAGAACAACACCAGCCAATCCACGTCGCCCAACAAGACCACAGCGAGAGCGAGGCACGGAAACATCGTCCTGGACTGTTACAGTTTCGATGTCCTGGCCATCATAGGCTCTGGATAACTCAGTGGCGAGGCCAAAGTTTAATCGGTCACCAGTGTAATTCTTGACAATGACGAGAGTCCCTTTGGGAGACGCGACATGGCGCAGACCGGTTCGAATGTGCTGTGCGTTCGGAGATGCGAATATAGGTCCGCTCACAGCGGCATCGAGCATACCTTCGGCAACGTAACCAGCATGACCTGGCTCATGACCGCTGCCTCCGCCGCTAAGCAGAGTCACTCTGGACAAGTCGAGAATTGGCGGACGGTATACGACTGAATGTGAGATCAGCACAGTTTTCAACAGCAAATGCACCCTGAGACTTCAGAACTCACCCCGGGCTGCTGAATCAAGGCACAATCCAGGTTGCAGAGCAACGCATGCGCCAAGAGCAGTATCCACTAAGACACTAGGGTCTGACACGAATCGTTTGGTTGCTAAAATCATGTCAAAACTATCATGTTCACTATGGTACGACAGTCCCTTACCAACCATCTTAGCGTTCGCGTATCACAACAGTGCAATGTTTCTTCCGCGGCTATCCTGACGCGATAGGGAAGGAGTCACGACATTTGTACTGATGCCGGCCCATGGGCCGGCATGAGTGCGATCTCACAGTAAGGTTGCAATGATCGTAAGTTACAGCCATGCCATTACTCCCAGTTGCTCCGGGGAGTTGTCGGGTAACGCCAGATCAGGCGTCGCATTTCCCCCGCGATGATCATAACAGCATGCATGGCCTTGTGCACGACGCTATCGGGATTTTGCCGAACATAGCCTCGGCTTTGCCCGAGCCTGTACTTTTTCACCTCGATGCTGGCCTTGAATCGTTCTCCACCTAGCTTTTGCTTACTGCGCCGCCATGATTGTACTGACAGTACGGAGCGTGCAGCACCGGGCTGCACTCCCGCGTTTCACCGCCGCCTCGAGGCGCTATGCGTCTCCTTATTCCACCGCCTCCAAGCCACGTGTGGCTGTGCTGTACCAAGAGCTCGAGCCTCCCTTGATCAATGGTGTATGCAAGCCCAAAAAACCTGGAGGTACGTCGCAGGCCAGTCGGTACTGTTATATCACTATTTGTTGGATGCACAGGTGTGCAACTGAAGCCTTAGCACACCCTCACCCCAGCCTCAGGAACTAACACGTCGTCGTGAAGGTTACAAAGACTCTAGCGCAGATATAGCATATGTGCTGAGGCATCAATGCAACCTCGATGTGATAACACCAACCTCCCTGCCAGTCCCTCAGAAAGACAGCGACTGGTGTTTTGGCGATACAGAACAAGGAATTCTTGCAGCAATTTCCAAGAACGCGACGCACCTCTGGGCGAACACTATCTTGTTTGCCAATCATCCTCTCCAGACATCAGCCAGCGTGGCAGCTGCTTCGAAAACACTTAATGTTGTTGGACAGCCGCCTAAGTTGGTTGAACTTTTCGATGACAAATCCTTTGTCAACAATTTACTTCGAGCTCGTACTGGCTTTACACTGCCGCAAGCCCGAGACATTCATGATGAGAAGTCTCTGAAAGGCGTCCTTCGCACAGAATTACGGTATCCAATAGTCGCCAAGCCTGTACGCGGCCGAGGTAGCTACGGGGTCAAGGTGTGTCGTACACCAGAGGAACTAAATCACCACTGTCGCGAGTTGTTGAATCAGCAAGCGTCCGTTATCGTCGAAGACTATCTTGCAGGCCAGGAGGCTACTATTACCGTTATGCCTCCATCGCCTTCGACGGGACACAATGACTACTGGGCGATGCCGGTTGTTGAGCGGTTCAATCACACAGAGGGTAACATAGCTCTTCAAGCAGGCAATCTCTACGAATATACACTTACTCTCTTCTAGGTATAGCGCCGTACAATGGAATTGTTGCTGTTCTGCAAAACTCTCGATGCCTTTCTAGCAGCGAACACAAAACCGATCCACATTACGGTGAGATCCAGCGTCAATGCGTAATGGTGGCGAAGTTATTGCAGTGTACTGCTCCGATAAGAGTCGATGCTCGTCGGTTTGAAGAGGGGAAGCCGTCACCGTTCGCTTTGTTCGACGTCAACATGAAGCCGGTAAGCCAAGAAACACCGACTCGATCAAGAAAGTGCTGATGCATCTACAGAATATGACTGGTCCAGGTAGACCTGGAAGAGAGAACCAAGCCAGTCTGACAGCGTTAGCCGCGGCGGGTATGGGGTGGAATTACCCGACACTTCTGATGAAGATACTAGAATCTAGCAGTTCGTTGCATGACTTGAGAAACGTCAAGTTACCAGACGCCATTCGTGGCTAGCCATGTTAGGTGTAACCAAAAGCAATCCAAGTCCGTTTCAATGAGGTGTATCTCTTCAATTCTGCAAGTTTCGTCCTCCTCTAAATCAGATGATGAGGCCGAGTTACTGTATATGGGCTGCATATATGAATACGTCATGAGCGTTGTATATGGCTCGACAAAGTACGCTTCAGCCCCTCTGTGACCATCATTTGTAGTCGCTAGTGTGCAAAATGACCGGATTTCCTATGGAGAATTTTGAGTCTGCGGGCACATCCTAGATGGGTAGAAAACAGTCTACAATCGCGCGAGGGATAGTAAAATGAATGTCATTGTTGTCATAAGAAGAACCTATTCTGTTGCTGCAGTCTGCCTGAATATGGAAAAATTGCCCACAAGCCATCGCTACACATTAGCTGTGCCACTACTATCAGATGAGGTGTTCAGGTGATGTATCGGAAGCTCTCCATGCGCTCTCTGTTCTCCGCCTCTGTCAAACCAGCAATATCAGCACGAGCCTCTCCCTTCATCGCCTGCGCGACAGACTTCTCGCCTCGCTCAATCTGCTTGTTTGCTCTTTGGAGAACGATGCGCATCACACCAGCGGTCAAAATAGCAACCAGTGCGAACACTGAGTTGACGCTCATGGCAAGTACATACCGTGGAGCACTGTGATCGGCATAAAGGTAGGACGTCCAGACCTGATAGTCAAGTCAGCGATGTTTCCGTTGTGGTCCGACTATGTACGCAGCGCCGGAACACTTCTATGCATGTTTTGGACAAGAAGTAACCAGCCAAGCAGAGCACCTGTCCCCTGCAGCTTGATGAGGCCATAAGCTGACAACAGCTGGCATAGTTACCTATGTTGGAGAACACTATAGAAACTGGGAATGGGATGTTCGTACCTGACTAGTATTTCCAATCGCGTTGACGAAGGCAACAGCGGCGGCGCGTTTGACACGGGGACGCAGCATCGTTTTCTGGGTCCAAGCGAGGCACACCGCGTTGCTACCATGACCACCAGCCACCATGAGGATCATCGCAAAGTAGCGCACACCGGTGTTCAACGAGGCGGCAGCGATAACGAATCCTAGAATAGCGAACCCGAGCGGCCACATGATATGGAAAGATGAATTCTTCAGTCGATCTGCCGACCAGTTGTTGGCGATGGAAACGAAGAGAGCCAACATGTACGGCGGTACCGTGAGGAGTAAGGTATTGACGCGGTTAAAACCCAGAGTCTGAACAACGCTCGGGAAGAAGTTTGATGTTGCTGAAGCGACCTGGATGCAAAGGAATATAAAGGCGAATACGTAAAGCCTCCAGTCGTGGAAGGCGGCTTTGAATCCGTACGACCAATCTTCGTCGTCCTCGTCGACCTGGCCAGCGTCCTTGACAAGACGCCATTCGGCAACAGCGCGTTCGGTCTCAGTAAGCCAACGAGTGGTGGATGGCCAATCGGGAAGGACCAAAACCGCAAGTAGTGCGATAAAGACTGTAATTGAACCCTCGATGATGAAAAGCCACCGCCAGGATTCCAGGCCTCGGGCGCCATCCAATCCAGATTGGATACCTGCACCAATGAGTCCAGAGAAGGCGCTGCCCAGCTGACTGCCCGAGAACAAGAAGGCGCTTCTGACACCCAGCTCAGATCGCGTGTACCATGAAGAGAGAAGGAACAGTGCACCAGCTAAAACAACCGTTAGCCTACTCTATCGCCATCACGCAGCAGCGATAGCTTTCAGTGACATGTACTTACGGTAAAAGGCCGCCTCGACGAAACCAAGGAAGAAGCGGGTTGCGTATAGACCAGCAGCGTTGTGCACAAAGCCTGTCGCCAGTGACAGTAATCCCCAAACTGCCATGATGCAGGGGAGATACAAAGAAGGTCGAATCTGAGTTAGGAAGATGTTGGATGGGATCTGCATGATCACATAGCCAACGAATAGGATTGCAACCGCTGTCGCGTATTGTGTCGAGTTGATGTGTAGAGACTTCGCAATCCCCGCTACTTTTGCCGCTGCGATGTTGTTCTGGATACTGTGTAAGCTTTGATCATGGAGTTGATGTGTTTCACTGTACACGATCCAGATAGTTCAGCACAAAGATAAGCCAAACCATGGTCATAAGACGTATATCGAGTTTGCGCTTCAATTTCTTCTCGACGTTTGCAAACTCTTCTTCTGACATGGCTTGCGCAGGGCCAAGCCGATTGTCGTTGTACTCGATTTTGTCCTGGCTTAACTTTTCACCCATGGTGTGAGCAATCTCGCTTGAAGTGCCCATTTTGGTTCAAAATATCGAAGTATGTTACCAGACACTTGTCGGTTAATTCAAGAAATCTTGTGATGAGTACAGGTTTCAGATGGGATTGCAGGCCTTCAAATGAGCTAGATATGGACACGAGCACCATCATTCTCCAGGTTCCTTAGCTTGCGTGGCTTGCGGAGTGTGCCCACAGATGTGGAGTACCCCGGACAGTGAATCTCTTTGCCCGTGCGCAAAGGGTGGATGCGCCGGCGGTGTGAAAGCGGCCCGGGGCCGAAAAGCATGGGGTAGTGACGGTGGCAACCGAAAAGGCTTCGCTGCTTAAGTGCACGCCAAGGTCCACTACAGTCCTCTGATATTGCTGGAAATACCTTGAGTCTCCTTCCGTCCCCGCTTCAACAGAGACGGCAAATCCCAGTATTACTCCTGAATCGAGTTCCATCTGCATTCACCATGACACTTATCCACATTGGTAAGTTGGCTCGATGATCCTTATCTCGATTTGATTATCTCACGCTGGTCCAGTTCTGTTCAAGTTTCGTCCGGAAATCAGCGATGAACACAAAGCCACTTTTGTCACAGAACTGAAGAAGCTTAAGAATCTATCCTGTGTGAAAGACGGCCGTCTCATCGTTGGAGGGCCATCGGTCACTGACCCAATTGAACGTAGCAAAGAGTTTCAGTTCGCCTTGATCAGTTATCACGAGAACCTGGAAGCTTTAGGCGAATACCAAGCAAGTCCAGAGCATCATTGGTAAGCAGAAACCCGGTGGGTACCGTGCACTCAAATGTTGACAGCTCATATAGGGTCACCTCGACGTACATGTTCCCCTATAAGGAAGATCTGTGTCGCTTTGACTTTAACGTCGACCCTGAAGACGAGTACATGTGCAAATTCATAGAGAAGTCATTCACTTGAAACAAAACAAGTGCACTTGATGGTGTTGATACGCCACCTAAGATTGGCCTAGAAGCACCTACATATAAGGAATCTTGATCTCTTTCCAAATGTCACCATTGACGCATAAATCATGACTGCGATCTCCTATGTTTCAAATTTTTCAAGTGTCTTCTGTGGTTGTCGAGGTTGTCCATGCCATTCCTTAGCACGTTTGTGATTCGTGCATCAGAGCTCTAAGTAAGTCGACTACGGCAGTTATGATCAGGCAGTGGAATCTGCCATCCAGCCAAAGTCGTAAGAATTCGAGAAGTCTCCGAGCTGTTCCAGAAAGTCGGGTGGTTCGAGCAGGTCGCCAAATGTAAACCCGTCTCCACTGCGTAGCCAGGTTGCATTGATATCCTCCACACGCGAGAAGCCATAAGTGTTGCTAGCTGATCCAGCTGCTGCCGATGCCTCGGCTGCTTGTTCTGTTCCATGTATACCACCTTGTCTCGGAACTGTGTCTGCTGCCGAGGCAAAAGGCAAACTCCCATTGCGCATGCGCTCAAGTGTTGAGGCGCTCATTCTATCAAATTTCTCCTTTGCATCCATCGCGACAGACCATGTCCGACCGAGATGCGCGAGTAAATCAGAGCAATCTCTGATCCCACACTCTATGTTATTTGTGATGGACACATTCAGTGTACTATAATTACTAACACTGGGAATCGCTGCTCGGTTGTTGATCCTTGGCAGTACCCAAGCAGTGTAGATGACCGTTATTCCGCTGATGAAGACTGTGTGAGCTGTAAGCCAGGTGTCTGGTAGCTCCCCGAGTCGCAGCTGCTCCGCATGAATCTTAATGACTTCAAGCGCCGACATATAGCAAATAACTAAAGCATCGGCAGTCGGACTCCGGAAAGCGGGGCTTGGTCGGAATAAAAGAAGGATGCACTGATGATACTTGAGTTCGATGGCGGGCAAAGCACGCCGAGCCCGTCCAGATGACATTCTTCGAGACGATAAGATATGTCTAGCAGTATCCAACAGATTGTTGCATGCCTCATGGGCCTCAGCTTGCCAGTTGCCGAGGTCCGTGGGCCATGGAAATCTCGTAGGGAGTTGCACGACCCGATACAGCATCAGCTTGATCTCTGCTGTGATACGGTCAAACCTAAAAGAGAATCTTGATGCTGCGTAGTCTGGGCCGGGTGTATGATCCAATCGGGCCTTCTTCGCTGGCGGAGGAGCTGTGGTAGAGTCGCTTGGCAGTCGGACAGATGTGTGAGATTGAATATTGAAGAAATCAAGATCGTTCAACGGGGATGGAATGACTGTCGCTGGGTAACTTGAGTATTGCGTGCCTGTCTCCCCCGGAAACTCCACATCGATAGCTTCGTCGCGAAGCGTGAGCGGCCTTCCAAGAGTGGTGGAGAGAGTTCGTTCGAGAGAGTACGCAGACCAGAAGATGCTGCTTCTTATGTCATCCTCTTCTGTGGTGACTTGGGGTCCTCTTGCTGTGCTTTGGGTATCTAAACAGGGTTTTGTCAGCGGGTGGATCTCCGGCAATTGTAACGTCGTGGCCTTCAACTTACCTACGGCGCGCCTTCGCTGTAATCCCAGGTCTAAACAGCTTGCGATGATAGTTGCTTCCAAATACCAAGCATTCAGCCCTTTAGGGAACCATAGACTAGCAAGTACAAGCAAGAGCATAATTTGAACTCCTTGCATACTGTCATGAAGCTGGACCTGGCTAATTTCAGCCATAGCAGAAGCCAGATGACCACCGCTTCGCAGATCGGTGTCAAGCCCATGCTCAAGGTTGCGCGCTCCCAAGGCAGCAACCAAGAAGAGAATTGCGAGATCTAAATCACCCCGATATTGTTGAGCTGGTGGTTGATTACACTTCCGCTCGATCATTTCATGGACGCAGTTTTCTTTGAGAAACGGGTAGAGGTGATCGAAGGTATCGAAATAGGATTCGGCAAAACGGTACATTTGCGCTGCTTTAGGAAGCGGTATGCAAGCAACAGGGCCATTCGCGCCACCTTGTCCCTGCAAGGAAGAAGGCGGAGTTGCGGCCGGTAAGCCCTGGGTTTGCGGAGCTGCTGCATAGATGAGCCTGGCGAAACTGACACCGGACGAAGGGCCAAGATATTTCGGGTCACTACTGGCATTGCCAAGTGAGAGCAGACCGACATCATGTGCCAAAGGCTGTTCTGGTCCTATACGGCTGCCGGTCGCAGATCCGGTCGGTGCATCTGTCTCCAAGACTGTTCCCGACTGGCTAGTGGTGTGATTGTGGTCGGTTATCACGCTAGGCACAGTATCACTGTTCGACTGAGATGTAACAGGTGGTATAGACCATTCACCTAAATGTGCCTGCTGTGTATTGGGGTGACCCAGGCTTTCACGTCTAGACGGTTCTGCGTCGAGGCCACGTTCTTGGGCTTGAAGCGTGCGAGTATCGTCTCTCAGAGAGGCGCCCGAAGGTTGGTGAACGGGTTCAGCAGTCTGTGACCTCTCTCTATGGGCTTCCGTATCCACATGTGGAGCATGCGTTCTTAATAGATCTTCCAAATAAGCGACTCGAGACTGGAACTGGTCGGCTCGTCTGCAGCAAGATCAATATTCTTCAGACGCACGTCTTGATGAGTACGAACACTTTATCAATCGCTCCATCATGGTCACAAGAGACGCCTGCTCGCTCACAATTGGAGCATACGGGTAGCTTGTTGTCGCATTTCGTCTTGCGCTGCCTGCAACGTAGACAGGCAGGGATGCGTCGACGTTGTCGGAGCGGCTGGTCGACTGCAGACTCTGACACCATGCATGCTCTTGTGTCCGCTGAGCGGAACAGACAGTATCGAGGACAGCAATGAAGTCAAGGCCGAAGATTCGGCGGCGGCCAGCAGCCGGTGATACCCCGTAGGTTTTAAGCTCGTGAGCCGGATGTATTCCCCGCACTCGGAACTGGGTAGCGGCCACGCTTCCACCAAGCTTCACCAAGCTTTTCATAACACTGGAACACCTGAGGTCGGCCGAACAATGCGCCTCTTTCGGCGAAATGCCGCGTGGGGTGCAACTCTAACGGCGAATGCCTGTCTATCGATGTTTCAATAATGTAGTAATAAGCCTCGACATGGTATCGGTTCTCAGGCAGCGCAACCACAGTCGTCTCATCCTCTGATCGCATTTCGCTTGTTTGATTAATCAACTTCGCAATGGCAGCAACTTACTATGCAGACCCTGCAGAAGCTGAGAGTTTCGCAGCGGCACTGTTACGCGCAGGCGGCGGTCTACCGCAGGACGAAGCACAACTGATGGCAAAGTGCTTGGTGCAAGCCGACCTCCGCGGAGTTGTAAGTCAAGCCTCGGCATTGTCATGTGTCTCGCTGACTTGACCAGGATACCCATGGCTTGGCACGTTTGCAGCAGTATATGACTCGTGTTAAAGATGGTCTTATCAACCCGACACCCAAACTGGAGTTCGAGGAGAAGACCCCCGTTGCTGCACACCTCGATGGTCAAAATGCTTTTGGCTTCATCGTGGCTACGAAAGCGATGGCCGATGCAGTACGTCGTGCGGAGACCTACGGCATCGGTATTGTTACGGCCAATCACTCAAATCACTTTGGTATGGCAGCCACCTACGTCCAACAAGCCCTTGAGAAGGGCATGATTTCTCTTGTTTTCACCAATTCTGCTAAGCAGATGCCCCCTTTCGGTGGAGTTGAGACACTGCTGGGTATATCTCCATTTGCTGCTGGTGCTCCGAGTGAAAACGAAGTGCCATTCATTCTTGACATGGCGCCTTCCGTTGTAGCCAAGGGCAAGATTCGCAAAGCAGCCCGTCGAGGAGAGTCTATCCCTCTTGGTTGGGCCTATGACAAGGACGGTAAACCCACTACTGATGCCGAGGTGGCTCTCAACGGAAGTATGGCACCCATTGGCGGACCGAAGGGTTCCGGAATCGCCATTCTCATGGACATCATGTCTGGCGTGCTCGGAGGTGCCGCATTTGGCGGTGAGGTCGGAGACCAATATAAGGAGACACGACCGCAAAACGTGGGCCACACATTCATCGCCATCAAGCCAGGCACATTTGTCGACCCGGCAACATTCCGTGAGCGCATGGACACACTGGTACAGCGTGTGCACAATGTAAGGCCGGCTGAGGGCTTCGATCGTGTGTTGTTTCCTGGCGAACCGGAGTATCTACTTAGCGTGAAACGGCGGAGGGAGGGTCTGGCATTTGCCGATGCGGAGCGAAAGATGTTTGAGCAACTGCAAGCAGAATTCGGTGTCAAGCCGTTGAGGTTGAGTGAGACACCACTGAACCTTACAAACGGGCAATAGATATAACAGTACCATAGCACCATTATACCTAAAGAGAATAAACAAGTGAAATCCCGTCCATTCTTAAGCTCAAATGAGATGGTGGCTGTTTCCATGGTAACTTCCCGTCAGACAATCATTTCTGGGTAACACTTGAAGACACTTGTCATTTATAGAATCAAATCCAACTCGTACACGCAGTTGTGTCAACCTGGTCTTATTCTTACTATTTCAAGGTTTTCTGAACTCTTTGAATACATCCTCAACACTTCTTCCTTCTCTTATACCCTCAGCACACTTCTCATCTGCTCTCACAATTGATTCGACAACACCAAGCACATCTTCCGCCAACTCCTTTGGCAAACATACTACTCCGTCGATATCGGCAATGATATAATCACCCGGGTTGACCCAAGCTTCATAAGCGTCGGAGTTCAGTTTCACAGGAACATCAACTTCCGAAGGTCGACACACTGGTCCACCAGCCGTAGTGCCAACACCTTTCGCGAAGAGCTGAAGTTTGTCAGTGTCTTTGCTCGATGGGAGATATCAAGCGAGAGCTGGAAGAAGAACTTACGGGGAAGTTGAGGTTGCGATGTTCCTGGAGGTCGCGTACTTTGCCATCAATGATGACACCTGCGGCTCCAAGATGTTGAGCGCGCAGTGACATCAGACCACCGTATACGGCGTTGATGTGGGGCTGAGGCTGGGAGATGAACACCACAGCATCTTTTGGGATTGAATCAATCTAGAGAAGTCAACATCTACAGGGAGCACGAGTATGCTGGAGATCATTCTTACATAGTTCCCTTTCGGCTTGGGTGCATTGGTATCCGCCTTTGGCACGAACTTGACCGTGTATGCCGGCCCTACGATCTTGATACCTTCGCTCTGGTATTGGGGGGAGTACATGGTAAGACCGTCCAAAAAGCCACCATGAGGCTGACTAAGCTTGACCAAGCCGTCGGCAATCTGGCAGCTACATCAGTCCTTCTCTCATGATCTTTGTTGGACCATATGCCTTACGTCGCATGATGTCCACTGCTTCAACCGTTGTGTAATTGCCGAGGAAGCCATATCTGTGCACGTAATACAGTTAAAATGAACAGAGACCAATTGTGACGTGCATACCAACAGATTCAAAAGCGTGTGCTGTTATATTTGGCTACCGTAGTTGGATGGAGCAGGCGTCGGGATTTAGCCGACGGGTAGTCGCCGGTAGACGTTCGGTCATCACCGACTTCAAGACCCACTAGATCCGCCATGATGCAAAACGCACCTTGTGAACGTAGCATAGGCTGATCTCACGCTGCCTTCCCCGAGCTGCGAAGCATGTCCATCGCCCTTTCTATTGACTTTGCGTAGACTTTGACTGCCTTCTCTTTCAACTGCGTGAGTTCATCCTTTGACCAATTCTCGCCGACAAATGCAGTATACTCATCTCGGACGTTACGATTGAGATTGATCTTGACAATGCCACGTGCCATTGCCTCATGAAATAGCTCGTCGGCCACCGGATGAGTGCCATGAAGCACAAGTGGAATATCATTCCCGACAGCTTTGCCGATAGCTTGCAATCTGTGGCGGCGCATCAGTCACGTGATCATGTTTAAGAACAGCCTCGGTGACATACCGATCGAGTTGCCAGAACTTCTCTGCACCTCCAGGTGGGTACGGTCCGTGCACATTGCCGAAACTTGGAGCAAGGAAGTGAACCCCGGTTCTTCTTACAAACTCCTGTGCGGTGTGGGGGTCGGTGAGCAATCCTTCCAGCTCCATGGTCTTCAGGCCATCCTCCCCGCCCTCGATACGGCCCATCTCTGCCTCGACAGTGATACCGAGCTTCGCAGCTCGCCGCGCAATGCCGCTGCAATAGGCGATATTGGTCTCTGGTTCCAATCCCGAGGCATCTACCATGATGGAGTCTAGCGGAAGTGAAAGTGCTGTCTCGACATCCGAATCGTCTATGCAATGATCAAGGTGCACCGCAATCGGAACGCTGGCGGCATGTGCCCGAGCCACTACATACCGGACGAAGTCGGGCCCTTGAAAGTGCAGCGTCCATGGAAAGAGTTGAATGATTGCGGGGGATTTCTTTGCTTCTGCTGCACGGATCACGGCGAGCACACCATCATCGTTGTAGCTAGGATAAGTCAGCCAAGTCTGTAGACGCTGCGCTTTTTCATAATGCATAAATGTAGTGACTCTGACCAATTAAATGCTCCTACAGCATAGCTATTCTTCTGTGCCTTGTGCAAAATCCGCCATGTCAAGTTGTTCTGCGGATACGCGTCGTGACTGGTCTCCATAGTCGGGGCCTGTGTGCTGACGGGTGAAAGGCGGGTGCGTAGTTATCAACCTGTTATTCTCCTACACCAACGACGCTTCCGTTGGAATCATCTATTTGTAGATAAGCCACATATGATGGCTACACCGGCCTTCCTCCGTGCAACGTCGGTACCTCGCCGGAGGCCAACCTCGGTGCATGGTCGATGCGAGGCTAGAATCTGGGGAAGTCGAAGCTTCAGATACGGGGACTATAAAGCTTAGACTCCGAAAGTAAGACCGATAGTGGTTCACTCCACTGTTTTGTGCTTCCTAGTGGCATATTAGTCGCGAAATCTGCTCCATTATGAAGCTGTCTTTCGTTTTGTTCGCAGCGATGACGGTTATAGCGGGTGCCACTGACAATGCAACCGTACTGCCGAGACATGCTTGGTATGCTTCGCCTCAATGCCAGACAAGCGGTGGCTGACGTATGCAAAGGGATTCGCACATCCATATCATCGATCCGGAGCGGTTTCCCATGGACCCAGACCGAGGTATGTCCGACGAACTGTGACCCACCAAGAGGGGAGGAATATGTGCCAATACTCCAATGATCACGAAACCAAGCGTTGACACCACGACAGACTATACTCCGAAAGCTGCGACTGTGGCGAACGCAAATAGCTTCCTGAAGAAGACTGGAGTATTCCATCCTGTCGTCGTCCTCCCCAGCGTTTATGGCACCAATAATTCGGTGCTCTTGGATGCTCTCAAGGCTTTTAACGGCTCTGCAAGAGGAGTCTGTGTGGTCGATCCGGACACGATCGCCAATGCAACCCTCGACCAGTTCCACGCTGCCGGTGTCCGAGGCGTCCGCGTCAATTTTGGTAACGAGGGTACGAATGAAGAGATCGTAGAGGCTGTCTGGAAAAATGCCAAAATCGCAGCATTGAACAATTGGAATCTACAGTTATGGCTCCCGATCAGGGCCTTTGCTGCTTTGCACGACATCATCCCCAAGCTTGGGGTACGTGTTGTGACCGACCACTACGGACACGCACTCGTCGGCTCACGCACCGGCAACATGAGCGATACCATCGACCCATACACCATTGCAGGCTTTCCAGAGATGATAGACCTTGTCCAGCGCAAGCTCTTGTTCGTCAAGATCTCAGCGCCTTACCAGAATTCGAAGCTGACGCCACTGTACGATGACATGCGCGTTGTCGCTGATACCATCATGGCCAACGGTCCCGATATGGTAGTCTATGGATCAGATTGGCCACACACAGCAAGTAAGGAAGGTAACGCTGCGGTTGGTGGAAGGCTCTTCCCGCAAGATTTTCGTAAGATCGATGATGCTGGAATCATTGCACAGACTGTCGAGTGGGCTGGCTCTAAGCAGCAGGTGCAGCGGCTGTTCGTTGACAACCCAAGAAGGTTGTGGCAGTGGTACGCAAACGAGACAATTTCTTAGTCAGGGGATGTAACTACGTGGGTTAGGTCACATGAAATCCTATTGTAGAAGGCACTGCCCGGTGTGCAAGTGCACTTACCTCTGAGCAGAGAGCTCCTGTACAAGAACATCACCAAAAAACAACAACAGATAGCAATACAATCAGTGACCACAGCCTCTGGAACGACACTGCACAGCAGCTACAGGGGAGCACACGGAATGCGACGGCGCCGCGCGGCGTGCGGTTGGAGTCGAAAGCGTGTGACGACACCTGATGGTGTTGTTCATCGTCCCTTTTCGTAGCCGAGAGTACGCTAGATACGCGCTAAGACGCGTCTACATACAAATAAAAAAACCTGCCGCACTCATCGAAGTGACCAAGATCCAATCTACACAAAAAGGTGTTGCCCCATCCCCCTGCTGAAGACGCGTGCGGATAGCATCGGAAAGATCTCGTTGACATATTATGTGACGGTTTATGGAGTAAAGCGGTCATGTCTGCCACGTGTGCTGGTGCAGTGCTCTTGCCTGTTCCAATAGCACTTTCTGTCTGAACGACAGATACGTCATGTAAACAGACCCCGCTGGGGGTCGAGAGAGAGACAGAACACTGAACAACAGAACAACAGAATATACTGATTTTACTGCTTCGCGCGATTACCCCTGACTTACTGCTCTGCGCGGTTACACCTTCACTTATTGCATTTACTGCAACACTATCTGTCGCGGTGGATTGTGAGTGATCCGTACGCATGTGGGAAGAATTGCAGGATTGAACTGAGGTTGTATTTCACTATTCTGTGTGTTTAAATATGTTGTGGTCTCGGTTGAGACCCTATTACCCTGGTATATACTGTTCTGGGGTAGCGACTTCCAGGGCCAGTATATAGTCGGCTTCTCCTCACGTAGTCTAAACCGTGACACTATCCCACTGTTCCGGGAGATGTTGGTAGCGAGATTCCCTTGCAGCGTCTCTAAGCCCATGGCAAAGGTAAGTGTATCTGCAGTTAGGGTACAGTGCTGCCAGCTTGCAAGAAGAGTTCAGCTGTCTCATCAGCCCGAGGAGAAGCTTACGCACTTCCTCGCTGCTGGGGCCATGCGCCTGACCATATCTTACGAGATCACTCTCAAGTGCACGCTCGTTATACACGCCAGATGTCCCCTCAACGTTGTTTCGAGCTAATATGGAGTCTGGCAGAAGAAAAAGGATCAGGCGTCTGAGGTAGGCTATTGTGCCTTTAGCAGCATCTTCAATGGAATCATCCAATGAATCACAGGCGAAAGAAGCCGGGAAATAATCAATCTGCAAACATTCATGTATGGCCGCATACTTCCGCTTCGTTGTATCACCAGGATTTGCCAAGGATGACGGCTTCAGCACCATCCGTGCAAAGGATGCACCGGTAACGCTAAGTGAAACAGGTGCACCAAATTTTCCCGCGCTTTTTTGAGCGCGGGAATGGACTATGAGCGCTGACAGCGAACGTCGTGTCCGGCTAGAATAACTAAGCTCCAGACAGGTATCACCGAGCGTCTTTTGTCATAATGCCTCCGAGTCCCATGCCGATTCTATATCCTGCCACGATACATGTCCTTCAAGTTGCGTCGTCAATAAAAGCAATGTTATCCTGTTTCAAGCCGTTTATGTCAATCTGCCTCCATTAATAATATTTCAAGTTTCTTTGTCAGAATGCCCTGAACCTACGTATTAGAATGCTGCGCTGTTCATACGCTGCTTCCTCGAGTGAATAATGCCGTTGATATTCATTAACGTTTCTCGAAACTCACTCACATCACTAACGTTGCCGTCTCAGCCTCGGCTCAGGTATCTTGTTCCCGCATTGCACTTGTTGACACCATGGTGCCTGTTTGTTTGTGCCGCAGCAAGTAGTACTGTACTAAGGCATTAATCTGTTCGCGGCGCACGGGCCGAACCCCAACCACCACAAATGCAATGACCAACATCACAACTTCAACCCGCTACTGCACAACCACAATGAGGGCTTTTGGAGCTGAAATTTCAGGAGATCGCGTCCCAGGTGGTGAATTGTCTGTTCGCCAAAGGGATAGTATTGTCTCCAAGGCAGAGGCAGGCTGTACTACCAAGGAACTGGCAGAAGAATTCAGCTGTTCACGTCGCACAATCCAGAAGACAATCCAGCGGTACAACATGACTGGCAACAACCAATCTAAGCCTCGGCCTGGTCAACCTCCACGTATATCCCGTCGAGAAAGACGTTATCTCCAT